TAAAAAAAAAAAAAAAAAGAGTGGGGGGGGAGGGAGGGAGAGGGGTGGTGTGGGGGTGGAGGGGGGGGGGGTGAGGAGAAGAAGAAGAAGAAGAAGAAGAAGAAGACATGTTGATATGTTAAGGGGAGAACCTGAGGAAAGAACCTCTGGGGAATGCACTTGCCTTTGGAAGAATTCAACGTTTACTTCTTCTGACTTCTGACTTTTCTTTCTTTCTTTCTTTCTTTCTTTCTTTCTTTCTCATTCACCCATTCTGGGCCATCACAAAGTGTCCATAACACGCTGAAGGGGACACCCTAGTGAGTGAAGCCACTGTGATTATTGGACAATCTCCTGACTTATTGCAGTTTCCCTACTCTATATCCCCGGATAGCCCAGACACACCATTCCATGTTGGGCCTGGATATTTGAGAAGGAATTGGATAATCCTTGAATGGAAGGACATATCGCCTTGGTGATGGGAGCCGAATGTCCAATCTTATATCATTCCAACGGGAGATGGAATGATTCTACAAGTCGAAGGCAAGGAGCTGCTGAAATTGTTTGCTGGATGTTGACACTCCAGCCAGAAATATTGCCAAATCGAACCGAAACCTTACGGTCGATTATTGCCAGTAGGACACCCCTAGGGCTTGTTAATGCTATCTCAAGCACATCACACATGCTAGGGAGATGGACATCCTGCCCAAAACTGTTCTTTGCTAGAAATCCACACGGAAAGTAGTGTGGCTACAAGGAGCATTGCCAATCTTGAGTGATTCGGAAGTGAATCAGCAAAGACCAATGATTGGTCTGCTGGGCGTCTCTCGAAGGACTTCTGATGGCGTCGCTTCGGAATCGGACGATTTCCCTTTGACAGAGCCCCAAAACATTGATGTTCCTGACTCGTGCCACATTGTTCTGCATGATTCCAAGAAAAGGTCACAACAAGGAGCAATCGAATGGAGTCCCACAACCTAGAACACTTATGAGCATTCGATTCATCCGCATGTCGGACAATGCAAGAATACGGGCCATAAAAGACTCAACGCGGTGGTCGCATTCTGCTTGGAGATTTCGGAACACTATCCTCAGTATGACCCAAATGCGAAAATGATACTGCTGAAGAATCAGTACAATCGCCGGCCTGCGACACCAATACCCCCACCTTGTCTTGGAACCCCTTTTCTCACTGGAATTCTCGCCTGGAATGGGGTTCGTCATAGAGCGCATTCTCCGACTGCTCAAAGCCTCTTGACAGGCGTTCATGAACGCCCATTTTTCCCGGCTCTATTCAATGCTACAACCGAGGATACTGCGGTTCATGGCACACTAATCCGAGTCCACTCGTCCAAATATACGTCGACTCTCCACGAGCTCTCAACCTCCGCGTGCTACGAACTTCACACTGCGAGATTTCAATGTTGACCTTCATCAAATGATTGAACTGAATCTACCTATCCACTGGTACATGAATGCTCGAGTCATCACCCACTGGTCAGCAAAACATGTTTGCACCAGCTATTCGGTTCTACGAGGAGGTCATTACAATTCCAATTCATGTCCAATCATCCTTCTACCTAAAATAACAAGAAGAAGGGAAAGAGTTCGTTATGGAGGTACGTCGGTTTGGAAAACCACATATCTGTTCTTAGGGCATGTTTCATATAGCCGTCAAAAGAATTTAACAGAAAAAAGTGCGATAGGGCTAGTGTAGATCGTAATGGGCGCCTTTTACTCTGATGGGATACGGAGAAAGGTCTTGCCTCTATGTCTTGAACACATTGGAGCTTGCGATAGAGAAATGGATGGGCGAGCAACGCTTGGTATGTAGCAAAAAAAAAAATCTATCAACGTAAAGTACATGCATAAACATGGCAACATAATGATCCCACTTTTTACGGGATCATCGGCCGATCCTCTCTGTCCTCCAATTCAACCGCCGCGTCAACCTCCCCCTCTTCTAGGACATCCGACGGCTCCGATTGCCTGGGGACAGTGCGATCACGCAACCGGACCGGCCGGCGGGAGACCTTACCAGACACGAACACAGCCACGGTCTGAATGAGCCGCCACAAGCGATCTTCCAGTGTTTCAGGGGCAGGGTTCGGTTGCGCACCAAGCGTAGAAAATTCAGACGAAGTCGTTGCTGCCAATGTATGTTCCTCGGCCTCAACCTTGAACTGATACTTCAAACAGTCCTTGACAGTAACCAGACCGGTGAGTTTACCGCGATGCTCCACGAGAATGACTCGCGGACCCATCTTCTTGAAGATCTCCATGACCGTTTCGAGAGGATGGCGCGGATGAACAGCCAACGGGGTGTGGTCGACATATCGCGAGAAATCGACAAAAGGAGCTCCTACGCTCCTCTGGATTGCATCGAATGTATCTGATGACCGAGAGTTTCCCGAGACGGATGCCCTGCGCGCCACGGCTGCATCGGCGGCCTCTTTGGTGAAAACGCACCGGGCGTTTGGAGCCACCAGTCCCTGGTTTCGGGCGCGGTCAATGGCGTACCGGAGTTCTGTTCGGCCGATGTATCCGACTAGGATCTTGGAAGTGCGGTCCTCCACGACTGGGAAGCCTTGGAATTTGTTGTCGTTTAGAAGATGCTCTGCTTCGCGCACGGGGAAATCTGATGCTGGCACCGAGAGCGGGCCTGGGGTCATTGCGTGGGATACAGGCACATTGAAGACGTGATCCTCTTTGTTGTCTAGGAATGGGAATCCGTTGAACCAAATCATTCGATCGGCGATACCGCCACTGCCGAATCGATCGCCGACGGCTTTGGTCACGCCTACTACAATCTGTACATATAGTGAGCATGGTTAAATGGAATTATTTCATTCGGGACGAGGTCTCACCATGGTCGGTAGGATGTAGGTCAGTGCACCGGTCAGCTCGAACATGATGACCGTTACAGAGATGGTCAAATGCATGATTCCACTGAGGGCCGCCCCAGCTCCCAGGAACGCATATGTTCCTGGAGTAATGCAAGGAACGTCTGGGTCACATGAAGCGAAGAATGCTGATTGGGGGAATGATTCATGTAGTGCCTGTACCATGATTCCAATCATGCGGCCGAATGAAGCTCCGACGGCCATTGAAGGCACGAAGATACCGGCTGGAACCTTGCACCCGTAGGAAATAATTACCAAACCAGTTCGAAGAACAGTCGCAATAGCTAGTGAGAAGACCATCGACCATCGGTTCTTTGCTCTGCAATGAGTTAGTAATGTTCTCCTATGCATAGGGAGGGGAATGTTCGTACTCGCATAGTCCAGCATAGTCATGGCCACCCTCGCATTCGCGGAATAGGATCTCCATCATTGCGGTCATGTTGATCTTTAGAAACATGTTGGGGTAACATAGTATCGCAGTGAGTCCCGCGAGGACAACCGACTCGGTTATAGGCCACTGTGAGAGGTATTTCTTGCGGAATGCGGCCATTCGAATGTTCCATTTCATTACGAATGCACCGTAAAGTCCACCGAAGACACCAAGGAAAATAAAGAAGATGAACTCGAAAAAGTGCCATGTACGATTATACTCGACTTGGAACATGACCAATTGACCGGTTCGGAAAGGATTAACAGCCTAGAATGGATCAGGTATAGTCCATAATCAATTGACAATATGGGAGACGTACCGCAAGCACACTAGTTGCTACCAAGGCACAGAAATAGCTGCGCCAAAGAGTCTTGAGGGGGAAATAGTTTGCCATTTCCTATTGACCGTCAGCTTTCAGACTCTGAGCTAGCGTGCGTTTGAGCTCACCTCCAAGGAGAAGAGCACGCCTCCAATTGGACTGCCAAAAGCGACAGCTACACCAGCTGCCGCTGAGGCAGTCAAGATTTCTCTCGTCTTCGATGCATTTTGTTTATATTTACCAAAGAACCGTGATATCACGTTTCCAGTACACACGGCAAAATGCACGCTGGGTCCCTCTTTTCCAACAGACAAGCCCGACGCAATAGCTAGTGGAAGGGCAATTGACTTGATTAGAAGAGTCCAGGCACCTAAAAAGCCCTTCATGACGAAGCCAGCAATAATGCATTTGATCTCTGAGATACCAGAGCCTGCGGCGTATGGCGCAAATGATTTGACCAGAACTGCGGCGATTGATGAAAGTAGTAACTATCTTCCACATTAGCCTATGGATCCATAGTTTCACGGAATCAGCAGGGCACATGTCTTACCGCGCCAAAGAAATAGAAAACATAATTAATCAGCCAGAATGAAGTCCAGTGTTTCCACTCGGGGCAGCCTATCAAGGAAACGGGTCAGTTTATAAGAGGCATAGTACAACTTGCTGAACATACCATTCTCAGCACCCCAGCAGCAGAAAGACTCATTGAGATAGAATGCAGTAGTACAGTGACCCAGCTTAATATCAGAGAGCCATTCGGTAATAATATTGAGCACAGCCGAGTTTAATCCAATTGCCATGCCCACAAGCGTAACAACAAGCCATGCCTGGCCTGCGTCGTATGACTCGTACATCTTCCGTCTCCAGCCAAGGATCCCTTCCTGATCCCAAAATCCAGAACCGCTGCGCCGTTTCGCGCGCCGCCGTGACTGCTCGTAAACTGCATCTTGGACCCAGTCTATTGTAGTAAAATCTTCATATCGCTTGACTTCATTGATCTCTTCTGGGATGGCGGGGGCTTCTTGGTCGTCGGCATCGGCTCGTGGGTCGGAGGGCATAGAACGACCGGAAACCCTTCGTGATGTGCGCCGCTCTCTTGACACTGAAAGGGACCTATCAAAGGCCGGGGAGGGGTGTGGAGAGGTCATAACATTGATCGAGGAGGTAGAGTCAGCATAGTCGATTTAAGGTTGACTCGATGATTTGTGCCCACAATGGACGCTCTGTAGAAAGAGGAACTCTCAAATTCGAAGTCAGCTTCCCCTTGATGTTTCTAGTCAACACCCTATAAGTAACAATGAGAAGACAGGGGTGAATGGAGCTCTTAGAAGTAGATGATGTGACAAAGCGAAGTCGCCAAGTATCCATGGATCGATAACGGGGAGCCTCCTGAGATAACGCGGCCACGCGTTTTACTCTTTCTCGACTCCACGCTCGCGCCAACTTGCTTCTACAAAGGGAATATTTGACTGGCGGATACTGCAAGTTGTATACCTATATTCTCCTAATACTTTATTCCACAATTAAACACCATGCCTCCAAAGCCTGTGGGAGAGCCGGATGAGATCACCGGACAGAGTGCACTTCCGAGTAAGTCCCAGACACTACTTTTACTTTGGATTGACGTACTAATTCATTTCAATAGTTGCTCGAATTAAAAAGATTATCCAGTTGGATGAGGATATCGTACAATGCTCGAACAACGCGACCTTCGTCATCGCAATGGCTACCGTACGCCGCACCCTTTACCTAAATACCTCGAACACCGACTAATGTTATATCTAGGAGATGTTCATCCAATATCTTGCTGAGCAAGGGCACAACGTGGTCAAGGCCGAGCGAAAACCACGCAAGACCGTCCAGTACAAAGATCTCGGTGGGTTATGCCTATACTACGGTTAAGAAGAAGTCGAACAGAATGCTAACGTGAAATAGCCTCGGCGGTATCACACACCGACAATCTCGAGTTCCTTTCCGACGTGATCCCTAAGACTACAACCTACAAACAATTCAAGGAGAAGAAGGCAAAGGATGCGGCGAATCAAGGCGTCATCGAGAAGGGCCAGCGTACTCTCAACGGTACCGGTGCACCTGCACCAGCAAACGGCACAGGCATGGGGGATTCCACCCCACGAAGAGAAGATTCAAAGACAACATCTCCTTCGGTTCCTCGGCCGATGGTCCCTGTAAGCGCATTGATTGCGGACCGGACAGTCGAACCCATGGCAACCCATGACCATGATGTGGAAATGCAAGATTGATTGCAGTATATTATACCTTTTTGAATCTTGTTATTTGCATAGGAGTTTTTCTGATGGGTTTTCCTTGCGCATTGGTTTTGGGATTTTGTATCGCATTGGGTCCGGTTTAGATATTAAGAAAACGAGATATACAATTGATGAATCAAATTTTTAGGTAGAAACATCAATAATTAATCATTCTCAATCAAAGATATCATATTCAAAGAGTATAAAAGTTGTCGAATGTTTTCTTGTTAGGGAGTGAACGGGAACGGATCAGCCAATGACAGGCCCCGTGATTCCGATCGCTAGCGAAAGCTCTGGCTCCAACTTCAACTTCCGACTTCATCCACCCTCTATCCTCACCTCCCCACAACTCGCGGCTCAATTCCCCCCGTGGTCAATTGTCCTCACAATGTCGCTCTCCTCCGCTTCCAGCACTCTGCTGCGCACCGTCGCTCGACAGCAGCTCCCCACCGCCCGCGCCGCCGTCACCTCCTGCCAGCGGAGGGGAGTTGCCGATGCGAAGTCGTCCTTCCAGTCTCCCTTCGCCACCGCTAACGAGGCTGGCTCGACCCTAAAGATCCCCGACTTCAGCAAGTACAAGTCCAAGAACTCGGCCCGCTCCAACCAGGTCTTCTCCTATTTCATGGCCGGATCCCTCGGTCTGGCGTCCGCTGTCGGTGCCAAGGCTACTGTCCAGGGTAGGTTTTTGTCAATTCTTCGAATCAGAAATGGGAATCGCATTGCATGGGATATAGCGATTGAACGATATTCTCGAGCCAGTTTTCTTGAATAATCGGGGAAATTCGGGCAACTTTTGAGCAAACGACTGATGTTATCCTTTCTCCAGATTTCCTGGTCAACATGTCCGCCTCCGCCGATGTCCTGGCCCAGGCCAAGGTCGAGATCGCTCTTGGTTCCATCCCCGAGGGCAAGAACGTACGTGTTTCCATCCTTTTCATCTACCCGATTCCAGTATCCATGATCCCTATCTAACACCGTCTCCAACAGGTCATCATCAAGTGGCGTGGTAAGCCCGTCTTCATCCGTCACCGCACTCAGGCCGAGATCGATGAGGCCCGCGAATCTAAGTGGGAGGGTCTCCGTGACCCCCAGCCCGATGAGGACCGCGTCCAGCGTCCCGAGTGGCTCGTCATGCTCGGTAAGTGAACATGCGATTCGCGAACCTGAAACATTCTAACTCTCCCCAGGTGTCTGCACCCACTTGGGTTGTGTCCCCATCGGTGAGGCCGGTGACTACGGCGGCTGGTTCTGCCCCTGCCACGGTTCCCACTACGATATCTCCGGCCGTATTCGCAAGGGCCCCGCCCCTCTGAACCTGGAGGTTCCCGTCTACAGCTTCCCCGAGGAGGAGACCCTGGTTATCGGTTAAGCGAATTTTTGAATACACCCTTTTTCTGATCGCCGGATTGTCTCATTAGAAGTGTGGATGAGATAAAGATGGAGGGATCATGTATCCTATCTATCTGTGTATGTGCTTGTGTGTTTTTCTTCCCTTTTTTAGACAGAGCGGCCGTGTGTCTTGTCAAGATTAAGAGACCTGTGTTTTAATATGGACAAAAAATGAGCCTCTTCTTCCCTTGTCCCTATCTTCTTGAATCCTGATCTTTCTCCATGGCAAACACACGAGCTGTGGAGAGATAATCAGGCCAGGGGTTTGCATGGTCTTCTTTAGTACATATGTTCTTCATTTAGTGTATCACCTAGTCATGTTATTTCCTTTGTTCTAAATCTAAATCAAAGCTCCTTTGGCTCTCTTGTAGAAGCACCAATCAACGCCAATGCTCCGTTATTTTGATATAACTCGCTTCCAAGAGTATCACAGTATTCATACACTTAACTCGATTCCAAAGTTATATCCAACTGCTTATCTATTTTCTCAAATGTATGTACAAGTATGGCCACCCAAACCAAAAGGGCAATTATCAAAAGACCAGACATGAACCAGAACACAAGTCCTCGCTGGTGATGCAATATAACATGCTCAGATGAAATGATTTTTTACCGTGATCCGATCAGGGCGAACAGTAGGCCCGTCACAGCTGCACCAGCCGCAGCACTCTGAAGAGCCACAGCGGTAACATCGTATTGGGAGACAGCAATGTTGCGATCACTGAAGAACTCGCTAACCACCTGCCTCCAATACTCGACCGACAAAACCGGAGAAGTAATGTTGGAGAGGCGAGTTTTGAGGGACTGGGAGGCATTAGCATCGGTCACCGATACGACAGAACCCGTACTGGACGGATCAATCTCTGTCGCAGTAATCTTCGGCTCAATCAAAAGAGAAGGAGTGGCCTCAATTGCGTTCTCGGAGGTAGAATCAGCAACCCCAGGGAGAATAGAGGTATTTGGCAGCGCCGAGATCGCGATAGCGTTCTCAGCAAACATAGCCCGGTTCAGAACCTTCTCTTTCTCCAACGCTTCAACGACCTTATCCTCGAAACCCTTGACGAGTCGCTTCCGACGCCACGGCTCCACGAGAATCTGGAAGACAAGGAATAGCAGGACGTTCACACCCATCAGACCCCAGGTTCCCCATGTCGACATGCGGCGGATCTTGTCAGACCAGACTTGCTCCTCGTGGTATCGCGAGAGGATGCTCTTGCTCAGCTGCGCAGCCGCTTCTTCAGCTTCGCGCTCGCAGGCTGATAGAGCTTGCGAAGTCTCTGTTTCGGCGACCTCGTTCGTGTGGTCGTTGCGGTAGAGGAGGGTGAATCGTTCCAGGTCTGTTGAGGACCAGGCGTGCTTGCGTTGGAGGAGCTCGTTTACTTCGCGTTGGGAGGTTGAGCGGCGGTTAATCGCCTTGGCGTACTCTTCTTTCGCTTTCTTGACATTTGTTCGGGCAGTGCGGAGTCGGTCCTCTAGATCATTCGCTGGGATTAGTTTCTGGTATGTCGGCGGGTTCGGGCTGTGCATTGCTACATACCGTGGAACTGAATCTCGTTCTTCAGAGCTTCGATGCTGGAGTATCCAGTCAGGTCATTTAAACGCTGACCCGCTACGAAAACATTCGATTGCACATTGTCCATCATTGTACTGAACTGCTTGGACCATTTTGACCGACGGCTTTCCAAGTACGAGGGCAGGCCTCCGCTCTTCGCGCCAGCAGCACTAGCTTCATCCTCCTGAGAAACCGACTGTTCCTTTTCATTCTCCTTTGTTTGCGGTTGTGCGGTGGTCTGATCGGTCTCTGTGGGAGGAGGAACCGAATCGACAGAACTGCCCGCCTCCACACCCGGGATCGGGACCGGGTCGCGGGAAGCGAGCTCCTGCTCGGCGAGTTCCTTTTCCTTTTCCCTGATTAATCTCTCGGTATCAGCGGAGAACTTTTCTCGGTCATTGTAGGCCAAATATGTGCCCGGCTGTCGGCGGAATTGGCATTGTACACAAGCGGAGAAGCTCCGCGGAGTCGGTCTGACGGAGAATGTAGGGCGGAAGTGCGTTCGCACGGGTGAAGCGCTTGTTAATTGTAGGCTTGATCGGAGTGATTGCCTAAGCAGTTGTGGCATAGACTGCATGGCCAAAACAAGGGCCACAGGCTCGTGGCAGGAAGTGGTGGTGGTGCAAAGAGGTGAGGATCATCTCGGGAAGGGACTTGGCCTCGGATAGCCTTATCAGATTGCTAGTTTCTATGTCTTCCAAGCCCAGTTGAAATGTTCTATTATTCATATATTTAGCTAATGGCATTTATATTCTGATTCAAGTAAAGCTGATTTCACTAATTTTTCCCACTTGGATTTGATATCTACCATGAAAAGGACCTAGATGATATCAAATATTATACGTGTTTTAATCCATTTTACCATCGAAAAACTTAGGAGAGTTTGTATTATCTTTCTGGCTATGGCAATGATAAAGGCTAGGAATGTATAAAAAGAATCTAAGAATATCAGAAAGACTTTACCGAGCCATATAATGGGCCAAATGTAAGTATTTTGAGAGTATTCCGTGGCCTGTCTTATATCGTGACCATAGAAGTAGACGAAACACATCTGATGTCTACTCTTAGTTTGTCAAGCAATTCTTTGTCTAATTAACTGTTTAAAAGGTAAATCCGTGACCAACTCACCGTGTGCCATCTCTCTCATTCTTTCCTTTTGGTATCTTCTTTTATACTATGTCATCTCTCATTACATTGCCCTGCCTCCATCTATATCTACTGGGGTACTTCCCCCTTTTCATCGGGCTACTGCCAGAATTTGCTAAGGCATCAAGCCCATTTTAGGCCTACCTCTCCAGCCGCACTAACCATTATATACTCTATTGGGCGGACATTTCTCATCACTATCTTCATTTGTGTCATTTGATATCTTCGAATTTATACCTGTTCAGATTCTGCAAGTCTGTTATTCCATGCCGATATAGCTGGTATGTTATACAAGATATAAAGCACCCTAGGAGGCTCCATGACTGACTTAGTATAGGTCATTCGAGTTCATGAGACTCCTGACCAATCGAAGTTCCAATCCACACAACCTTCAGTGACTACAAGGAATGAGTTGTCAAGTCATATGTCTTGAGGAAATAAAGGATTGATCAGATGCTACCCAATGTAGGCATGATGTCGAATCCACTGAAGGCATATTTATCTTAAAAGAGATCCGAGAAAGAACAGGAAGCGACGACTGTCACTCCAGGATCAAAACTTGTTGTAATCACACCCTAGATTCGACGCCAGATTCACGTCCTTGTTATGACTTTTATCTTCGGCCTAGATTGAAGACAAGAAGTGGAAGAAGATACATGCTTCAAAAAAAAGCCGAGCTAATACAAAGTCATCGAGACTGCATGAGTTGTATCACTTCTAGCTCGATATAAAAAGCCGGCCGACGGGGCAATGGAGACACTCAACATTTCTCTTGTGATGATACGGTAAGTCCAAGGCTTGTCCAAGAATCACTGTTCATAGAACTCACAATTCTAGAGACCAGTATACGAAGGATGACACAATCCGATCCAAGAGCATTGGTACGAGTCACATCAACAAGGCCCGACTATAGCGTTCTCCGCGGCACAATGGCAAAACTGCCCGGAATCAATGATAAAGTTCTGATGGCACCAGCTCGACAGCTGGCCACCTGTTTATTAAACCCTCAAACCGCCGAGACCATACCGAGGGAGATGTATGGCTCTTTGCAGGTGCGCCAATCAGCCGGTACTCAAGACGCAGACTATCCACACGCTATAAACATACACTATCATCGACAGCCATGATGCTCACTAGGTAAACCTAGTTCCAGAAAATTCCAGTCGGAATGAATTGGGAGACCAAGGGGCCGCCTAGTCATCAAGATGACTAGTATGAGTCTTTGCAATTGATCACCACAGTCTCCTTTTCTCTGCTCCTACCACAGCACACTGCATCTCAAATAATGACTTGTTTTTCCGTTTGTGAACCAAGCGGCTTTGGGCCGTCAATTATTTTCTGCTCGATTCTATTATCTTTGTCTTGGGATACCGGATTCAACGTGGCGTTCTAGTGTTGTATCTGTATGTGTATACTACATCAACAACAACATCAATATCAACATCAACCCTCGAATTTTGACGACCAGCAAAGGTGCGATCCACTCGGCCTGTTGGAGAGAACTCAATGAAGAAGGGCGTGCTTTGAAGCGCGATGCGACATACTGACCCACAATACTACATACAACCGTTTCCAGTTATGCTCAATCAGATAAAGTGTCAGTAGCTTCAATACTCACCTATTCTCTCGAGAGCCCGTAAATTTGAAAAGACACGAAGAAACATGGCAAAGGCAATATTTAACACCAAAATGACTAGAAATCAAAGCCGAAAAGCAAACCCTCTTGAAACGATACGCTTCACTAAAGTCTACATGGTAGATAAAGGCTAATATCTAGGACTTGGCTGAATACCTCCAAGACTAGGATAAAAGGACCGGTATAATATCAGGTGTTATAAAAAAAACATACTCGAAGACAACCATAAACCAGTGAGTAAAATCAAAAATTCAGAATTACATAGAACATTCCTGCGTCATAAGTCATAGCATAAGGATGCAGTTCTCAAAAATTGCGTACAAGAACAGCAAAGCGGAGGGGGTATGGATAGTACAACAGGGTCGAGATCGACGTGAGCGATGAGACAATGGCGAGCCGAGGACGCCACCCACCGAGTGCAGCCTCATTCTCAATCATGATTCTGCACCTTATTGTCACCCTTCACAGCCTCAGCATAAGTTGGTGGAGGGTGTGCGCTGCTGCTTCCAGCATGTCCACTTTCTTCAGAGTGGTTGTGTGATTTGGTCGCCGGGCCAGGCGACGGCTGGCCGTGGGTGTCGACAGTGCCATATCCACGGTGAGGGGGGTGTTGCTGTTGGTGTGAGACGTAGTAGTAGGTAACGTTTCCGTTCTCCAGATCACGACGACGACTCCCGCCACCAGGGATGGGCTCGTAGGCTACATCGTCGTCATTTGGTTCCGGATACTTGAGGATGATGTACCATGCGTGGATGAGGCCGGGGAAAAAGCAGAGTAGGGTGAGAGTTATGTTGATAATCGAGTCTGCAGTGCAGAATCCAGCCTTGACCCAGACTGCAGATGCGGGGGTTTGGTTAGCATTTGACACTAGTGTAGGTGTATTGGTTTGCGGGTTTTGTCTTACCTGCGATAGGTGGGAAGAAGACGGCGAGGACCGCTAGGAATATGTCGGAGCTGCACATGGCTCACACTGTCTTTGGAATCTGGTCTTAGAAAAAAAAAATGTGAGTTGTATCTAATACAGAAGTTCGTGGCAATGGTTAGAGGGGATTCCAAAGTTTAGAGTCGCAGATTGTCTGACGGCAGCCTACCCAGTCCAAATCAGATGATGTCAGGGGTCACATGACCTCTATAATTTGCCAGAGCCCTACATTATACATCAACATATATTGCCTTTCGACGATATACACTTTCTCTCTATTCCATACTTGAAAGTAAGGTGTACGTGTATTTACCGATTGATGAACTTTGTCAGACTCGTCAGATGTCTACCGAAGCGGGGGGTTGGCAGTTTTTGTTGACATGTATATCAGTAAGTACCTGGTACATACGATTGATGGGTACCTACTGCTTATACGCAGGTACCCTATACTCCATCCATACTAAGTTCAAGTCGGGCCCCCTCGCGTTCTCAACTGATACATCACATATAACGTTTGAAATGTGCTATATCTATTGCTATATTCTGTGCAGGATGCAAGTGCAAAGGTAAGGTAATCCGGAAAATAATCCCCGGAAAAGGCTGGTAAAATTGCCGAGTTTTTCCAGGCGAACGCGATCGTCCTGAGCTAATGGGGTTAGCGAGAGGAACTGGTCGGAATTTGACAGTAATTATACTCCGTAGAGACATTGCCAATCATAAATTTCTTATTGTATTTTTCTAGCAAAGTCCTTAGTGCGTTCGTATACAACATATTCAGAATACCGTTGATACCCAAAACAGTCCGGAGAGAAGAAAAAGAGAGGTAAACACGGGATAACTTCTTCCCCCCACCCCCTTTTATCATCTCTCTATATCTCCCCCCCGACCTCCCGAGGTCTCCAGGGCTATAGGTAACATCGAGATTAGCGTTTGTACAGCCATCTTTGTTTCATAATTTGCCTATTTCCCATCTCCCCCCTGTACCCACAAGCCCAGACCATCTTGAAGATTGTCTTTCCAATCTTAGAAACTTCGTCTTGTCATCTCTTTCCTTTTCAAATTTTCTTTTCAAAGGCCTACGGGGCTCGGTTGACCTTTCCTTCCGGGCATTCAGAACCCGAGTTCACTCGTTTACCTTCCTTTTACGCGTTTTTTTTTTCTTAGCTTGAGTCTCGAGCTTAAGTCTCGGCCTGGGGTCGACTATATCCAATTCTCTTCGATCCGATTCGCACGCCTGGGACATTCTCGCAATTGACATTCTCGCAATTGACACATTCCGCGGTATAACCCAATTGGGTCCATTTATAAGGCCAGACCGCCGATTTTGCTTGACATGCCGAACTCTTGCATTTCCCTTTCGGGGTCAACCGCTTGTCCTGCCTGGAGTAGCTCGTCCATTTCAACTAGTTCCAGTTTACATGCGAGCTTGTGAGTCGAAACGCGCCCGATTGGGTATCCATGGATGAAAGAAATGTTTGCTGACAGTGCGCTGTTAGTCCTTTCCTCAAAGGCGTGTCGAATCTGACGGATTTCGATAATTCATTAAAGGATTATGTTCGTGGGTCATACATCTCGACAAAGTATGTATTCGCGCCAATGGATGGAAAAAGAGTCACTAATGCGCGCTCCCAGGTATGATGACTTACTAGGATGCCAAGGCCTCAATTCGAGCGCGCCCAACAACTACTATGCCCAGTATACAACCAGTGTTTTGTGCAGCAGCGTTGTGCAAAGCTCCATATCCAACTGCAAACTTTCTACAGGTGACTCACTACCAATTTGCGTCGACACATGCGCACTTTGGGCCCGGAGCGAGCAGGAAACTATGGCAAATACAGACTTATGTGGCAAAAGCGACAAGGACTATACGGACCTAATTTACGCCGAATTGACCATTTGCGAAAAACCATCCGATGCCCTTTCTGGAGATTGTGTTAAAGGAGCCGCGAATGAGCCTGACAACTGTGGCTTTGCGACAAATACCATTGGTCTCTGCACTTTTTGTGCGAGCGGCACCGATAGCTGCTGCACGAAATCCAACGCCACGAGTCGATGTGACGGTGTGCCAGTACCGACTGTTACTCTACCACCTCTCACGCCCTCGCCTTCTGCTACTGGCGATTCTAGCCATGGCTTGTCGGGCGGCGCAATTGCCGGGATCGTAGTTGGCGCCATTGCAGGAGCTGGTATTCTAGCTGCTCTCCTTGCCTTCCTTTGCATTTTCAGGCGCCGCCGCCGTCGTGAAACGCTGAATGAAGCTTCACTCAACCAACCAAACCCACAAAGAAAGGGTGGATCGCCATCAATGCAACAACCCCCAAGCCCAACGTCGTACAATATGGTTCCAGGAGGCCGAGTCACACGGATGTCTGCACTGCGCGAAGTGCCCAGTTCATCACCCGCCTATTCGCGTACTTCCGCAGCGATGTACGGTGGCGGAGCCAAATACAGTGACACGTCAGACTCAGAAGGCATGGGCGCCAGTCCAGGAGCTATGTCCAAGAGAATTCCACCAGTGACAGGGAAACGCCATGGCTCACTTTCGAGCAACTCGATTCTGGCTGGACTAGAAAGCGACAGCTCGCCTCGCTCTGGCCCGACAAACCAATACTCTTCCCCCGAAGCAGTGACCAGTGGTCGATCTGAGCAGCTGTCATATTTCCGCGACTACTACTCTCAAGATGAGATTCACGCTGGCGACAAAGTTGCTGTCCTATGGGCGTACTCACCACGAGCGGGTGACGAATTCGAACTTGACCGAGGCGAGATGTTAAGGGTGATCGGTATCTGGGACGATGGCTGGGCCACGGGCGTGCGACTCCCCGAGCGCGCGGAGGATCAGGATCTGAATTACCGCGAACAGCGCGACAGTGGTGTCTCGAGTGGCTCGCACATGCATGGTGCTTCGTCGCCCATGCCGTCAGGCGAGATTAAGGCCTTCCCCTTGGTCTGTATCTGTCTACCGCAGCACTGGCACAAGATCATCGATGGCGGCCAGGAAGACGAGGAAGTTTGAGCTCGGTTCTCAATTCTCAGTTATCATGCAAAATTACGTCTTGACGACAGCGTGTTGATCCTTCCGTCTTCCGGTGCTTTTTACACCCTGGCTGGCCATTCCCCTCCCATCGATCTCAACGGTCGGCTCATTGCTCATTTTACACTCGTATTCGATATACCCCCCTTTTTATGACGGCCTTCTCGTCTTTTCCTTTGACTTTACTCGTTATCTTCTTCTACTTGATTCGAAACTGGTCGCTGGCGCATCGGACTCGGACAATGTGCTTTTCAATTCCAAGGGCACATTTCCGGTCTTTTTACGTACTACACATCGGTTTGTCACTTGAGATCACTTCTATACCCCGATAAATGAGAGTGGTTCAGATATCGGACACATATAGTGCACGCTTTAATGTATGTACATAATTAGACCAATTTTATCAAAAGACCTTGAGGCACAATCTTACCTTGATATATAATCCAAAAAAAAAAAACATAGCCCTAGAGATCGATATTCTCTCCCTTTCCAAATCCCCACATCTGCGTCAGATTTTATCCGAAAACGGTAATCAACGGAGTTCGGGGACAATTCGGTCCATTCCGCAGGATTGCTTAACAATTGCATTTGACTAATCCAACCCCTCTTCCTTGGAAGGTTGGAATTTCGCAATGTCTTTTATAATGGCGTGTCTTTCTTCTATATAATTTCCTTTTCTCAACCTCCATTCCCATAATCCATACAACATAATGTCTTCCCCAAAGATCATCCTCTACACCAACCGTCTCTGCCCTTGGGCCCACCGCGCGCACATCGCCCTCAAGGAGCTCGGTCTCGACTATGAAGAAGTCACAATTGACCTGAACACTCCACGTGAGCCGTGGTATCTGGAGATCAACCCCGTAAGTGACAGTCTTCCAAGGTTCCCGTACTCTCTTGTCTACATCTGCACTTCACACTACGCGTATAGTATTAAACTGTATACTAACATTCCATGCAGCGCGGCCTCGTCCCCACCATATCCTACGATGGAACTATCATAGCCGAATCTGGCATTGTAGCCCAATTCCTCGTGGACGCACACCAATCCCACCTCCTACCCCCCACCACATCAGTCTCAAACGCCCTTTACCGCGCACGTCTCTCCTTCTTCGTCGACGCCTTCTTCAGCAAAGTCGTTCCTCACTTCTTCGCCAGCGTCCGCGCTGCTGATGAGGCCGAGCGCGATGCCGCTGCCGAGCAATTGGTCGCTGCTATCGTGAAGGAGGTTGAGCCTCTCCTCGCCGACACAGAGGGTAAAGGCCCCTTCTTTGGTGGTAGTGAGAAATTGACTCTCGCTGAGGTTCAGTCTGGCTCGTTCTTGTTGAGAATCCTGAGCTTTGCTAAGCCTGAGCATGGCCTTGTTTCTACTAAGTTGAACACTTTGTTGCAGCAGACTCCGAGATTTAAGCGCTGGGCTGAGGCGACTGCTGCGCATGAGAGTGTTAACTTTATTTATGATGAGAAGCCTGTTGTCGATAAGATGCGGGCTAGGTTTGCGCCGGCGGCGAAGGTTTAAGTCTTGGTTATATTATGTACCTAGCCTAGATCTTGGATCTTGTTCATATTGATTATGGATTGAGAAATGAGAAATGAATTTGCTATGTTTAAATGTTTTGTGTATTTTTTTATATGTTTGAGTCCGATATATATATCGGTGAACCATGGAAGCTACGTTGGATTATATATGTCGAGTCTACCTAGATAGCCCTGGAGGTGTACGTATACGATATGTAAGCAATCAATTAATCCTGCAACCTTGAAATAGGCAGAAGCAGTCAATTATCCTACGTTTGGACATCACAACAAAAAAGGTGGGCCAAGACAAAAATAGCCACTGACGTGTCCCATGGTTGAAGGGCCAATTTTAGCTCGCAGACACCCACATTGGAGAGGCTCATTAACATGTATGGTGTTATGCAGTAGGTGATTTCGAATATTTGTACTTAATATATGTACTTGATACTTTGGTGTAAAAAGAAAGAAAACCTCAGAACATAAAAGATTGTTCAATATTAACATGAATACACCTGATACTATATGTCATTTTCAAGTAAAAACCTCTAGCAGTCTTGGAAATTGTAAGAAATCATAAAAGCAAAACCTATTATATCAATTCCTAAGATGTCACGCAAGTTGTAAAGAAGTATCAAACACTTAAATTTATCAAAAGTCTGATATCACGTGCAGCCACCCCCACTATGGCCATGGCAACACCTGGGAATTCACCCCTCAAACTCCATCTTCCCCGTCTCATCCCCGTTGCTTGATCTCCGCCTTCAATCTCCCGTAAGTAATTGAAGTGACTACTTTGGCTTCTCAAGAGAAGCTTGAGAGAACCTCCGAGTTTTGCCACAGCCACTGACATAGAGACAGCCCGTCCTTTTTTTTGTCACCCTCATCTACATAAGCCATCATGTCGGTTAGTATTGACCCTCAAACTCATGCCATGCTACATTCAATACTAACTATCATACCGCGCAGCTCGCATCCGGGTAAGTCGTCGGTTCCCGCGCTCGAAACCGGTTCCTCCTCACTTTCACCATTTATTGACATTTGCCCCCTACAGTGTCCAGATTCATGATGATTGCATCACTGCCTTCCAAGACTTCAGCCGGAGCCACGGCAAGACCAAGTACATCATCTACAAGATCGCCGACGACAAGAAGTCGGTTGTCGTAGACTCAGTCGGCAAGGACCAGGACTACGAGGTCTTCCGCAACGAGCTCGCCGATGCCAAGGACAGCCAGGGCCGCGCCTCCCCCCGTTACGCCGTCTACGATGTCGAGTACGAGATCCCCGGCGAGGGAAAGAGGTGCGCATTCCTGCAATCACAATTGTTGTCCGGTTCCACCCTGCTGACCTGAATGTTCTCACAGAAGCAAGATTATCTTCATCTCCTGGGTGCCTAGCGAGACCCCCACTCTCGTAAGATTCCCAACCAGGTCGCAGCCTCAGACTCAATAACTAATTTGCTTCTCAGTGGTCCATGATCTACGCCAGCACCCGCGAGGTTCTCAAGAACGCTCTCAACGTCGTCACTTCCATCCACGCCGATGACAAGTCCGATATCGAGTGGAAGACAGTCCTGAAGGAGGCCAGCGGTGGCAAGGCATAGATGATAGCGCCGGCTGGATCCGGGCTGCGCGACTGATAGGGGTGCGCCCTTGACGGCGCCGCGGAACGATCAATTCATATCCTTCTCTGCACACCGTTTTCCCATTTTCTTCTTAGTTGCAATGCAAGACCGTTACGACTTGGCCTATCTTTTTATTTCGCGAGAGGCCTGAAGAGTCTTGATTTCACTTCCAACTTCCAATTGTTCTGAATGACTTCCGCCTCAGATTGAGGATATTTGGTTAATCAGGCACAGAATCTTGCTGCCTGTTGGTTATATTGCACATGGTGGGTGATGAGATCTCGCGCTTCATGCTATTGAATGTAGAATAGTTAAGCAACTAGACTAACTCCTAGCTTTTGCTGTGAAGGTTATTGCTTGACTGGGCTATTTTTTAGGCGGGTAAAGATTCCGACAGCCGGAAGACTTGAGGGACATGATTTGAAATCGGGGAACTTTGCGAATAGAGACATAATAACTGTCCAAATCAAATAAAAAGTAAATAGGTTCAAAGAATAACATTAAAAAAAGGATCACATCATGCCATATGGCTGAGAATGATGATGATGTTAGGAGGAAGAGCCGGTTTGGGCGATGAGCCAATGAGGAGGCAGCCAAACCCAAACCGCACTAGTCCCGACCGGCTCCTCGCCTTTCCACCTCAAACCACAAGAAACGTCTTCAAGTCATATCTCCATCCACGACCCTCCTCCACTCTCTCCTAAGCCGTGCCCTGGCGTGCTCTCTGGCTTTTAACCCTCCGACCCCACTCTAATTACCTCAATTGAACCTCATTTCGACGTGGTGCTTCCACCTCCCGCCTGCCGCACAATGTTTCTTCGCACCGTCTCTCGCGCTGTCCCTCGCAGCACCGCGGCCATCCGTGCTGCCCCCACTGCTGTGAACGCTGTGCAGACCCGCGCTGCTTCGGACCATGCTATTCCCAACCCTACCCTCGCCAACATCGAGAAGCGCTGGGAGGTCATGCCCCCTCAGGAGCAGGCCGAGCTCTGGATGCAGCTCCGTGACCGCATGAAGGTCGACTGGCACCAGATGACTCTGCAGGAGAAGAAGGCCGGTACGTGCTATTCTTAGAACACGTGTGCTTGAAATATAGCCTTTTTCTTCGACTACCCTGAGGCTTCCGAGGTTATCTATCTCGGGATGACCCTCAACCCCTCGAACCTCCACGATTGTCTTTTGCAAGTAGCGTTTTTCGCTAACCTCAATTCTTCCTCTACAGCTTACTACATTGCCTTCGGTGCCCACGGCCCTCGCGCCCAGGCCCCCAAGGGTGAGGGCCTGCGCGTGTTCTTCAAGGTCGCTCAGCTCACTGCCGTTTCCGTTGCTATCTTCTACGGTATCCACTCCTTCGCCGGAAAGCAGCCCGGTACTATGTCCAAGGAGTGGCAGGAGGCCTCCAACGAATATGCTCTGGTACATATATTCCTCCTCCCTTTCCGACTGCAATCTTTTCGACCGCAATCGGGAGAAGTCTCTGCCCCAGCTAAATTGGACGATGCTAACCTATCCGACTATAGAAAGAGAAGATCAACCCCATTCACGGTATCAGCAAAGAGGGTTACGAAGGCAAGGGCTTCGTCCAGAGCCCTCCTGCCGAGAAGTCATAGATGTACTGATCGCCCGACCGGGACTGATTTGACATCTACGCAGGGCGGACGGCATCCATTGCACGACCTAGAAGTCGTTTTTATTCCAAGCTCTTTTCATAGCCATGTTCAGCATGTCTTTGTATCGAAGGATGGACCTCCGTGCGCGCGGCTGTCGATTGTTTCCCCCATATCTTTTTTGGCAAGCATTGGAAAATGCGTGTATCCCGTACTGTGCTATAATCAATGTATCTCTTTTGTAGCCATAGAGAATGTGTTTTGGATTTCTATAAAACTATGTGTATGTTTTGTTTCCGAGATGGCGTGGTCTTACGGAGTGATTCGGAAGCAACGTAAGTGCGGAGAATCCCTGCGGGACACGTTGATGAGAAGGGTTTCTACGTATGGAGATATAAAATAGAAATAGATTATGAATTATAGTCATAATTGTAATTATAATATAATGAACATAATGAATATAATGAATATACTAGCTTCAAAATAAGTATATACCTGCTTAGGTTTTCTATATAAATTCCATATTTTTCTCGGAACTGGTTGACCCCCCAACACGTCAGAGATTTTCCGATGGATAAATTCGGACCAAAGGACCATTGACTTTGATATATAAAACATTTTAATACTACTCCGTACTTCTAATAGCTCTCTTCATACTCCGTATATCAAGGTTTCATATTTAAGAAAACTATCCTGCACCCGGCCGCCAAGCCCCGGTGTGTGTGCGCGAATTCCAGGACGGGCTGAGCTTCCTCGGTCACCACCTCACCACGGGATATTAGTGTGGAATATTTTGAGAATTCATAGTGATCAGACTTGATATTTATATAACAAAAATCCATTCTAAATAAGAAAATTAAGCTCTTTAACTTGTAGAAAGCTCAAATTGGTGCTCGGTTCATCACGGGATCTGTCGGCAAAACCGCCCCGGAAAGGCTAAGGGCGACCAGTCCCCATCCACCAACCTCTTCCCTTCCTCTTCTTCCCTCTTTTCCCGTTCCAACCTCACCTCTCCCTTTCATCACACTCTTCAACACCGTCATTATGTTCAAGAGGTATGATTTTATATCTTGCTCTCATTTTACATTTTGGAAAAACTAATTTTTTTAATTACTTTAGCGGTCTCGCCCGGTCCTTTGGGAGGGCTGCTTTTGCCCGGACGACCCCCGTCGCCCGCGGCCAGTCCATCCGCTCCAATGCTCTCCCGGCTCTTGCCCGTTTCGCTAGCTCCGATGCTTCCTTGACCGGAAAGGTTCACCAGGTCATTGGTGCCGTCGTTGACGGTACGTGTTGTCGACTCCTGAAGGAATGGGGACCTCGCGAAAATCTTTTCCCTGGACCCAATCCATCACCGAAACCATCGAAATCAATCCCAAAATCATCAACAAAACCGTATCTGACTTTCTATTCGCCATTTTACAGTGAAGTTCAGCGGCGAGAAGCTCCCTGCCATTTACAACGCCATTACCACCACCAACAACGGCCAGAAGCTCGTTCTGGAGGTTGCTGTACGTGATCTGATTGGCTGAAACCTTGTATCAAATCGCAAAAGCTAACAATGGCATTATAGCAACACTTGGGTGAGAATGTCGTCCGTACTATTGCCATGGACGGTAAGCTTGTCCCCCTTCATCCCCCTTTCTTCGGCCACCGTGTCGTTCCCTACCCGATCGGGGGACCCACTGAGTGTGCCCCTACCGTATATTAGAGCTTCAACTAACGTTTATGTGAAGGTACCGAGGGTCTCTCCCGTGGTGTCGTTGCCACTGACACTGGTGCTCCCATCACCATCCCCGTCGGCCCTGCCACTCTCGGCCGTATCATCAACGTCACTGGTGACCCCATTGATGAGCGTGGTCCCGTCAAGGCCACCAAGTTCGCTCCCATCCACGCCGAGCCCCCTGCTTTCGTCGACCAGTCCACCTCTGCCGAGATTCTCGTCACCGGTATCAAGGTCGTCGACTTGCTCGCCCCCTACGCCCGTGGTGGTAAGATTGGTCTCTTCGGTGGTGCCGGTGTCGGTAAGACTGTGTTCATTCAGGAGCTGATTGTAAGGATTTACCCATCTTTCCCCTTGAAAATGGCATGAAATGCTTATACTTTTTGACCATTTAGAACAACATTGCCAAGGCCCACGGTGGTTACTCCGTGTTCTGTGGTGTCGGTGAGCGTACCCGTGAGGGTAACGATCTGTACCACGAGATGCAGGAGACCGGTGTCATCCAGCTTGAGGGTGAATCCAAGGTCGCCCTTGTCTTCGGTCAGATGAACGAGCCCCCCGGTGCCCGTGCCCGTGTTGCCTTGACTGGTCTCACCATTGCCGAGTACTTCCGTGATGAGGAGGGTCAGGATGTGCTGCTCTTCATTGACAACATTTTCCGTTTCACCCAGGCCGGTTCCGAGGTGTCTGCCCTTCTCGGTCGTATTCCCTCTGCCGTCGGTTACCAGCCTACCCTGGCTGTTGACATGGGTGTCATGCAGGAGCGTATTACCACCACCCAGAAGGGATCTATCACTTCCGTCCAGGCCGTCTACGTGCCCGCTGACGATCTGACTGATCCTGCCCCCGCTACCACCTTCGCTCACTTGGACGCCACCACTGTGTTGTCCCGTGGTATCTCCGAGTTGGGTATCTACCCCGCTGTCGATCCCCTTGACTCCAAGTCCCGTATGCTCGACCCCCGTATCATCGGTGAGGAGCACTACCACACCGCCACCCGTGTCCAGCAGATGCTCCAGGAGTACAAGTCCCTCCAGGATATCATTGCTATTCTCGGTATGGATGAGTTGTCTGAGGCTGATAAGCTCACTGTCGAGCGTGCCCGTAAGCTCCAGCGTTTCCTGTCCCAGCCCTTCGCCGTCGCCCAGGTCTTCACTGGTATCGAGGGTACCCTTGTTGACTTGAAGGACACCATTGCCTCCTTCAAGGCCATCATTGCTGGTGAGGGTGACGACCTCCCCGAGGCCGCCTTCTACATGGTTGGTGACATCAACGCTGCTCGCGCTAAGGGTGAGAAGATTCTGGCTGAGCTTGAGAACAAGGCCTAAATGTAATTTTGTCATTTGCTAGCTAGCGCCGTCTTAACTTCCCCCTTCCATCTTCAAGTTTCTTCTTTTCTCTGTCCCTCCACCTATTCTCTCTTGTTTTCTCCATTTAATTCCCTTTGTCAGAACACCCCAAAATGTTCCAACGTTGTACGCGACAACATCATTTCCCTTTTCGAGGCGTGTATATTACCATGTACATTATCCTTAAGGGAGAAACACCAGTGCAACAATGAAGGGATTTGATTTCACTTTTTTACTGCATGGTCGCGTCAACGTTGGAATCACTGGGTTGTTTCTTTCTAGACTCGATCCGAAAGGAACCCGAGCAAGGGAATATGAAATGTCTGGGATTGAGAGCAGAATCGTGGTGGTTGGGATTGAGGAGTTGGGGGTTTCTTAGGTGGTTTGGGGGAGCTTGATGTGTTCTATCTTAGCGTTTGATGGGATTTCAAAGCCGGTCTGGATTGGAGAGATACCTTACACAACCCCCCTTGACCGGCCTGTTTCATTATTTTGTGTATTTAGAGTTCAAAACCTGATTCTCGACATTTCCTTTGTGATGAAGTCCTGATTTGTGTAGATGTAGATGTAGTTGACTGTATAGAGATGCACATATCATTCAGGCAGGTCTTGTCTGTATGTAGCTGTTCATTCTTGTCTAGGCTATATCCTAAACTGGATGTTCAAGTTATTCTCTGAGATGATCTTTCTATACCTACAGGAATCCTGCAATACAAACATCTTCTTTCTATCCAGTCTACAATGCAAGATGTATTAGAAAACAGTGTATATGATATGAGACTGTGCTAGATATAGATAGCAGATATGATTAAAAACAAAATGCAGAACATTACAATGAAGAAGTCAGGTCGAATCACGCCAGTAGGGAAGAACACCCGATACCAGAACTATCTTCGATACGGTTGCATGAAAGACAGACATGAATCGGCGTTCACATTACAGAGTATCTTCCAGAGCCAGAACCTGTAAGGGAAGTCAGCAGATATGAAAAATAAGGGGAAGAGGTAGAAATATGAAAGACAACATACCAAAGCAGTCCTGGTAGGAATATAAACCTGCACGAAATTCCCCCTCCCATTCCACTCCAGATCGGTAGTAAAGAAGCGCGTCTCCTTAACATTCCGTCCCAGCCCACCAAACTCCTTATCATCAGTATCAAGGACAATACGGTAGGTACCGGGGACATCGACACCGACACGGTAATCGGTAAAGCTCTTCTTAGAATTGAAATTGAAGATCCAGAGCAGTCCAGCCCGCTCAAAGACGAGTACCTTGTCGCTCTCGTTCTTCAGACTGATATACGCCTGCGGCGCAGAAAGCCATCCGTACTTCTGCTCGGCCAGCTGCATTCCGCGGTCGAAGTCGTTCAGGAAGTGGTACCGTAGAAGGGGGTCTTCGGTTAGGTTTAGTTGACGTCGTGCGTACCAGAAGGAGTTGTCGTTGCCGGCGCGTGGGAAGTCGAGCCATTCGGGGTGTCCGAATTCGTTGCCTTCGAAGTTTAGGTAGCCTTCGCCGCCGAGGGCGTGGGTTACTAGTCGGATCATTTTGTGTAGGGCCATGCCGCGTTCGATTACAGGGGTGAACTCGGTTAGTGTCGACATGTGTGTGTACATCTCTTTGTCGCAGAGCCACATCATTAGGGTTTTGTCGCCGACGAGACTGTGTGTGTTAGTTGGATGAATGGGGATTTTGGAGGTGTGGGATTTTAGGCTTACGCTTGGTCGTGGCTCTCGGCGTAGGCAATGGTCTTCTCGCCGTGGCGACGGTTGGTGAGTGTGAAGGAGATGTTGGCCATGTCCCACTCGTCGTCTGTGCTTTCCTTCAAGAGCTTGATCCACATGTCTGGGACGGCCATTGCGAGGCGGTAGTCGAAGCCGGCACCGCCTAGTGCATGAGGTAGACATAGTGCAGGCATGCCGGAGACATCCTCTGCGACTGTGATGCAATCTGGATAGAGTTCATGCAGCATCTCGTTGGCGAGGGTGAGGTATGTGACGCCCTCCTCATCGACGGATGGCCCGAAGTACTCGTGGTATCCACCAGAGAAGCCGCTGTTTCTTCGATTAGTATAATTCTAAATGGTAGCAGAAGAATGTACGTACGTTCCGATACCATGGTGCGTATAGAGCATACTGGTCACACCGTCGAAGCGGTATCCATCGAATTTATACTCTTCCATCCAGAAGCGCAGATTACTCAAAAGGAAACGCAGCACCTCGTGGCTTCCATAATTGAACAGACGGCTGTCCCAGAGCTCATGACGGCCCTTCGCACCGCCATGGAAGTAGAGGTGATCTGTTCCATCAAACTCATTGAGTCCATCAATGACGTTCTTGGACGCATGGCTGTGAACCACATCGAGCAGCACAACCAACCCCATACTGTGAGCTGTATCAACAAGCTCCTTCAGATCCTCTGGTGATCCGTAGCGACTGCTCGCCGCGAAGAAGTTGTTCACCTGGTACCCGAAGCTAGCATAGTATGCATGTTCCATGATGGCCATTAGCTGGATCGCATTGTACCCCAGATACTTAATACGGGGCAGCATGTTCTTGGTAAACTCCTTGTATGTAGCGACTCTAGTCTCCGGCGACGAGATGCCGACATGGGCCTCATAGATGCGCAGGCTCTCGGGCTTCTTGGGCCGCGTGTGCTGGAACTTGTATACCTCATCTGCGGGCGGGTTCCAGAAAACGGCATCATATGCAGGCGACACGCTCAGGTCTTGCACCACACGCTTGATCCAAGCAGGGATTCGGTAAATGCGCTCGCCGCTGGGGAGCACCATTGTGATCTGTTGCGATTCTTAGTGGGTTTGCTCTATTATCCATAGGACTGATGTGCTTACCTTGATCTTGCTGTCGTGGGGAATAGCGGCAACGCCGTTCTTCGCTGGTACCGTTACATTCCAGATGCCGAAGCTGTTCTTCGTCATGGGGTTGGCATTGACGTCCCAGTTGTCTGCCAGTCTCAGTTCTAGCTCCTTGAATATGGGCAGTACACAACGTACTAAACTCGCCGACTAATGAAGCCTCCTTTGCGTTGGGTGCCCATTCTTGGTATTTGATCTCTCCGCTGGGTTGCGCATGAAGTCCGAAGGTTTCGTAGCCCTGATAAGCGTGTTAGTACAGAGAATAGTAACCAATGGACATGAATTCACCTTGCTGAACTTATCCAAGCCACCCTCCGTCTCTTTGATGGTCTTGGTCCATTTCTCGACTACCTGGTATCTGTGTTTCAAGACATCGCGATGAGGTTCCAACCAAGGATCGAGCTGGATAACACCTATTTTTGTTTAGAATCGGGATCACATTTGAATTTAGCATTGGTCGCAAGCTTACCTGTACCATCATTGGGAATATTTGAGTCAATTGTAGAAGACATATCTGGTGGGGAGAGCTTGGAGAGGAGGGAAGATGGGGAGGTCCAGATCAAGGAAATCTAGCGGGGACCCATGTGACATCAACCCCTCAACGCTTTGTCCTTCTCTTTTTTTTTTCTTCTCTCTTTTCGTTTTTATATTTGAAATCTGTTTCAGTCTTTTCAGTATTCTCAGTCTTCTTCCTTATTAAATGCATAGCACTGCATAGCACATAGCACAGCATCCAAGCTCCAGTGGAGATGTGGAGCGACGGGAACGGATCCGCCAGGTACAAAGCTGTTTTCAGAACATACTATGACTATCTACTACACGCTTATAACATATAACTCTTCTTGATATAGAGAATTAAGATAATTAACATCTCAAGATCCTTTTGAATGTTAGATTCTGGTGCTTTGAACACAAATCTAATTCATGACGTAGTGGCAAATTTCGTGGGGAGTTATCTACTCCGAGCTAGGACTTTGATCGTATTTTCTCACCGAGAGTACTATATTTTCTATATTTATGTTAGTTACACAATTAAACAGGTACCCGCTTAGAACAGTCTAGTTAATAGGGAATTAATACTTTGAAAGTGCTGTTGGGCCTAGAACTGCCAATTTTGTAGATCTGAGACATGTCTGTGCAACTTGATCCTACTTCACTAGTCCTGTCTAGACTTGGCTATTGCATTATCTATTGAAGGTAAAAGCTAGCAAAATATTATATTTCCAAGGCTATTTCAAGTATTTTGGCTATTAGAGATAGTACATGAGAATTCTCAACGGAGAATTGATATATTGAGAGATTATCAATTGAACTGCAGTCTAATCCCTAGTATTTATGTCGTGCTTTCAGAATAGAAAGACTTACTGGAGCTGGGCAGACTTCGGGCAACTGTTTTGAACTTGCCCATTGTAGCTTTTCTATTGGGATATACACGAAATGGCTTGTGTTCTAGCTCAAATTCTTAAGCCCCTACCTCGTGTTATTTGAAGGTCTACAAAGAAAAGTTCAACATATACACCTGATCTATTCAATAACAAATAAAACTAAGAACACCTCATGGACGAGGAGAAGTGTGCTGAAGTGGCATACCGGAAGTCATATCCACAGGCAGCGGCCTGTTAGTGAGCAAGATAGTACTCGGACGAATATCATCCAAATCCGAAGCGACGATAAAGTCAACGCTAGCCTTGGGCTCCATCGCCATCTGATCGGTTTCAAGGTCAGCAATGGCTTTCAGCAAGGGGGCCATGATGCGCTCGCGACACAGACGCTCAAACTCAGCCAAGAAGTGGTCCTTGGGCCTATTGCGAACAGTACGACAGCGCGGACATGTCCGTGCCATCTCCTTGCCCAGGACAAAGATGGCTTTTAGTAGCCTAACTAGCTTGTGGAGGACTGGAAGTATCTCGGAGCGGAGACCATCTCCAAGACCTAGGAACCGGAACTCATGGTAGAGTGTGGACTTGAAGCAGGCGCCTGCGGTGAGGAATCGCTTTTCGTAGTCCATCCTGTTAACCTCCTCATTGCTTGGATATTTATTTGAGCTCATATTGACTGTGTGTGGTGAGAAATAGACTGGGGGATTGATTAGTAGAGTGAATGGTTGTAGGTTTGCTTACCGTGGGTTTTTGGTGTAGATGATGGGAAGGATAGCTTGATGAGATGGGAGAAGCCATCTATTTATGCCTTTTCAGTTAGCATCGATTTGGGTTCTCAAAGGCTTTGTTCATTACATTAATAAAGGAATGAATATATCACATTCCTTTGTCAAGTTTTTGGACAAGACAAAGAATCATGATGTTACCGTTAGCCACATTCTGACCTGTATTCGTCTGAACTACGTAGTTATTGAGAAAGTAATTATATGATCAGATTTTACGAAACCAAATGTTTAGATAACGCACTCGAAATTTTATTTTTATGTTAAAAACCCGGGAATAATCTTCCATCGAAACATCAGTGGAAAGAACAGCTTTCGCATGAAGAAGCTATATCAGTTCTGCTCTGTTACCCCCTATATGATAGATGGGTGACTGTATTTCCATGTCTGATCCCAATAAACTCAGGCTTCATCAGGATGTCGCTGTTCAGCGGGACGGTCAAGCTTGTCGCCATGTGTGCCACTCACGACAGCCTCTTCTTTCTCGAGACCACGCTGCTCCGCGAACCGACGTTCAACACCACGATTTTGCCTATAGGTACCAACACCTTCTAGGCCGGGCGTATCCCTTTTGCGGTGGTGCTGCCCATTATTTCTGAGCTCGTTGCTGGTCTCGCCCTGCATCGGTCTGCCCATGCCGCGATTCACACTCTCCGAGGTGGCTGCTGCTAATGTATCCGCAGCTGATGTGTAGGTGCCATCATTTTCTTCTACCGCGGCCATATTGAGCTCGTTGGCTTGACCGGGGACTGCGGAGACAGGGTTTGAGGCATAGGAGTTGCTTGCTGGGGCTGTACCGGGAGGGAATGCCTTTGCGTGGTATTCAGGGTGCGGGTCAGTCCCTTCGACTTTGCGACCGAGTTGATACTGTAGACTTAATTAATACGGGGTACTCTTGTGAGTGCTAGATAATGGCAAACATACGTCCGTGTTGGTTGGGGCGCCTCTGCTAGGGTCTGAGGGATGATAAGCACCCTGTTTGGCATTTGCGGCGTTATTAGCGTGTGAAGAGGTGCTCATTATGAAAATTCCTTTCCAGGCTGGGAATTAGCAAAGAATTGGGCTATAATATAATGATTCTCGGTTTTTATGTTTCAACGCCTTATGATGTAAGTATGTGGTATATAGCGGATTTGTAGCAAATCAGCACAATACAGTTGGCGTGACGTCAAGCTTATCGTCGACAAGGTGACAAGGATGGTATGGATCTAAGTCTTTGTCTGAGAAACGGGATGAACATAAGATCTGAGTGGATATAAAATTCTCGGGAGACACGAAGCGGCAAAGTCAATGCTAGACCAGGTGTTTACCTGTATAACCTTATTTAAGCTAGTGGATCAGCTATAATTGTACAAGTGTTAATAAATCTGGCATAGTATAAATGTTGTCTACATAGTCTGCTGTGTGCACGTTAGGAGAAAGAAGCTCTTCAGCTGTAGGTACAATGTGCACCCATCAAAATTGTGTTATAGTTATGATCCGCTTACCATGATCGCTCGTAAAGGAACAAGTTGGAAATTGAAACTTCTTGGCAAAAGCCTTTCTACTGGATTTCCGTAACGCGTAAGTAGTGTGCTGTAGTAAGAGTCGGTGTCTATATATGCCGAAAGGAAAGACTGACTACATGATGTCTAATACGGGTACCATAGATATTATATAAGACTTCATCAAGGAGTTTCTTGACCATATAACGTTCATTTTCGTCATCCTCCTCATTTTACACTGCGGAAGTCATCTTGGCGCATGGCATGTCGAGTATGTCGAGTATGTCGAGCAGGTATATGCCCCGTAGTTTGCCATGGTACACAGGCTGAAAATACCTGCTATAGCCTTGTATCCAACTTCCAAGCTATGGAAAAAAAAAGACGTTGGCCAAAGTAGCTCTATTATTGTGAACAATAAGCGTCATAGTTGGGATGCTTACATCATCGGGCCAAGAGAACAGGATTTTGGATAAACGCAGGTTTAAAGGTCTTTGGGAGTGAAATTGGATGGGGTTGAAACCTTTTCCGGATTGTTTGAATAGACGTCACATTGACGGTATCACAAATTTTACTATTTAGAAGCTCAGCTGCTATTCTTACCATAACAATTTCCATCTTGTTCCATCTTCTCTCACTACTTCTTACTACCGTAACTAATAATAACAGTCTGAACTACTATGCAAAAGGAAGTGGAAAAGCCCTCTCGGGGCCCTCAATCTCAATTCCAACAGGGTAAGCCAATGTTCAAATCGATATAATTATTCACGTTTTAATAAAAACTACAGGTCACCAAATCCCTGTTGAGCACCACCAAAAGCCCGGCTTACAGGCTGATATGGAAAATCCAAAGCCTGTCTCGACAAAGCTTCCAACTGAGGATGGCGGGTATCAGACCTACAAAGCGGCGGGGAAGCTTTCAGGGAAAAATGCTATCATCACTGGTGGTGATTCAGGGATCGGTCGCGCAGTTGCCATCCTGTTTGCTATGGAAGGGGCTTCTAGCTTGATTACATACCTGCCCGAAGAGGAAAAAGACGCGCAGAAGACCAAAAAACAAGTGGAAGCAAACGGGGGGAAATGTTATTGCTTCCCCACTGACCTTCGAGATGCAAAGAATTGCCAAGCGGTGGTTGACGCAGCCCTCAAGAATCTGGGTAGTATTGATATCCTAGTCAATAATGCTGGGACTCAGACTATGATTGACGACATCAAGGATCTAGATGAGTATGTATACTCTATTTTCGATCGAGTTCTTCTATTGACGTATCTTTCAGGTCTCAATGGCAAAGCACATTCGACACTAACATCCATCCTATCTTCTACCTCTCAAAGTACACGATTCCTCACCTAAAGAGCGGCTCAACCATCATAAACTGCGCATCTGTGAACCATTATATCGGTCGCCCTGATCTGCTTGACTACACGGCAACCAAGGGAGCAATTGTCGCCTTCACTAGGGGATTGTCCAACCAGCAAGTCAAAAATGGCATCCGGGTGAATTGCGTGTGTCCTGGACCAAGTAAGTTCAAAATACTCTCGAAAATATTTATATAACTGACAAATATATAGTCTGGACTCCTCTTATTCCGGCCACCATGAATACTAGCGCCCAAGAGCAGTTCAGTGCCACCCCGATGGGTCGCCCAGGACAGCCCAGTGAGGTTGCAACATGTTTCGTTTTCCTTGCCAGTCAGGATAGTAGCTTTATCTCTGGCCAAAGCTTGCATCCTAACGGAGGAGTTGTTGTCAATGGATAGATAGGGGGTGACATGAATTCATATCTAACAATAAAACCAAAGCCTCAACATGTGTTAAGAGAAGCAGTATTCGGGTACGGAATAGTCTTACGAATGATTATCAACTTGGTCAATATTGATATCTCACATCTCATGTCTTACATCCATGACATAATCACCAAACATCCCATGGAAGATGGGGCCAAAAGTTGCTGCACGGGCCTCTGAATGTCATATTCGCCTGTGGACCTCAGGGTTGCTTGTCTGTAAAGCTCAACATGTATTCACTACCAGTTAGACAGCTGTGCCACCAAACCACAGCAATCCGACTATTAACCGCCTCCTTGTATGACTCAATACGCGGGTCAACATCCCTAACGAACCAGGCCCAAAATGAGCTTGAGCTGCTTCTGGAACTGTTAAATGCGACCGAGACGTATACCTTCTCTCTGTCAGAATGCGCCCATTTCACAGTCTTGAAAAAAAGATTGCAGAGCTGTCATGTCGTTCTGCAGGAATTGCAGAAGCTGGTGTCACATCCAGATACTCTCGGGGCTCAGAGTCTGATTTCCGAGATACGTGCGCGCCTCTCGTCGGTTATTTTTGGACTTAGTGAGGTGAATTTAAATATGATGATGTGTGTTCGCGATGATGTTCTTTGAATTTGTGTGGATTTTAACATTGATATAGATCATCACAGAAGATCATCGAAAATGCACTGAGGCGTTTTGTGGATAATATTCACGCTGGCAAGAGTGAAGCTTCTGTTATCTCTGGCGTTTTGAATGATTCTTCAAATCCCGAGGAAAATGAAGCTTGGACTCGGTTACAGGGAGAGTTGGTTGGTACTGGTATTGCTTCGGATTTGTTGACTCTGAGCCATGATTTCGTTATCTCAACTCTTCGAAAGATAATAGAGACAGATGGCCCACTGCCTGTTAACAAGGAGATTTTGGCATCAGCGGAGGAAGCCCATGAGTCTATGGAGCCAGCACCGAATCTAGAGTTGGAACGCCAGAGAAGCCTGGATGACAATGACTGGCTAGCAAATGAACCGACTGGCCTTCCATTCCTCCCGCTGCCACCGAAAGGCCTCTCATTTTCAGATAAGCGCAGATCATATTCAAGCCAAACGCAGCCGTCTTCAGAAAAAGAGACAATACGGGAAGACTTCCCAATACCAGTGTTGCTGGATACCCAAGATTCCACAGATACGCAGAAACAAGCGTTACCAGTCGAAGCCTTCCCAATACCAGTGTTGCTCGATACTCCAGATTCTACAGATACAGATACACAGTCACAAGCGCTACCAGTCGAATCCTTCCCCATCCCACTTCTCCCAGAGGCCAATCTACAATACAACGAAACGAACCTACCAGAACCCGTGAAAGTACCCATCAAGCGCAAGCCAGTACCCATCGAGCGCAAGCCCTTCAATCCCTCCACGGACCTTCACCCCTTCAAAGTACCAGTACAATTTAAAAAAGCCCCCCGAATAAGCCGCATGATGTGGGAAATGACCAGCTCCAAAGAAGACTTTATATCCGCAATAACAGCCAACCAATACGCAACGGTGCAAACCCTTCTCGAAAAAGGTGCCGACCCCAACACCCGCAACCTCTCCGGCCAAACACCTCTAATGGCCGCGGTCTCATTCGGCCACGAACCCATAATCCGCCTCCTACTCTCGTACGGCGCATACATAAACACCCAGGCAAGCAAATACGAAACCCCCCTTGCCACCGCCGCAATACACGGCTATGATCGCATTGTGCGTATTCTGATCGCGTCCGGCGCGCACGTGGATATGGGGAAGGGGACTGGGAAGACGGCGTTGTCACAGGCTGCTACGTATGGACAAGATCGGATTGTGGAGTTGTTGCTTGATTGCGGGGCGGATATTGATGCTATTAATTGGACGGGGGAGACTGCGTTGGCTGTGGCGGCGTTGAATGGGAATATGAAGGTTGCGAGGGTGTTGCTTGAGCGGGGTGCGGATGTTGATCTTATGCGATATCCTTGGCATACGCCGTTGTATAAGGCTGTGTTGTCGGATGAGGTGGAGATGGCTAAGGTTTTAGTGCAGTATGGGGCGGATCCGTTCATTAAAGGGGGGATTGGTCGGAAGGAGACTGTTTTTGCTTTTGCGGTGAAAATGGGGAGGACACGGATTTTGGAGGTTTTTGAGACGCTTGGGTATCATCAGGGACAGGAGTATCATCAGGGACAGGTTGCGTATCAGTATTGTTGATAGTTTAGGGTACGGAGTATGTGTATAATATTTAGCATCTAGCGTGAATGGTTTTGGTTCTGTTTTTGATATCCACATAGTAGGTTAGGGTTGTGATAGTGTATCTATTGCTCTAAATGTAGCTTTGAAAGGAATAGAGGATATATCCTATTCAGGGATAACACTAAGATGTATACAGTGTACCAAGTATTTTGAGGCTCAATAACCAACGTAAATAATAAAAATAATATGCTCAATAGCATTTGGGGGCTAAATATCCCGAAGCCTACACGGAACATTTTCGTCTAAGCCTACCACTCAGCCTTCAAAGGCTCACAGAGAAGTGCCCAAAGTGGAATTGATCAGCGGGACCACAAGGCACGTTGTGATTGGATTGGCGTTTTGGCCGCGGGCGTAATAATCTTAATTATGGGGGCTGAATATGTTGGATTTCTATTTTGATTGACTTACTCTGTATATGTAGGCATATAGATAAAATGACTTATATTACAATATACATATGTTGTATAGTATGTACAAAGTAGGACCGGTTAAAGATAGGTTGCCAAATAAGTCTGTTGCCTTTCAAAGTAATTCATTTACCTTTCTTGGACTCGTATCTTCAAAACTGTTTAGACGTGGTCAAACCCTTTTAAGGCAGTGCATGTCGAATTCCTTGGTATCCACTAACACGAGTCACATTTTACCTTCGTATTAATTGACGATCTTAAGTTTATATTAATATCGAGTATCAAATTTTACTTAAGACCTTTCCCCCATTCATAGAATACAACATATAAAAGAGAAACATCTCACATCCCAACTCCCCAATACCCCCAGACTCCTCAACAGCAATGTCAGGAAACCCCGGACATCTTGGACACCCCGAGCCAACATCAAGTACGTCAACTCCCTTATCCCAATACATTACCCAATAACTAACAACCTCCAGCACCAGCTCCCATATACAGCGAAGCTCCAGAAGCCGTCTTCCCAACCCCATCAACCCACGGCCCCGTGAGCCCACACTCCGACACCCTACGCACTACATCTATCCCAGACGCCATGCACTCCTACGCCCCAACACCAGTAAACGGTCCCCCAGAGCCACAATACCCCCACACCCCCGACTCCATCGGTCAAGCACCAGCCTACGACGCGTCGACATCAATGGCCACTCCACCCGAGAAGGCATACGCCGGTCAGCCAGTGCCCCAGTACACCCAAACCGCACAGCCACAGCAAGGAGCTGGCCCGCAGCAGTTCTACACACCATCCGGACATCCCAGTGGATATGCCACAGCTGTCCCACTCCATGCTGTCCAGTCTGCGCCCTGTCCAGTTGACTGCCCTGTTTGTGGAAAGCGGGAGATGACCCGTACCCAGGCTATCAGCGGTGGAACTACCCAGTAAGTTGGACTTCCCTTAGTTGAAACATTGAATTGATGGCTAACCTTTTGAATAGTGGTTGGGCAGCTGTTCTTTGCTTCTGTTGCTGTCTCGGCTGTATCCCTTACCTGATGTCATCGCTTAAGGATGTTGAACATGCATGTGGACAATGTGGTGCTAAGCTTGCAACATGGCATAATAGTGGCCGTGTCGATGTCTTGCAGAATGGGGCGAGGAAGTGAATTGTTTACTGTTTCAAAATTGATACCACTTTGTGTTTGACGTATTTGGGGTTGGGTTGGTGCGCATTTTTGACTTGATTTTTCAATATAATAGTCGACAATATGATTAATATGCAGAATTTATATAAAAATATATATTTCAACATTGAAGATGTTATTGATAGAATACGACACGCCAAGCCAAACCTTCAACCTCGTATCCGAACCACTTGACATTCTTAACATCACAACATCCCACATCTTCAAAAAACAAAATGATCCGCCTCGTCTTCACAGCAACAGCAATAATAACCAGCTCCTCAGCAATCTACTTCTACATCTTCCATGAACGTCTATCAAAACGCATAACCCACAAGTCCTACACCGGCACCCTCTCTACAGCCAACCCAAAAATAGAATCAATCCCAGAAACCGCCTTCAGCGATGAATATTTTACTATCTACGATCACGCCTCAAAGTCCGTATCGCGTGCCTCGCTCCCTAGCGAGACTACGGACGTACTCTTCACAAGACTGGTGCGACGCAACATGAGAGCCTTCTCGCGGTCCCCGCAGGCGCTTATGCTTTCTATGGCTAGTAAGACGGCGGAGCAGAAGAAAAGTTTTGGGGCGGGACATCTTGCTGCGCTGGATTTTGAGGTTGGGGATTTGGTTTGTGGGTGTTACCGTGTTGTGGTCCGGAGAAGAGATCGGGTTGAGTTTGAGATTAAGATGGATGCGGTGGATTTTGTGCAGGGGAGGTTGGCGATTAGTTGTGAGGAAAAGGAGGGAGGGGTTGTATTTTGTAGTGAGACTGTTATGTGGAAGAGGGCGGATGAGGTTAGGAAGATGCCGTTGGAGAGGCCTGTTTTGAAGTGGATGCATGAGACTGCTAGTTGGTGGTTGTTGGACTCTGGGGTTAGGTATTTGGTGGATTTGGAGGTTTGAGATTTGTTTATTTTTTTGTTTTAGCTGGAGGTCTGGGGTTTGAGATAAACCTCTGAGAATTCAGTTACGGTAATGTGGTTTCTTAAAATGACAATCTGATCTTTGAGTCTAAATATTGACTATATTTGGTATAATCTAAATCACATCTAACAAAAACGTGTAATATAAAAGGTATACTCAAAGGATATGTGCAGTGGAGAAGAAAATAAAATGAATTAACCACAGGATATTTTTGTATGTTCCGAGCAAATATATAGAGAACGCAAAAGGAAAAAGAAAATCTCATTCAACTAAGCTGCTAAGTGAGAGAAGACAAATTCTGTCAAATCCTATACCAAAGCCTCAGTAGACTAACGCCATAAAGCAAAATATACTGGGAGAGTGAGAAAGCAAAGGTAGATTGCCGTTTTTAGATCGATTCTAATTCCTTTGTGTTCAAAGACCGAAGAACGTCTTAGATATTGGAGCATATCTCCTCTCCATGTACTCAAATATTTATTACATCGGGGTAGAATCCATAATATGGCTTTCGAGAATAAATCTAATGTTTTACATATCTGAGTTGAATACAATAGTCATTGTCAGATGCTTTGGATACAATAAAGACGGGATTAACACAAATGTCTTTGAGCATAAGAACATCGCGTCCAACAGGCGAAAAGCTCCTTGGGAGTTTGCTTGACACACAAACAATTGTAAAGCGACGGTTGTGAACAAAGAGTTTCATCCTACTACCAACAATGCCTTTCAACCCTATCTTTGTTATATCACTGACCTTTGTTCATCGACTCGGCTTTGTACTCGTGCACCGGAGACTCCCTCAACCCCAGAACAAGTTATATATAAGCCGTGACCCTCTCGCAGATGTAAGATGGCAGCAGAGCATTCCTCTCATCTTATCTCATCGCAAATATTTTCTCTACTTTCAACTCATCTATTCCATCCCCCAAAAATGTGTAACTACACATATCACCACTACTCCAGCTGCGGCCACATCTCCAACTGGAGCATGACCAGCTGCCAAGAATATACCAACAAGCTCCGCCTGGCTGGACCAGAGCGTAGCGTATCCTGCACCCATATCGAAGATTCCCACGACCTCCTCTCCACCCAGCCCAGCATGTGTGTAGAGTGCGAGAGCGAGTGGGCAGAGAACATCTCTAACGGAGACATCCAGACTCAACCCTCAAACTCTTACCAGGCAATCGAGGGTATCGATACTATAGGCCATATCATCCAAGTTAACGCAGTGAGTAATCCCACTTCAGGCGACAGGGACACAAGCAGTACTGACCACAGCGACAATGGTCAGATCTTCTTGGGTGCTGCCGTTGATGATTCGGGCAATGCGGACGCGGACAATTCTGGCCACAGCGACAATGGTCAGTTCTGCCCGCGTGGTATTGCCGTCGAATTGAAGGCGGATTGTAAATGCGAAGTGCATTGTGATGCCTGTAGTGTTAAGATTGAAGTTCCGGATACCGAGGGCGCTGGTTGCGAATCCCCCAGCGATAACAGCAGCTGCGATACAGATAGTTCTGGCTCATCGCTCTGCGGATCTTCTTTGATAAGGTATAATATACTTAAGCTGAGAATTGACGAATACGTTGAGCAGCGGGAGCAGCAGCGCCTGCGGGAGGCTGAAACTGACCAGGAACAGCACGATGCTGACGTAGATCACCATGTGGCTCTAACGGACGCGGTTGATAGCGAAGTTGACCATCGCTCCTATGACCAGCCATTTGACATTGACATTGTGCAGCAGCGTATTGAAGCGACCGTGCTGAAGCGCATTGAAGAAACTAACGAAAAGGAAGCCCGACAGAAAGCCATCTCCAAGCTCCTCGACACAGCACTTTTGCAGAAGGACCAAGACGACCGACGCGAGCAGAATGCCGAGCTAGGTATCGAAGAGGATCCCCATCTCTGGGACACAGAATCCGTAGTCGGGATGTGGCATGCAAAGTCAAATCCCTCTGAAACACCCATCTCCCCACATACCTGCATATCCCCCAATCACCAACATACCTCACCAACAGACTCCCAGCCCCAGAAACACATGTACATGGGTAGTATGTTCGCAGACGAAGAGACCGCCAACCGACTCCTCCTCGAGGCGCGGCCATACGGCGATTACCCAGGTGAGTGGGAAGGCTTCATGATGGCATTCTCGGCCGAGGACGCGAATCGCCAGGGTCTATTAGACCCGATCCACGTGCGGGGGTGCTGTTCTGAGCGACGCGCCGATTTCCACCTGTACTACGGTTTGATGCACGCGTCGTCCGAGGCAGAGGCCGAGAAACGTTGGCTGGAGGATATCCGACGGATCCCCGGCGAGGAGGGGAAGTTCTACGGGTTGCTTCGGGCTGACGATATGCACCATGCGCGTGCGATGGGACTTACTGATATCCGTCATCCGTGGGGGTGTTGCAAGGATGGGCTTTTTACGATGCCTGAGCGGGTGTTGCATAAATACACTGGGTTTATGTGTGCGGGGTCTCTGGAGGAGGTTGGAAGGATGGGACTTTGTGATGCGGTACCTGTTCCTGGGGAATGTGGTGATTATTATGGAGGAACTTATTATGGTTATGTTGAGGCTTTTTGTGAGTTTGATGCTTTTAATATGGGATTGAAGGAGCCTGAACATGGGGATTGTTGTGCCAAGACCGAGGTTGTGTCGATCTCGGAGGGGCAGTACACGTATTACGGTTATATGTATGGTCGGTCTGAGGAAGAGGTTGTGAATAGGGGGTTGAAGGATGTTTTACTTGTTCCTGGATTTGATATTAAGTATTCTGGAAATTTGCGAGCGGATTCTGAAGAGGAGGCTAAGGCTATGGGACTTTTTGAGCCATCACGTATTGAATGACCTCATTTTTATTTCTATCTCTTTTATTCTGTTTTTGTTAAATGTCCTCAAATTTGATGAAATGGTTTTATATGCTAGTCTGAATATGGATGTTGGTCCCTCTTAGTGAGCTTTGACTCTTTGCGCTATCCTATTATCTTTCCACAGGATCTAACCCTGTACAATTTAACCAATGGAAGATGACTTTAATTTAACATAGGTACGATGCATGATGCATGAAACGGTGCCTGGAGTTTCTAGGCGATAAGAGGGGTAATAAATATGTTCTACTGTTGTATTAAATATAAACATGTGCAAGTCAGCCCTGGGAGTGAAAATATTCAGGCCTGCCTTTTAGGGCTACGATCTTCCTAAACACAGTTTTGAGAAAATCAATAGTTTCAAGTGCGGGTTTCAATAGAACAGGGAGGAACTTTCGTGCTAAGAGATCTTTGATCTGAATTCATCTTATCCAACCAATCATATTCTTTATATCAATTGACAAATAGGAATGTGGATATTCTCCATAACGGCATAGAGTAACGGAACTCAAGCGAGAATTATACTCTGTACCTGATTGATCGACAAGACGTAATGTCCAGCAGAACTACTTATGGAGCGAAAATAGATATCTTAACTATTGATCGACATCTTCAAGACGAAAAAAAAACCTGGTTAGGGGGCCCACTTACTACAAGCGCTTACCCCGTGCTTATATGCATGTACATAAGAACGTGATGACCCGCTACTTTTAGTGTCAAGGCGCTATCCAACTTCACACACATTCTTTAAGCACTGTTTTAATATGGGGTCCGAATATGGTATCACGGTCGAGTCGAAACCCCAGATAGATCTCGGCCCTGTTACCATCTGGTGGGCTGTCTGGGCATGTGTCTGGACTTCTGCCCTCGTGGCAGGTATGATCTATCTGATCATTAACCGGGACATGCCAACCCTACGTATTCGAGGCCTCGGTCTTTCGTTAACATCTATTGTTGTCCTTCATTTATACTGGATTCCGACCCAATTCGGTACTATGCTCGGCCCATTGCTGCCGGGTGATTGTGGCTATTGGCTTATGGGGACACTGTTGCCCTGTGGCATGGCATTATTCCATGGCTCTAACACTCGTTTCCAACATATTGCAAAGCTCCAGAGAAAGTATGCTCTGGACGGCTACCGTTATACTGAATCTACTGCGGAGCGCAAGGATGGGTTGATCAACCGTTTCCGTGGCCTCAGATATACTACTAAGATTCTTATTTATGTCGCTATCGCGATGTTTGCTCAGGTATGATTACTAGACCTTTTTATGTTCAGCACTAGTCTTATCTAACATTCCATTTCATACAGGTCTTCCTCACTATCCTCATGTGGGTGATTTCCCGCAAGTATCATAGTTCATGGGGTATTCCCGGCACCGAAGTCCATGGTACTCCCGCAGAGGTGCTCGTGGCACAAGGTGCAGGGTGGGAATGGTGGCCTGGTGTGGTATCGCAGTTCTTCTGGTCTTGGATCGTTGCCCCCGTCGTCCTCTGGAAGTCCCGAAACATCCACGACACCCATGGTTGGCGAGTTCAGACCATTGGCTGCGCTGTCTCTAGTCTTCACGCTACCCCGATGTGGCTCATCGGCCTCTACGTCCCAGCAATGGCCCCGGTCAACGCCGTCTGGGTTCCTCCTCAATGGTAAGTTCTAAGCCAATGTCAAACCCTACTTCTCTAACGCAACTATGATATAGGATCTGCCTATCCATCATGTTCATCGAAATCTTCACGGTCTTCCTCCCCTGCTGGGAAGTAATGCGCCGCCAATCCCTCCAACAAGAAACCCTCGAATCGATCGCACGGTGGGAACAGAAGGTCAAGTCGACCGGCCACGAAAACAAGTCCCTACACTCCGACATGACAGTGGTAGCATCTATGATGTCCGGCTGGAAATCGAACAGCTCAACAAGCACAATCCAATCTCGCGACAGCATCCTCACAATGGGCGCACTCGAGCACGTCCTCGAGCGCAATCCAACCCCCCTCCAAGAATTCTCCGCCTTGCGTGAATTCTCCGGCGAGAACATCGTCTTCCTGACCAGCGTCGCAGAATGGCGCAGTCGACTCCCACCATCCATCAAGGACGGCAGCGCAAAACACGAAAGAAGCAAACGCGATGTTGTCCGCGAACACTTCAACCGCGCCCTGCACATTTATGCCGAGTTTATCAGCGTTCGCCATGCCGAGTTCCCCGTCAATATCTCGCACCAGGAACTGCGGAAGCTGGAAGAGGTGTTCGAGAAACCGACTCGTCTTGTGTACGGTGAGCAGCGCGAATGCGACCCGACTAGTCCGTTTGATAAGTTCACTTTTGATCTGCCGCCTTCGTCGCCGACTTCTACGGACTCTGGGAAGACTATGACGGGGTCGATTAAGGACCGTGTGCAGTACTGGGGTGATATTCCTGCGGGCTTTGAGGCTTCGATATTTGATGCTGCTGAGGCTAGTATTAAGTACCTTGTGCTTACGAATACTTGGCCTAAGTTTATCAAGGATCGGAGGACTTCGCATGCTTCGGTTGAGGATCTCAAGGGAATTGAGGTTTAGATCTTTGCGTGTGGCATGCGAAATGAGTTCAAGTCGTTTTAAGATATGGGTCGGGACTTTTGGTATTGATGTCTTTATTGCTTTTCTATTCTTTGGTCTTTGGATATCCCTTTCGGGGTTTCCTGGGCCGTACATATTGGTTCTTATGGTTGGATATAATATTCTGGATACCCACACACTCTATATTTCTTATCCTTATTGATAATATCAACACACTCTTTTGACAACGCGTGAAAATAATAAGTAATTGTAAATAGTAGTCCTTCTGCCTAGTAGGGTGAGCAAGCCAAGCCGTAGGTGGCCAATGTGCAGCTGGCTGCGCTTATAGCGCGAAGAGCAATTAATTGAAGCATCAAGTTAGAACTAGACTGTACATAAAATTGATATTTGATCCCTAGATATTCCTCTATAAACATTCATAACTCATTGCCCTCCGCAATTATACTACTGTTCAAAAGCCTTCACCACGCTGGTACTCCCCTCAGCCCCCAACCCTGACTTCTTGGCCATGTACAAAACAGTCAAAGCAGCATTGCCAAGGTTCAAAGGACAGTGGAGATCCCGCGCTTTCTGCACAGCCTTCTCTAGACGAGAAGTGGCAGCATCAACAGTCTCAGAGGCCCCATTGGCACCCTGTGCAAGCCCCTCAATAATCTCCAAACCCTTCGTGGTAAATTGCCGACTAGCACCAGCAGCATCAGCAACAAGAGTATAAAACTGCTTCAGGTCGACATTGAGATAGCGAGCAAAAGAAATAGCCTCAGCAGCCGCAACAAGGTTAGTCACCTCCATCATATCCAGTACCAACTGCAGCGCCTCCGCCGTCTCCTCATCAGACTTGGTACATTCGACCTTCGTGATCGGATCAGCAAAGTACTGTCGCACCATAGATGAGTCATCGACAGCGCCATATCCCTGCAACAAAGCAGACAAATAAACCTGCTCAGCAGTAGAGCAAAGCGGAGTTGGGAATTGACTTTGGCGCGCAGATGTCGTGATAATGCCCTGTTAGACCCAATTAGCCCAACTCAGCCCCAAGAACAACAAAGATACTTACAACATCCTTAAGAATGATGGTCAAAGCACTAGCACCGGGGTGCCAATCCTCATCCAGCATACGCTGCAACCGATTCTCATGCATCCAAGTCCAAGCCGGACTGGACTTAATCGCCTCTGCCGTCTTCTTCGCATCTAGTCCAAGTCGCGCAGCAAAGCCTTGAGCCTCACTAGCGCCCAGGATATGGATACCAGCCAGAACCTGGTGCACCATCTTCATATTACTACCAGCGCCAACACCGCCGGGAACAAGGTAGAGCTTATTCGCATCAGACATCTCCTGCAGCAAGAACCGGCCTTTCTCCAGCGCCTCCTCGGATGCACCGGCCATAATGGAGAGCGTACCCGCAGCAGCGCGGAGAGCACCGCCAGACACGGGTGCATCGATGAAGGCGATATCGGACCTGCCGACGGAGACGAGCTCTGCGGCGACGGATTGGGCGTATGAAGCTGGGACAGTTGAGCAGAGGAGGAGGGTAGCGTTTTGGGGGAGGGCTTAATTGATTCTGTTAGTTTTCCTTGTATAGTTCTGCCTTGGGTTTGATTTGCTTACCTGCGACAATGCCATCATCGCCGAAAAGGACGCTCTGTACCTGCGGCGCTGAGGCGACCATGCAAACATAGAAATCATTTCCCTTGGCTGAGTCCTTGAGTGATGAAGCTGGGATTCCACCAGCTGCCTTGAAACGATCTACTGAGGCGGGGAACACGTCGAAGCCGTGTACTGGGTAGCCCTCTTTTACGAGATTGGTGGCCATTCCGAAGCCCATGGCGCCTAGGCCGACGAAGCCGATTGAAGGTTTGGACATGGTTGTGATGTTGGTTGAATTGAGGAAACAATGTATAGAATAAATAGAAATGTCAATGGATAAAATAAAATACAGCTCGACGTGCGTGGGGGGCTTTTATGAGGGGAAGATATTGGGGGAAACGCGGGATGCTTCGGTCCAAGTCCGAACGGGCTAATTGACCGTTGCCGAAAGATAATGGCTTTGCCAGGGTCCGATTTTGAATAGATTGGTTTCCAATTTCCGGTTAATGTGCAGCTGGTTATTGTTGAAGTGTGAGTAGAAGGTCGGGAGTTGGCCGACCAAAGCCGAAAGAAAACATTCCATTTATATATACTCTTATACTAGCTATAGTAGCTATCCAAGGACTCATGGCATTCTATAGAACCAATAATATTTATTCTTAACATGTAGAATACAACCTAATAAGAAACCTTGTACCTACTTTTGCCGGTATAATCTCGCGTGTCTTCGATGTATAGGCTGAATAGCTCAAAGTGACGTATCTCCCGGAACAACTCCGACACTCGGACCTGAAGCGACTAACTCGGTCAACACAACAACTCCTATATAACACACATTCTCTACAGTAAAAGTAAAACTGTAAACATTTTCCTAAAATACCTCTTCTATCCCACCTTCACACCCAAAAATGTCCCTCAAAGAAAACCGCGCCCTGCGCATCCTAGACCATGCAGCGGAAAACCACTATGCTATCCCCGCAATGTGCTGCTACAACGTGGAAGGCATCCTTGCCACCGTCCGCGCCGCCGAAGCTAAGCGCTCCGCAGCAATGATTCTCCTCTTCCCCTGGGCCATCCACTACGCCGACGGACTTCTCGTGCACGCCGCCGCCGAAGCCGCGCGCAAAGCCACCGTGCCCGTGACCGTACACATGGACCACGCCCAAACACCCGAGATAATCCGGTACGCAGCCGATCTTGGCGGGTTCGACAGTATCATGGTCGACATGTCACACTACGAGAAGGAGGAGAACCTTTCTCTAACCCGCGAGCTGGTGCAGTACTGCCATGCGCGTGGGATTGCGACAGAGGCCGAGCCTGGTCGGATTGAGGGTGGGGAGGATGGAGTTGCTGATACAGCTGAACTTGAGGGACTTCTTACGACGCCTGAGGAGAGTCGGGAGTTTGTGGATACGGGGATTGATTGGCTTGCGCCGGCTTTTGGAAATGTCCATGGCGAGTATGGGCCGAGGGGTATTCAATTGGAGTATGAGCGGTTGCAGTCGATTAATGAGGCTGTTGGGAAGGAGGTGAGGCTTGTGCTTCACGGGGCTGATCCGTTTACCGAGGAGATCTTTAAGAAGTGCATTGATTGTGGCGTTAGCAAGGTCAATATTAATAAGGTGTTGAATAATGAGTATGTGCGGGTGCAGGCGGAGAAGGCTGGGAAGGTGCCTTTGACCACTCTGTTGGAGGAGACTACCAATGCTATGCAGAAGGCTGTTGAGGGATGCATTGATCGGTTGGGATCTGGGGGAAGATACCCGTCGAATTAGGGGGATCAAGTTGGAATGTTTTATGTTTCATGTGTTGAGATCAATGCTGTGTGATAATGTAAATTCAAGAACTTTTTATAAGTAAAAATAGTTTTCAGATTATCGAAATTAAAGCAGTTGGATATATGTGATTTCAAGAAAAGAAAACAAAACAAAAAGTGCCACCAATCCATTGCCAGAGGTACTGAAGTACTGAAAAGGAGCGGAAGTGACCAGCATGATCATTTCATACATAGGGTAATAGCTCACACCGCACCAAGATCACATCAAGTACACACTAGCCTTAACGACGGAGACCGAGGGTGCCCATGGGACCCTTGACGAGGCCTCCAAGAAGGGGAAGTTCCTCGACAATGCTGCCAAGGGCACCAACGGCAGAGGGGGTAGCAGAGGGAGTTGCGTTGGAGATGTGAGAAGCAGAGGCGCTCTTAGAAGGGCTGGGAATGACGGCATGAGATGAAGTTGGAGTGGCAGCAGAGCTGCTCTGGACGGGAGTAGAGATGGCGGAGGTAGGAGCAGCCTTGGAGATAAAAGAAGCCTGCGAGGTGGCAGGAGCAGCCAGGGAGAAAGTTGAGGCCTGGGAGACGACAGGAGCTGGGAAGTTCACGACTTCATGGGAGAAAGTGGGCTCGGGCTTCTCCACGATAGGCTGAGCCACCGAGGTGGGAGCGGACGGTGCATGCTTAGCAGACTGCTTGGCAGCTTCAGCCTGCTTCATTGCCTCGAGGGCAGAGGCAAAGGAGTCTCCGAATGAATCCTCGCTGTCCTGAACGCTGGAGGAGCCGGTTGGGTTGAAAGGGAACCCGCTAGTGATGTCTGTGAAGTCGGTGCCAGGCTTGGGACCGGCGGGCGCGCCGATAGCTCCAATGGCAAACAGCGCCAGGGAGATGTATGAGACGTGCATTTTTGCTGGTCGAGTGGTCTAGGTATTGGGGAATAAAAGAGAGTATAGATGGTCAGAGAATCAAATGAAGGAATGGCTGGCCAGCGGGAGAAAGGGATATAATGGCATTTATGTAGGCGATGTTAGATAGATAAACTGTTATGATCGCTGTTCCGTGTCTTCCATACCTCGCGCTCGTATTGATAGTGATCAACATCGCTGGGGCGGGATGGGGACCACATAGCAGGGCGCCTATACCTATGGGAGGGCTGCAAATCGTTCCAATTGCCGCGTATGCTCCGCTCCTGTGGAATGATGGCTCAGGGATATGCCCATGAAGAGGAAAGCTTGTCAGAGGCTGGAGGTAAAATCTAACCACCAACATTTTATGGAGAGTACGGACTAGATGATATCAGATATGATGAACGACGTTGACATGGTAGTATAAATCAAGCTCCTTTCAGGACCCTCATGGATACGAGTCTTTTCAAAAAACAAGCATCCTTTTCAAAGAAGTACTATGATTATCTTTCCTTGTTAGTTTGTTGCTCAAGTTCTAGCTTGTTAGTCTGACGGTCCCTGGAATGAACAGACTGCGTTGTATGCAAGTACTATAATATGTACTTCGTATAGACCAAAGCTTCCTTGAGTGAGTGTTTCGAGACTGTACATCTTCAATGGTAAAGAGTGATCAGCCCCCGTCGAAAATTCACTGAAAGGGTGACGAATGTATAGGGGTACTCTGGCACGCAGGAGGTATCCTTTAGCAACCCTAGCCACCCCACCCCTTGCAGCGCCAACCAGTCACTCCATAATATGTACGGGCTTACTTTCCGTTGAGACTGGAATTTTTATTTCTGCATTGTAGTCACATACGCGCAGGATTGCGTCAGATCTGACATGTGTCTGGGTTTGATAGTGCATACGGTGTACATATGTTGAGTTGCACCGAGCATGATCCCGCCATCAGCTCTAGCTCGATTATTTGCTTAATATAGGTAGACGTTGCTTGGTATATATGACTGCGTATACGGTCAGAAATATAATCCAATGTTCAGTTCAATAACAAATCTTCGCTTTTAGGGAGTGGGAAGGGATTTACAATAATAGGTCAGTGGCGTCGATTTTGAAAAAGACTGCAGCAGCCTTTCAGTATTGGATTACTCTGTGCTTCGTATATATTCGTTTTTAAGCATTATAAGTGAATACATTATATGTAGTCTCTTTAATGTAGACAGATCCAATCACGCCTCATTGATTTTTTCCTTTGGTTTTGAGAGGATAGGCCTAGAGACGTACAATATTTAGGTACCCGGGAATATTTAGTGCATTAAAAATAAGTATGACGCAGTTTCCTTTTTTTTTCCTTTTCTTTTTTTTTTTTTTTTTTTTTTTTTTTGAAAGGCTCTGTACTTCGAGTTTTAGCAAGGTGGTAAGTAGGTTGTGGCAGATTGGGGCCAACGTTGGTGCAATTACTTAGAATAACCGTCTGAAACACACATATGGTGTTGGTACGCCCTGGAGGAGCATTTTTTTGTATAATTTTCCCCTATGAACATATGAAACCTACAATAATACCTAATTCTTAATTTCGTTGACGCCCCAACATACAGTGCGTGGAGCGCGTGGCATGGTTACTTACTATAGACCGTGTTCTGAACACACCTATTTCCCTGCATGGGAAATGGGAGATCAACCACAACTTATTCGGTTTGGAAGCAGAAGCATCAGCTTTTGCGACGATTCCCTCTACTGGGTAATTGATTCATGAGATTTTCTAAGGTAAGGTAAAACCTCCAAGGGAGGAAAAACCGCCCGTTTACCTTTCACCTATTCTAGTCGGTGGTGTTATGCATTACTCTTTAAGGAATATCAGTATCAAGACAAAAAGAATATATAAAGGATGCTCTGAACACACCGATTCAATTGTAGCACTCATCTCTATTCCATCAACATTCGTCCCTCTATTTGATCTTCGCTTCAAGATGCAATTTCTCGAACTTCAAGCTGTTGTTTTGGCTTACCTTGCCACCTCGGTGAGCGGTCTTACTATCGCAGGGGATCACTTGATCAAGCCTCGCGATAGCTCGGTTGGGACCGATGGGAAAAAATGCTATCCCAACCCGAGTCAATGGCAGGCGTTCCAGGATAACAATTCTTCCGGTGATCCCCAGACGACCTGTTACGATGAGTACCCTGGTAGTGGCCACGGTACCGACATTGTAAGCTTACTGGAAAGAACGTTCTGTCCTATCACAACTAATGCATATAATAGTATGTTAGAGATGGCTGTATTGTGATTGATGACTCAATCCGCTGCACCATGACGGGTTATTCTCACAAATCAAAGAACTTCGGATTCGAGTACCTACCCTACAGTAAGTTGTATCATTGTCTTTTATCAGGGAGCTCAGCTAATGGATTTAGATGTCCGGGATCAGGATGGTACCTTTAGCACCGCTGTTATCTATGCCGGGTTCGACCGCAATAATCATGATAAGGAAGTTGAGCCTAACTGTGTGCTCGAGGCAAAATGGCCTAGCTACTGGGGCGATTTGGATTTCACCAAGGACGGCTGTCTCACTGATAGCTCGGGAGAGTGGAAGCAGTGCTGCTTCAACAATCCCAATGGTCTTGCTGTCACAAATCCATATGCCTAGTTGCATGTATTGAGAGAATGGATCGAAATTGAGATTTATATTCTGGGATTGAGTTCTATGTTGGATTTCATTCAATTTTCAAGCATGGCTAGTTCTTAATTTATATATTTTTCCTTATTCACTACCTAAATACACTCCTAGCCATGCGGGGACCTACGAGAGAACCCCAAATCGCCAAGTCAACGTTAACTCGAAATAATGAATTCATTCCCAAGGGCATTCACTAAAACATAGACGAATCCAAACCTGTTAGGATAAAATATCCGTGTACTTCGAGTACACATTACCCCACAAAACGGTTACCTGCATAACACGCACGTCAAAAAGCACAAAAGACTAATACAAAAGTACAACCTGAACTCTTATACAACATCATATCATCATCACAGGAAACTTACCCTACAGTAGGCTTACTCCTCGACAAGGCCTTTCACCGTAGCTTTAACACCAAACAAACCAACCTTCGGACATCCGATTCCCAAATCACGATAAACACAGATATTATCAGTAGTAGTTTCGTACAGCGTAAAGTCAATGCGACGGGCAATATGTGCTAAAGATAAGTAGATCTCCGCATAGGCAAGACTAGATAAAGGTTCAGTATATAGGATGCGAAATGACAAGCGCAACTCACTTCATTCCCAAACATTGTCTGCTCCCCTTAGTAAACGAGACAATAAACCGACTCAGATACTCCCCCTTCCCTGCAGCGCGGATCCAACGCTCCGGGTCGAATTTCTTTGGCTCAGGGAAGAGAGTGGGATCCATATGGACGAAGTAGTTCGACTGACTGACCGGAGTCTGCATTGAAGAAACTATTAGCAATTTCCCCCAGAAAAAGCAATTTGGCTGTAGGCATGCCGTTATATGTCATGGCGCAAGAGCCGCACCGATATGATTTACTTACACCTGCAGGGATAACCCAATCCTGGTAGCGCATGGGCTCGACCGGCGAAACGCGAGCCAATCGGGCTGTCATGCCATGACTGAGACGCAGACCTTCATTGACTACACCCGTCTAATCCAATGAGACCATCAGCAATTTAGAACGGAAGTATGAAATAGTTTAGAAATAACTTACCAAGTAAGGCAATTGCTCCAAATCCACCCACGAAGCCTTAGACAGCGGTGTCGGCAACACAGTTTTCAACTCCGCCCGCAACTTCGTCATAATCTCCTTATTATTGATGAGATAAAACATAGAGACAGTAATAGCCCTAGCGGTAGTCTCCGTACCAGCCCCGAGCAATAGCGCCGACTCATCCTCGAGCCGATCAAGCGTCCTCTCACCCTCGGGTAACTGCAAGTTCGTCAATGCATCAAATATAGTCGACCTGGACTCAGAGTCAAGTTTCCGCAAGCTCTGCTTCTGCAAAGTATCACTCGCCTGCTGTCTAAGTCTAGCCTTGAGATCAAATAAATCCGCCATCTGCGGCTGTAGCCAGCGCAGGACGGTAGGCGACACATTCCTGAAAATGGTAATAAGGAACGGGAAGAACCGGTTGATGTGGAACATGACCATCAGCCCATTAACAGCGTCGACAAGGTCGTTGCTCCGCGATCCCTTCTCGGTGTCTAGGTAGCCGTAGCTCCAGCCGTAGCAGTAGTCGGTAATGACGTCTGCGGTCAGTGCAGCAAAGTCTAGCTGTAGATGCAGCACATCGCCATCTTGGTGGGCTTGCTCGAAGCGCGCGACTAGCTTACCGACTTTGTCTTCGATGGATGGGCCGAGGTCTACCACCGAGCGCTTGGAGAAGTAGTTGCTCAATAGGTTACGGCGGAAGCGGTGGTGGTCGTGAGTTATTGTTCCTACGAGGGAGTTGGGGGCGCCGAAGGCTATGGCGTATTTAGGGTCCTTGGAGCGTTTGCGCGATGCGCCGGCGTGAATTTCGTCATAATAGTTTGAGTCTTTGATGTGTATTTCTCGCGGATTGATGCGGACGATTGGACCTGGATGGGTTAATGACTAGGATTTTGGTGATTTGATGGTTCGCATTAGATCTATATACTCACCATATTTCTCGTGCATGCGCTCAATCTCCCAGATGTACATGCCGCTTTTGATCACATCATAATAGAACTCGTAGAGAGAGGTTGCAGCAGCGAATTTTGGACCGGGGAACCTGGACAGCGGATGGAAGTACAGATGGTACACAGTTCGCCAGGCCAGCAGTCCCAACGGTAATGCCACCAAGGAGACGAATAGTGTCAAGGAATCCATTATAGGCGGCTCACTAGCGAAAAAAAGAGAGCGCAGACCGATTATTATATGGGAGGGGCAATGACATGGGCTCAGATAAGAAAAACAGCCCCACGAGTTAGGTGGTGCATATATAGTGCATAGTGCATAGCTAGTGTAGATGGATCTCTTGCCTGATTCAACACGCTTATTTAGACGATGCAACCATTCCTGGGTTCCAGCGCGTCCCCGAGGGACCGCTCGGGGCCGCTAAGGTACTATATAAGGCTGTCATTCGTCGAGTACTATCCGTTTTTGTCCACCGTGCAGGCTGCAGGCGCATCGAACGCTAGGATACAATTCTCCTTGTATTTTAGACCGGGAACAATGGGTCATCCCTGGTTTGAGATGTGATGTGATATGTAGATGACGAGGTACATGCATGGATAATATACCTGTCTTTCGCGTCCATTCAGTGACCAATAGATATCCTAGTATTCGGTCTTGGATTTCACAGCCCGCTTTTATGTGCAGCCAACAAGAGGACAAAGCAACAAAAAAACAAGAACAATGTACGAAACTTGGCCAAAAAAGGTAAGAGACAATGGACTATCTGGTAATCGAAACCAGGACCTCCCGCACGCTCGCAATAATGCGAAGCGGGCGCACTACCAACTGTGCTAACAGCCCAGTTGATTAATCGCTCATGTCCTTAGTACGATTTGTGGAGGCAATGGGGCTTTTTAGTGTGGTAGTGGTGTTAGTGTGGTCATAACCGAGTAAGTCTAACCTATACAGGGATAAGTAACTCCGTAAGTGTTCGAGGATTCGCTTACCATTTGTGAGGGAAATAATACCTTGAAGACCTGCATGTGAATCCATGGAAATATATCAGACATCTTGATTGATAGAATACAATACAAAGGTATAGGCGCTATCATCAGCCGAATGGACTACCAGTGCATTCCTGTAAGAAACAAAGGTCCACAATTTACACCTATAGAAACATCCGTGGAATAGTCGGGAAAAAAAAGTAAAAAACGAAATAGGAAAATAGAGAAACAGAGGAAAGGCGACTGGAAAGGCATTGGACAGAAAAGAAAATTCCGCGGTACTCCGTTTTATATCCACAAATCTAGACGGCCAACATCTTCTTGATCTCGGCAATTGCGCGACCTGGGTTCAGACCCTTGGGGCAAGTCCGTGTGCAGTTGAGAATGGTGTGGCAACGGTAGACGCTCATGCTGTTGTCGAGAGCGGCCTTGCGCTCGGCGGTCTTCTCATCACGGGAATCGGCCAACCAACGGAAGGACTGGAGCAGGATAGCGGGTCCAAGGTACTCCTCGCTGTTCCACCAGTAGGATGGGCAGGAGGTTGAGCAGCAGGCGCAGAGAATGCATTCGTAAAGACCGTCGAGCTTCTTGCGGTCCTCGGGGGATTGGCGGAATTCGAGACCCTGACAATTGTTAGTTTTTTTATAGGTGATATTGGTATATAAAATAGCTCACGTCTTCGGTGGGGGTGTCGCGCTGGAGATATGGCTTGATAGACTTGTATTGCTTGTAGAAGTGGGTCATATCAGGGACCAAGTCCTTGACGACGTAAGTGTGAGGCAAAGGGTAGATGCGAGACTCGGTCTTGGTATCGGTGGGAATGCGGCCTATACGGGAAATAATTAGCATTCGTTTGGGAGCCGTCGGATGCTTCGACATAGCGCGTGTGCGGGTTTGGGCACATACACAAGCAGGCGAGAGTGTTAACACCGTCGATGTTCATCGCGCAAGAACCGCAAATACCCTCACGGCAAGATCTCCGGAAAGTCAGGGTAGGGTCGAGTTCGTTCTTTATCCGGATGAGCGCATCGAGCATCATAGGTCCGGTCTTGTTCAGGTCGAGGTCGTAGGACTGCATCTGGGGCTTCTCGCTGGGTGTGTCCGGGTTCCAGCGGTAGACCTTGAAGGTCTTCATCTTGGGCTGCTGGGAGGGAGTAGGCTCGACGGTCGCATAGGTGCGAGCGAAGGCAGGGCGGAACATCGGCCGCGATGCCGCGAACAATCGCGAAGTGGTACGGAGGGAGGCCATGGCGATCGGAAATGTGAAAACACCGAGGTGAAAAGGAAAGAGAGAGTAGGGTAGAGAGCTTGGGATTGCTAGCAGAGAGACAAAAGAAGAGAGGAGAGGGTTCAAAAATGGAAGGTAGCGACGACCAAGTCGAGTTTCACAATCCAACAGAGATCCTCAACAGTAAAATGAAGTCCAAGGTGTCTCTTCGCTAGTAACCTCGGGTTTGACGGGTCGGGTGTGTAGATGCTGACATCAGCGGGTGGCAACCAATCAGAGCGAGGGTGTTTACAAGCCTCGGGCGGACACGGCGGTGACTTGGATCTACGGCCGATACTATGCTCTGCTTGACATTCTAACATAGCTATATATGGGTTGAAAATTGGTCAATTGCAAATTATAGGGTGATCTGATTGATAAAATGTATCAATATCCCCATATTATCTACTGCAATCCTCCGTTGATCAGCTCTGGAGTGATTCCCCAGTCAAACCCACAAAAAATGGTGCCTCAGGCTTCACGGCCACTCCCGATCTGGTTGCCGAGACAGGATTACAAGCTACTCCAGCCGACTCACATGCCATTGGAAATCGCCACATTGTCACATTAATTTTATTATTCAACTATTTTGTTATATAGCTAACCACTAATCGACTAACTAACCGCGATTAGCATAGTTCTGATGCCACTCATAATCCCGATTCTCCGTCAACAAAGCCCGAATAGCCTCACGTGGCGACGTGGGTTGCCGGCCCAGCAAGTCCGCCATGAGGGGATCAATTGTGGACGTCTCCCCCTTTGAAATACTCTCATACCACGACAGCAGCACCTTGAAGAACCCTTCTGGCTTGCCACCCTCATCGCTACCCGCTTTCAACCGCACAAACTCCTCTGGCGAGACAAGCTCAAGCTGAACATTTCGGCCGGTCGTCTCGTTGATTACATCCACGATCTCAGAGAAGGTAATAGTTTCTTGCGCAGTGAGCAGCACGATCTCCCGATCGTATCCACCCCGAATCATCAGTCGCGCATTTGCCTCGCCTAGCTCCGACCGTAGTGTAAAGGCAATTGGTCCGTCGGAGGGGAGGTGGACGGTTGGTGTGTTTGGATACCAGCCCATGAAGACTGGGAAGGCGTCTGTATAAAGACCCTCACGGATGGAGGTGAAGTTGATACCGGCTCTGGTTGGTGTTAGCAGGGCTGGATAGATTGCCATAGTCGTGGTTTGGCTTACTCTTTCAGCATATCCTCTGTCATCAGATGACATTGTTGGACATCCGCCTTGGAGTCGGAATTGTATCCACCAAATGCGAGGGATGTATACCATAGCTGTGGCTTCCATGTTAGCTGGGATGGTTGTGCGGGGAGATTGACGACTTACGTGTTTCACGTTCATCTTTTTCGCTGCAATTATGAAATTCTCGTGTTGCTTGCGGCGCTTCTCGATGTCGAAGGTGCTGGTGCTAACGAAGAAGATGTTCTCCACGTCTTCGAAGGCAGTCTCTAATGTCTGGGGGTCGTCATAGCTCGCTACTCGGAATGCGATCCCTCGGTCTTCGAATTGTTTGCGATTTTCCTCTTTCGAGGATGCTGCGGCATATTCTGAAGCCGGGAGATTTGCAACAAGGTAGGATAGGACCCCGGCACCGAGGCCTCCAGTTGCTCCTGTGATGAGGTACTTGAGTGTCATTTTTGAATAACGGTGCGGAGTGGAAATTATGGGAGTATGGCCAAGGATTACTGGGACAAATGTAGTAAATGGAGTAGATATTTCATTCTCTAGAACACCGAATGATTCTGTTCTTTTTATAATAGTCATTGCATCACAGCGGTGTCGATTATTTGATCAAGTTGGTAAGCATCAGGATTGATAATCAGCTTGGACTACTCCGTAGAGCTTAAGGCAGTTGACTCTTGGCAAATTACAACGTTTCACTGGGGGCTAGCATCGGGGGCTAGCATTGGCATTGGGGGCCACGGGACATCTAAAAGACCGACTAGTGTTTCGTGTTTTGCGAAGATCTGATATTCAGAAGCCTGACAACATCGCGAGATAAAGTTCTCGGAATCCGGGTAGGATCAGTTTCCAAGTGGATCTCTTTTGAGGTTCTAAAGAGTAGGCAAAGACCGAGTTGCTAACGCAATTTTATATCCCCAAATAAACTGGAAATATTATATGAACTCCACAGTAACTGAAAATCGGGGCAATTTAAAACGCCGAATAATAAATCAACTGGAGAAAACCTGTTTCATGTCTCACTAACAAACTAAGCGCCACGCTATTGAACGCCCCCAACGGCCCCCAAAAACCCAATTACCAATGCCATCTATTTACCAAAGCAGAACCATACTGAAAACCCCTTCCGTTTATCACGTCTTTTTTCGCCAGGTCCTTGTACAGTACCTGCATCAGTCATAACTGTTCCGGAGGGACCTGCACCAGAAGGGGGTTTACCGGAAGGTCTTGTCGCTTCTGCTATTGCCTGCTTGTCATACACCCCCTGATACTTTAGCGGATTGATTTTGTAATCCATGAGGTCTTTCTCTAACCCGATAAACCTGCCGAACAGAGAGCGCTTGTATTCAACATTGAGTGAATACGGCTGCCCGTTGTACCCGAGCCACAGATAAATCGGCCTGGGATATCGAAAACTAGTAGTTTCTGCGGTTGGGGGATAGGTTTGATGGAAGAACGCCAGCAGATCGTCGAGTTGATTCGAGTTGAGCTCGTAATACTGTCTGACGATTTTTGGATAGTGGGGGTGGTTTTGTCCGTAGCATGATTTGAGTTCAGATATGGGTGTATCGGGGTGGACTTTGGGACGCTGGCGTGGAGGATCGACTGGGGGTATTGCGCTGATTTCGGTAGTGGGATGGGATCTTGAAGCCATAGTATTGGCAACAGGTAGACATTGAAATTGAGTTTTCTTGAAGTGGCCTCAGATGAAGATAGATAGGACTGAAGATGGTGATATATGTAATTGTTAGGACAGAAAAGAAAGACTGTTATATATAGTCCAAGATCCTGTTGGTAACTATTTAGTTGTCTATAACGCTTTCTGTTATTGAAACGTCCAAAACAGCGCCTAGCTGTTGGATGGAGGCGAGCGAGTCATGGGGTCCATTCTCGAACAGCAAAATATGTAGGTTTATTTTCAAGTGGGGAGATCTCGAGGTTTGTCTATAATGCTTGAGCTATTTGTTTCACGCCTGACGCTCTGAAGCCACGGCGACAAAGGACTGGATGACCAGGCTGTCCATAGGGCTTGTCTCCCTGTCTGCCTTGCCGTTGACGAATTCTTACCAAGAAGAGAATGGAAAGGCATAGCCAACGCCGTATTCAGAGCGTGTAGTATATCTTAAGAAAGACCTTTAACGTCATCTAAGTCTAGTATACCCATATCTATTAGAACAAAAAGAGAAAACACCTCTAACGCCCCCTTGACCCGGGGCCGTCAACACTAACCCTCTCATCCTCGGAACTAATCTTAACTTCATTCGTAACCCGAATCCCGGGAACTTTCGAACCGTGCTTCTTCTCCTTCCCAGTACGAGCACTCCCCCTCGATCCACTAATATCTCTCGAAACCGAGACCTCAGAAGGCATCATCTCATAATCATCCTTCACAATCTTAGACCAGTTAATGAGACGCTTGCTATCCCGATTAGTGGAGACAGCGCCACTGCCCATAGCCTTAGACTGACCAAGGCTGTGCAGCTTAGTCGAGCGCGAGCGCGTGTGACTAGACGTGTACTCGGTGAGGTGCGCGAACAAGTTTCCGAAAACGGGTTTGAGCGCTGGCACTGAGAGCGCGACTAGAGTTGCAGCGATCTCAGCGTTCTCAACGCACATCATTGGGTTATAAGCCCAGCTGCCGTCAGAATTCCATTGACCCACTGCTACAAGCCAGACGCGGATTGCGGAGATCACGATTACGCTATGGGGTGTTAGTTTTGTGGGAGTTGAAGAATTTGGAGAGGTTACTCACAAGACACCGGGGAACATCACAATCGATAGCTTGATCTTCTTTTTCAAAGAGACGTGCAGTCCCTTAATGAGTGCGGCCGGGATCGCGAACATCAGCAGATCGCATGCGAGAGATAGTCCCGAGTTCACCGAGTATACGAGTCCCCATGAGAGACATGTGTATTTCTTTGGCTCGACTTGCCACTCATAGGGCCACAGCCCTGTTACCGGCTTGCAGTGGAAGATCAGGAGGAAGAGCTGGGGTATGTAGGCGGCGAGAAGGAGCGGTGCGGCTATGATAATGCTCAGGTGGAGTTTTGTTGAGCGGGCTGAGAGCCGGTAGTAGAAGGCAAGACCGGAGAGTCGACATAGGACTAGAGCGGTTGTGTAGATAATGTGGGCGACGAAGTCCAAAACTTCAGTGTCACGGACTGTATCTGGGGATAACACATATTGAATGTATTCAATGTGGCGACCACTTCCTAAGTTGATCAAGACGATGGAGAGGATGACAAAAGCAATATAGAAGATCTGCAATCGGAGTGATTGTTAGTGACTATATTTTTCGTAACTAGCCATTTCTATAGTGCACGGCTATGCATATTTAGTGCAGATCTGGGGCGAAAAGTGGATGAGTCCTACCAGCGTCACAACGGCCAATCCATCGTCCAGTCCAATCTTTTTCACAATGAATCCTCGAGCATATAGGCGTACAATCATCAACAGGCCCGTGAAACATATCATGAAAATGATTCCCACAATAGCGGGTTTATCCCGGGTCTCTGCGAGGTATTTGATTGTGACATCGCTCGGGATTCTCCCTGCTGCATGTGCCACAAGGATGTCGTCAGGTATAATCATAGCAAAAATTTAAAGCATTATCAAAGGAAAGATGCAGTAGAAGGGTACCAAGGGCACATGATATAAGGGAAATGATGATGTCGGAGCAAGTGGGACAAGGCTCCAAGGAACGGATACAATTCTGTCAAGTGGAAGCGGGTCTTTTGATTCCAAGGGAGCACATTATCAGTGGCTAGGGGTCCATACCCCATTATAAAAGCCTCAATAGGCTGAGACAATTGAATCTGGAGAAGTCTAATAGCTTTATATGAAAGTTAGAATATAATCTTAAGTTGGAATTACGTACAATGAAAATATTGAAGTATACCGTTAGGCGGTTAACTCTCAGAATATACATATGTATACAGTTAGCCCTAAGTCTGCAGAACTACTGCAGAAGTAACGATTGCTGAAGAATGGCTTACCACATGCCTTAAACTGGGGGTTTCTGGCATTTGACCCTGTATGTATATTAAATCCTATATCAAAGTCTATCGCGAGGCCGAACTGTGCCGAGACAGTGACAGAATCCTCACAAAATGGGGCTCTCGTGTCAAACTGCCAATCAAAAAGTGCCGAAGTGGGTCAGGATCGAACGGAGTATAACTCGGTGCCGATGGTACGATATGGAGTCGATATGGAGTCGGCAAATTCTTCGGATCCAGTTAAAGTACAGTTTTAGGAAGGTGTATTGGTTCTGTAGCCGAGGTGTTAGATTAATTAAGGCAGATTAATTAGCTATGGGTTGATGTTTTCCTTTTTCATAGGTTTCTGATGAACGCCACGAGTCCAATAGTTCAGTGGATAGGATATAATGGGATTAAACCAAACAGATAAGCTAAATAAAACTGAAAGGAAAAAAAATAAGCGCTTAAAGGAAGTGAAGTCAAAAAATATCGGGTTTATAACCGATTAGTCAGGGAGATCCACGTGTTTCGAGTATATCAGCACGAACTCCCCCAAAATATTGACATCTTTGTATGGTTTTTGGTGGTTTGTAATATAATTATTATGGCACCTTTAATTCAGACATTAGTGAGCGGTCTCGCCTTGGTGAGCTCTGTTGCTCAGGCCGACTCCTTGGTCGACTCACAGATCCTTACCGATCCCTATCTTTATGACTTCCCTCGTCTAGGTGGCCATGGTGCTGAACAGTTTGCTATGCGACCTTGCCACGGCTTTAAGCTGGAGGAGGCTACTATAGATCAAATACAGGCCCAGTTGGAGATTGGCACTTTCACCGGTGTTCAATTGCTGGAATGCTACATGGACCGTGTCCACCAGACTCAGCCTTACTTAAAGTATGTTTTGTTGACTCCCTGTCATATAATTGTTGACTAACAGTCTCAATAGTGCTATCCTGCAAGTGAACCCGGATGCTTTCTCCATTGCCCAGAAGCTCGATGCGGAGCGTGCCAATGGCATTGTTCGTGGTCCTCTCCACGGTATCCCATTCATTGTCAAGGATAACATTGCCAGTAAGGATCGTATGGAGACCACTGCCGGCAGCTGGGCTCTGCTCGGTAACGTCGTGCCCCGTGATTCCTACGTTGTCCACGGCATGCGCAAGGCCGGTGCTCTGCTTCTGGGCAAGGCTGCTCTGAGCGAGTGGGCCGACATGCGCTCCAACAACTACTCCGAAGGCTTCAGCGCCCGTGGCGGCCAGTGCCGTAGTGCTTATAACTTCACCGTTAACCCCGGTGGCAGCAGCACTGGCTCCGGTGTCGCCGTCGGCGCTAACCTGGTCCCTATTGCTCTTGGAACCGAGACCGATGGCAGTGTCATCAACCCCGCTCAGCGCAACTCCATTGTTGGTATCAAGCCTACCGTTGGTCTGACCTCCCGTGCGGGTGTCATTCCCGAGTCCACTCACCAGGACACCGTCGGCACCTTCGGCAAGACCGTCCGTGATGCTGTCTACGCCCTAGATGCCATCTACGGCATTGACTCGCGCGACAACTACACCTCCGCCCAGGAGGGTCGCACCCCCAAAGGTGGCTACGCCCAGTTCCTGACCGACCACACCGCTCTTAAGGGTGCCGTCTTCGGTATCCCATGGGAGTCCTTCTGGGCCCTTGGCGACCCTAAGCAAATCGCCCAGCTCCTCGACCTGGTCGAGCTGATTGAGTCCGCTGGTGCCACCGTCATCAACGGCACCGAGCTCCCTCACTACAAGACGATTGTCTCTCCCGATGGCTGGAACTGGGACTACGGTACCACCCGCGGTTATGCCAACGAGTCCTCATACTCCTACATCAAGGTCGACTTCTACAACAACCTGCACGATTACCTGTCCGAGGTCGAGAACACCAACGTCCGCTCCGTCGAGGACCTCGTCCAGTACAACATCGATAACTACGGCTCCGAGGGTGGTCTGCCCGGTATCCACCCTGCCTTCGGCTCTGGCCAGGACGGTCTCATCGCTTCCCTCGAGACCAAGGGTCGCATGGACGAGACCTACTTCCAGGCTCTGGAGTTCTGCCAGCGCACTACCCGTGAGGAGGGTATCGATGCTGCTCTGAAGCAGGGCAGCGTTACTCTCGATGGTCTCCTTGTGCCTCCCGATGTTGCTCAGAGCATTGAGATCGCTGCCCAGGCTGGTTACCCTGTTATCACTCTGCCCGCTGGCGTTAGTGATGTCTCGGGTATGCCCTTTGGTCTTGCTATCATGAACACTGCTTTCTCCGAGCCCACCTTGATTAAGTACGCTAGTGCTATCGAGGATCTGAAGAAGAACCAAGGCGCTAAGGGTGACCGCGCACTCCCCCAGTGGCGCGGCTACCTTGAGCGTCCTCTGCCTGTCGCTTTCTAGGATATTGGAGTGCATTTTCTCTGAAAATGGTTATGTATAGCTTTTTGAACTTGCTTTTTGTATACCATGCATCATTGTATAGAGTACACATGTTTAATGGATGGAATTTATGATCATCCATGATCTTTTCTTTACCTTGGGATGAAGCCTACATTTATTCGTTTCTCCAGCAAATCACCGAGATTATACAGAGCCGGTGGATCTGACAGCTCCGGTGGATAACATGGGACCACATGACCCGATAAAGAGATGATCTTCACCTACAATTTTAGACTGTGATTGATGCAATAAACAGAACATCACTTCGCCAAGACGGTAAATATCATCTCCGAACATCATATTTCAGCACAGACAGGAGAAAGAGTGAAGACCTTGCAAAAAAAAAAGGACATCCTCGGAGAATATACTCATTCAAGTAAAGAATCCGAGCTAATAAGCTTACTTTAGACACGTGGGGAATATTCACGGATAAGATGTGAGACATCTTCACACACCGGAGTCGATCCTGTAAGGCTGGCCTTATTTACACTCAACTCTAAATTCTTCAATGATTTTGTATACACCTTTCGGCCACGGGCATATACAAATTATCCCAAACTCACCCTATTGGTGTATCAACTCGCGTATCAAGCCGCAATTATTCCGGATATTTCCTCACACCCCCGGGCATAGCAGGAGTGGCTGTTTTCCCCGCAAAAATATGGACAATCCAAGACTCCAAGACTTGGAGGTCCACATTTTTATGCTGAATCCAAGGCCTAGCTATGGTATCATTATTCAGCGGGTCTACGGCTACATGCCGGAGATTAGCCGCATTCTCAAACATGCTAGTCTTAGCTTGGAGCTGTCTTCGACCGATTGCTTATTCCTATATAAGATGTCCATCCCGCCCGACATCTTCTCTTCAGTTCATCTCAACCAATCCAACTTCCTTAAAAGGCAACCATGAAGATTGCAGCCATCCTTGCAGCACTCGCAGTGCGAGCCGCTGCCGTCGGTGTCACCGGCGCAGCAGAGGGTTTTGCCAAAGGCGTAACTGGTGGTGGCTCTGCCACTCCTGTCTACCCCAGCACCACAGCCGAGCTAGTCTCGTACCTGGGTGACTCTTCTCCACGCGTGATCATCCTAACCAAGACCTTCGACTTCACTGGTACAGAGGGAACCGGCACCGGCACCGGCTGCGCGCCATGGGGCACTGGCTCTGCTTGCCAGGTCGCCATAAACCAGAACGACTGGTGCAAGAACTACCAGCCGAACGCACCCTCCGTCCCTGTCAGCTAGTACGCACAAATTCCCAACCCAGATTATTTCTGCATACTAATTCCCTCCAGTGACAAGGCCGGCACCCTCGGAATAACCGTCAAATCCAACAAGTCCATCGTCGGCTCCGGAAACAAGGGTATCATCAAGGGCAAGGGCCTTCGAATCGTCAGCGGTGCGAACAACGTCATCATCCAGTAAGCCACCTGCGAAAACCTATACGAGACATCAACCTAATCCCACAGGAACGTCGCTATCACCGACATCAACCCAAAATACGTCTGGGGCGGCGACGCAATCACCATCAACAACGCCGACATGGTCTGGATCGACCACGTCACAACAGCCCGCATCTCCCGCCAACACATCGTCCTCGGAACCGAGGCCTCCAAGCGCGTTACAATCTCCAACAGCTTCATCGACGGCACCAGCACATGGTCCGCCACCTGCAACGGTTACCACTACTGGGGCGTCTACCTCGACGGATCCAGTGACCTCGTTACCATGAAGGGTAACTACATTTTCCACACTAGTGGACGTGCCCCCAAAGTGCAGGGAAATACTCTTCTGCATGCTGTGAGTTAATGGCCTTTTTCTCTACTTTTTCTCCGGAGGCTGTCAATACGAATACACTAACACCTACAGGTTAACAACTACTGGTACCAGAACGTTGGCCATGCGTTTGAGATCGGTGCGGGTGGATACGTCCTCGCTGAAGGAAATGTGTTCCAGAATATTGCTGCTGTTGTTGAGACGCCGATTGCTGGACAGTTGTTTACCTCGCCGGATACCAATACCAATGCTGTTTGCAGTGCTCATCTTGGACGGGCGTGTCAGACAAACGGGTTTGGGTCGTCTGGGGCGTTTAAGCAGGCTGATACGGGATTCTTGGTTAACTTTGCTGGGAAGAATATTGCCTCCGCCGCGGCTTATACTTCTGTTGTTGCGAGCGTCAATGCTAATGCTGGACAGGGTAAGCTGTGAGATGGGTTTGGTCTGATCTCCATCTGGGGTGTGAGTTGTATGTAGTTGAGAGTTAGAGTTATTATTTAAGCTTATAATCAGGTTTCTATGTGATTCACTGGTATTGCTGAGGAAGTCATGAGTTCCAAGTTCTTATTGGCTAGAATAGTAAGACTGAAACTAGAACAATCAAGTTGATGGATGTTCAAGTTGTGCTCAAGTCATACGGCTGATAACGATAGTGATATGCGTATGTCACGAATCTGCCAGAGGCGGGTGAGGATATAGTTCGTTCCATCAGTTGATGATGAAGAGAGCAGGACCGGCGAGAGTTGCGTTCGCCACACTGTACGCATCTGGGAAAGGTCCCTTGGTTGCGGTCACCGCAGCGATGGTCAACCCGTTCATCAGATATGCGTCATAAGGGAACAAAGCCTTTGCAGTGATTGTGCCGTTCGCCCTCCAGATAACTTGGAGAGGTTCCACGAGCGGCAGATTCTGCTGATTGATATAGGCGATCCACAACATGTCCTCATCAATCTCGTCACTATCGCCGAATGAAACCTTGATGTTTCCAGTCTCTGCCGTCGGGCCTTCGATGTTGAGAGGTGGGAAGATTTTTAGAGGAATGGTGTCGATGTTAGGACAAGTGCCGGGCACGATGAAGCTCTGAATCGCAGTGAAGGCGAAGTTGAGATCACTGGTTGTCAAGAATGGCAGTTCACTGGGGACCTTGCCCTGCATGATACGGAACCAGCCCTGCTGTTCTCCTTCCTGGCCAAGGACTGAGGAAATCGCGCGTGTGAGTCCAAAGTCACCGCCCATAGCAAATCTCTCCACGACGTCCTGCAGAGTTCCCAGAACCACGTCTGTGAAGGTACTGGCGAGCAAGATGGCTGAATCAAAGTCTTGGACCGGGAAGGTATAGCAACACGGCTCGATTGGTTCAATACCAACATGTGCCAGCGCGTTGTTGGCATCCAGCACATGGAGCTCCTCTTGCTGGGTCGAATTAGTAAATATTACCCAGCGAGACTGATAGGAATATCATCTCATACCGCTAGAATCACCTTCAAGCCATTCAAAACAAAGTTATAGTCGTCTTCATCAGAGAAGCGGTACCCCATGACCCCTTCGGTGATGTTCGTGATCAGTTGATGGAAAAATGCAACTTCAAACAGTTCGTTGAATGCGATAAGCTTGAGGTTGGTGATTCCTAATGCGCTAATACCCTTGGGAGGAGGCGTATTTGGCAGAGTTCCATGCGCATTCAACTCGATCTGCTCTAGCTCACTGGGGCTTGGATTCGGCATTCCATCCGGAAGACGGCGCGAACAATTGTGAAACGGAGCCGCAAAAACCAAGTGAGCAACGCCCAGAAGAGCGGCAAAGTGGAAGCGCATGTTTATGTAAGTGGAATGAGAGATGTTTGGGTTATCGAAGTTGATGTTCGAAAGGAAGAAGTGAAGTTAGGAAGTATAAGAAGTTATAAAAGGAAGGAACAGCCATATACTTCATTTCCTGAAATCAGAGTAAGAGAGACATCACGAACAAAGGAGAATTCTTGATTTTGTAAAACCTATGAAAAGGCAGGGGTTTTATACCCAAGAAATGTAGCAAACTATCATTCAGAGATCCAATCAGCAAACCATAGACATGGCGTCATCCAACAGCATTAATATCAAATTAATTCAGGCAAAGAAACAGAAAGTAAAACACATGGATATCTTTTCACAACCAAAAGTCAAGCGAACAATCAAGCACGCTCCCTAAACTCAGGATTCTCCTTCTCGGTGATTTCGATCTCCTTCTCGACCTGCTGGAGATCAATATTGGCCACATCGGCATCATCACCATCGAAGATCTTGGCCAGCTCCTCAAGAGTGGGACCCCGAGTCTCAACGTAGAAGAAGTAGACAAAGCAGAGCTCGACGAAGATCCAAATAGTGTAGATCAGCGACAAGTTCCAGTGGTGAGGAAGTTTCTCCCAGGCAATTGGGTTGGTGTAACTAGGATGGTCAGACTTGTCTAAACAACGTATATCAACATTGAAGGTGACTTACTTTCCGAGAACCAGAGATGCTTGTACAGTCAAGTTCATGATCATGACACCCTTGGCGCGCAGACGGTAGGGGAGAATCTCGAGCGAGTAGGCGACGAGCAGACCGGACCAGGCGATGGCGTAGAACACGGAAAAGAGCCAGACGAAGACGACCTGTGGGTAGCCGGCGGTTTTGACATCCTGGGTTCTCTCGTAGACGGAGGAAACGACAGTCCATGAGAGGAACATGAGGACCATGCCTAAGAAGAGCAAGTCAGTAACTCGGCGAAATGTATTGCAAACATGGTCGGACGTACCAATAGTAGAGATGAGGAAAAGAGGTCGGCGACCAACTCGGTCAACGAAGAATGCACTAGAAACACTGACAACCAGACTGAGGAGGGTTTGTCCACCGTTGAGCTGTAAAACGTCAGCGAGGGGTCATTTAGCGGAAGGCACGGGGAAACGAACGGGAATCTTCTTGGTTTGTTCGGTAATACCCATGCTGTTGTAGATCAAATTGGTGTAGTTGCTGAACAAGGCATTGCCACTGTATTGGGAAATGACACCCAGAGAGATCAAGAGTGCCAAACGGTAACGGTTACCCTTGGTCTTCATGAAGTCCAAGTAGCTGCTGTTCTTCTGGAATCGCATCTCCAGGCTGATAGTCTCCTTAATCTCGCGGTACTCGAATTGAACGGTGGCATTGTTCTTATCTCCATTTCCGTGGTAATAGGCGAGAATGTCCAATGCGTCCTCGTAACGCTCCTTGGAGACGAGCCAACGGGGAGACTCAGGGACCCCTAATAATGATTAGCCATATGTATAAGACTTGATACAAAGGAAAGTGGGAACTTACACCAGATGAAGGTGATCTGGATAGCAGCGGGGAGAATTTGAAGGATGGTAAGACTGCGCCATGACCAATCGTTGGGAATATACATCGTTCCCCACGCAATCCATGCGACAACTAGATTCAATTAGTACATAGAAGTCGGGAGACTGGCCCGAAGGGTACGTACGGAGTGCGCCCAAGTTCCACAAGCAGTTGTAAATAGTGGTGACCTTTCCACGGTGTTGGGGGTGGCAAATCTCAGCGAGGAGGACGGGGGAAGCCATCTGGGCCAGACTGTTGCCGAAGCCAAGGAGCAATCGACCGGCGACGTACACTAATAAGATTAGCAAATATAATGATTTGAGTGTATAAAATGGTCAAGCTTACTTCCATAGTTTGTGCAGAATGCACCGAGCAAACCACCGAAAATCATCAAGAGACATCCCATCATGATGGGAACCTTGCGGCCGAATCGATCAGCGAAGAAGGGACTATTCGAGTCAGCAAGCTTCCATTGTACTTAGTGCAGGATAACTTACACGAAAGGGAAACTGGCAAGACTACCAATCTGGTAGATCGCGTTCATCAATCCCAGCTTGGCGCCACTGGGTTTGTCGAAGTACAACTGCCAAGCATCCAAATTTTGGGAGGTGTTAAGCATCATTCTGCACACTCGGTCAGCCCTATACATCTCGAATGACAAAGCTATGAGGCTTACCCATCGTATCCAGTAGTAGCGGAAGCGACACAGAGTACAGCAGCCCAGCAGTAAAGCCTGCGCAGACCAGGCTCTTGCCACCAGTTAACCTTCTCTAACTCGGGCGATGACGCCTGAGTCGCGTCGACATCGGACTTCAGAGCCGAAGCTCCAACAGCGATAGCCATGCTGTCCGTATAGCCTGCTTAGCCAAAGGCAATGTACGTGATATAGATAGTAAGTGGGTATGTCCACTGAGTTTGTGATACAACAAAGCAGAATGCGGAGATCGGGGGGCTCATCGGTGGTTTTAAAACAATTCAGATTTGCCATCTCGGGATATTAAGCAATGATATTAGCCGGCTAATATGGGAATTGATGTCTTGGCTAGGCTGACTGAGTCAACAGCTCTCCCCAGTTTTCGATCGAAACACATATTGGGAAAAATAAAATAGAGAAAACTGAGGGTTCAAGGACGCTAGGGCTGATTTCGTGCAGCGCCGGGACTAGAAAATGCCTATTCATGCAAGGACTAGCCAGATTGGTGACTGTTCAACGGAGCTTGCCCTATAGGGGATACTAGTCGCGCAAAAACGTTCCATCCCCGGGTTTTAGGTCCAGGTTTCAGGCCCAGGCTAATTCCACTGGGTCCCACATTATAATGAAGTACAATGATTGGTGCATCTCTGAATGGGCTATAACAGGCGACCCGCGTGGTCAAAATCACCCTCGCTTGGGGGAAACCACATGTTCAGTCTTTGGAGCACGAGACGAATTTCGTTTCTTCCCCACAACTATGTGGGTTACGCGGCCCGAGACCCATACGTTGATAAACCTGGAGAAGGGAAAATGCATGTAGTCCGTGTTGATTGAGGTATTTGAGTCTGATCCTGATCAACAATATGGATGCTTCGTGTTGAGAGTTTTCTGCATGAACACGTTTAGGGTGTAAGTAAATTGCTCCGTGCCGGATTCAGTGACGATATTAGCCTGGACGCCACCTGACGGGAAATGAGTGGTGTGAGTGGTGATGCCAAGACGCGCAGGGGAAGTTTGGGGGAAAGTCTAGGAAAGTTAGGGAGCTGTCTTCATTTGCGGGGGAAAATGTAGTAGGCTAGACCTCTCTCTTTTAGCCGGAAGACATATTCTTGGCAACGCCATTTATTAGACAGTTATTGGCACTAAATCTTGTTCAGCTTCAAGCAAACGCCATCGGTTGAGGAAATACATGCGAACCCGAGTTTCACCGCTTCCTTCTTCGGTTTCCCAGCGACCGCCTCAATTTAAAGAGGCAAGAAACGAATTCTCATTGGTTCAATCTAAAATTACCGGCAGAATAACGGCAGTTGTACAAGCCACACCTTCCCCAAGTGAGTAACTGCCACTATTACAACTAACCACATTCATTTATAAAATAAAATATGGGCTCATGCTGTAGCTCTCAGACTCAGACACTATGTCAGACTTACCTAACTATAAGCTCTCACAAGAGCAAATCGATCATTTTATGAGATATGGATACGTGCGTCTACCCGAGTGTTTCTCCCGGGAGAAAGCAACAGAATGGGCAGGGGATGTGTGGACTAGACTCGGCGTCTCACCAACGGATAAGTCTACATGGACAACCGAAGTTACCCACATGAGTGATACCAAGGAAGAACCCGTTAGGACCTTCGCACCCAAGGCATGGGCGGCCATCTGTGAGCTTCTCGGCGGCGAAGACCGTATAGCCACGGATTCGGCTACTTGGAACGATGCCTTGATCGTAAATCTCGGGTCGGCCGAAACCGAGGGTACTTGGCCCCATCCTGCTGATCTGCCGGGGTGGCATGTGGATGGCGACTTCTTTATCCATTTTCTTGATTCGCCTGAACAGGCCCTGCTTGTTATCCCGTTATTTACCGATATAGAGGACCGTGCAGGAGGAACTATGATCTGCCCTGAGGGAATGAAATATGTTGCCCAGCATCTGGTATGAGGCTAAGCTTCCTGTTCCACTTTTGCCCCTTGCTGACTCGGGTTTCTAGTTCAATCACCCTGAGGGCGTGACACCATACATGTATCCCCGTGACCAACAGCCTGTTGGAAACCCCGGGGATACCCCCTTTTATTCGGATATTATGAAGAAATGTAGTGATTTCCACCAGATGACCGGTAAGGTGGGCGATGTGGTGCTTCTTCATCCTCTGATGCTTCACTCTATTTCTGTCAACAGCCTGAGAAATCCACGCGTTATCACCAACCCACCAGTCGCCCTGAAACAGCCGTTTAAGTTTGACAGGGATGATCCCTCCAAGTACAGTCTTGTTGAGAAGAAGACGCTAGAGATGCTTGGCAGGGACAGGCTGTCTGGCTGGAAAATTAAGGGGAAGCGAGGGTTCGTTCTTCCGCAGAGACTGAAGGATAAAGGCCGTTCGAGTGAGAGTGAGGTAGAAAGACTCATGAACATCACCGGACAAACCATGCCAGCCTGATCACCTTAGCCGAAGAGCCATGTTTCATTCTCGTGTCAAAGTAGTCTTTAGCCTGAAATCCGACTTATCCTTACCACGGTCCAATTGATTAATTGGCTTCTTACGCTTACATTGACCTCTCCTTATACTCTATTCGGCTAGGTGACCGTATTATTTTCAGACATCCGAGATACGACAAATGTGGTAATTGCAATGTCATTCAATTTTTGACACGTTGACTATTCACATTATTTTTCCCGCCACAGGAAACCAGAGGAAATTCCCCCGAGAATAGCCACAGCCGTGATGAGATCCCATACTGCTTGAAATGCTGCGACCGAAACAATTGTAATCGCCTCCCTCTGTGGACTTGTCATGCTCACATCCTTCATCAGAATGAGATATCCGTTGGCAGTGTTTACCATATCTCGATCCAGGTCAACATTTGCAAACCCATTGCCGAAGAAGTTCAACAACACTACTCCTCCAACAGGGACCGCAACTGCCATACCCCAAGCTCGCATGTAATTTGACATTGTTGTTGGCAGAGTCGACAGGGAGCAATCCCCGTCTCTGGGCAGATTCTGGATGCGAACATTGTAACTCGCAAGCAACAGACCATGTCCAAGGCCTGCTGTAAACAACAAGAATACCCACGCTACGGTCGGCGTGGAGCTATCCAAGAGGATGGAGCAACCACTCACAAGGGCAGTCAATACCCAACCACCGGAGATGATCCACTGGGTACATCTCAACTCTTTGGCGAGAGTGATACCAACCACCGTAGCGGGCACAATTGCCATCCCAACCATGGCAAGCAAGGTGAGGCCCGACAAGGTGGCGGACATATAATGAATGGAAATGAAGTACAATGGGAAGAATTGCAAGTGGGCAAAGACCTATACTGGTATGTCAGACAACACGAACCAACTGCAACGAAAACGCCTACTGACCACAAAGCCATGCAAAAGGCATCCTAGATGTGTCATAGCCATCATCCTCGATCGAAATACCCTCCTCCCAAACTGCGGATACAGCGCCCACTTAGACTCCCAAAAGAGAAGCACGAGAAGAAAGACAGCGCCAATGGCAAGAGGCACAATGGTCTGCCAGTCCCCCCAACGATACAAGCTCCCACCCCAAGAAAGACCAACCAGGATATTCCCAAGACCCAAAAAGGCCAAAGTAGCGCCCGACCAATCCAAAATGCGCACTTTGCGCATCGGGATATGCGTCAACGCACGAAGATCCACGGCAAATGGAATCCCCAACAAGCCAAGCGCACAGAAAATAAAGTTGAAATAAAACGCACACCTCCAGTTAGCATTGTCAATGAACAAGCCTCCTATAATGGGACCCAGGATGCCGCCACACATGCGTGTAAGTAGGATATAGCACGAATATCGTGAGTGGATGGACTCAGGCATCGTCTCGGTCATTATCACAAAACACAGGCCCATTGCGCCCCCGCTGCCGATACCCTGGATCATGCGGCCGATTATCAGTTCCACTAGACTCATGGAGCCGCAACAGATTCCTGTGCCGATTGTTGCGACGACTACGGCGATGATCCATATGGGTCCATGGCTGAAGACTTCGCTCATCATTGTAAAGTATAGTTGGCTGCCTGCGCCGAAAAGGAGGTATACCGTGTTAACCCAGAATGTGCTTGCTAGTGGCTTCGCAAATGTGTTTGCCAGGTCCTAGATTGAGGTCTAGTTAGTTCTGTTATAGATATAAAATGTCACTCGGGGGGATTGCATGTGACATACAGGTAAGGCTGGAATCAGAACGGTCGCATTGAACGAATCCATCATTGCCAGAATAACGATACAGATGAAAACCAACCATTCCTGCACGTCGAATCGTCTTTCCTGTTCTTCGGGTGAGGGTTCACGTTCAAATAGTTGTATTGAGCTCCCCAATGCTGGGTTGTGCATCACACCGTCCATGCTTTGGACGCTGTCCGGCACGCCGAAGTTGATTTTAGTCTCATTATCGTAGATTTCTTCGGCTATTGAGTGACGTCCCATTTGTGTTGATCCCCGCTGCCGAGAGGCTCTTCGAAGTATATATACAAGCCGTTAGGTCGTTGATATTATGGTGTCTGAGGTCGACTGCAGCATCAATCCCAAACCGAACAGGAGTTCTTGGAAGAGATTCCATAGCTAGGACTACAGAGTTACCACCCCAACGTGGGATAGAAGAGCCACAGTCATTGGAGGTAATAGGAGCTCCGCCCCTTGGTCATCGGGGAAACCTACGAAGGAGCCTATTTAGGAGGATTCCACAAAGCAAGGGATATATAATAACTGCATGGCAATTGGTCCGAGATCTGATATTTTTTTACTCAACCCTTCTATGGCGGGGAATTATTAGAGCTAAACTCCTAGGAATGATGAATTAAAGGGTGTCCGTAGGGGCTTTAGCAGGTTGGAATTCCAACCTCCTTACCCCTTCCCTTGTTAGCTGTCACGATGAAGGTGCAACAAGCATTCCATGTGTAATGTAAGGAGTATTCCTGCATAAACTCGGCCTAAATTATGGTGTGGTGGTGTCATCAAGTTGTATCACAGGAGCGATATATATAATTGTGTAGTAGAACAACGATTGAATAAGCTATATTCTTAAGGAAACGCTAGGAAACATTTTTTTTTACTATGAGCCTCTTATTGAAACCGCAGGTGCAGAAAGCTGTATAGGCGTCTGATTATCCAATAATAGTTTTTATAGTGACATAGAGAAGTGAGGCCATTTTAACGTCCAAGTTGTTCATTAGCATGTATTGGTATCAACGATTCACGTGTATGAATGCCACGGCAGACTGTGCCTACCTCCACCCTCGCGTTGCCGTAGGGGTGAGAACTGCGATCCTGAATCTACATCCACCCTATTCTAAAGGGAGACACACACTCCTTTCTGTACGTGCTCAAATCAGATTCTTGAAAATCCTTAGCTAGAGGTCATATTTCTTCTCGCGGATAGTCTCCTTGGGACTTTGCATTGTTTGGTGCTTATTGGGCCCAATTGGGCCCCCATTGAAGCCCAGAGTGGGCTTTCGCCCCGCGCCCATGGCCTACCAATGGGCCCGAAAATAGGGCCCAAAACCCAGCCCATTAGTGGGTTGGGTTGGGCTTCGTTATGGACTTTATGGATTTTGTGAGAGATCTACTTGGGACACATCCTACTAAATCTCACAAAATGGGAATTAGGGGGCTGTGGAACACGCGGTGATTGATAGTGGTGAGAGTTGAAGTGACATGAAAGTCATGTCGGGACTATATGGCAGCTTGTCTTGTCTGAACAAAGAATCGATTTTCCAACTCGCTTCATTCATATTGAACCTTATCCCGCCACTCTCGGACATGAACAGAATTTCGATCATTTACTTCCTCTCCTTCATCTGACGAGCTAGTTTCACTTGACCCAGCATTATCGTCCCTATCAACCAAGAATTCCAACCATTCGTGTTTCCACAATGCCTTTTCTTCTGTCCTGACACCTTCGGCAAAAAGAGTCCAAGAAAATAAATTTCGTGTAGCAATTTCGGAAACACTATCGTCAAAGTCTTCTTCAGTACTGGGATGTACAAGGCTTAGCCCGACTATGAGGGGGCTTATTATAACAGTGTCTGCCGAGATTGATGGCATTGCTTGGATCCTTGATATCGGAGTTGCCGACTGTGTCCCATATGACATGCCAAAATCACCCAAGACTTTCCCCTTTTGACATAGCCAATTCCAAGAGTGATATTCCGGCCGGTGATCGCACGACAAATGCAATCTAACGCCAAGAGATGTGTTCTGGACATCCACCCGGCCAAAGGGAGGATATGGAGAGAGCGGTGGGTTTCCGTAATCTTGCGAGTCCTCATCCGTGACGAATAGTAGGCGGATTTCGTCTTCTCTTGAGATCATATCTAGGCCATGGATATTCGTAATTGGTGCATGACGGTGGTACTGAGGGTCCATAAATGATTGAGGAGATGAAGTCCACACAACACCCTCTAAACAGACTGTTGGTACGAACGTCAAGGACACTTGCAATATTCGGGGCAAGAGACCTGTGATTGCAGAGCCTAGCCATAGTGATGCTATATTCGGTCTGCGTTGAGACATGGCAACAATGATCGGGTGAAGATTACTTGACAGAATGAACGGCGAAAGCACTTCTTTTATCGGCGCTAGCCAGTGACTGGCTAGATTGCATGGGATACCCGGTTCCCAGAAAGAGGTCAATAGACATGATGTAACGAGACCTGAAGTGCATGACAGCGCCATGAAATGAGGAAGCTCAGCAGTAGTCGGCATTTGATCTGCGTACATCAACTCGGTGTTCCGGCGTGGGGTGGGTCTATTGATAGGTCTAGGTAGAGTAATGGAAGCACCAAATCGATTATGCGACGGCAATGTGAGGGTTGCAGCTAACGCAGCAATCAATTGATCGAAAGAATCATGGAATCGGGCAAAATTGCAAAGGTATTCATGAGCTTCTGCTGCAGACGGTGGCTCGAAGGCGGAGGCAGAGGATGGTGTCTGTGCGTGGTGATGTAGTCTGAATGAACTGCGCTCCAAGTGACATTCCCATGGCGGATAATACTGTTTATCATCTCGAGAAAGACTCGCCTCCCAGCCACGTCCCTCTGCGAGGATTGCAGCCCACCATTGAACTTCAGCCAAATCGTTGCTTCCAATATCAAGTTCGAAGTTATCTCCAGGCTGGTCTACTACACGCCTATCCCATTGTGCGTACTTGTTTGTATACACAATCTTATCATGTGTTGTTCTCCGGCGTAGCTCTATCATACGCGCTGAGAGGATGTACGACCAGCCAAGGACGAAAACACAGAGATAGTTACCCGGAAGCCCTTGGAGTGGGTGAAACCCAGTCCATTCGGGGATGTATTCTGCTGACAAAGTGCATGTCTTTGGACGGGAGTTCGCAATATAGACAATTCGGGATGGATTCCTTTTGAAAGGGGGTAGCTCACAATTAAGCCTTGACGGCTCTTCAACCGGCAAGACTGACCAGTTTGAGTAGCCTTCTAAGGACAAATTATGCTTTCCAGCAGACTCTGTAACCTCCCGCAGTGGATTGGGGGACTGCAGGCGTTTTGTTGAGGAGGGTTTTCACATTGCCGCAGGAATAAGGAAAGTTGGTTGCGGACTGAGCCGAGGACAGTAAGATATGCCATTTTGTCCGAGAATCAGTCAAAGTCTCGCGTGAAAGGAGAAAGTCAGGGCGTAGTAAGTCATGGCCGTTGGGATCCATAAGACCTTGGAATCAACGTTAGAATTAAAGTGGCAGGGCTCTACTCCCAGTGGCCCTACAGAAAATATTTCCACCAAAGAGGAAACTCACCGAATAATGATACGAAAAAATAAGAGGGGGAAGTTGTTAGAAGAGGACTGAGTTGTCGAGACGGTGAACGCGAATTCTTACCCCACGAGAATCAACTGACACAGCCATGAGCTGGATTTCCACGCAGAACCACGATTTTGGGTTCTCTCTATTAACATAAATATAATTTTTCCACTCATAGAATCGTTGCTCGAGAGTAGAAAATATGAGAATATCAAATAATTCACGATCCAGGCAGTCGGGCTGCGGGCCCGTAAGCCGGATAATTTGACCAGTTGACGGCTACTGCGCCGCAGCAAGTACAAGGCATCTCGGTAGAGATGGCGCTGGCCATGGGCCCTGAGATATAGAACTGGAATGAGCGATATGCTATACTGGAAATTGCATTACTGTCGTGTTCCTAAAACCAAACCTAATCTCGTTAATAAAGCATTCGCAGATGCAATAGTGACTCCTAATCCTTCTTAGGCAGGACATATCCCCCAATACCAACAAAGAACTGCATAGCCTGACGCATAAACCCCGCAAGATCATCCCCCAACCACAAAGACAAAAGCGTTGCCCTAGACTCCTCAAGTTCTCGGAGATACTTACCAGCAACCTATAATATAAAAAGAGGATTAGCATTGCAGCAAACCATTCTTGAAAGTTACCTCACCAAAACACACTGCCCCCGCCGCTCTTTATTCAAGGCTACAACTGCAATAGCCTGGGCAACTCCATTTGGTGTATTCTTCTGAAGACCAGCCGCGTCCCACTTATCGGAAAAGCCAGCGGTGATATGAGTTGGTGTCAAAAACGGCGCAACAGCATTAACCCGGACGCCGTGTCTGCGCGCAACATCTTGACACGCGCGAAGGAGACCCAGCACGCCATGTTTTGACGCGATGTAGGCGGCTACACCGGTTCCACCAAAATAACTCGATGTGGATGCAACTAGCAAGATTGATTTTGTCGGTTGGGGGCTTGGGCTGGTAGATGTGGAGGATTTCATATAGTGTAATCCCAAGCGCAGAGCTGTTTTGTAGAGATGGATAGGCAGGTCATTAGTATGCGACTGAGACAAACTCAGATTCAATCCGAGATTGAAGATGGAGAAATTCACTGTTCAATGTCCCCTTTAGATTGACATCAATAACCCTCCCTGCCTCCACACTCTCGAGAAGATGCCCGTCCGCATCCACGTTGTCCATGTCCAAGACGGACTCGGACTCCATAATACCCGCGTTAGCTATAACGATATCAATTTTGCCGAATGTTGTGATCGCCGCTTCGAAGCATGCTGTTAGCTCCGCCCAGTTGACGATATTAGTAGATACGAATATTGCGCGGGTTGGAAATTTCATTTGTTTCTGAATGACTTCCTCGGCGCTGCCTTGCAGTTGGGGGACATCGGCGAGAACGACATTGGCGCCGTAGGAGTTGAATAGGATTGCGGTTGCGGCTCCGATCCCGCGCGCTGCACCAGTTACCAGGACCGTTTTACCAGCGGATTGGGCGAAAATAGCTTGGTCTATTTTCACTTCAGCCATCCTGGTTGGTTATACTGAGCAGATGCAATGGAGAGAGAAAGAGGAAGATTGAGGGCAGGTTGCAAGTCTGGTTAGGTGGTCATGGAGATCGACCGAATGCGGGGTATTGATGGTGAGATTAACAGTAATTTGTACGACTTCACTATGTACCGATGAAGTCGATGGTATAACGATGTTCGTTATCTGGTTATGTACAAACCACGTTCAAATATGTACGGAAAAGATGGTTACCGTGAACAGACCAAAAAGAGATATAGCAAATCAATCGTTCTTGTCCCGATCACCATGTCTCGATGATGCGTACTCGGTCAAATCCGCTCTTGATCCGGCCCGGGAGGGCATTCGAGACTCGGCCATTGACTCTCCTGTGGTTACAGCGTGAAAAGAGAAGTCCAATTCGCCGACTAATCCTTTGACGAGTCTAGAATGAATATCTATATTAGCAAAGACGGTGATATCTAATAACGGAGTTTGAATAGAGGCCTACCGGAGTAACCTGTCCATATCACCGACAATGCAGCGGGTTGAGATCTGCAAAACGGCAAATGCCGCGAATCCAGGCTCGGCAATGTGCCGGAGGCTCAGAAGCTCACTGTCAAGTTCCTGGAGGCGCTTCGTGAAGCCGTACGGACGGGGTGCTTTGAGATATGGTGGTAGAGGTTGTCGGTTCGTAATGCTAGCAGAGAGAAGGCAGAGCAAAGACGTCACCTCGTGAGTCGTCACCTTGGCAGTATTGATCAACCGTCGGAAATCGATCATCCAGATGGTATTTGTCTCATCTTCGTCGTCGCCTAGATTCATGAGGGTGTCTGATGCATACCCCAGCAAGCTGAGATAGTTCACGATGCTAAAAAGATAACCACCGTTAGTTCCAGAAAAAGAGATGGAAGGGCATGACATACTTCTCTACACAGACAATAATCGAGTCATACTGCTTCTTGGGGAAGCGACCGCCAACTGGAACCTCCCAGCGAAGGAACCCAGAGTATGTCCGTAAACCGGCTAGCATAAGCATCTGCTTTGAGAACACTTTGTGGCGAGATTTCTCCAGTTTGCGACCCGCAGAAGTCCTCTTGAGTAGGTATTCGCCCTCATCGCCACGCATGCGACCGGATATCGTCTCATGGATGATTGAGTAGTAGTTTGCCAGAAGATACAACGATGCTCCTAGACTTTGACGCAGGACTGAGTGCTCAGAGATTGGATATGGGAAGAACGTCCAAATGAATGCGACAGCAATACCGCCAGCCACAACCGCCAGCCGATACGGTGCCAAGAGGTAAATGGGGTAGTAGACTTGTCCATTGGATGTCGCAATTGCCTCGCCCACTCGGCGAACCTGGAGCTCATAACCGATGATCATACTTGTAGTGACGATGCTGATGATCCCGACGGCTCGGAAGCGGAACATCTTGATTGGGATGTAAGATGCAATGGAGACAAAGATAAACAGGAAAACAATAATACCCGGTGTCCTTTGAGCTGGGATATACCATATCAGAAAGCTTGCCACCATTGCAAGGAATGTACCTAAAATCCGCAACACAAAACTGAAAATGCTCTGTCCTGAAGTGGGAGACATGCTGAGATTGATCATGATCATAGCCCATACTAATCTTTGTGCAATGAAGAAGACCTGGGTATCATGTAGGAACCCTATTACCGCAACAGTCATGGTGGCACAGGCGACACGGAAGCCGTAAGTTGACTCAAACGAGCGCAGAAACCCCGGGAAGACCCGAATCTTGTCCCCAATTCTCTCAAAGCGAGTGGTCGGTGGCAGGTGCTCGGGGTCTTTGCGAAGTCTATACGCCTCGCCAAGTTGAAGGATGTTATTTTGGGTATGAATGTCACCCATATTATCATCATCGTGATCCTCCGCACTCAAAAAAGACTTGGCCCACTTCCAAACTCGCTTACTACCAGGAATGACGAGTCGAGTCTTCAATAGCTTCCCTTTGGCTTCAACATGGTCGGCATAACGGACAAAGTCAAGCACAGTTTGACCGGTCGAGTACAGCAATTGCTCCATCTACGTTTGTGTTAGCTTCGACCATACTCAGTGACCAGTGGACGAAGACTTACATATAGAAATAGATACAGCTGTCGTCGACTTCGCTCTTTCTGCGTAGCCGAGGTGTCCAAAAAGTCGGTGTTCAGCCTTTCAGGAGAACTACGGTGCTCGAAAAAGTCAGGCGGGAGCGTGACACCCTTCTCCTCGGCCCATGTCTGCAGGGCGAGACGTTTCGCGATGCGAAATTCGCCGAGTTTCTTTTCATAGTGGTTGACGAATGATTTTTCTCCAGGAGCAGTGTTCTCGGCTGTGGCCTCCATATCGTTCCCTTCCTCTGTCGAATTGTCATCAGAAGATCTTGCTGCAGCTTTGCGTTTGGGTGGTTTCGTCAGCCTGAAGACATAGGATGTATGTAGCAATCCTTCATCAATGGTTTGGATCATCACCGCGAATGGATCATGTACCGCCCTCATGATATCATTCCACTCGTGCACAACGCGCTGTCGCATATCCTCTGGGACTACAGGCTCGTTTAGGTCAATGGGCCGGTTCCATCTGTTATAGTCTGACATTCGCTCAAAGATATCCACCACGAAGCTCAACCCCACAACTGGGATCATGATCTGGCGAAGATGACGAAAGATCGCCTGAATATCATCGGGTCCCAATTTTCCTAATGCAACTTCACGCTTCGCAAATGTGAGATCACCGTGAAGTTTGGCGTGGATATCAGTGATCTGTCGCACCGCAGCGCGGATGGCCTCTGCCTCGGGGCTGTAGATCTTTCCCTTCTTACCAAACTTCTCACGAAATTCATCATATGTTTCTGTGCGACCGAACATGTCGTCTCTTTCCAATGATTGATAATATAGAGCATGAGCATTCAAGGCTGAGCGAAGCCCGCCAATGTAGCTCGCCATTTGTTTGAAGACTACCTGGCGTGACGTTATCGGATGGATGAATAGCGATGTTGCTGTTGAAATTCCGAGGCCAGTGAAGAAGGCTGCAACCAATTGCCTGACCATATTAAACGCAGCTGTCATACTCTGCATCTGTGGAGCGTATATCGAAGAAACATTCGCGAAAATTGCGTAAATAATCACAGGAAATTGCAGCTGCGGGTATTTGGCACGGAAGGTGTGAACCATCCAGATTTGAAAAAACAGCCACACACCACTAACAGCAGACGCGGAGGAATTGTATTTTTCGCTAGGATCAGTAGCGGTGTGTTGGCGCGCCCTGACACTAGAAAACATTGTCAACAGAGCGAAAGATGCTGCTATACAGACAGCCAAAATGTCGAAGATCATCATCTGAATAAACTTGGCGCGCGGCATAATTGCAAAGCCAAGGATAGAAATGATGGGTACGAGATAGCTCAAGGTCTTGTACTCATCGGCGACAACCTTGGATTGGCAGCTAGATTAAGGGTCAGGCCGATTCGGATATACCGGGAACTTCCAAGGTAACTCACATTGAAATGGCTATAGTTGGTGGAAGACCGCCCCTAAAGTAACTATTAGAAATACCCTGCTGTATTACACTCGAAGAATGGCCCTGAACTCACTTCATCATCAGGAGAATGGTGGGTCTGTCCAGGCCCAATTTCTGCCATCTCTGTTTCACGGAGATGAAGAGAGACTTTTTCTCCTTGCTAGAGTCATCTTGCACATCCTGTTCCGACGCCGAAGATCCGAAGGATGAGTCGGACTGAGATCGAACATGCGCCATATTGACCGGGGTCACACAGTGATGCGTCTTGGCGCGTCCACAAAAGATCACGATCTTCAGGCACACAATCTTAGCGGCATCTCTCACGTGACCTTGAAATTATGGATCCGCAAGGGTGATAATGTGAGTGATTTAGAAAAACCTGAATACATATAAAAGGGCAAAGAAGTTGGGGAAGTCGGGTTGAAGTCCAGATTTTGGGGACGTTTGCAGTACACCCCGCCCTCGAGTGATTGGCTACCGCATGTGGGGGGAAGAGGAACTCCGCATATAAAATTTGGTGCCTGGTTGGTCAGGCAAACTACCGAGGTCTCTTCTTTTTCTTGGCTTCCATCTGATAGACTGAATAACGTCGCTATATGTTGTAGTTGTTGCACAGGCCCAAATACTTTCAATATTTTTACGGCTTATCCTCCTATAGAACCAAAGCGTTATCAAAGTGTTACCTGGGCGAACATTAGTTAGAGAAAAGCCCAGCTCCAAGGTGATGAATCTACCTAAGTTAAGCACCTAGTGAAAAGTCCCAAATGACGTACAGATATGGCGCCGGGGGGTAAACTATGTCGGCATAGGCTGGAATTAGCATTTAAGGTTGTCCTATGTAGAGTCTATTACACGCCGATATCATTCCTTTTAGGGTTATGTTGCGTCTCCGACCTTCCGACGCTTCGTACATTGCAATCAGAATAGCTTCCCGAAATTTGCGTTATAGTCTGTCGCCCAATGGGATTCCAAACATAAGATTGCGCGAGAATATGAATAGAATTGAATCATCTACAATGTCCAAAGTGAGTGTTGCTCTGGTTGTGTGATTTCAACATAGAGACAACCGCAACCCAACAATTGCATCGGGACACTCCAATCACTCCGATATTTCAGATACTCCGATTTATTTCTTTACTCCTGGTTGTGATACTCCGCAAGGTAGCGACGGGTGTAAATACTCGCATCGTTCAAGCGCAAGCAACCTCCCCGCAAGCAAGATATAAAGAACGGATAGAACCCGAGGCAATGTTTCAAATTCATTATCCAAGCTACCGTCTTTGCTAAAAAGAAAGAAGTAGACCTGACAATGATTGCAAGCGCAACCTCTGGATTCAAGGCTATGGCCATGATGGCCTTCCTCTTCATGGAATCAGCTGTTGGTGCCCCCACTGAGGCTCGCGAAGTCATCACTTCTCGTGGTCCCAGCAAGTAAGCAAACCCCCGGGACTCATCTATCCCTTTGCCTGTTTGCAAAAAAAAAAAAACAATCCATGTGCTAACCCTGGTTCCAACACCAGTTTCAACGAGTGGAACAACACACATAGCCCAGCCGCAGGCCAGGCCTTCGGTGGTGATCTAACCTGGTTTGAAACCGGACTGGGAGCATGCGGCTGGTTCAATTACGGGGGAGACCACATCTGTGCCGTATCTCATATTGTCTTTGACCGTGCGAATGTAGACGGCAACCCGAACCACAATCCACTTTGCGGCCGGCCGATCCGCATCCAGCGGGGTGACAGATGGATAGACGTCACTCTCGTGGATCGATGTGAGGGTTGTGCGGAGTTTGACATTGATGTCAGCCGCGGTGTTTTCGAGCAACTCGGTAACCTCGATGAGGGCCGGGTTCACACTGATTGGTGGTGGCTATAGATAGATCCATGATCTGTTGATGATCACCCACGAGGTCAGTGACTGTGAGGCGGACCCTGGGGCAGGTGGAGAAAATAGGAGTAGGAATGGATGTAGTTCGGATAGTCATTTCATGTGAGAAACTAGCGGCGTGATTGATTTAGTATTCCGGCCACGAGGAATCCACTTGTTCTTTCCATGATCGTAGTCCTCCGCGAATGTCACCAATGAACCTCTTCCCATCCTGATCCAGTCCTAGCTCTTTCAATTTTTTGACGACAATCTGCGAATCGTTTCCTAGACGGCAGACGACGTAGATTGGGTTCGTAGACTCAGACGAGGCAACCTCGGACGGTAACCATGAAGGTACTTGTGCATTTTGCTGCGCATCATCGGCCCCTTGTGACGGAGCAGAATACCCCGAGGAAAGGATTTTAGAGATAGGGATGTTGATACTATTCTCCAGGCTGCAAATTCCAAACTGAGTTTCATCACGGACGTCAATTATCGTGTGAAGCTGTGACGAATCGGTGGCGACATTTCGCGGTCTTTGGCTGTATTCCAGAGCAGAGATACGTTCCTCGGGGGCAAGCAGGGAGGGTAAGTTTGTGGATCCACAAAAGAAGACATAGTCCGTTGAGCCTGATTTAATTGTATCCAGCGTGACAGTTGCCTCGGCGGAGCACACTGCACAATTGGCCCGGCGTGAACGAAGACGGATTGTGCGGACCAGAGGCGATGAGTAGGCAGAGAAGATATGCAGAGACGGGGGATCCCGTGGACGAGCTGTGGTCACATCTGAGTCTCCATCAACCTCAGGTGCAGTAATGACCTTGATCGCCTCCAGGGCCTGCAAGACACCCATCGTGCCAACAACAGGCCCGAGAATACCCCCGTCCGCACAACTGACCACGCTATCAGCCGGTGGTGGTTTCGGGAACACACACCGATAGCACGGCCCTCCAGTCTTGTCACCTGGCGCTCGGGGTGGGTTGTTCAACACCATCAACTGGCCCTCAGTTCGCAGGGCAGACGCAGAGACCAACGGTTTTCCGAGAAGCACCGCAGTGTCTGAGATCAGATAGCGCGTCGCCGGGTTATCGGTACAATCGAGAATCAGATCATAATCTTGGAAGATGGCGGGTGCTTCCTCAGGCGTGAGGTGTGTGCGATGCGCGATGTAGGTGGGATGCGGATTCAGTCTGGCGAATGTCACAAAAAATTGTCAGCGATCAGCTCAATACTCCTATGCGGATTTACTCACTCTCGCAAAGACTCAATTGCACTGTCCACCTTGTACTTCCCCACATTCTTCGTTCGATGAAGCACTTGGCGATGAAGGTTCGACACCTCGACCGTATCCCCATCGATGAGGCCAATAGTGCCAACGCCCGCACCGGCAAGGTACTGCGCAGCTGGACATCCCAGTCCTCCGGCTCCAACAAGCAGGACCCTGGCCGATCGAAGTTTCAGTTGACCTGTGGAATAAAAAAAAGTCGCGATCAGTCCCACTGCTCAAGGGGTATTTCCCAACTTCCACCCAAATCTTACCTTTCAGGCCAACTTGTGAAACAATCATCTGTCGTCCGTATCGCTTATATTCCTCCGGAAGCAATGGCCACCGACTTCCTTCGCCATTCCGGTCCCCCTGCCGAATTTCCACGGTTGTTGCGGTCTCCGATTGTGCCGCTTGTTCGGCGTTTGCAAGATCGCGTTTGAGCCCCGCAAGTTGTGTTTCTGTGGCGGCGATCTGGGCGCGCAAAGAAGCGCATGTTTCCTCAAGAGATCCCATCTTGGTTGTTGGTGTCGACACGGGAAAGAGAAATTGACGGGGGGAAATCTCAAAAGTTCCCCGCGGTATTTATTGTGGGGCTCTACCAATATACGCTGTATAGGTATAGAAGTATACCTGATATTGTATCCCTTCAAAATCTTTGTCAAATGCTCATGTAACTATTTATAATGATCATTAATTCCGTGTATATTAGAGATATCCAGTTCACTCCTTCTGCTCAGTAGTCTTAGCACTCTTCTCAGACTTCGTAGTCTCGGTGTGCTCTGCATGCAGAATCTGAGTCTTTTGCAAGGTATGTTCAACATCAGCGCGTCTCTGTTGCTCATCAACAGCACCAAAAATGAGATCCATCTCCTCCAGAGTCCGGCCCTTGGTCTCTTTGAAGAATATGATGACGAAGAGGCACATGGCAGAGCAGAAGATTCCAAACATGAGGAATGTCTTCCAGCCAATCTTATTTATAGCACGAGGGGTGATCTCAGTAATGACGAAGTTGAATAGCCATTGCGTCGCGGCACCGAAGCCGACACCGTAGGCGCGAAGACGAGTTGGGAAGATCTGGCATAACAAACAATGTTAGTGAACTGAAACGGGCAAGGATATATATCAAAATGATCTCACCTCGCCAAGATATACCCAAGGAACTGGGCCCCAAGATGCTGAGTATCCGATGACATATAGGTAAATCATCGCGACCATGGCGATGGACGCCGATGAGACAGATGCGGCATCCTTTACTGGGGGATGGGTGGCTAGGACTGCCCCAATGATGAACATCATGCTAGCCATCCAAGCAGCACCTCCAATCAAACTCTTCTTTCGACCCCAGCGATCGATACCGATGATGAGGAAGATGCCTGTTGAAACCACCTTGACTGTTCCGTAAATACCAGTGGCAAACAATGAGGTGTCTGTTTTGCTCAATCCGACCTGCAATTATGGAAAGAAAAGTTAGTCCTGCTAGTTCAGAAAATTGGGGAAGATATAGAGAGAGATTCCAGTGTACTCACACTTGCAAAGATCTGAGGAGCATAGTATCCAATGCTGTTTGTGCCGGAAAACTGCTGCCAGAACATCAGGAGGAATGCCAGGAAGAAGCGGTATCGATTACTTGGCTTTAGGCATTCCTTCCAGGACAGACCCTCGGTAGCCTGCGCTTCCTCGTGGATAGCAGCCGAGATTTCAGCAAACTCCAGTTGAACGGCCTCGCTGGTTTCAGGCTCATTCCGAATGTAAGCGAGGGATTTGAGTGCGTCGTCCTGGCGGTCCTTCGACAGCAACCAACGAGGAGATTCTTTGAGGAAAAATAATCCGATAAGCATCAGACCACCAGGGACAAGCTGGATGCCAACTGGGATACGCCATTGGCTTGTACCCTCGGGAACGTGAAGCGCAACACCATAGTTCAGCCAGTAGGCGAATGTACTACCAATGACCAAAAACTCTTGGAAGAGACCGGCAATACGGCCACGTGTTGCAGGAGGGCAATTCTCACTGACAAATACGGGGGTGATACTGGACATACCACCGACACCGAAACCAGCGATGACACGTCCGCCATAGATCATGCCAATCTCATGGTGAGCTGCGACTTGGACGGCTGCTCCTACTAGGAATATCACGGCAAAGATCATCAGCGAGTATCTGCGGCCCAGTTTGTCGTTCATGTAAGCAGCGAAGATGGCTCCAAAAAAACATCCTGCTGTGAGTAGGGAAACAACGTTGGACGAGATATGAGCGTTTTTCTCGTTACTGAATCCAGATGACTCAACGGGGAGCCCAAAGTCCTTTTTGAAACTTGAAAGAGCCAGGACCGACCCCATAACACCCGTGTCATAACCTAAGAAGACTGTGTGTCAGTAAATTCGGTGACCAGGTTGGGCAAAGTCACTAACCGAAGAGCAGGGACCCAAGATAGGCCACCGATGTCAGGATATAGACACGATAGTTCTTGAAATTCACGAAACCCATCTTGAGGAAGACTGGATGATCACCCCAGTCAATATACCAACAAAATCAAGATGGAGAAGAATTGACCCTAGGAGGAGTCTCGTGGTACAGAAGAGTCAAGGAAAAAGCGCTATTGAGGTCGGGTAGCATCCGGTTTTATAACCTAGGAATCGGTCGATGCTATGCCAAGAGTTAACAGAATTATCACAAGCAATCAATTGGCGTGCTTGTGGTCTCGCCATACTGCTAGCCCTTCCAAGCTGTCGAGTTAGACAGTTTGGGGCTGCGGGTGTGGAGACCGGGGAAGGAATTGGGGAAATTAACGGCTGGGGATACAGGTCCCACTGGGGATATCGTCGGTTTCTCGTCTTATTTAGCCTAAGAATTCCTCGGCCTAGGGTAGTATATGGGTTGATGTCCTGCTCACGGGGATAGATGATTGGTGTTGACATGGACGGGACGGCTTTTAGTGGAGCGACGGCTATTGAAGTACGGAGTACGAAGCTCGGTGATTGGAAGAATTATATGGTCTTTTTATTCTCCACAGGATCGGCTTAACGTTTGGTGTTTGCTGGATGTGATGTAAACTGATTTTGTGTTCTATCTTCTCTATAATTATCTCCTAATATCTCGATCGTAGAACAGTATCATTAGTTTCTCCCATGATTCTATGGTCAAACGCCGTCGGTGATTGTATTCGGTTGCCGACAACATTTCTAACCATTTATGAGGGACAAGCGTGGATCAGAGACCTTAATTATCGTGCATCCAAGCCACATAGTACGGCCATTGGTCAAGAATTATTCGAGAATGGCTTTTATTACTCGATTCGGGGTGGGGGTGGGAGTTTGGGGGTTAGCCGAGACTTTTTGCCGAGCTTCAATCTTTTTAATTTGTACAACGACAGCCCTCGTGGTTAGAGGATATTATGGTGCTCCGGCAGTTGAGAATTGCGGTCAGTACATTATAAACTGGAAGATTGATAGAAAGTCCGCCTGACCGTACTATAAGATTCCCATTACTGGAGCTAAAGGGACGAAAGCTTTCGATGGGAACAATAACAGTGCAATTCAGAGATAAAAACAAACATAACCGAGCACTTCTGTTGGAGATGCCTCGATAAAAGCCACTCCTAACACGTTGAGGTGTCATTGGCATCAAAGGATGATATTCAATATACCGGTGGTAGTTCAGTCGTTTCGTAGACCTCCCCATTCCGGTAGTCATGAACATCCAGAAGTACTCGAATTACAAAATTCGTATTAGCCGAGTCTGTAAATACTCCATGTAGTACTTTCCACTGGGATCGGAAAGCATCGATCTGATAGTAAAAATTATCCGTCTCCGCTCGATACGACAACTTCATATCAGACAAGTTCAATCCATAACCTCCACAAGACATCATATGTCGAATAACGTCCCGGAAAGATGCACCCGTTCTGCATAATCGAGGATCCTGTGTCATCGTTTGATCTGTTGGTGGGAGCGCTCTCCCGTCGTGCGCTATACCCGTGAGGACGCGGAACAGATTCATGTTCCCCTGTGTGTTTTGGTTCCTGTCCCAGGTTACCTTTACTTGAATTGGGGCAAGGGCATTGGTTCTCTCCTCAGGAGATAAAGAGTAGCATTGCTGAGCGAGCCCAAGATGATTGGGTCTTGGTATCGTCCCTGTCGGCATCTTGCTGTCGTATATGATAGCCTGGTTTTCTGAAGAGACGAAGAATGACAGGGCCTTTTCCCAGGACATCATGTATGGAATCCATGACACATAGCCCAGGATTCTCCAGCAGCGATCGAATCTGTCATTCGGCTCATTCCTCCAAGATATAAGCTGAGGACGAGGATGGCAAACGTTATCCAGCGGGATATCGAGCTCCAACATCGCGCTTAGTTCACCGCGATATCTCCTTGTGCGGTGGAAATTATGCAAATCACTGGACATGATGTACTCCTCTATATCCTTAGACATATGGACCAGATGCCATGCCATGATATGTGTGATTCTCAACGAAACGTTCTCTTCCGACTCCCGGGGGCGTTGCGGCCAAATTTCGTAAGGGTCTTCGATGCAGGATAATTCTTTACCATCCTGAATAAGATGGTTTATCTCAACTTTCAGTGACGCTGTCTCCTTATGTGGTGCCCTGATCCAGGTCTTAATGACCGGCCAGGACAAAGCAAAATGTCTGAGGTCGTGTTTGTGCTGAAGTCCAAGATACACGGCAAGCTCTGCCTCGTCACGAGAGTCACGTAGGAACTTCCTGAAGTTACCAAGGTCATCGAATGCGCTATCACGATGATTCGTCGCACTTTCTTCGGTAGGGCGCGGTGCCTTTACTCTCCGAAATTAGCCATTGTCAAATGGGGAGGAGATCTCTTCCTTACTGCACCACGAGGCTCCACAGGGACTTGTGGATATTGAGATGATGTTTCCGTAGGCAATGTGTCACCGAGATCGAGCGGATTATCCTTTTCCTGGTTCTCTGGTTGAATATGCGGTATTTTGACAGCAGTAACTCATCGTACCTTGAGTGAATTGATTCTAGCTGACTGCCTCTGGGGGATTTTCACGTCCCTGGACTATGGAATTGTGGGTTAGTGACATGGAAACACAAGTAACTTGGACAAACAAACCTTTTTAGACATTAGGTCTTGGGAGGGCGACTGAAGCCGTTTTCTCTTCCCCTTGTCATCGGGTCGACGCACACTAGACGACGGTACTGCTTCTGAATTCATAATGCCACTGCTAGGAATACGGTGGCTCGATGGGACAAATAGATTATTGTCGTTAGGAGATCTGTGCGAAAGTGAAATGGCCAGATACGCATCCACAATGCCGCTAGAGAGGTGAGAAAAATAATTGACCGGCACTAAGAGAGGTCAAATTTGGTTCTGTACAAGGTGCAGATGCACACAGGAAACAGGGAAATTTACAGACATTTCTCATATAATCACGCACAGTGGTTATACTTACGTGAATCCTTCGAGTTTTCCTTTTTCCCCCTAGATTATTTCCTCTGTTTCAATCAATCGAGTAGTGAAAGAGTTTCTTTTACTTCTCTATACTGTTACTGCTTTTCGTTGCACAGAGAAGCCTCAATCTGTAGAGGGTCTACAATCGATGTCCACGGAAAGTGGGATACCATTTGTGCCATCTATACAATCCGCCTATAACCAGCCTCGACATATGAGTTGATGTAAAAGATGACCTCAAATATGGGATTGCAAATGATTTACATTGGGAATAGGGCTAGAAATAGTAAGTCAATGAGCATACTGAATTTAACATTCGTCTACGGTATTCTACCATGTTTTCCATAGTCCGAGGGTAAGACAGGCGGCGTATAATATTAGATAGAGTAACGCAATGTGCATGGACCAGACAGGTTCAATTCTTGGAGCAGTCAACAGAGCAATCAGGGCTTGATTATTGCTTAGGCAACATGCCTTGATATATGTATGAACAGGTGATAACCCCTCATTAGCTAAACTCCATGTTGAGGCGTAACTTCTTTGGGGTTGGTGAGACAGGGAAACCACAGGGTATCGGAACCTAGGGGTTTGGGTTCTTTCCTCGTACATTACCCTTTTGTTAGTCTATAGCTGGCTGAGGTTTTCAGACCGTGCAATCATCTGGGATCATGCTAAGGCATCACAAAATATGAGTCGAGAATAATGCCTTCATTGAGTCCGCGGTGAAACACAGCCAATAATACATTGAAAATACAAATGGCAGAGATTCTTTCGTTGCAGAGCAAACCGAGGTTCGTATTATTGATTACTATTGATCCCTAACGTTATCTAAGTTGATCATATTCTTCGCATTTAGACTTCGGGCATGCTCTCCCAAGTGAACTAACAATAGCCATTACCAACCTCAACACGCAGACACAAACACACAACACAGCGCACGATAACTATCCCAGGTTACCAGCCAAAACACTGGACACAGCTCCAGGCTATAGCAAGGTCATAACGTCCGAATTCGCCTTAATGGTGGTCTTTGATGACGAGGGCGCAGATCGTAGGATGAACTAATCACGCGTCGTCTCATAGGACTCCTTGTCGGCTTTCCGCTTCAACATTCGTCGGTATGCAAAGAGTGCCATGACCCCGACCACGACGAGAAAGACGATACAGAAGACAAGCACGACCCCACGATTCCTGTTTGCCCAGTTTCCCTTTTTGCCTCTTTCGACAATCGAATGGAGAGACTGAGATGCGGACTTGGTGGCATGGATTACTTTGATCGGTGGCATGATATCGGAATGGTAGTATGTCAGAAGTGAATTTCTGTTTCGGACGTTAGTCGCCCGCCGGACAATGGAGTTGTCAGCTACATCATTCGTGCAGATAACTCAACTGCCTGCGATCAAGGGGCACATGCTCACTGGATACTGCGGACTTATGGCTATATCAACCGATGACTCGACTATAAAGAAAGAATATCAGCAATCGTGCAGGCCCGGGGTTTCGCTGTATCAGAACTACAGTAACGGAATAACACTTACTTCGAAATCCACGAGTGTCGACGGTGTGCGGAGACACACCTCCTATCACACTGACAGCAATACTACCAAAAAGAACGAACTCTAAGAACAATGGGATTCAGACTGGCGGATCGCGCTGTAAGGTCAGCGATGACTCCAGCAGAAGATGGTGATATTGTCAGGAATCTTGCGACAAGTGGTCAGGCTTTCCAGCATGGGATTTGCTCATACTCCGGCACGCGACGGAGATGGAGTATTGCCAATCAATGATGCCGACTGCCCTGGTACCTTGCATCGTACCTAGTTGACTTCCAACAGGAGACAGGCTCCAAATTTGATTGGATTCCCGGTCATCTTCTACCGCGGCTATTGCATTTGAAAGACTCAGCATACCAGACGACTCGTTCCGTGTAGCTCCGATCCCGAAAAATGAGTTCTCTCCATATGTACAGCGTCATGTTGGGCTGAGGGGCCGATCTACTCTGACGGATCACTATTTTCAATGCCTATGAATACAAGAAGGTTGTGCTCGTGTGTACTGAAGCACCAGAATATGGCGGCACGACAGGTAACCACAATCTAACAAGTCTGGACACACGTTAGCGCTGCGTCACCAATTGATCATCCAGGTGTTCTACGCTCGGCCCATCGGGTGCCTGGTGATACCCTAATTCAGTTTGACTAGGGCTTTTTAGAAAGCCAGGGCCACAGTGTCTGTCATATAAATACACAAGGGTAGGCAAATATGTGACCTTGCAACAAACTTGAACAATGACAGTTCTTGAGAGCGATGGCCACCAAATATAATGTTTCAGCAACGACTTTGTGTGCATCATACCTTTGAAACTGTGTTTTTACGTCATACCTGGCAGCATGAACTGGGCGAATTGTTGACAACTTTCAAAAGCCACTATTCTCTTCCATTTTCATCACCAATGAAATTCGCAAACAACACATACAATCAGATGGTGCAGTTGATTCGCGGATCCACAGCTGATCTACTATTTTGCATGTGGCACCAAGTATTAGCCTTACCGAAGAGGAAAGAGATCGTAAGTGACATCCAAAGATAGAACTCGATTGCGATTTTTGTTCACTGTTATCATGAACCTTGGGATGTTCGTATCCCTGTGCCGATAATCGTGTTCTATCCCCAAAATGGTCTCCCGAAGAACCCTAATAATGGGCACAATGTTAATCTCCTACTACCTCGGGCTCCGTTGAACGGATTCGATTTGTTATAATAATTTCTATCAGAAGCTCAAGCAAGTGGAAATTAAATCTAAACCGCGGTCATCAATCCGCACCAAGCATTTGGGTCCCACAGCCCTTGGCGGTCTCTTGGCCTTGGCTACTCAAGAGTCAAGGGTATGCTCATCTACGAGACAAGAGAAAGAGAAAAACGAACCCTTTATACGCTAACTCAACAGTTATTACATTGCAAGTATCTGTGTCTTCGTACACAATACATTGGACAATCCGATGGTTCACGAGTTGAATTCTTTTTTTGGACGCCATCACCTCGTATTCGGCCCGCAGGGCACCAATCACCGTTCCCATAGACAGTATGGCTGCATGCCGAGACCCCATATTATAGGTAGTATTCGCAGCATGGGGACAGAAATAGGTATGGAGTAAAATAATTCTATTTAGACTATCATTCTGACAGGAATAGTACGAAGTATTCGCATGGGACCGCTGCACCCCGTATTCTATGAAATAGTCAGCCACCATATGTCAGCTCTTGAGCTGCATATTGTATTCATGCCATACAGCCGCTGCATAAATATTGTTAGCAGAGCTGAACACCAGACTCGCTTAGCTGCTTTTGGCGATGACTACGTGATGAAGCAGTTTGAGTACCTACCCTCACGGCTAAATTCATGCCGAAGCGATCTCCCTTGAGATGCGGCAAAGTCCGTGTTAATCTGCATCTAAATTAGCTCCTTGGTCTTCCCTCGTTTAATTCCATAGACAGTATTGATCGACCGCTGCAATCATTGCAGGGTCCAAACGCAAAGGCCTTGACTGGTCCACGCATAGACCGAAAGAGACCCCACCATACGGAGAAGGCGAGGCTCATTTCAATACGAGCTTTATTTTCTCCGAATTCATCAAGAAATTTGGGTATCTGCACATTTATATTACTGACATGTTCCCCTCTCAGACCCCTAACGGCTGAAAGCCTAATCCAAAATATTTTCTCATTCTACTTAGAGTCACTTTTCAAAAGACGTCGTCATGATGCTCCCACTACACGCACTTCTCCTAGTTCCTCTAGCCAGCGCATGGACCTTCCAAACCACCAACACAACCGGTGATACTCAAATCTCCCGCGGCGAAGAGGAACAGCAATGCACGGAAGCCACAATCGGGAAGGGAAAGCTTTTCTCCTGGGATCCTGAGGGATCGAGTCTATGTGTCTCCATATACAACGACGCCGAATGTGAATCCAGGGCGGGATACTCGTGTGGAAAGTGGGGAAAAAGCGCTAGTAAAGAATTTTTGTCTTTCGATATCCTGCTCGAGAGTGAAATTGAGGCCAAGCGCAAAACTTCTACGCTCGCATTGACACCGTCGTCTACATCAGCAGCAGCAACAGCAACGGCATCCAAATCCACATCTCCCTCTTCAACCGCGGCATCGGTATCCGCATCCACAACTCCTACCGGGTCCACGGCTGCCTCTGCAGCCAATACCGACACCGGGTCCGGCTCATCACTCTCCGGAGGTGCTATTGCAGGCATCGTGATTGGTGTTATAGCTGCTATTGCTATCATTGTTGCCTTCATTTTCATATTTATGAGAAAGAAGAACAAGAAGGCCGCAGCTGCTCGCCAAGGCGGTGGTTACGGGCCCCATGAGGCGAATGCTGCTGGATCATCAGTGAGCGGAACTACGGTTGTAGAGAAGGCAGCAGAGTCCATGGCAGAGAAGGAAGCACAATCAGTACGACGATTCAGACCTGTGCCCGGATCTAGAGTTGTAGAGTTGGTTGGTGATGAAGGGAGTGCCGAACTGGGTAGCAGCCCAGTCAGTGAAATGGATGGGTATACCATCAAACGGCCTTATCATATGGTTTGAGATGCCATGCGTGGTTGTGCGGCTTTCTGTCAGATGGAGATTTTGTTTGTGTTGAGTGTATCTGGTCCAGTTTTTCTACTAGCGAGCGATATTTTGGAGCTTTTTTCTCCCTTTGGAGTTTATGGTGGTGCACTAGGGCTTGCGTTTGAAATTGTTGATATCAATCTCTGTGTGCATTATTTCCAGCTACAAAGTTAGCCATATGAAAATGTGCGGTACAAGCAACATATGTATTTCTTTGCCGTCCAGGCAAAGGCAACATAGTCGGCACAAACCCCAGCAGCTTTGGGCTGGCCAGCCACAGTCCGGAAGGCTTCCTGGGAAAGGATGCATCTTTACACTTTGCCTAACATGAAAATTATGCCGAGTAAATTTAGATGTTTCCTCGACGAGGTAGGAGTGGCGATAGCACCGCCAAGTTGATCAGACATGATTTCCAGTCATCCAGCTAGAAGCAGCTTGCAAACTCAAGCACTTGTTTGCTTTGATTGAAGAAAAGGATGTTTCGCCTGTTCATCTGCCTTTTTTTCTCATATCTGGATGCCAGACAAGTATTCCCTTGATGAGATCCAGAAACGCTTCCTTCTCGTCACCCTCAAGACATGAAATTGTGTCCTCTAATTTCCGGTCGGGGACCAAGAGTTGTATCAGGAAAGAGCAGAGCTTCCTGAACTGCCTAGCTGGGGTGTGTTGTCTGAGGCACCAAGGCACCGAAACGACATTATGTAATACTTGGCCTGCCCCGGGTAGGCAAGATCTAAAGTTGGAAGAGGCTACTGGCGAATTTCATCATATAATTATTATTGTTGTTGTGAAACAATTTCTTCGACTTTTATCTTTTTATCTCATTAGCCACCCTGGAATAATTCCTAGATACCTGAGGTCCAGTGCCCCAGCGTTTACAAGATCTCCCAAAGCGAAAGCGTGAAGCACCTCCAGAGTTCCAATTTATATATCCTCTATTCATGCATCAATTAACTCAATGATACAATCTTCCCCTTATCGAGCCAGGAGGAACATCTTGTGTGGCCGTGGTGAGAGCCAGACACCCAGCGTCTGCATCAGGCCGAACATCTCCAAGCCATAATCGCGTATCTCGCATATTTTTGGACCATTCCTCTGAAGACCACGTAGAAGATCCGGCAATTCCTTCGATTTTATTTTGCAACAGGACAACGGAGATCGACCCTAGCAGGTCGGGAGCGATCGTTATCATGTGGAGATAGGCACCCACTAGTGCAAAGCAGAATATAACCACCGAGGAAATGATGAGGACGGCGAGCCATGGACGGTTGCACCTAACAATATTTTGCAGATGGGTATTTCGGGCTGTCAATTCGATAGGGATATCCTTGCCTTGGCTTCGATCCTGTCTGATTCTCGTCAAGTTGACGGAGCCTGTGAATGCCGAGGGGTTAATTCCTAGGTATAGGACGGAATTGAGGAGCTGCGATAGACGCGTTCCAAAGACTTCCGGTGTGATGGTCTCAGGCGACATAAGACTATCGCCAACAAGGTTTCCGACAGCGTGGTAAGGGTCGGTAAAGTATCCAATCACGGGCTGTAGACCACCGTGTTGCTCAGCGTGAGGAAACAAGGTAGTGAGAATAAACAAGAATCCTTGGTTATAGTTCATGGGTAGCTTAGCATCTCCTGGCAAATTGACGTCGAAAACAGTCCAGTTCTTGTGGAAATGGGACTCATCCACCGACCGGCGAGCGGAGGACGGGTTGCAAGTATTAATAGACTGACTCTTGGCTAAGCTTTCGCATGTCACATTGGTATCGACATAGGTCGTGGTGAGGTCACATATCGCTCGTGTGATGGGAGATCGATTCTCAAGAGTGCCTGCACTACCACTATCCCATGATTCCCATATAAGCTTACGAGCATTTCGGGTCCTCGAGATTGATGCATTAAGTGAGTTTGAACATGGCTCCGAGATGGCGAGCTGGAACTGGAGCCCACCCCATGCACTCGTCCAGCCGCAGTCGTCGCCGTTACCGGGAGATGGAGCACCCGGCGCAGTGAAGTTGGTCAAATTAAATTGGTGTATCGTGTCAAAGACAGGGCAGGATATGGATAGATACGAGCCTGGGAGGGTAAATGATGTGTTTCCAGAGCTTGGTAAGCCAATCACCGGTACACCAACAAGGGATGCGTATGTCATGTTGTCATTTTCGGGCACGTTCATCCAATTTGTATTGTTTGTCTCAAGATTCTCGATTACAGGAAAGCGGATGTTGCCCCAGAGATCTTGGTTGCGGTTTGCCAGTAGCGAGGCTGCAGATAGGGAAGCAATCATGGGGTTGGCGACTGATGTAACGGCTTCCGCTATCCCTTGGCCGTAGCCGTACTGGTATGGGATGAAGGTTCTCAAAGTGGTCAAGTCGATCGAGTTCCCTGGGTAACTGTGGACGATGGAAATCACCCGGAGAGAAGCCTGACTGCCCAGCGGAGAGAGACACCATAGCAGGACGGTGAATATGGCTAGAAGATTCACAGCTCGGAGCCTTATCTGAGTGAGAATGGCTCCTGTGATAGTCTGGCTGCCGAGACATTGCTCTACAAGCCCAATGGTTGCTCCCCTAGTGGTCTGGATGCGCCACGATGCGACACTTTTGATGCTGCTACCAGCAATGGCGGCAAAAAGAACTGGGAACACAGTGGGTGCCTTTAAGATGAAAATGGTGTCAGCTAGATCTGACATCATTAAGGACGGGTCTAAGACCGGGGTAGCTAACATATTGAGACACCTCAAATAGCTTGGCGCCCATGGAGTCTGGGCCAGCAGGTTTTCCATCGACACAAGAAACCCATACACCGAACACAATGAAGAGCGCGGCTATAATGGCAAGAATCAAGTCCCATAGTAGACGAGAAAATCTGTCCAACTGAGAGAGCTTGAGAGGCCGTGGTCGGGGCTTCTGTTCGCCAGCCTCGGGAAGGTCGATTGTTGTATAATAATGAAATTCCGATGAAGACGTTGGATTTTTGTGACTTTCCTCGACCGGTACAGCCCCGTAGGGGGTGCGCTTAGATTGCCTCATCCCGTGGGGTTGTTTAATCCATAGTTTTCGTAACAGCGACATGGGTAGTCTTTTGTATTTAGGCGACACCGAGGAGTACACACCTGTCTTCAGGAAAATAAGCGCTTATGTATTTATAAAGTGGGTGGTGATGGGTGGACAACGCAAAGTATTAGATGGTTCGCAATTGGGCTTCGGGGAATCCTTTTTAGGGTCGTGCGAGGCTAAGCATGCCAGTTGCCATCATTGCCATTTGCTGGTTTGGTGGTGGCCCCACGCTTCAATACAACTGACAGGGTACAAGGGTCATGCCAACCCCTTGAAACTAGGGCCGATACGTCGATTCATATAGCCCCTGTCAGACAAATGTTCCTCTGGGCTTGGCGAGAGGTGAATCATCTGTTTCGGGTTTCCCACAGGCCCCTAGAGAATCTGATGTGCATATCGAGAGGGTGGAGGCACATTGAAAACAATATATATATTTATAGGAAACTTTTTCTTTTCGTTGTTCTTGACGCTCAACTTAACATTAACGCATAACACCGCAGGGCTAAGTGTTAATGGGCTTTGCCCAAGTGAAACTAGCTAGGGTTTGAAAAGAACAAGCTCCATAATTCTAGTGGCACTGAAGATCACCCTTCTTAGCGGACAAAATGCAGTTTATGTTTCTCACGTTATCCTTTTATTCTTATTTGTTTCCGGGGCCCATATTTCGATGAGCTTGTTTTTCTTACCTCGGGAGATCACCGTCAGCGTCCCAGTACTCCCTACGGATTATGATTATTTTTTGTTACAGTTAATGCAACAAAAATCCCATCTCTGGTTATGCCTTACCTTTCGTTCTATGCTGTTAATATGCAAGGCTTCAATTTCTTGGTATATATTAAGTGGGGAACTGCGTTACGCAAGAGGCCTAAATTTGCTCCAATCCTCGAGCCAGCCCCTGCAGGAAAGTCGAAAGGGTCGACTGAATCTGTGTATTGCGTCTTTCGTGTTTTACATTTTCATAAATCAAGTTTGCCTACTCCATAGGGCTGACTTATTTAAAAATGGATGAAACAGGTAGGGGTTGTAGAGCTGCGATCTTGCGGCTTTTTTGTAGCATTGACCAACGGAAACTTGACAGTCTACTCGAATAGCTGTCCCACATAAGTAACAGCAAATTTATTATTACACCAATGGAAAATGACAAGCTAGACATCGGATAGTTAGGAGAAAATGTACGAAATAACCTAGAATATATGACATTGATCTTGACATCCGAAGGATGCCCCTATGTAGCTGATATTAGTACTATTTTTAGTTATTGTTTGCCGACGACACTAAAGTATGAACAAAGACTTCCACCTGGATGAACTTGAAAGCCCTCTAGGGAGGTAGCTCACACATAGCTAGTTAGTCGCCAATCACGTGCGCTGCACTTTAGCGAGCAATGGTGGATGCCCATAATGTGGATTAGCTAGATATACTACTCTGCGTATATCCAGGAAATCAATACGAGACGGGCGAATTGATTATGTGGTGCCCCGTAGCTTGGAGTTCGCACATGCACGTGGCATAGCGCCTCAATGGGCATAGGCTGACCCATCCCCTTTAGTCTCCCCGGGTTCGAGGGGGAAGCTATCAATGTAAGCACCTTGATGGAGGCCATCAGACCGAATAAGCCCGATATCTGCGGGTGAGATTCATTGATAACACACGATCGGATATGGCCGTTCCCCGGATATCTTAGAGCTATGCAAAGTTGGAATATTGAAATCTGATTCTCCAGATTAAACTTATGTCATCGGGTTCCTCCGCTTATCGCGAACTGCACATTTCAATCACCTCGGGACACATCTAATTTATGAGATAAGAGCTTTGACCGCATGGCATCGGGGTCTTGGCAGTTCATAAAATTTTGTGTCTTCTGAACTATCCACTTGACTATTCATCTAGAAATAACAATTTCATGTTTCTTTTCTTTGACATCTTCCACGCCGGCTTGCCGAGCGTTGACCCATGGACCATGCTGTCGGCAAACGTACAACCAATTAGGGCTTCGATACGGCATCTCACGGGTGAAACATCTCCCGCCAAGCCGCCAAGTGCCCAAAGAACCGGAGAATAAGCTGGAAGTGGCAGAGGCGAATTTTCTTTTTTTTCTTTTTTTTCTTTTTTTTCTTTTTTTTCTTTTTTTTCGATCTCTTATCAGCACAATGTGGTTGGCCGAGAGACCTGATTGAGATTTACCCATTTCTTTTTTTCAACCTATATTCTACTCCTACGTCTATTGTAACATCCTTAAATACTGCGTCTCAACGACGACAGCGTCTTCGGAATTCGCTGTATCCATATACGTGATAGCATCTCGGAATGGCTTTCAGTAACTGGGTGCATAACACCAACCTGCGGGTTGCCCGCAGTCCGGTGGGGAAATGGTTTCGTCTGGAGGGCTGTGGCCATGTAAGTGATACTGCGTGCTATGTGACGTGCGACCGCAGCGTCAATACCACGCGCAATGCATTGACACATTTTTCAGCCTAGAGAGAGGAAGGGAAGCTACTTCTTCACTGAACTTCGTGCCGGCCTCGCCACCTTCTTCGCCATGGCATACATCATCTCCGTTAACAGTAATATTACCTCTATAACTGGTGGAACCTGCGTGTGTCCCGAGGAAGACATGGGTGATTTCTGTGCACACAATGCCGAATACGCTATGTGCACTCAGGAAATCAACCGTGATCTTGTCACCGCCACCGCCGCCATCGCCGCTCTCTCGACTTTCTGCATGGGTTTCTTCGCCAATCTGCCTATTGCGCTCGCACCTGGAATGGGATTGAACGCCTATTTTGCCTACACTGTTGTTGGACCTCGTGGTTCCGGCATGGTCTCATACTCGACTGCTCTGACGGCTGTCTTCGTGGAAGGATGGGTATTCCTGGGCTTGACGTTGTGCGGTATGCGCCAATGGCTGGCGCGTGCGCTGCCAAAATCCATCAAACTCGCAACTGGTGTCGGTATCGGTCTCTACCTCGCATTGATTGGTTTGACCTATAGTGCTGGTATTGGATTGGTTCAGGGTGGTGTCGACACTCCCATTGAGTTGGCTGGATGTATCAGCTTCAACGAAAAGACCGGCCTGTGCGATAGCAGCGATAAGATGCGCAATCCCACCATGTGGATTGGTATCTTCTGCGGTGGTATTCTGACGGCTTTGCTCATGATGTACCGTATCAAGGGTGCTGTCATTATTGGCATTTTGTTGGTTTCTATTATCTCTTGGCCCCGCACTACACCCGTCACTTTCTTCCCCTATACCGACCTCGGAACCAGCAAGTTTGATTTCTTCAAGCAAGTCGTCACTTTCCATCCTATCAGGCATACTCTGCTCGCCCAGGATTGGAACCTCTCTGGCAAGGGCAGCCAGTTTGGACTAGCTTTCATCACGTTTTTGGTATGTCACAAATTCTCTATTTAGGCACAAGTTCATGACTAACATTTTTGCAGTACGTCGATATCCTGGATACCACAGGTACAATGTACTCCATGGCTCGATTTGCCGGCGCAATCAACGAGGCGACGCAGGATTTCGAAGGCAGTGCCATGGCCTACATGGTTGATGCAATTTCCATCTCGATTGGATCCCTTCTCGGCAGCCCTCCAGTCACAGCATTCGTCGAGTCCGGCGCTGGTATTTCGGAAGGCGGCAAAACCGGTCTGACGTCATGCGTCACCGGCCTTGCATTCTTTGTCGCAGTATTCTTCGCCCCGATTTTCGCTTCCATTCCACCTTGGGCCACGGGTTGCACACTCGTGATTGTCGGTGCGATGATGGCCAAGGCTGCCGCTGACATCAACTGGCGGTACTACGGTGATGCAATCCCCGCATTCCTCACCATCGCTATCATGCCCTTCACATACAGCATTGCCTACGGTCTTATTGCTGGTATCACCAGTTACATCACCCTCAACGGCTTCACATGGTGCCTTGAGAAGATCACCGGAGGTCGCATCGTCCCGCCGAACAAGGATGAGTCTGATCCTTGGTCTTGGAAGATTAAGGGCGGTTTCCTCCCGCCCTGGGTTAACCGGGCTGCCCATGGAAAGAAGGACTTCTGGAAGGCCGATGAGGAGTACGCGGAGGACCGAGTTGCAGCTGGTGAGCCTGTGTCTTCTTTCTCTTCCGGGTCCGAAGAACGTGTGCCTCTTGAGAAGGGTCATGAGCCCACCACTGCACCAATGAAGTCTGAGTAAATAAGTATATATTTGGAGGATGAAGGAGGGGAGTTGCGGTATGGTTGTGATTTTAATTTGCATGGCATTACAGCGGATGTGTTCATTTTGTATATTTTCATTTATGTATTTATTGACTTACTATTCACACCCTATGGTGTCTTTCAGGGGTGTTTGTACATGCCACGGGAATGATCATATTGTTTTAATACCACACATCGTTTCGTCTTCCCGTAATTATACGTACATATACTGGGTTGTTCCGTGGGAGAAGGCCGAGAGAGAACGGAGAAAACTACATTGATTTGACACCGAGGCCTTTATCATCTCACAGTACCCACAGGACATGATCTATACAGCAGTGAAGGAATCGAATGTTAAATAAATTCCAACTTGGGTACATAATAAATACAGTGGTAGAATCAAATGTTGAATGGATTCCAACACGAATCCCAATCCCGTAGAACGATCCACATTTTGACCCCTCATTAAGTGGCATATGGGTTGATGATAACATCAGTAGTGGTCGTCGAGTTATCGCGGTACTGGGAGTATTGTCCGTTGCGATCCTTCAGACAATCATCGATCACCATAGCCAAGAGGCCATGATGCCTCGAGCTTGCAACCAGGAGTCACTAGCATGAAGAGTATCGGAACCATCGACCTTAGAATAGATAGTGGCTGTGCTACGACCCTTTCCCTGATCTTTGACGTCTAGAACTCTGTCAGCTATAAGGAGTAGCTCGCGATAAGAAGCTTGGTCCCGTCACCACGGTCTCCTCTTTCTCCCTCAGACGTCACTTGTCCACCAAAGCTGACTACTTCTGTCCCAATCAACGGGGGAATGTGCTGTAGTATCTCTGGGAAAAGAAAAAAGATGATTTTACGTAACAAGGGAATTGATTAAAACTCCCGATTCTGTCTGATATCCCGGTCTCTTCAAACAAAAGAATGGAAAGAGGGACGAATCCCTCACCCCGGGCCCCGGGGCCTGTCCACTGGATTACGTAATAGGAAATTACCCAATGATGATCCCTCCTGGTCCCCCTCAACAATCTACAAGACAACTTATCATCCCATAGCAACTCCTTGTAATTGCACATTACCTTAAGACAGATTTTATTCCATCATGGCCGTCCGAGAATCACCACAGGTACAACGAATCCAGGAAAGCTCACCCTGGATAGACATATACACGGACTCCGCAACAAGCCCCCTTCGTGAGAGATCAATAACCCAGCATCTGAAACTAGTTACCCCCTATGCTCACCTAGAACCCCAAAGATGGCAAGACCCAGGTGGCTGGGGCGCTAGGCACATGAATGACAAGGCCCCTTTCACATTGTGGGATAAAATAAACCGCCGATATCGTGTGCCGACGAGAAACGAATTTGAGTGGATTCATAATAAGTTTGATGATCGAAAGCTTTTGCACACTGGCTGGATCATTTGTATTGAGACCGACAACCCACCAAAGCCGGTTCCTCTTACACTAGGGTGTATGCCAGTGATGTTTGTTGGAACTGGCGAAACCTTTTCTGAGCCGCTTCCCGATGCACCTTATCCTAACCCACGGCTACCGGACCCTTGCCCTGATCTACACTGGCCGCCAATGGAATTTCCCTCAGATGTGGACAGCGTCGCCTTTCTCAAAGCCCTAGAACCGCTTGCCAATGTACGGGCGGTTACGTATCTACCTTCATGGACTGTTGTGGAGCTTGAGTGCGGCGATGGACGTGTTTACGAACCCCAATCACTCCCGGGAGTCGTTGCTGGACGTACAGCGCTCTACCATCATTTACAAAGCCCGTTTTACGAGACCAGAAAAAATCTTACCCGGGCCCGACAACTTGATCCAAGCGAATCCGTAACCAGTTTCGGACCGTTGCCTCAAGACCATTTCAATTACCTCCAAGAGTCATTCCTTTCACCTGGTTGCCGAGTAGAGTCTGGTTATGGCTTACCAGGCTCCCGTTATGAGTCAGCAACTAGCGCTTCGTCTGCTGGAGTAAAACTCCGCGATTCGAAGGGAGAAGAGGTCCTGACTGTCGCAAACCACGCCTTCCTTTTTTCTGGCGAAGTTTATCACCCGTATGTTCACCATGACAAGATTGGAGACGTGATTGACACACGACCTGAGCTGGATATTGGTCTAGTTAAAATGACCCCTGCCGTGTCTGCGAAGTTTAGAAACACCTGTTATTTTCAGGCAGAACCCCCGCGGGGTTTGTTAGAAGGCACATATGTCAAGCCAGGTTCATGGGCTGAGGTGGACGGTATGAGTTCAGGTTTACTAAGCTTGTGCGCATTTGCGAGACGGTATGAGAAGCCTATGCGTCCGCCTGGACACCCCGAAATTCCTTTTCAGCAGTGGCAGTCATATACCCTCCGGAGAATTTGGGGAGTTGTGAACGGATCAATTGCTGATGGTGTCTGTGGAGCACCAATTGTTAACTGCGATGACGGCGCAGTCACCGGGTTCTTCCAGCTCTACGATGGGGAGAGAAACTGCCTTAGTGCTAACCTTGACGACATAGTAGCTGAGGGATGGCAAATTGCTTGAATGTTTAACTTACATCATGGCCGAAGGGAACCCCCAGGGTAGCTAACACGTGGCTAGGACCGAAGACATATATTATTAACAGCAGTCAACAGGTCTCTCCCTACACATGTAGGTAGCTCTATTGAGATATTCTTACCCTCCTCCTCCCTTTGAGAAACCACACTCGCTTTGATCCTTAGTCTACTTCCTCTAATATGACCACATGGATCCCTCGTGTGTTAGACTGTTAGACGAGACTTCTAGGAACTTCCTGGCTGATGTCATGGATAATACGTTTAAAACAGAGTCCATCCAACTCCTTAAAATACAGATAATTACAAGTACTATGTATGGTGTAATACCGTGGAAACAATACAGAATATATTACCACTAAACCCTAGTGGGAATTTTAAGTCAAGACTGAAATCAAGCTCCGAGATCACATGTCTCCAATGTTAAGAATGTGCGTATATTAATACAATTTGTCAGAGCGGTTAGTAAATCAACAGCCCTTCGTATCCATCCCTGGGTTTTACGGCAAATAGCGGTTACGGAGAAACTAAGTCCCAAGTTCTGCGATCGCCATTTATAACTTCTCGATTCGACCTAGCATTCCGTAGGATTCCCGGCTACCCCAGACCTCGGGAGTAGGTATCTCCCTTACTCTACACAACTTCACAATGAGATACGTACTATTTTCTTTGAGCGCGTTAGTGTTCTACACAGTTTTTTATTTCGCTTCCATCAATGGGCTCGATGCGCTAGCTCGCAAATCCCTCGAATTCGGCACCCTCCCCAGCATTAACGCGCCCTTGAGAACAGTCTACACGGGGATCGAGGCAGTCGACCACGTACTCGCCCTTTTGACTGTATTCTTTTACCCGACACTCGATGGCCACAACCCTGGTCTGCTACTTCATGGTGTTGGATTTAGTGGTACATTCGGCGCAACCTGGACTTTGATCGTTTTAGAATCTTGGAGAAAGGGAAATTCTGGCACAATAGCCGCGTAGTATGTTATCCCCATAAATTGATTCCTTATATATTGAATGATAAGCGGACTAATCGATTCAGCCCCACAATATTCGGCCTCATCGCTCAAGTATTCACTTTTGCCTTTGGGATCCCACTGACATGTGGTCTTCAGCTGGGCTGCTCGATCACTGCGCGCCGTCCTGATGCAGATAATATCCGCGTCCCGCGAGCAGTTCTCGCAGCTCTGCCCTTGATCTTTGTTGTCGGATACATGGTGCCGACCGCGGTGATGGCGTTGCCCGCCCCCTCTGTGATTTCTGTGGACCTAAAGCAGATCGCCATTGCCATCTGGCATCCCTGGCCCGCCTACGTGTCTATTCTGACCACGGTTGCCTACTTTACATTATCTCCTTTCCTCTCAAATAACAGCCGGGTAACCATGTCTAGCTTGCGCTGGGTCTACGCATTTGCGTTTGTCAATGCATCTCTGTCGCACATTGTGTCATGGGTTGTCTCTTTGGCAACCGTCATAGTGCCGGTTCTGTTTGAAGACCGCTTCCTGGGCTCCCTACACCCGACTAATGTTTTCTCGATTCCTCTCCCTTGGTCTGGGTTGACTGTTGATAATGTCGGTGACGGCGTCCATGCTTTCCTTCGATGGGACCATATAATTGGTTCTACAGGTGTTCTGATTTGGGCTATCTCGCTGTATACCGTTGCTCACAAACAAATCCTCAGCACTGTATCTTGGCCCAGTCTGCTGGTTAAGATTGCTCTGTTGACTGTTCTTGCCGGCCCCGCAGGTGCTGCGGTGGAGTTGGTATGGGAGAGAGATGAGCTAGTGTTTACCGAGACGACTGGTGGTAGCAAGTACCAAGTTTCCAAGGCCAAGAAGTCTACCTGATCGCATATTGGTTGAGCAATGATGCGATCACCATGTCGGATTATTAATGTTAAAGTACCTAGATATCTGTGAATGCATAACGTGATTGTTGGGTACATGTAGGAAGGTTTTTGTTTTAATCACACTACAGAATAGTCGCTTGCTGATGCGTCCTTGTGATGGCCTTTTTGCTAGCCTAGTTGGTAGTCTTCTCGGGTATTATATTCAGCTATCATTAAGACATTTTCTCCTCCTCGGTGTTATAGGTAAACGGCAGAAGAAGGCAGTAATAGCTTAATTTTTGAAAATGACACTATGCCCACGACTGTTCAATTTGTGCAAACGAGAGTCATACATTCATACATCATACGGACACAGAAGGTTTCTTCTCTCCCACAATTTCATAAAGCGCATCGAAGTACGCCTTGACATTCTCATTGCCCATAATCCCTGACCCCATCTTGTTCATCGTGTAAGCAGCAGTCATGCGACGATCCAAATCCATGACCAGCATAGATCCACCCCAGCCTCCCCAGAAGCAAATGTTCCCTTCGGGGATGAAGGTGACAGCTTCCGGCACTGGCAGGGCCACTCCAAGAGCAAATCGAACTTTCATAAACAACACTAAATCGACGCCGCTAACCCGTTCCTGAAGCATCTGGTCGATAGTCTTCAGTCCAAGATACTGCTTCCCATCGACCGTTCCTTTCAAGGACACAATTGAACCAATCCGGGCCAACGCCCGCGCATTAGAAAACCCATTCACAGCGCCAATCTCAGTAGCCCGGAACCCGGGTGTCTCAGAGTCCTCAGGCTTAAATGTCAGGTTGCTAAAGGCTTTACCCACAACACTTTGCGGGTCGACCGGTGGCAGCTCCACAGGAGCACCAGGAATGATATCTGCCGTGCGCGACCATTTCTCTTCGGCAAGACCGAGACTGAAGTCTGCACCCAATGGACCCGCAATCTCATCTGCAATGAACTGCTTCAACGACTTGCCGCTGATGCGTCGCACCAGCTCGCCGATCAAATGTCCATGGTCTACCAACTGGTAGCCGGATGCCTCCCCGGCCTTGAACCACGGAGCCTGCTCAGCGAGCATCTCAGTCGAAGTTTTGGTGTCGTAAATAGACTCCATAGGGAGTGGTTTGTCCCAGTGGGGCAGGCCAGAGGAGTGGCTGAGGATGTGCCACACTTTTGTGTCTTCTTTGCCGTTGGCTGCGAACTCTGGCCAGTATTTGGAGACTTTCTCTTCGACATCTAGTAGGCCGCGATCAACGAGGATCAGCGCAGCCAGCGCACTGACTACTTTGCTAGATGAGAAGACGACAACTAGGGTGTCCTTTTCCCAGGAGCGCGACTTGGCGAGGTCTGTATGACCGCCCCATATATCGAGGACATTCTTTCCGTCGATGTTGACGCACAGCGATGCTCCGATCTCTTCTCCCGAAGTCAATCTTTCTTCCAAAAGTTCACGGACGCGGTTGAATGCGGGGTCACAGAGACCTTGTGTAACAGCCATTGCAAATACTGTCTCTTCGGTTCTTGCTAGCGACAGGAGGTAGATATGTAAAGATGGATGTCAACTGTACACAATTTGATAATTTCGCAGCAAAATTTTCTTGCAACAAACAGGTATTTATACGTGGCTTTCCCGTGATCTGCTAGCGTATGTACTTAGTGGGGGGTTCTCGATCCTAGATCGACTCGTATTCGACCGACTCGATGCACCTGGTTAGTACAATCATAAGTCACACAGCACTGACTAGCGTGTCGCTTTATATTGCCTTATTCCCTACCGAGGTATGTGTCTAGCTCACTCCACATACCATAGTTCGACTGCCGCGTCTACTACTGCTTTCATGAGCTAAGAGGTAGGCTCACCGAGTAAAATTCAGTTCAGGTAGAAGAAGGACAAGTTGACAAGCTGAACGATGGGGATGCAAGGGTGAGTTTGTCACAATGCAACACTTTTATTGGCTACACATTTTGCCCACGCGTTGATTACCCATTCTTTCACCTTGTATGACATGGTTTCTAGGCGCGCTCTTAGGCACTCTTAAAGGAATAATTATAGCACTATCCAGGGGTCTAGTGCATATACATGACTGGTTGTTCTCATCCGAGCCGGTATGGCAGGGTACATACGGACGAGACTCAATGTGTCAAGGCGTGGGGGCTGTGAACTGAGCTTTGGACCTCGGGATCTTGCATACCCAGATGGGCTTAGCGTTGCCCCACCCCAAGCTAAGTTGCCAGAGATCTCAGGTGTCAACCCCGATTTGTCTTGGCTCTATGAAATTAGATCTCAACATCAACCTTTTTCGTGGCTTTCTCATGGTTGTGTAAGAAAACACAGTTTTGACCGTAGATAGTATCTGTCAAAATGGTGAGGGTCAATCCAAGAAACATGTATAGAAACCATAGTTAGGCCACACTTACCCCATATATATATCCCCAAGTAGGTTACGAATCTTGAAACATGTAATGGTACCTTGACTAGATCCTAGTACTCGCAGCTATCCGGTCTTGATCGGTAAATTCTTTTGAGGTGCGTCAAGCGACCTATGGCCATGAGATGTTCTGAAGTATTGCGAAAGACGGTTTGAGTAGAGGTTGGGGAGGAATTAGGTAGCTAAGAAGACGAAGTAAGTAGATGATATAATGATCACCGTAGGTTCACTCATTAAGTGGCAGTTGGATAACTTGGGACCGTGTGGCAAAGAGCTATGAATATGCTTAGGGAGCTATGGACATGCTTAGATATGTTCAGAGCTCAGATTCTTTCTGCCAATTGAAGTTCGGCCCCCTAAGAATGTAATTGTTACACAAAATTCAAGGGAAAAACAAGCGTATTGAAACGAAAACAAAAGTTGATTTGAAATCAAAGCTGATTTGAAATCATTTAAGCGAAGCAAAGATATAATAAGTACCGAGGAAAATTGTCAACTTGCCCACCTCATAGACTCTTTACAAAATTGCGGCAATTCAGCATGTTAGAGATACACTCCAAAGATATCTACCACGGTCTTCCGGTCATCTCTGGAGATGTTAAGGGCCTCACAGCCATTATCACCGGAGCGAATGGTATTTCCGGAAACCATCAGCTCAAGGTCCTTTGTGAATCTCCTCGGTGGGAAAAGATCTATGCTCTGTCTCGAAGACCGCCGCATGGTTCATGGCCCGATCATGTCGAGCATATATCGGTTGATCTATTGAAATCGCCGGAAAATATTGCGGCAGAATTAGCAAAGAGGGGAGTTCGTGCAGATTATGTCTTCTTCTTTGCGTATGCCCAACCAACGCCCAAGGCCGGAGAAACAGTTTGGAGTCAAGAAGAGCTAGTTGTTGTGAACAGTAAGTGAATATTCATATAACGCCATTAAAATTGATTCACAGCTAAAATCAATGAGAAAAACTTCTTGTCAACTTCCTCGAGAGCCTGGAGTTGAACAACACAATCCCCAAACGTGTGTTGCTACAGCTGGGGGGCAAGTATTACGGTATCCATCGAGGTCCCACCAGCTGCCCTCAAGTGGAATCAGATCCTCGCGTCCTGGCTGGACCTAACTTCTACTACGACCAAGAAGACTATTTGCAAGCCTTCGCTGAGAAACACCAAATCGGCTGGAACACTACTCTACCGTCTCACATTGCGGGAGCAGTCCCAGATGCAGCCATGAACCTCTGTTACCCCTTGGCAATCTACGCCACAGTTCAAAATTATCTCAATCGGCCTCTGGAATACCCCGGTGACGTCGAAGCATGGGAGGCAAATGTGTCCATCTCAAGCGCACGGGCAAATGGATACCTTGCAGAGTGGATTGTACTGACCGAGCAAGCCAAAAATGAGATCTTTAACGCAGCAGATGACTGCCTCTTCACATGGGGAAAGTTCTGGCCGAAACTCGCTGAGCGTTTCCAGATGCCTTGGAAGGGTCCCGATACAAGCAGCGAAGCTTCATATGAGACTGTGACCATGCCACATGATCCACCGCGTGGTTATGGTCCACCCGGTGCGTTCCATTTCCGATTCAGACTTGCCACCTGGGCGAAGACACCGGAGGTTCAAAAGGCGTGGGCGGAGATTGCGGAGAAGGAAGGATTGGTTGACAAGGAGTTGAGGGATATTGACCGGGTCTTTGGCTTCACTGACTTTGCCCTGGCTATGAATTTTCCGATTTCTTTGAGGTAAGTGCAAACGCCTATCCGGAATGTCAATAGGGCTGACTGGAAGTCAAATGACAGCATGGCCAAAGCCAAGAAGCTGGGATACTTTGGGTTTGTTGATTCAACTGAATCCATTCTACGAGTCGTGGAGGAATTTGTTGATCTGCGGATGCTTCCGCCTCTCATATCCCCGGCCAACCCAGCTACTGAGACGCCGTAGAAATAGCAGTGAAATTGTTGCCTCCATCCTCACCTACAATAGGATCTCCAGACGGAGCATGTGAAGTTGAGAGTGGGAGTTGCGAGAGGCACCCTTTTCACTTTAGGTGCTGTAAACGAAGTTGACGATGCTACTATAGTCTTTGGTAGGCCAGAAAGATCGTTAGTATCTTTGACTTAGGCAGTTGACCTACTAGACATGGATAGCAGCGTATGATGTGGATGATGCTCACTTTAGATTTGATATAGCAATGCACGGGCAACTTAGCCACCGATCAACCCGCGAATCCTAAAGGGGCCATAGCATTCTGTTACAAGGTGGATGATGCTACCAGCATCGTAAACAAAATTGAAAATTTGCATCATGCTATATATGAAGCCTAGACCTACGTAGGTCGGGTTTAAAAAGGACCTGTTAAATCAGACAACATGTTCTCCACGTGCAGCTCATCTCTGTAGCCCCCAAATACTTGTTCGACCACATCAACTAGCCACCGACTCAAGCTGCGAACTGTGTAATGCATCTTGGTGTACTCCCAATACTCAGGGAAAAAGCCCGCATTCTCCCAATCGATAATGCCGGTGATCCTGCCATCTTCAGCGAGAATGTTCCTAGGATTTAGATCACCATGCGTAAAAACGATCTTGTGTGGGATGCCATGTGACTTGACATTTTTCTTTGGAGTATCATCCGTCATAACCCTAGTGAGATAGTTGTGAAATTCGGTCTCTGAATGGAAGCGTAATACCTCTGACTGGCTGTCAGGGATGCGCCAGTCCAGTATCCCCCCACCTTCGGAGTCGCAGATGTGAAACTTGCTGACTTTGTTGGGAATTGCTCGTAGCTCGGCGACATATCGTTTAAGGTCACTAACAGCGTTTTCCACTTCTTTGTCCGTCATCATATTGAACTGCGGTCCAATTGATAAAGAGTGAACTCGGCAATTCCCCAGTACTAGGATTGTTGCGTTCCGACGAGCGTTCCAGCAGGATACAAAGGGAAAAAGGGATGAGAGGAAAGAAGAGAGAGAGATGACAATGAGATGACTGTACGCAGTAATGTCGGTCGATTTTGTTTGTCTAGTTTGACCGCACATGACCATGACGATGCACGGTCTTCCAGCCTGAATTCCCCTGAAATATGGCAAATCAATTAACTCTGTTTTATACGGAGTACTTTTCCCTATGGTCAAATTAATAAAGCCAGTTCCTGCTTGTAATTACTCTCCCCTGTATTGTTCGTCTCTTATAATTGTCCTTTCATTTCCTACAGACACGGAGGGGATTTTGCATATCATTAGTTCTTCATAAATCAAGCAACAAGTGTATGCTAGTGTACTAGAACTAGTATGAATAGATAGTATGTACAATGCCATAGGATGGCCCGAAATGTTCGCATAATGATGTTTGGATCTCTGTACTTCATCTGTCGGAGTCTTATCAGAGACAAGTGATGTGTAAAAAAACATGGTAAAAGGAAACGATGCTACAGTCTCAGCTAATATTGGAAATTGGAAGGTTTCAAAGTAGGGACTACCAATGGTGAGCCCTATGCGTTGTTTGCAACTCGTATAGGGGACAACGACCGGTGACGCTAGTCCTCATTTGGCTGCGACACGTGACACCACGATCGTGTTTATCTGCCAAGGATCACCTGATGCCGCCTAACGGCCATTGACCGCCCAACGAGCCAAACAGTCAAACAAATTTCCCCACCATAGCTCTCCATCTCACCTCACAGCTTGGAAATTTGGGACTCTTCTTCTTCCGAATCCCAATCGAATGCTGGCAGCTTGCTTTGAATCAACTTGGTTTGTGGGACTGGCACATGCCGTCCCGGTACCTCCGACAAGATGCTGAGGGATTCTGATATAGATTCCTTAAATGGGCACCTGGCATCTTTATCACGAGAGCAACAAAAGCAACATGACAATTTACAGGACTTGCTGGGCAAGTTTAAGAGCTTGTTAGATGATTACAGCTCGCTCAAAAGCGACTACGAAGAGGTTAAAGAAGGCCGAGAAAAATACAAACGACAGGCCAGAGGCCAGGTAGGAAATGATAAACTTGCAGAAAGCCCGAGGGGTAACAATCTAACAATCATCCAGGACCGTAACCCTTTTGTTCTTGTTCTTGTAGACGGAGACGGATATCTGGTGAGACTATCTTGTTTTCCTCGGGATCCAAATCGATCAACTAAGACATCTCTTTAGTTCAAAGAGCATTTCCTCAGGCATGGTAGCGAAGGTGGCATTAATGCAGCCCGCGAGCTGAGTGACTCTGTCAAAGAACTTATGCATTCGACAATGGGAATGCAGGCAGAACAGTGTCGTATCATGGTCCGTGTCTATGCAAACGTTCTCGGTTTGTCAAAGGCGCTAGCTCGAGCTGGGCTTATGGGCCATGAGGCTCGGTCCATGTCACCATTTACTTCGTCATTTACCCGTGCGCAGGAACTTTTCGATTATGTCGATGCTGCAGAGAAGAAAGAAGGCAGTGATTTCAAGATCAGAGGTACTGAACTATTTGCCAAGAATAGTCTTGTTATTATACTGACATGTGCTGCGATCTCAAGAAATGTTTCGTCTCTTTGTGGACCTCAATCAATGCCGCCATATCTATTTTGCCGGCTGCCACGACACTGGATACGGCTCCCTGCTGACGCCCTATAGAGGCAGAAGTGACCGTATCACCCTCATCAAAGCTGCTGGTTTTCATCGTGAATTCGAGGCCTTGGATCTCCCTATCCGAGAATTGCCTTCGGTGTTCATGTCTACTCCTCTAGTTAACAGCAAACCGCCTACGGGCCCGGCTGCGTCTGCGTCTCCCACTGCGGCCAAATTCAATGGTGGAAACGGTGTGCACCACCTTTCTAATGGCGCAAACGGCGCGAATGGTGGGAATACTACCAAGCCAGTCTGCAAGCACTTCCAGAAGGTACTTATTTCCGATCACATCATGTCATGGTGAGTAGGTTGTTGGCTGACAGCGACCTAGGGTATTTGCAAGTTCGGCAATGGCTGCAATAAGCAACATGTTATGCCTAACCAGTCAATGAACCATCAGCCACCTCCTAAGCATCCGGGTTCAGGCGATTCACCTAAACAGCTGTGGTCTTCCCCTACAGTTGTCGGCCGCTCGGAGGATTTCCTTAGATCCATGCTCCCATTGCCGAGCATCAAGACAGAGGAATTCATTCCAGTCAATAAAGACGGCGACCGTATCGACCCATACTATCCCCACCCATCGCCTGAGGCATTTGATGAATATCACGCTCGAGCCAAGGAGCACAAAGTCTGCAATAGCTACCATTTGTCGGGAGAATGCGGTGATATGAGCTGTACCTATGACCACAGCGATGTCTCTGACGTGATCATTGAGGTTTTGCGGTACATGCTCCTCCAACACCCCTGCACTCGGGCCGGGGCTTGCCGATCGATCAAATGTTACATGGGTCACCTATGCCAGAAGCCCGGTTGCAAGGCCGTGAAGAGCTGGCAATGTCGATTCAACCAAACCGCTCACACTCTTGATCTTCAAACCGCTCGATGGGACGTGCCAAGCGACCAGAGCGAAATCGATCAATGGTCCGTCAGTGACGATTCTACTGGAAAGGGGTTGTCGCCTATGTATTTCTAATCGATCAAAATCCCTGCGAAACAAAAACTTCGCAATCCATGCCTACGGACAATCTCTCTTACTTGAGATGTCTTCGTATGTGTGAAAGATCAGCAACTGCAAGGACAGTTGCTTGACAAAACAATGGGTCGATGGCTAGCACTAAACGGACAGATTTAAGAAAAGACATTTCATGGGCTAGAAAGAAAGGTGAAGACCTCATTTTCAAGAATTCGTTAGCCACAACTATTTGCTGGTTATTTTTGATACTCTGCAATCTCATGTGGTAGATAGCTTAAAAAGCAGGCTATTATTTTCACTGTCCTTACCATCCATTATTCAAATTCATCATTTGGTGTTCTCTTTCAGTTTTATTAGTACTGTGATGTTTCTATGGAGTGGCACTGATGATCTATACATACGTAATTCTGATCAGCCACCTGGGCGACGCCTGAAGGAACAAAATATTTATTTCTTCCTTATATGGATTTCCTTCAAGTTTCACATGGCCAACGCAGCAGAACCGAGAGTTCACCCCTTCTTTGAGCCCAAGACTTGTTCTTGGCAGTATGTGGTAGCCTGTCCTGAAAAGAAAGAGGCGGCCATCATCGACCCAGTCCTGAATTACGATCCCGCCAACTTCCTCATTACCACCGAATCTGCAGATGGACTTATCGAATGTGTTCTCAAAAATGGATATACAGTCACCATGCTACTAGAGACACATGCCCACGGAGACCACCTCACAGCCAGCTACTATATCCAACAAACTCTCTGGTCCCGCGGGCAACCACACGCACAGATCTGCATCGGCGAGAATGTCAGAGTCCTCCAAAGTCACTTTGCACAGAAATATCACATCCCGAGAAAAGAAACCGAGAACGCCTTCGACCATCTCTTCCAGCCCGACGAAGTATTCGATATTGGCGACGTTACCAGCATAGCCCTCCATCTCCCAGGTCATACACCAGACCACGGAGGCTACAAAATAGGGGAGAATATATTGACGGGAGATAGCATGTTTAACCCGGATATTGGCAGTGGTCGATGTGACTTCCCAGGTGGCGATGCTCGGCAACTTTTCCGCTCTATGAAGCGCCTTCTTACTTTCCCGCCGGAAACGAGATTATACACGGGCCATGATTATCCTCCTTCCAATGAATACACAGCACGCGATCCCTTGCCATATGTGACGGTCGGCGAGCAGGAAAAGAACAATAAGCACATCAAGAATGACTCGACAGAGGACGAGTTTGTGAAGTGGAGAACTGAGCGGGACAAGAAAATGCCTGAGCCGAAGCTTGTGCACCAGGCCATGCAGGTCAACGTGCGTGGAGGCAAGATGCCAGGCAAATCGCACTCTGGAAAGGCATATCTGCTATATCTCATCGATGTCCCGAAGGTACTGTTGACTGGATAGCAAAGACACAGATATCGAAGAATAGGAACTTGATATATACTTTATACTTGGTGTTTCTATTTTGACTTATCGTAAATTGCACAGATGGCGAACTGATGTTAGTTCTTATTTAAGTACGTCCCTAATATGATACCTATTGTCCCCGTTCACTTTTTACCTTGAATCTTGATGTATGCCTCCTGAACCTCTTCCCGCGCAGCCATGAGTCCAAGCCACTTCTTGATCATAGGATAGTTGTCAAGCGAAAGGCCAGCAAAAGAATACAGGCGCACCCAAGGCTCGAAATGATAATCAACGGCACTAACACGACTGGGCACAATGCTCTCACCACCAGTCTTCTTTAAGTGTCCCTCGAGAACATCATAGCAACGATAGGTTTGGGCCGTATATCGTTGCAGTGCATCTTCATTCTTCTGTGAATGAAAATGTCTAAATAAAGAGTCAGCATCATCTGGGAATATTGTGAAAGTCACAAGCCACCAACTTAAACCAATTCGTTTGCCCGGTCATTGGGCCAAGCGTCGACAACAGGAAATACTCCCACTTTTCGAAATCTACGAGATCTTGCGCCGAGTCGCCCGACGGCCCGATCGTGTTACCCTTGTCATACACACGGCGGACGTAGTTCATGCAAGCCCCGGATTCCCACGAGACGACACCGGTGTTTGGATCTTCGATTGCAGGAACGCGCCCGTTCTCGTTGATTTTGAGGAACTCTGCACCCTTTACGCCGCTTTTCGGGTTGTCGCTGAAGTCCCATTGCTTCACTTCGAATGGGACTTGGAGTGCCTCGAGCGCCATGGCAATTTTGACTGGATTTGGCCCTGAGGCATGGGCATGTAGGACGAGAGGCTTGACATGGGAGGCCATTTTTCGATCAGGGATTTGCTGATTGATAGTTACCAGGATGTGTTGGAGGGGAATGTCATGTCGAGTGGCTCGAAATAAGTTGTAGGATGGCGAAATGAGATCGCCATGATGTAATTTGCCTGGTAAAACCTGGGGTGGTAGACGGAAGAGATTTATTCTGATTATCGGTTAGCGGAGGTGTTGTAGAGAGGATGGAGTCTTGGACTTCATTTTGTGTAGTTCGGATTCTGAAGCGCTTAGGTCGGTCGTATGTTGTAGCTTTCCGGTGATGATAATTTCTAGGGGGTTCAATACATCCCGTCTCCCAGTTCCAGATCGCTAGTTTGACGTACCCCAATAAAGAGCATGGGATCAACCGTCATTACATTCTACGTGGATCGGAGCCTTGTTGAAAAGAACCCGAGACACGGCATCAACGGCGGATTTGGAAGATAAATTCTTCCACGCGACAAGTCAGGCTGGGTTATTCCATATCCTTCAGCCTGGGGCAGCCTTGGCCATGGGAGCCGGTATACATCATACGAATATGGTACAGCCATCGCAGAAACAACGGCGATCTGTTGCAAGAAATGCGATGAACACAAACACGAGGCTACCTTCCTCAAAAGTTCTCCTACTTATTTAACAGTAATTCCTCATCTCCCAGTGAATGGTACTCATGGCACACCATCCTTCATAGCTGTCACTTGAAGATGACATGCGCACAAATTTCTATTTTGTCAGATATTCCGACTTCACTTCAACCGATAACTCTCGGTACACCCTCGCACCGTGAACCAATATACGAGACATTAATATTCCTCGGCTGGTGGGCCATTTGACGGCGAACCGATGCGATTCCAAATCCAACGTCACAGATCGCGATATCGGCGGTATTAATCTCATCTACCTCTGTGGAGATATTCACATGAGCGGGCGGGTCAGGGTCTACACGTGTATTGAGCTTATACGGATTCGCCGGAAAAACACATGGGTTTCGGCTTGGGCAACTTCAAAAGTCAACCATCGCCGAAGGAGGCGGCATTGAGATAGAGCAATCGGGATATGTTTGGGTTGTACATTGGCATGTTACACCAGCTGCACCTATCATTCGGATAGCAGACCTCGAGGTATATCTCCTCTGCCGAAAAAAGGCACACAGCTACTGGGTTATGGGGTCCTGGTTGTTGTCAAGGCCAGATATCTTATCCGGGCAGTCGATCTGATAAACAAGCAGCTTTGGTTGACGCGGGGTGTGAATGGCACGATGGAAATCGAGGTCATCTTCTGCCCAGCGGAAAAGCTGCAAAGTATTACCTCTAATGGTGCACTATTAGACACTTCGCAAATTTCCAATGAGAATCTATCAGGAACTGTGACATGCAGCCCTTTCAAGCTGGGAATCCTCGATTTGTCCAACCTATAATGGAAGTCCCATGATTTTGCCCCTGGAATTCAGGCCTCGCACGGCAACCCTGCTGGCATACCCTGCATACGAAGCTCAACACACAATCCGCGAGCAATTGGCATTCCGAGGACTCCGTACTCCATGCACTACGGAGTTTCGGGTCACGCCTAATCCGATATCTCCTGGAAGTTGACGGGTAGCCTTGGAGTAGAGCAGTGGCAGGATATCATCCGTGGTGCTCTCAATGGAAGCTGCATGTATGTTCAGGGACAAGGATAACATTATTACACTCTGCCAAGTTTGGAGTTGGAATTATCAAAGCTAGTGGCAGATAGGGTATGGCTCCCATATGTTGGATTCGATGCTACGTGAGTTCTTACTACTGAACATTTCCAGTGGATGAGATAGCCCATTGAGCGCAGTGTTCAACCACTCCATCCAAAGAAAAATGCTCAGAGCACAGGTTCTACCTATATCAACAGGTATCAATTCGGAAAATATAGTATGTATTTCCTTGGGTCAATGGACACGGTTCCATGGCTCCAACACCGAACCACCAACTTTAATTTCTAATTTCGTCAATAACTTTGCCCCGAACATCCCGAGGTATATGATTGTTCCCAATATGGTTGGTGGGAAAGAAGGTCGACAATGTGAACACCGGATAATTAGGGCGCAACACTGAGAAACTTGGAAATAACCTCCACGCTCATCATTCCGTTAGCCCGCCTACAATACACCTCAGGCCGCCCAACGATCTGTCTGAACAAATCGAGCAAAGAGATACTAGAAAGTGAGAATATAATATGGAACCTTGAATATTGGAGTGATAATTGGCATATATGCAAAGAAAAGAATTTATATCCAAAAGATCGCTTGAAATCCCGTGAACTTGAATGGCCGAAAGAAAATAGGAGATGGCATCGTATCCCATGGCTAATTAGTCAATGCAGCAACAGCAGCGACCAATGCATCGAGGGCCGAGCTATGTGTCGATGCATCCACAACCGCTTGGATAGGACCAGCCCAGTTCACACCGAACTGCCCTTTCTCATTGCGATCATTATCCCAGATGCTGTTCGCGCAGCTGCTTATCACCTTCCGGTAAATATCATGCGGAGATGCCTTTTGCAGCATTTTTAGGTTGCGAATAAAAATTCCCTTGAATTGTGTGCCATCTGGAAGGCATTGTGGCTCACAGAACTCATGGATAACATTATTCGAATCGGCTAATGTGGCAATGGCTGCCTTTGCGATCTTGTTGGCCGAGGGTAGGTACGTGTTATTGGGTGCCGCTCTATTCAATTCAACCAATCCACCGAGGACAACTCCCTGATTGTACGACCATCTGCAGAAAGTTAGGGATGGAAAAAGAAGATGATGGAAAGTACAGTGCTCACACAGTAGCTGCATTGTTCTGGCAGTTGGATAAGAGGCCATCATTGATAGTGCCATTCTCACTAATGAAAGCCTGGGATGTGAACCAGTCCCATTCCTTCTGAGCCCAGCGGACATAGTATGCTTTTCTGTCCGGGACTCGGTTTGCAAGGTGTGCTGCGACAGAAAGGAACAACTCGTTTGTAATCGCGTTAACATATGTACTGGTCGGGTTCCAAGGAAGGCCGCCACCACTGCAGTTGGTACCCCATGCGTCCGCCTGAGAAGCATTAGCACAGGTTGAAATACAGATTATCGTCTATACATACCAAGCTCTCAAAAATCCCCTCGGCCAGTTCCAGGTATGTCCCCTCCTTGGTGACATCGTATGCGGCAATCCATGCGAGGGCCCACCATGCATCATCATCGTAAGCTTGATCAAGCCACAGGCTCGCATTGACGGAAGTTGATGGTTGATTGTCGCGAGTGAAAACAGTCTTCTTCTCGGGCCCGGGGTTGGGATTGGACACCGGTCCAACGTGGAATGTGTTATTGAAGACATATTTCGCTGTATCCATCACTGATGGGTCCAGGGCAGCTAAATCTGCAACTGTATTCATGCAGCTTGCACCATCCCACCAGCCACATGTATCCCAGATCCCACTTTGGGGGTTATACCAGCCTTGAAGGGTCTGGAGGGCATCCCGCGCTCTTGTTCTCGCGTCATCCGCGACCGCGCTTCCTGTCAGAAGCAGCGAAACGAGCGAAGGGGTCAGAAGAGCATGGCGGGAGAACAACATTGTCGCGATGTGTCGAAGGGAAACTGACCTGTTCGAACGGAGACACCAATTGGCAGCAGATATTCGCTTTAAATAAGTCAGCTCCGATCTTCAGGTCCGGCTCTTGGACACATAACAGCATATCCTAAGCAGATACATATTCGTTGTACATTCTTGCGGCTGCGGTGCCTTGATTGGCGATCAAAATCAATCTGGCCCACTATAGCTGATCGCTAGACCCCTGATCTGCAACGATCGCCTCGTTGTGACACTGAACCTCGCCCAATTTCGCGGACATGTATGCAGGTGGACGGTAAGCTAAGGAACCAGCCTTGCAGCAAAACCAAGTCCGATCTCAGTCAATTTGTCAATTTTCCTCTTTCACTCGATCAAGGGAGGTTATGTTCGACCAGCTGGCGCGTACAGGCGCTGTTGTTAGACCTCACCCCTTGCAATGTGATCGTCGCGCTTTTGTTTTCCGATGAGTAAGAGTCGATTGAACAAGAAAAATTGAGATATGCATTGTGAATATGTGAATAACTCATCGCTCTCTCGGACCCGCTATGAGTTCATTTCTTCGTCAGGATGGAGAGCCCCATCATCTGAAGGAGCCCACCCAACGGCCGTTGATCTGGTCTAGATTGATTGATATCGGTTCGTTGGATTTGATTGGTCAATTTAAGTGATCATAACCGAATCAATTGAGCTTTAATCTTCCGAACCGACCGAGCTGGAATTTGTCTGGAATGTATGGGCATCCGCGCTGCAAGAGGTTCAGCAGATCGGTTTCTTGAGCTCGAGCGTAATCAGCCTCGAGGGTAGCTTGTATGTGACACGCATTGTCTTGAGTTGCGCAACATTTAAATCAGACTATTGCTGCACTGACGTCAGCAGCAGCTAGGTTATTCTCCCCATGGGAAACGGGTGTCTCGGCATATTTTCGGTATCGGCAGCCAACTGGCAACGACATGAAAAATTGAATGTTCTCACAATACGTTGGATGTTTTCAAGAGAGCGGGCTGAGAAACAATTAAGGGGGAAACCGTTTATTCCCCTCAACCCCAATGTGCTGAGGTTTCGTTGGCACTGTTTGATAACATATTGACGCACATGTATCCAAATTCAAATAACAACATACCTTGTACTGTTCGCTGAGTTGTAGTCACACTAGCCAGTCTTTGTTAGCTACATCGCGGGTGCACAATGACAATGTAGACAGACACGGACTGTAGAACAGTGTGGATAGCCTACCAAATTATGGAACGGGGGCTGAAAGAAATAGGAGATAATTCCGGAAGATATGCCAAGGGAGCGGAGTTATATATCTTTTACAAGCGAGAAATTGACTCCCATAGCCCGCAAATAGCTATATCGTGTTGCTAATTATGATTCTCACTGAAATTGGACGACAAAATTTTTATGATTCATGCCGAGGACGGTGACCGAATCCTGCTTTCACCAATAGTAGCGATACTTTCCCCCATTGTTGTCAATATATGTAACCTCCGATTCCAACTCAGGGTCATCTGCCAACTTCTTTGCAAAAACCCGATTGGCCCACTGGAAACCGAGTGTCTGTGTGATAATTCCAGCGAGCCAAACTGCTCCCAGTGATATACAGGCAATCCATGCGGTATGATAGAGAGGAGCGTCGCTCTATATTCAATGTCAGTTGGATATCCTCCGTTAAGCGAAGAAGTACGCACCGCTCTAAATACTTGGTTGCCGTATGTGCCGCCTAGATTAGAGCATCCGACTATGGTGTCGTCTGTCAGCACTCATTCTCTTTGACAACCATCCTGGATTCCGGGTCCTTACTGTATATCGCATATGCAATTGCACGTTTCTGGGGCGTCTTAAAGTTCAAGGACAACCAGGTTACATTGATTGGCTGCCAATTTCTGCCGGATACTAGTAAGTTCATACCTCCAACTGTTGACTTGAACGATCACTCACGGAGCTGATTGGGTGACCACGTAAGCTGCATAGAAAGACCACGATGCTTTAGAGGTGATTGGAAGACACTGTTGCAAGAAATCAACATCCCCATACTGTACCGCAGTGCGACGTAAATTAGACTTACATAAAGTGCAATTAGACCCGCGAGAGTCCACACAGCCGAAAATAAGATTGCGTACCCAAACCGACTGGACCTGTCGACGAATGCCGACAACACAATTCCAAATATTGCGCCTAGCAGACTTCCTGGAGCATTAAGCAAGTTAGCGCGTATTGCACTAAAGTTAAGCGACTTGATGATGGATGCACCCCAGGTGCTCAGTCCATTAGTGGATTGCAGGCCGGCCAGGCACACAACCAGGTACGGCCAGGTAACCCAGTGGAAAAGGACATCAGTTCTATGGGTAGTCACGGATTAGTCGGGATTGTAGTATATGTCAAGTTAGTGAGGAACGCACATGTCTTTCCACGCGATTTTGAGATTCGACCCGCCTATCTGGTGGTCTTCATTTCGGGCCTGACGTGCGACGAGAATATCAGCTTCATGCTCGCTGAGCCAGCCCCGTACACGGATCAGACCACCAAATAGATGCCCCGTACAGTAGGGAGACTTGGGCACAAGGGTGAAAGCCAAGACACCTGCGGCTGAATTCGATGTGCTGTTAGCTACGTAGCCAGTAGGGGGATGTTTGCAGATACTCGCCGATTGTACAGACGCCACAAATAACAAATATCCTATACAATTTACTCACGCGTTAACGGCAATCATACGCATATAAAGCAGCAAAATAAAGACTGACCATTGCCACCCATTCAAACCCCCATGCTGGTGTAACGTCAATGCTCCCGCCGAGATCAGGGACCCAAAAGCAGCAGAAAACGCCGGCCCAAGGAAGAATATTGCGGTGCGCTGCGTGAGCTCTTTGGGCGCATACCATGTAGACAATATGTACAGGCTCCCAGGAATGAAGCCACTCTCTGCAAGCCCAAGGAAGAGCCGTGCGGCATACCACCCTTTGGCAGTAGTCACAAACATCTGCAGTACTTCCACTAAACCCCAGACAATGACCTGGGCGGGGATCCAGTAGTGGGGACCCACGCGGTGAAGGATAATCTGTTCATTCAGTTAGATGCGGGTTTAATATTCCAAAGTCAAAGGGACATGTGAGAAATACGTTTGAGGGAATTTCGAGCAAGACAATGCCGAGCCAGAGTAGAGAAACGCCTGTGTTGGCCTGATCCCGGGTCATGGATGTGTCGGAAAGAAAGGTGGAGGTCAGCACGCTCGATACATTAGTTCGATCAATTGCCATCCACGTAAATATCAACTGAAAGGAGGTTTAGCGAGGAAAGAAAACATGCGACATAAATATTACGCAAAGACAGACCGAGAATATGGGTAGGAAAAGGAAGTCTAGTTTTCGAACTATAAAATGCTCTTCTTCCGGAGTCCAAATGATAAGAATTTGCTGGCCGTTTTTGACGATATGGTGAGAGAGCGTGCTGGCCTGTGCTTCAGGGTCGGATTCCTCGCCGTCTGAGGAAGTAGTTGTGCCATTATACAGCTGGTGAACGTTTAGATCAACGGTGGCCTTTTCACCGTTCGAATACAGCTTGGCAGGAGAATGTAGTTGCTCATCTGTCATTTTCCAATCTCGTCGCTCTAGATTGTGGCTCTGGTAAGTTGGCGACTAACGTTGGGGTGACAGCTATGCGTAAGAGGGTCAATATATCGACTGCATGGGGAACTGCGTGTAGAAATGCGGACGATCAATGCGTTATAGGGATATTTAAACTGGGGATCTTTTTTTCTGAGTCCTAGCGGCGCAAGACAATTTATAGGCTCAAATTTACTATACAAGTCAGGGTAGATTGGCGTAGGATGTCGTCTTAGATCCAACTATGTCGTGACTAGTATACACCAGATGCACCTTGCTCATAGCGGAATACGCATGCCTTCCTATTGTGCTAGATATCCGATGTTTTCCTAACCGAACCCATATGCTGACGCCATAATATCGATGGTACACGACATCGAAAACTGGTGCTTCAATCCGGGGTAGGTGGCATATATGAAATAAATATAAGTTCCACAAATGGTTTTTAATTAGACGCGTTGACGCCATACGAGACCATTGCCACGCCATCTTAGGGCTATATGGCAATCGGTTGAGTCTTGGGTATGCGGTATATTGCAAGAAGAATATATTAAATCGGCTTATTCCGCACTTTATTTCTGTTCTGCGCCTCGCTTTTGTTCCTGCGGTCATTGACCCCATGGTATTGTGTACAACATATAAAATCAATATGCAGAGACGGTTTAATCCGCCCCATTCTATACCCATGGCACTAGTGCGTTAATATACCATCCATGCCACATGTCATAGCACATTGTAAATATATAAGAAGCGGGGTTTTTCACTTATTATTCTTCATCCATAGGGCTCTAAACGCATCCATTAAACAAGACCTACACCCCTTCCACCATTACACCTTTATTCTACCATGTCTCCAACACTTGAGTCTACCCAATCTCTTCCAACCTATTTTATTGGTCATGCCGGTGTAGGACTTCTGTTTGATGATCGTCCTCGAAATAAAATTCCTCAGGCCAACTTGCGGGATATCGGGGACGAGATCCTATCTCTGTCGCCTCGTCCCAAAGCCGTTGTAGTGTTCAGTGGCCATTTTGAAGCAGGCGAGATTCATGGACCCGGGGTAATCGAAGGTGAGGTTATGATAAAACATGACAGAATCAGACTTAGCCCGTGGACAAATAGAAGTTCCGACTAACATATACAGTGAATGTCAAACGTGGAACGCCTATTCAAGTGAGTAAACCAAAACCTTTATACTAATCAATAGCCTGATAATCCCTTGTGAAACCAACGTTGATCGTTTCTCCAGCATGACTTTGTTAACGATTTTCACGACTCTCATCCATTCGCCTACGAATACGACTGGCCGCATCAAGACGCACCCGAGCTAGCTGCACAGCTATGGAAACATCTACGAAATGCAGGACTCAAGGCTAAACGAGTGGAGCGAGGGATAGATCACGGTGTCTGGGTGCCTTTCAAGGTCATGTTCCCAAACGAGAAGCCGCTGGACATACCCGTAATCCAAATCTCCACATTCCATGGCAATGATCTCGAGAGTCAGATCCGTCTGGGTCAGGCCCTACAGTCGTTACGGTAAGTTTGAGACTCAATCATTGACCCCCACCCCCGTAAGGAGAATCATGGCTAACAAGTAGCTAGGAACGACGGATATCTTATCATAGGCTCAGGGATGGCTGTTCACTCGTTCGCCTCGATCGCTGAGATCACAAATGCTCCGACAGAGGAAGAGAGGGAAGCCACCCGGGCTAGGGTCATTAGCGAATCGAGAACTTTTGATACCAAACTGAGAGCGGCAGTGACAAAAAAAGATGGAAAGGAGAGAGCCGAAGCTCTTCTGAAGCTGGAGACGCTGTACGAGTTTAAGCGATCTCATCCGACTGTCGAGGTACGTTCCACTAAAATTTGGAAAGTCTTACCAAGGGATCGTCTAATATTTGCGTCTCTTGCGAATTAGCACTTTACGCCACTTCTGGTTGCTGCTGCTGCGGCTGGAGATGCAAAGGTGGAAGCCCTAGGCGTGGATTTGGTCGAACCTGGCTTTTCCTATCTCAATCTACGTTTTGCTTAGGACGGAACGCGAGAGCGGTGCTTGTATGGAAGAGCAGCCCTGGTGGAAGCTGGCACATTGCGCAGTGTTCAATTCCACGTATCTTAATATCCATTACCGGTTCCTTTTGTGGTCAAGCTCAGTGATACTAGCTGATGAATGTTGGTATTAAAAGAAGAATATATTTGTACACAGATCTTTAAGTTAATGACTGTACAACCTCACCTGGTAGCTCCATACTCATGCGCTTACTTAATAATAAGTAACCCCTTCTCCATACAAAGTAGACCCAGTGTTAGGTTCCTTAACGATACCAGCTTTGACCAGATCGTTGACTAGGTTGAAGATCATTAGATCACAGCCGCGCGGTGCCATGAAATCCACCGCGACAGGCAGATATTCTTGCTGCATAGTAACCGTGGAGTTGTAAAGTGCTTGGCCGACTAAATTACAATTATCATTAGCTGTAATCCCAAGAGGAATGGGATACGTTCTTCAAGGTAATGTGGGGCTAACGTACTGGGCACGACCATATCGGGCACACCAGCAAAGTTGGCAATACGAGAGGTAGAGAATCCTACAGGAGCACCTGGCATACTATATAGATTCAGAAATTAGTAAAATGTCTCTGGGATAGTAGAATCGGGGGAAAGAATGACATACTTCCTATAAACATTGCGATAGTTCGGCGAACCTTCACTTCCAATGTAAAGAATTAAACTGTCTGAGCAAGTCTCCTCGTCGAAAACCTGGGCAGTTGTGTTCCACCAGTTGGTAAATATGTTCTTATGTTCAATTTCAGCGGCCAGTTGGGAGTCCGGGTAACCAAGTCCCCAACCCCAACGAGACAGAGGCACAGGGTCGATAAATGGCTTGCGACCTCCATTGGCAGCCGCGTAGTCTGCGTACAGGGGCTCGGCAATGAGGGGATATTGTTGCTTCGAAATGAGGATAGGATAAGTGAGTCCCAACAGACTGGTGAGAGTGGCGTTGGCGGCGACAGTCGAAGGCTTGGTAGATTCCCAGAGAGCATTGTAATCAAACTCAGAAACGTTGGCACCACCCAAAAAGGACGATAGTTTGTCGACAAAGTCGATCACAAGGCCCTCAGCTGGGGTCGAGGCAGTAGTTGGGAACTGAATTGTCTTGATAGACTTGGGGTATTTGGTGTAGGACTTGAGGCCTGCATCCTTGTACAGAACCTCTGCAGCAGCGCGCCACAATTGCACATCTCTCGTCAAGAATCCGGCGGTGTCCAAAAGCGGGGACATAGGCATGACTTTGTCCAATGAGACCAAGTTCCATGAGGGACGGTTGCCGAAGCATCCATTGACTTGGGAAGGGTTGCGAATAGAGCCTCCAGTATCACTCCCAACGGCCAAATCCAACCAGTCATATGCTCCGATACCAGAGCCAGGGCCGGAAGACGATGAGCTAGGATCTTGGTATCCGTCACCACGGGCGTTGAAGGGGGAGTGATAATCAACCCAATCAGCAGTTGCAGTCTCACCGTTGGCGAATTGACTGGTCTTCATCTTTCCGACAATGATGGCACCTGCATCTATGAGGGACTGAATTGCGGGGCCAGTAGATTCAGCGACAGGGTACGTCTCATAGTAAGCCCGGTTCCCACAGCCGGTTTTAACACCCTTGATATCATAAATATCCTTGACACCGACACGAACCTATAACCAGGTAAATAGTTAGTTTTATATGTCTCTTGCGCCGTCGTATGAAAGGACAAGACGCGGATAATACATACACCAGCCAAAGGCCTTTCGGTAGTCTTGGTATAGTACAACCGCGAAGGTACACCAATGGTCAAGGAGGCATAGCCCTGCAAGCTTGCCGGCAAAACATCATATCCAGCATCGCCAGTGGAGATCAGTCCCTGAGTGAAAGACCCCATCAAATCGGAATACAATAGATAGGCTTCAAAAACAGCTCCAGTGGACGGATCCAAAAAGTATGGGCCAGGAGGCAAGGTCGATGACGCGGTAACTGTCTTTGCATGCTTTGTATGATATACAGGGGCATATCCCAAGATCTTTGGGCCCCATGGAGAATGGGTTGACACATTCTCTGAGGGCTTCTTGGAGGTACCGTTGTACTGGATGTAAACGTTGTCGAGGAACCCAGCATTGAAGACATCGTCAATGGACTCGTAGTTACTCACTAATGAATCGAGGATTGTGGTGGTCAGCTTCGAGGCGTCGCTCCGAATGACTGTCAGAGGTTGTAAGCCATCTAGGTTGTGGAACATATGCCTATCAGCATTCAGCGTTGCTACTGCTGTCGGAGGAATGTAGTAGCTGTTTCCATTAAGCTGAACGGTTTGACCCTTCGCAGTGATTGTCGCGATGGTGGTGGCGGAGAGTGACAGCAGGGCTGACAACAGAGCTGGTAGCCCGTAGGAAGCGGTAGGAGAGACCATGAGGATTGGCAGTTGGCAAATAGGCTCTTTCACCATAACTATGGACATAACTAGGCCATATATATATGTTCTACCCCATAGTGTCTACATACGTACCCCAATTGTACTCGGGTATCCTGAATAGTTTTGATAAGAACAAAATCCTAATGACATTATTAATCTCGCATCTAATCAAGACGTGAGACTAGAGGAATTTGGGGTACCTAGTCTTAATGCCTCAAAAGGGACTAGCCAGGGGGTTACCACCTTTCTTCGTATAGTTGTCGGAGATTATCGGCACTGCTCTTATCTTTAGCCTCTTCGGCAACTCATGATAAGCTGATAAGATGCAGTCACGGTTCTTGGTTACTATTGGCCCCAGAAAACATATTTAACCCGTTTGGGCTAGTAGGCTTTATACCCACCCACGGTTCAGTAAACACGCTACCATCCTGATGGGCCCCACTCGTGCGAATCGGGAGTCCGATGACATTCGGTGTTATCTTTGCCCACGGGTACCTGCCTATTTTACAGCCGGAGTTCAGCCTCAACTATAACAATTAGTCTTCTAGAAACGGATTATGACATTTGATTTCAGGAGTATATTGAGGAGGTATCCTCCACCCACATATCCTTTTAGCATAGTAAGCGGTAGTCCGTTTTATTATGCTCTTGCCAACAGTGTTGTAGAAAAGACTGGAAACTCTGTAGCCGAATATATCTTTCTACATCTGCACTACTCCCTTTCACTACCTGACTGAAGTCTTTTGTCGGGCGCTTTAAGCGCTGCGGCCCATTCACTGGCTCATGTAAACGTGGGGCGCAGCGACACTAGAGAAAGAATCATGAAATATGCACGTCGGAAGAGCCTCCGAGGGAAGACTAGGGTAATAATTTTCTTAAGAGTGGAAAAGATACAATGCGTTACAATTCACTATGGTATACGAGTTGCAAGGTATTCTTTCCCCCGGGTTATATGCTGGATAGTTATATCTAGACTATTTTAGCATAGTCAAATCCCGTCTTTTCCTCCTTTCCCTAGCCTCAACCAGGCTCGTTTGATGATTTAGTCTTATTACTATCTCCAGCGTACCCTAAAGATTCGGAACGCAACCCTTGTCATATTTCCCCCTTTGATAACTGAAACACATTCATAGTCAAGGAAGTCACCGGCGTTTAGCAATTATGCTGTACACCGAAGCTTCGTCGTTTGCCAAACACTGTGCGAAGCTGAGGGCTATCTAGTACAACTCTTGGATTGGACCAGATGGACCGGCAGGAAAATGGTGCTTAATGTTGAGACGCACGATATTGAACCAGTGAATGACCTCGGCGTTTGATGGCAGTATCCGCATATCGTGCATGATAATTCCATTTTGTGTCAACACCCTGGCATAATGTTCTGGTGTCTCTCTATTGCCACATGCTAAGCGATCTGCTTTATCTGGTATTGGTGACTTGTATTCCTCGATATCGCCCTGACCATATTAACTACAGCCATGTATTCAATCTTCAAGAAATACTAGTACCTTGTAAAGTGTATCGGATATAACAAGTATACCACCATGGTTAATCCTCTGAGCAACCCGAGCAATTGATGCTTCGAAAACATCATGGAGGAAATGAGTGTACACACCGCGCACAACGACCGAATCGTATCCGACAGTATCATCATGGAGAAGGTCAACATCTTGCCCGTTGCAGACATACAGATTAACACGATTCTACAGGTTCTCGGGTAGATTATCAGTGCAGTAGTCAAGTTGATGCTAGCTAATATTGATAGCGTCTATAGTCTGACATTCTGGAAAGTGTGTTGCTATGCGCATGCTGATAAAGCCCCAGCCGCAACCAAGGTCCAGAATGCGTCTTATCTCTGGCCACTGTGGTGCTAGAAGCCCAGTAAGCTCCAATTGGCGGTCAAAAGCGTGCATTGAAGCTGCCATGGAGATGGATCGTGGAGACTTTATGGAGGCTATGTCGTGTTGGGTTATTGAGAGCTTCTGTGCGACCGATTTGATGTGGCATGCCATGATCGGGAGCACTGCCTTCAGTGCAGGCCGAGACATTGGTTCCGATCAGTGGAGTGATGCGATAATGATGCCAGCATGGGAGGAAAAGGCTACGGGTTCCTAAGGTGTGGGGGCCTGGATCAGAACAGGTTTTCGGCTTTTATGGACTATCACTTAGCTAATTGAACCACCCGCTATGCCGCCATTTCTGCGCCGTTGTTGTAAACCAACCCCCTTCCAATTCAGAGACTGTAGGCTATGCGGAGAGGGAGAGTTGACAAGGATGCAAACTGTGGTTTGTGGGTTTCCTTAAGAGGAAGTAAGCAAGCAAACGGAATTCTAAGCGAGTAAGCAATCAGCTGCTATACCCACACCATGATTCCGTCTGAGAATAACAGCCAAAGCGGAAGGCAAAATATAGGAGAGGTTCCCGTCACGCCAAAGCGCAAATTCCTTGACGGTCAACTTAAACCTGGAGGTAAACTGCCGATATCACTTCCAAGCTACCCCGCAACATCAAGCCCGCGACATCGTTCTAACTTTGCAGTCAAAGATCCAACGCCCCATTCAGCATGTTGATGAGACACATAACGATTCCCGCCACCAACGGTCTACCTTGGCGAACACTACCGAGTGAGCACAGTCGAATTTTCAAAGTCAAGCGAGCGCCCTAATAAGTCCCCTCTTAGCATCGAACCCCCTCTTCCAAAAAGATCAGTGACCGGGAGATGGACGTCCAGTTGCCGACCCTGAATTGTTTTCGCCATTGTACTTCCTAGATTCATGGGCATCGTGACACTGCTGTCAATTTACTTGTCTTGAGGTCGCAATGATTTCGTATCTTGGTCACTGTAACTTTATTAGAGTTGCCTGGACTTGGAGACGTCTTTTGACAATGCTTTTCACTGTTAAAAATCACATAAATATCTTCCTGTATCCCAACGAAAACAATTTACTGCGATACCACGCTCTATCAATCATTAGCTTTTAACATGCAACAAAAGTCCTTCAAATGTGCAACTCACAAATCCCTGTACCATGTTAATTTCAAGGTTCCTCGCTCTCAGTCTCTCGTTGGGGGATTTGGAGCGCCCAGCGACCTCCCCTCCATCAACGTGCACATTTTTTGGCGCGTTCATCTCAAAATCCAAATTGCGGTATTGTCGGTGATCCTGCACAGGCAACGGAGACTCACTCCAATTGGTTGTATTTGAACGCAGGTGGACGCGTGACGAGGCAGGGTAGGAAACTGAATTGGCGCTCGAAAACCCATAGCGGTACTGGGTACCGCTTGGTCCTTTCGAAATTACAGCTCGGAATGGAGGGAGACAACCAACAATCATGGCTTTAGTATAGTTAGCATACTTCAAGAACAGGTTAAACATGGGAGTCACTTGCATATTGATGACTCGGCGATACTCCATATAGCAAGCGCTGCTTGATCAGAATATGCCTTTCCGGTGATCTCGATGGCGCGAACAATAGCCGCGGCTATAATGAAAAGTCCAAAACTGAAGACAATCACTAACCCGACCTTTTGCTGGAAGTTGATCCTTGTTCCCCAAATGAGAAAGAAGGGAAGAGACATGACTAGTACGTATTGAGTCAATTATATTTCATTCAATAGCGACAATGGAAGGTCATACTTAACAGGTCTGTGAGTATATCAACTGCCGTACTATAGGATATAGAAATAACGGATCCCTCCTGGTCAATCGCCTTGCTGCATTGTCCTACTAAATGTCAGATATTTCCTTAGCAAACTACCACCATAGAAGGGATACTGTACCAAATTTAAAGTAGTTCTCCGGCGGATGGCAGTTTAATACTGAAGCCAACCAGCAGCCAATATACGCCAACACCGTGAAGACTGTGATTACCCACCACACCCGGCGGTAACGGGGCAGCCCGTCGGACAACATCCAGAAGAGTGCTAGAAAGGACCCTTTGACGCTCCATAGAACGGACCAAAATATACTAATGATAGCAAACTCAAAGTGTGTGTACCGTAGTGCATGGTGAACAATATCTTGCCCCGTGGCTTGAAGTATCATATAGTAAAGATGAGGCGCCTGTATGGTTTGTAGGATTGCGTTGGTAATGAGGAAGATTAAGGCAAGAAGCATCAAGTAGTCGTCGGCCATTAGGCGGCTCATATATTTTATCCGAATTGCGATGCGAGCAGCTGTAAAGAGAATACCCAGCGCTGCTCCAACCCAAGTGATGGCTATGAGGCCATTTAATGGAAGCCGGGTTGCCACTCCGTGGGGGGCGTATGCACTGCTCATAGTCAAGGTACCGAAGATGACACAATTTCCTTTGGGGAGAAATAACCAAAAGACGGTGATCCTAGATGTGCATAGACGTCTCTCATGTAGGTTTCTCAGGGGAGTCGGAAAGAAGGAAATAGTATTTGCATTGTTATATGGAATATAAGTCTTCCCTATGAAAATAGCAATACGGGATAAACAGCAGACCCTTGTCAACCATGACCCGATCAAGATCCGAGCAATAGTAGTAAAATGCACCGAATACGCATTGACAGCTGAAAATAGGTTGCACCCTGGTCAACCATGTGCCTCAAACAAGTCGCAAAATCCACAATGAAGACTTCTAGCCCATCTTTTGCTGTTCCTCGGGACTTAGCTTCAATCCCACGAGGCTATTGTTTCTATTATTCCTATCGTTCATCTATCAGTTCATCTATTGAGGGGCCAGTATGTGGATACCCATATGTACCAAAGAAGACAAGATCAGCGGTAGTGCATTGAAAATTTAATGAAAGGGTCTTGAATCCCTGCCATTGGATTAACAACTTCAGCCGGGGGCGGAGATGGCTGCTTATATTCAACCCCTTTTTAGACTAGCCGAGGTCGGCTAAGATCTTTTTCAGACGTACCTCGAAACAGAATATCAATATTTGTATCAACAGAAAGCAAAATGAAATATATTAGATGCAATTAACCAACAAGTGATGATCAACATGGAATCAACTCACGGACGAGCGGGAAGATCCGGAATTATGGGCAAAAGATCAATGGGGGGCAGATCATAGATCAATCTATTTTGTTAGACACTAAATTGTACTAACCCCCAAGCGAGCCAAGCGAGGTTAGAAATGATCCTTTGCCATTAGTTTAATTGTCAGTGTTACATATTCTTGCGGCCCCCTGTCACTTTGCCTATTTGGGGATTTTTTCAAGCCTAGTGTCCTTTTATCCAGCCCGTGTTTTTCTTACAATATAGAATATGTATGTCGTACTTCGTACTCCGTATTCATTGTGGAATGGTTTACGAAGAAATCAGGTTGCTCCTCGTATATGACATCTTTCAAAGCTACTCACCATAATCTTTTCTTCCTCGCCCCAAGAATTGTTTTTCTATTCTTCATAACACTTCGTTTATATTTTTCAACCAAACAGAATTGACATCAAATCCATCCGTGACCCACACCACACAGACCACACGTCGGTTAACTCAAGGCGGATGTTAACACTATGGAGTATGGAGTGCTCGGTAACAGTTCCCAGCTTCTAGACTAGAAATGGATCCAGAATGACCTGATGCGCATAATGAACTCGCGCTTGGTGCGTAAACTCGACGGTGCTCGGAGATTATTCTATCCGCCTGCCGTCTGCCACCCCTCAAATATTAGTATGAAGAGCTCGTTTGCCCCAGATTTGCTAAAAAGTCCTCTTCGTACCGCCACTCTTTTGGGACAGTTGTATTTCTTTTTTTGCGATGGTGTCAAAAACCCTGACCCTTTTAGCTTTCGCCGGCATCGGCTATGCGAGTCAGACTGCGTGCAAATGCGTAAGTATATATTTGAAACCGACAAATATCGATTTCATTCTAAGTGCCTAAATTGACTTTTCCCAGACCCCAGAAGACTCATGCTGGCCTTCGGTTGACACTTGGAATGCTCTCAACAAAACAGTATCTGGGAAACTTATTCACAATCTCCCAGTTGCTATTTCGTGTTACCCCGGGCCTTACCAGAATGCCCAGGAGTGCGCTGATGTCTACTCCCAATGGTCGAATTCTACATGGCAAGAGCTTTCCCCGGTCGGATACATGTATCCGACTGACGTTTCATGTCCTGCCGTTGACTTGAGCTCGGGCCAAACCCCCGGAACGTGTACTCTAGGGCCCGCCCCAGTATATACTATCAACGCAACAGAGCCCGCGCAGCTTGCAGCTGGCGTGGCTTTCGCGCAAAAGAACAATGTTCGTCTAGTTGTACGGAACACGGGGCATGATATGCTCGGAAAGTTTGTCACACCCGTCAAATCCATCATATACTCCATCCACTGACTCGTTATTACTTGACTATAGGAGTGAAGGATATGGAGCACTCCAAATTTGGATCAAATACATCCAGAAAGGCATCGATTTCCACGAGACCTACACTCCTTCTGATAAATGCGCAAGCAACGATTGGAAAGGCTCTGCAATGACAATCGGTGGAGGGTATGTCTGGGAAGACGCATATAATGTGGCATTCAAGCGCAATGTCGTAATCGTTGGTGGTGGTGATCCGGTATGAACCCCATGTTATGTCCCAATTCCTCAAGGAATATATTATTCTAATATCCTGTTCTAGACCGTTGGCTGCATTGGCGGTTACACACAGGGAGGTGGCCACTCTCCAGCTAGCCGTGACTATGGCCTTGCTGCAGACCAAGTGCTAGAAGCCCAAGTTGTGCTGGCTAGTGGCTCTATTGTTACTGCTAACGCGTGCCAAAACTCCGATCTCTACTTTGCCATTCGCGGCGGCGGTGGTGGCAGCTACGGCGTCGTTACCTCGATGACAGTGAAGGTGTACCCCAGCAAGCCTGTTGTGGCACAATCCCTTATGATCAGCCCAATCAAGAGCGATGATATCAACCCACTTTTGGAGGCTGTCACCGATGTTCACGCGCAGTATCCTGATATCATGGATGGTGGATTCTCCGGGTACGGTTCCTGGTCTGTTAACAGTCCTATGAAGCTCTTCGGCGATGAGAACGTTGGCTATACCCATGCCGTCGCAATCATGGGCAAGTCAATGGCTGACGCCCAGGAAATTTTTGAGCCACTTCTGAAGACACTCCAAAAGTATAATGGTACCTCGCTTTCTGTCTCCGTCTCATGGTTTGAGTTCCCATCATACGCAGCCTACTACAAGGCTATGTCGGGTATGAAGCAGCCTGTCGGAGGAGCGAACTCGGCTCTGACTTCGCGGATGATGGGGAAAACTGCGTTAACCTCTAGTCGGACTCGACTGCGTAGCATGATCGGAGTTATTGGAGGCAAACCAGCCGAATATACAATCAATAATGTGGAGCTTGTTGGTGGCGGTAAGGTGCTCACTGACGGGAGTGATAAATACTCTGCTGTCAACCCTGCGTGGCGCTCTACCTACATCGTGAGTGTTGTCGCTAGAGGCTGGGCAGATGAGTCTACTGCTCAGGCTGTGAAGAACGATGTCACATACAACAAAGGAGGAGCCATGAGCGTGTTAACCCCAACCCTAGGCAGCTATCTGAATGAGGTATGTGGCGCATTGATTCTTGCTGATGATCTTTGCTAACAGCAAAATAGGCCGACCGCAACGACCCATTGTGGGCCGTTAATTTCTATGGCGTCAACTATCTTCGCCTTGCCTTGATCAAGAAGAAGTACGATCCTACAGGTCTGTTCTACTGCCCGACTTGTGTCGGCAGCCCTTCATGGTACCAGCGCAATCTACCGGACACACGCTACGGTCCACTTTGTGCCACCGGTCTTTGATTCTTTACTCTCCGGAGTACAGTTGTGATACTCCACTACTATCTCATTTTTCGATTCTCATTCCATCGGCCAAATCTCGCTCTGGAGGTTCCATTTGTTAATCCAGTTCACGCGCATATCAGGACATGCTCATCGACAAGGGCTTGCTCATGCGTCTTCCCATCATTGTACCCCATTCGTGTATCTATTTAACACATCTCAAATTGTTTTCATATGTATATTATACCAAAATGCCCATCCCAATATCGTGCTGGTGGTGTTAGGTGTATGCAAGGCCTAATAGTTATAAAGGCCTTCTATTTGGTATAATTCATGATTGATTGTATATCTTGCATTGGGTGGGGTATTCGTAAGCAAGACACAGTAGGAATGCCAATAATTCGAACATCGCAGGCCAGCCGAAAACAAGAAAACAGGAAACCTCGCATCAGTCTTCCTGACATTGCGCTCATCTATACCGGACACGCGTTCCTTTTCTTGACCTTCATGTAATATGCGTGCGTTGGGGCACGTGTCGAATTGATAGCCCCGGAAACCATTTCCGCGTTTTGATCAGCATCAGAGATCTGGAAAGCCGACAGAGTCAGTATTGAAAATGATAGCGAGTTGAAGAACCTCCCAACCTACCTCCAACTTCATAAGCATCATAGAAAGGACCTTCATTGTCTTTGCCCGCGCAAAATGCTGACCAAGGCAAGTGTGCTTCCCACTTCCAAACCAAATCGCACATCGCTCCATCAGCTTTCGTTGCTCTTCACTTGCTTCTAGCCACCGCTCAGGCCTGAAATGCTCCGAATCCTCGCCATACACACTCTTGTCGAGGTGAATTACTCTTGCATGACATCCGATGTTGATTCCTGCTGGAATATGGTGACCACATATCTCCATTCCTCCTTTTGGGACAATTCGATCCATGTTCAGCTGGAGTAGCAGTGCATATCGTAGGCCCTCCTTGATGACAGCCTCGAGGTATGGAAGCTTTGACAAGTCCTGGAGGCTCGGTGGGTAAGATAAGTTGCCTGCTAGGATAGCATTGTCGAGTTCTTCTTGGAGACGGTGTAGGGTGGCCGGATGTTTGAGTAAGTAGTACAATGTCCACGAGAAATTGAACGCTGTAGTGTCTGATCCAGCAAGCAGCGTCGTGAAAGTCATGCCGATAACTCTTTCGTGAGAAATGAGGTTTGGATGCTCCTTGCGTGCTTTCATGTAAACATCCAGAAGATCCTCATCGTCTTTTGTGGGCTTTTCCTCCTCCTTCCTTTCCATTCTAGAATTGACGCGCTCTTGGCACATACTGACCAATCTCCCGCTAGGTCCGATGAAGAAGCTCGCTGCCCACGCACACCACATGACCACCGTGGGAAATGCAAATACATACATCCAAATAGATGTCACAGCACGAACCGTCTTCAGAGTCCCGCCGATATCTGTGGCGTGTTTCATAAAACCAAGATCAGTCGAAAAAGCAATATTGTTCATACTATCAATCGCCCAATATGAAAGCCATTCATTGATATCAACCACCTCCCGATTTTCTAGGATTTGTACCAATTCTCCCGCACTGTGGTCAATGTGAGATTCGTAGTTTAAAACAGATCTCCAAGAAAAGGCCGGCGCAATCACTCTTTTAACATTCGAATGTTCCACTTCATCCATCATGCTCTCAAGCCCGGCAACATTTTTTCCTTTGAGCCAGCCAATAATTCCCTTGTACATATTTCCCTTCGACACAAAATGTTAATCGACTCTGCTATTCCCACACGCTTGTGAACATAGAAGGAAAGGGTTTACCTTATGCAACAAAGGCTTGATTTGGTAAACCCTAGGGACTTCATAGGGGTCCCCAACACTAATATGACGAGGCCCCGTACGGATCATGGGGCCGTAACGCTGATGCCACCAGTAGAGAGTCTCGCCATAGTCGCCTTTCAGCAAATGGTATACTTTCCAGTAGTCGGTAAATTTGGCAATGAAGGGCCCTGGGATGGCGGCGAGCCTTCGTTCGATCAGAATAATCTGGAAAACCAAAAATATCCCAACGCACGCCGCAGCAACAGGGAGTGTAATCATGGTGGTGATGAGAGAGATATTCTGGCAGCTTGACGACTGGCATTTCACTACGTATATGTACCGACCCTAGCTGCCAAGAACTTCGAATCGCTAACTAGTAACGCACTAGTACTCGATCGTAACGACAGGGATTAGATCCAACACGAACAAGTAACATTTGAAAGGATCCGGAGATCGACATCGGCGCCTATATTACTCCGTACCTCTCTCACACAAAGGAGCACCAATATCACATTTGCCAATTGGGTTGAAACGAGCGGGTACACGTTGAACTCTACTGACCGCCATGCTCCAATTTCCCTATGATTTATGCACCTGTGTTGTGCATTCAGATCCTTGCATAGAATTTCTCCGTATTCCATACACTACCGAGTAGAATCTAGAGATGTTGCAGTTTAGAATCCTTCTTTCTGGTATATTATAGTTCCTCGCTCACATTAGGCATTTAGCTGTGGCATGTTCCCATCTGATATTTGATACAACTACCCTTAGGCTCTGTTTGCTGTTGAAATCCATTGTAATCACCTTCTTCCAATCGCATTTATCATAGATGGGATTTGTTAGATGCGATGCTGCCAGTTGACGCAATCGCTCAGGGTTTCACCCCAATACACTACAAGTAACCAATGTTGTGGGTCAAAGTGGATATTAATTACATCTTTGGGTTCGTGTCGAAACCTATGGGTGGAGCATTAATCTAGGGTATTTTACCTGCAATATGAACAGAGGGGTATGAAATCCCACACAAAGGGACGGGTGCATTTATTAATTACTGAGACAGCCCGCTAAAATTCTCAATATTATATATCGCTAGGAAGACACACATTCGTCAGGCAGCCAGATTCTTATCAGTTCGCAACGAATATTGCAACATCAACACCCCCTGACGTCATACCATTTGGCTAGCTAAGGAAGAGGGTTTGAGTTGATGAACTCGGTGATTAGATCGAAGGTCTGAGGGACATGCCTGAATAGTAAGCCACCAGGGTTGGGCAGTTAATCAAGAAGCCGCCAAAAAAGGAAACTGAAGCTCCACCTTTCTGTGAGCTTAATGTTTTAGAGGTCCCATGAAGACCTATGATATCACATTAGAGGGAGATATTACATTCGTAACTTCCCATTTCAAACACCTATAATGTTTGAGTACAATCGTGCATGGTTTATCAATGGGTTATACTGAGGTAGAAAAATTCATTTCACAAAATCAAGATCTTTTATGCTTTTTTTTTTACCGTTGACCTATAAAACTGATAGGACACCTAAACAGACAAACTAAAAGATATCACAAGGAAGATTATAGCCGAATATTTTTATTATAGTTTGATTTACTGTCATTCCTCTTTACAACATAAATTATCCAAGTTTGGTACCTGATCTCTGGAACCGGCAGCGGAAGCGGATAGAATCCATGGCTCACCTCCATTGCTGTGACGGAACTGGAAGGCGGTCTAGAGTTATCCGTAATATGTTGTAGAGCCCCATCCACCCAGTCAATCTCCTTTCCCATTTAGTCAATGAATATCCTTTGGGCCTGTGTGGCCCCCAATCCTTCGTCTCTTCTCATCTCTCCCATTACCCACCCCAACACGGTTTTATGCTCAGCCTCAGCATCGATATCAGCAGACGAGCAATAAACCCCACCCAGCCGCCAGCATACCAGATACAGGAAGCCCACAACATAAAGGCCACGGCTAATGCGGCACCTTCGTCTTTTTTTTCGATAACGACAGAGGTGCAGGTGACCGAATGTGTGATGTCTGATGTGTCTGTGGTTGGCCTTAAAATAGCGCCGTTGGTAGTATGCGCCCTAGCCCCTGGTAGGGAGATGTGTTGGTTCGCCAAGTTTAAACTAGAACCACAGATGAAAATAACGTCCAGTGCATGATTTAGGTTTAATTAAAACCATATGGTCACATATTAACAGAGCACAGAGAGGTTCAATCGAAGCGAATTAAATATTCTAGTGAACAAACTTTCCACGCTCTTTGGTGAGCCATCTCAGTACCCACCACCCTGGAAGAAAATTTCGGCAAAGACTCTTTGTAGAATACGATCGGTATTTAATCACGATGCGATCGGAAATACCTACTCCGTACATCCACCACACTTCCCGAGGTCGATTGATTCCTACTCTTTGAATTCTTTGATTGATGATCAGTGATCGACACAAATAATGCGGGCCATCGAACTTCTTCGAAACACCTAGTTTTGTACATGTGGAGGTTACTAAGCAGTATCCAGCCAATAGATATAGAAACCATGGATTTTGCTGTGTGAAATAAATTATAAAAGTCTTACGTCAATGTTGATCACATTTATGCCGTGCAGTTTCCTGGCATTTAATACCAGCCTTGCCCCATATAGTCATTCTCAAGTACTCCGCACTTAGAGTGACTTTTATTTAGAATCAGAGGGTGACATGGCCTTTTATACAGAGTAGATCATTCCGTTCTTGGATGGCCCTATGACACTGTCTATGCGCTGGACTGACTAGTGTTGGAGGGCTTCTTGCTAGCCATCCCACTAGTAAATGTGATTGTCTGCATTGTTGCCGCTCAACCTACGCCTATCACAATTTCTGGGGCAAAATCTCGTTCTCGCTCTTTTTGTCCATCAGACTATACATCTAATTGATAGTGGCCAGTCAAGGATTACTTATGGTTTCTAGAACCCAAAAATGTTAGCCCGCTAGAGCCGACGCCAGTAAGTTGAGGCATTATAGCCTCCAAAACGTAGAGGTGCTAGTTACTCAATGCTGAGTATACATATTCAAAAATAGACCGTTGTTTCCACTATCGAACGAGGCCTACCAAGAGAAAGGAAGCGAGAAGGAAAGAGGGATTTATGTGACGGCTGACAAAAAGCCAGGCGGCCATGTTAAGTTACACTGCCTTGCCAGCTCGGGCGGGAAGGGACGCTAATACACGCACGCCACTAATATTAAAAATGGTATTCTTTCAGGAAAATACAGTTAATTAAATTCAGGAAAAGCTGCAACCCACAAACTAGAAATTGAGTATTAGTAGGGAATGGTATTAGTATTACTGTGAAAAAAAAGTGCTGTGGTGTGCATGCATTAGCGTCTCTTCTTGCCGGGGCTGGAAAGACAGTGTATGCATCCAATGCACGGCGCTTAAGGCAATAAGGCACCATCATCAACCCATCTGCAGACATCTTAGTGAGCGTTTTATGCTTCTATCCAAAGCCCGCTGAAATGGATGTAGGTCGTTAGCGCGAATTGTATGGCTGTTTGGGTTAGATAACAGTACAACAGCTCTAATCACCAAGCAAAATCCAAGGATATTAGGGCTTCTAACTTGTTGCATATCCACTCCAAATTTCGATTATTACTTCTTCTTATAATGTAGTATCCTCGGAAGAGTTCGTATCTCTCGCCCGATCTTTCGCCCACCCAAGCGTTCTATATTTGTTCGGAACTAAAATCCTAGGCGAAGGATTGAAAGGCGATTTCTTTCAATCACACTCATTATCCTAAACAGTTATAGGTTCGATGTTTGAGGCGCACAGTGGCATACGTATTATTAGACTAAACTAGGACAAATGCTCTCTTTGGCGGGGCGTAGATTTCAGGGCTAACATGCTCGGATAATAGCACATCGAGTCCAGATGAAAGGACGGAAAACATTTCGACAAGGGAGATATTATACGGGAAAAGATACGGGCATCAATGTATCCTGTGCATGTCTTAGTCCACGGGTTTACACTGAAAGTACTCAAAGTAACGTGAAGATTCGACTTTGACAACGTTTAATTGAACAATCCCCTAAAAGTCCGAGAAATTGAGCATAGATAAACTAAACCCAGTACAATAATAAAGGAGCCAAACTAAATTTTATTAGAGCATTCCCGCACCCTATAGAAAGGATGTGATACGAAGGTTGCGCCCTCTATGCATTCTATTTTTAATTTAAATTGAGCAAGATTATAGGTCGATGGCGAAAGCGACGAAAAGAGCCGGAAAAATGCTTAATTTCTTTCTACTAAGTACAATCTTTGACCATACCGAATTAAGGAAATGATATTTCTATGAGATAGCGAATGTGGGGGAAACAAGATCAGCTTACGGGGGTCCCTGGGACCAGTTGCCATTTTGGGGCAAAGTACAACCTCCAGGGCTATTCTGTTGGTCTCGTGCTTACCTGCCTTGATGCCGAACGGCACTTTCAGCTGTTTCATATTTGGCCCAGCGACGTCACTACCCCGGGGAAGATAAAGATATATAAAGGATATGGATGTCAATGTAGTTATCATTCATCTCATCTTTTCCGTTTCATGAACATTCTCTTAATCTTCACTTCGACATGCGAATGCGAGTCACAGAACTTGGCGTCTTAGCCAATCTTGTCATCTCGGTAGGCGCGTTGACCGTAGGTCGGAACCCACTCCAGGCTCGCGGCCCTGTTGCTTCTAGCTCGGCACCTCCTTCGTCTTCCCCTACCGGAGATGCTTGGAAAACCATGCAGTGCTCCCAAGTCCAGGGTGACCCTGCAAATCAATGGCAGCAGGCAGATGCAAAGTCTGCATGGGACACCACAATTGCAGCTTGGAAGGACCAGCCAAGCACCGATGGCTTCTCACAGTTCTTCAGCAACTATATTCATGGGCCTCAAGGCATGAGATGTAGCGACATTGGGACCGAGAACCGTTGCTCCCAGCCCGTGGAGTGCGAAGATGCTAGGATTCCAGCCGGGTAAGTCACACTATCTGCTTCCTGCTATCTACCATATAGTATCTCTAACAAAGATATAGTGCTATGATTCTGAATGGATTTACCGGTATCCATCAGGTAAGTCACTAACATATTCATGAATGAGGCATTGCTTCAATTTAAATATGCTGATCGCTTGTCTAGATTCACGCATCAGTTTTCCAAGCTATCGAGCTTGCCCGGGCTAGTGTGACGAACAACGTTGGCACCTTCACATCTGCATTCGCCCCTCAGCCTAAAGATAACGGCGCCATGATAAAGATGATCATCGATGCTGCCATGCTAGTTGTCAGCTTTGGCACATCTATGCTATATAACGTGGGTATGATACTGCCTTTTTCCTTTAAGTTAATAGTATGTGAGATTTAACGTCTACTAGTCCTTCAAAATGCGGCGAATGTAATCGGTAAAGCCATTGCCGCTGATATGACAGGTGCTATGCTATCTACCGCTGTTACCTATTATAAGACGAATATGAAAGGGTACTGGTCTCTCTCCCTACTCAATTTCAACCAGCCTAACAAATTGACAGCGCGATAGAGGGACTTCAGGTCCAGAACACTATTGATTCTTTTGTAGGTGTGACAATGACATCATGGAAGAACATGGAGACATCTTATCTCAAGACAATATTTGCTGGGGCCGACCCGAGTGGTATCGAAAGCCTCTATGCTACAATAAACAATGGTACGATAGCCGCAGCTACGGACAAGCTTGACCTTGCCGACACGAGCACCGAGATCGAAAAGATCCTCTACGGTCAGATGATCTCGTATGCATGGAGTGTTTCTCCAGATAAGGCGCGTCCATTTGTTTGGTAAGTCAGTTCAATAATTCTGATTATTCTTTTTCCTTAGCTGTAAGTGAGGCTAACTCGTACTGGCTAAAGGCAGAGCGCAGTGTATTGCGATGAAAGCACCACGCCTCTCTCCAAGGGCACTTTCGTTGAAAATTCATCTTTAAGCAAGATCTATGTTTGCTATAAAAATAAGATGCATCTGCTGGTGAACGCTCATGAAATCAAAGGCACCGGCTTCTCTAGTTCCGTTCTTCCGGGTGGAGAACATGATACTCTAAATGGAAAGGACTATGGCGGGATCACAATTGAGGACATCGTCATCAGTAGTGTGGACGGATGGACCCAAAATAATCAACAAAATGGGTACCCGAGGGCTGATATTGACAGTATCGTGAACAGCTTTGGTGGGGATAATGTCCCTAGTGTCCGAACTCCTGGATTCTTCAATTTGCCGATTTGTCTCAATGCTGGCAAGGCTGAGGACAACATAAGATATGGCTGGGGTAATAATTCACCATATTGGCCCTGTGAAAACCCTGAGGGATATACCAGCACTGGTACCAATCTTGTAAGTTGGCTAAAAGGGCCTCTTTTCACTCCTATCACTGCTACCCGTGACTAATTCAGACAATAGCATGTTAAAAAGGGCTGCATTCTGATCAACGATGCAAAGCGCTGCGCGAATTGGGGTGGAGCGTATAGTGAGTCGTATTGTCGCTGTTCATTGAGTAGCTAGGCTAACAGTCCCTAGACGTCGCAGATCAGAATACTGCCAACAGCACTGCCACTATATACGCCATGTTCAAAGGTACAAGTGAAAAACTTGTCGACAAGGAGGTTCCTGGCTGCAAGCTTGTGGCATCATGGCCTCGCGAGTGGGGTGATTTGGACTTCACCGAGGACAATTGTCTTGAGGACCGCAGCCAGTTGTATAAACAGTGCTGCAACGCGGAGACGAAGAATACCGATCTTGTCGACAATCCATACGGCCCTTGATGATTATTGGGTTGAAGTTTGGATCCATCTCCAGGATTAAGGTATAGTTGGAGTTCATTCAACATTTGATTCCATCACTGCATGTATGTAAATGCAAATCGTGCCTATGGCGATCATGCCCTAGGCGCTAACCTTACAGTTCAGGAGTTTATCTTTCCAAAACATCTCTCTCCCTCCTCCCTTTCTGAACGTATACTGTAACTCTAATTGCCGCAATGACTGGTACCCGCGAATCGGAACCTAGTCATTGAAAGGGTTGTTGTATCGTATGACGGGAGGGGGTAGCGTTGCAAACTGCGTTGGCTGTAGCATATTATCGAACGTCGATTCTCCGAGATGGCGAGGTCCGACAACCGGCTAAGTAGAGCAGACTCGGGTGACTAGGTGTCAAAATGGTGAACGCCGTTGAGCCACTAATAAGTGCCGGTGTTGTAAGTGTGAACTGAGAAGGCCTTATCGAGCCTCACGACAGCGGTAGGGGCCGTGTTTATATACCACGTGAGAGAAACCTATCCCTTTCACACTCTCGTATATAGATCATGGAGGCTGGGTGTGGGTTATATTCGATCCTCTCGTGCGCTTGCTCCTGGCGTGGTGGAGACGATCGATGTTTGCTGTCAGGTGCAGCCCCATTTCCCGCATGTAACTCAATCAGGTCAGTACTGTCTGGGCAGTACTGTCTGGGATTTCATCATAATACTCCTTTGCGGCGGAATCGAAGAGGTGAAAGTGATGAGACCAAGAAGTTAGAGATATGTGACAACGAGGTAAGAGACATGTCAATTCGAGACCCTTCTATGAGGACCTAGAAATAATAATTAAATAATTAAGTAATAGCAAAATCATCCCAAGGTTCGCAACAGTGTAATCGCTTTCATATTTTTTGACACATCATCTCTGGACCCGACATATCTAGCCTGGGAATCATGGACGGGAAATATCGCAATGTCCTAGGCGTTACCACGCCAGACGCTCTCCTTTCCTCTCTTCTCCATCAGTTCGCGCCGCATTGCCTACAGAAATGATTTTTGTTGAGAAAACGGTTCATTGCCAGTATCTCCGCAAGATACCTTCCTACCATGAGACTTCTACCGTCACCACTCCAACCGATTCCCTTCGAGCCACAGCGGAAGTCGCGTCGGGTTTGCAATATTTATTACTTCATTATTAGAGATTCACGAGCAGCCATCGATGAGACCCTATTTAAATCGTTATTTACCCATCAGCCTACACAGGAGCGAGCCGAATCGTGACCCAGAATGAAACACCGCCAGACTAGCAACCACAGACAAACAAGTGCAACCTCGTCCTCGTATACTTATTGAATGTGCCCTCCCTGAAGATTACTGGTACATAACCTTCGATATTCACTCGCCATTCGCAAGTAAGGGCATGCGTCATGAATAGCGATACCACCATATGTTTGAACCCCTTTGTCGGCTTGATAAGCAACTATCTTGACCGAGTGTGGAAATCAGATTTTAGTGCTGCGACCCTTTACGTTGTTTACCCAGTGAGGCTTCATTGAAGAAGGCAGGCAAGATTCGGTCAGTCTCCTTTCAAATGCTCCTGAGTGATAGGTGATGCCCGGTAGTTCGAAATAGGCATGCGGATGAACCGAGGCTTCCGCTCAATCAAATCATCTCAAAAGCCAATTCAATGCCCTCTCCACTAATGATTGAATATTTCACAGACTAGTTGCCAAATCCGCATTTCCCAGCTTCACCGTGAACTGGATTCCGGATGGAGCAATGCTTACTTGAGGATTGCATATCGAGCGCCTTACAATCGACCGCTCATCAAATGGCGGCCGGTGCATACTATGCAACGTTTCCCAGGGCCCCAAGGAAAAAAACCATCTGTCACCCACCGGATTTTCGGTAAATCAATTCCCTTTAAAACGTTTGTTTGTGTCATTGGGTTTTCCCTTCTACATTGGCGATCCGGGAGCTTCCTTGGGGTCTTGGGCCTTGTTTGCCTGATGTGCCACAATATTTTGGCTACTCATGTGTAAAGCATCACATATCCCGACAATCAAAACTCTTCCAATGTTCCAGAATTTATGCCTAGCCCAAGATGGTTACACGATGCTCACAATTTGCATATAAGCCCTTTAAAAACCTGCGATTTCAGCCCAAAGAATCACCGTTATCGACCTAATAAATAAAGTTTAAACGCATCAAGAATATTCTTTCATCATGCCTAACAACGGTGCCCACGATATCGTCTTTCGTATGGAAAATTGCCCATGACTGCTGTCCTAAACCATCAAGGCTGATGTAGCTATTCTAGGGACTTCCATCTCGGCCTGCAATTCAAGCAATCACCTACGGGTCTACATGCAAGATGTCTTAGGAAAGATCCGCGAGTCGAAGTACGAGGACAAATGGAGCAACGGAACGGAGAAAAATGTTATTGCTTCGGCCAAGCTCTACTCTCCTCTAGCTTGTACCTCGAATGAGCTAGAGAATGTGAGTTTTCTAATGAAAATATGATCAAACAGGATGATTAACAGGAACTGGATAGATCCGAGTCTATTATCTCTCCACCGAGAACACCATGAAAGATATGTGCTATGACAAATCCAAAGGTTGGTATGAGGGCAACCTCGGCAAGAAGCGCTTCATGGCAGCACCGTATTCAAAGCTAGGCGCATGTCACCTCAAGGGACCCGATATGATGATCAGGGTCTATTGTCAGATGCCAGACAATACGATCCAGGAGTATGGAGTGAAGGGTAAGTCACCAAACCATGATGGATATATCACTGCTGATGGAAAAATATAGATACCGGAGTCTGGGAGAAAATGTCGAACCTGGGTTCAGCAATGCCCGGCACGGACATTGCATGCACCGTGTTCAAGACCACCGAATCGAAGATCCGGTAGTTACTCATGCGTTCACTTTATTTCGCAATATGCTAAGCTATTGATAGTGTATACTTCCAACATATGGAGCATGGCATCATAGAGAAGTGCTACGACAGCAAACGCGGCTGGTATGACGGAGCCGCCAAATTCCCCAAGGTCCAACCCCGGACGTCCCTAGCTTGTACTAGTTACATGACTAGCTCGGACACGGTCGGAATCAAGGTATACTACAGTACTGCGGATATGGTGTGTGAGATGGTTTACGATGGCAAGGCTTGGACTGAAGGACATTTCCACGCGGATTGTATCCCCGGAACGCAGATTGCGTGCGTTAGCTGGATGAATGGCTCGCGTCCGGATGCACGAGTGTATTTCCAGGCGGGTCATGAAATCTCTGCGATTACGGAGTATATCTGGACTCAGGGACGTTGGTCGTCTGGGAAGCTTGCGCTTCCTCCTGCTTGATTACAACTATAGCTGGCATTTTTGTTCCTTCGAAGTATACGGATTAAATTGAAGGTTATCTGAGCTTATCTCCCAATTGGATTTATTTTGAAATTATATTGTGCCGGGAAAGAAATGGAAGGCTTCCCGTTGTGACATTATCACCAATGTGAAGATGTACGAGATTATGGCGTACCATCCGAAACTCGGGTTTACGGAAACGAAGCGAAGAGTGGAGGATGGGTTTTGACGTGTATATTTCTATAAATAGTTTGGTGAACGACATCCCTTCGACCGACGAGCTCACTAGGATCTGACAGGGGCGGCCCCCGGCCCCCACCGTTTGTCTTTAGGGCTGTAAATCGCCGCTAAATGATCGCTGGTGCCCACTCGTAGTGTCCAAAATAGAAAAGCTCAAACTATAGCAAGTGACGTCGAAATTCTTTCAATCAAAACCAAGCTCTAGATCTTCATATTTGAGAACATTAAGTAGTGTATGCCAATCAAAATGATTCACATAGGACGAGGCCGTCCTCTTTCAAAATATATACATGAAAGGTTCCGTCATAGAAGAAGATTAAGGATGAGAGTAGAGAAAGATAGAGAAGAAGATGATGAAGAAGGGCATAGAAAGGAGAAGGAGACAGGAAGTGTTGTGACAAAATCGTGAGGGAAGGAATACGAATTATAGTGACAGAAAATTGTATCGAGGGCATCATATCACGGGAAAGATGGTAAACATTCCGATGACTGGGGAATAAAAAAAGAAAAAGTGTGAAAGTTCATGAGAAAAATTCATCGTCGCCATCCTTTCCGAGGCGGTCTATCAGGGCTGAAGTCCTCTTTGCTAGAGTGCGCGCTGGACACCTCGTCAGGATAAGCAGGCTCGTGGGTGATCTCGATGGTAGTTTCTTGATACACCTTTCCGATGGGTGTCATTTCATGGTCACGGCCGTGGCTGAGTGCGCTTGGCGAAACAATGTTATCTGTTGAACCGTCGCGGTCGAGGTCATCAGTCAAAGTGCCACCATGTTTGCGCTTTGGATCGGCGGTAATGGTAGTTAAATTGGTCTCGCCTCGCTTGCCCTTGCTGCTGCTGAACTTGTTGTAGGAGCGGTCTCCGCTGGGTTCGGAGTCGATGATCAGGTTGCGGCGAGTGAGCGTGTACAGAACAACATCGACCAGTCCGGAGCTAGTGATGAAGGCGCCGGCACAGCAGAAGAAGATAATGCTGGGCTGATTGCCGTGGGCTGTGGCCATTCGGCCCGCTGCGAGGGGTAGCGACAAGACGACGTAGACGATTGGGTAGATGGTCATGTAGCCTACAACGCGACGCAGGCGCTGCAGACTCGCCAGTTGGTTATTTCCGAGGATGGAAGAAGCCGCAATCTGTCGACGCAGCTGGAAGTACATGACGGCGTAGAGAAGGACTGTGCCGAATTCGGAGAGGAAGATCCAAATATAGTGAGTCCATAGACGGGTGGTCTCGTAATCCTCGCTGATCCAGCACCAGGCTCCGGAAGGCACGAAGATGCCGGCGCCGTGCATTCCTATTGGGATGATTACAATCAACACCACGAAGACCCAGACGCCCACGACGAAACAGACAAAGAACTTGTAGGACATTTTACGTCCCCAGACGACTAAAAGGAACGTGTGGATAGCGATAGCAAACACGAAAAGACCACTGCTGGGGTCTCCAATTTGCAGCCACAGCCCTTGGAGGAAGCATGCGACATTACCGGACTCGATTTTGTCGGTCAAAATCCACTGTAGACAAAGAATGAATGCAAGTGACTGTATAAAATCCGCCAAAACAAGGTTGTAAATAAGAATGATGTACTGGTTGTAACCGATGTATCGTGTATAGCTGCCACGCCAGAAAACAAGGCGATATGTGATGAATCCAAGGAGGGCTGATGTTGCAATGAGAGACATCAGGGCCATGATGGAGATTGCTATTAGACCTCGCCGATGCGATTGTGGAAGAGGATCAATATCAAGTTCCACGGAGTCGGTCAATCGACCCGCCAAAGGGTGTTCGTTGTTTCTGGGCATTAAGCCCATGAGAATGAATGAAGCCATGGTAAATCGTCGGGTTGATTGCACTTTCAAGTGGTCGCTCTCATTGTCTGATTGAAAGGTGGGATTTAAGGCTGTAAGATGGCGTTTTAGGGGCCACTGCCTAGAATCGATCGAGGCTGGGCAATGGAAATTGATATATAAAGTAGAGGCACCGAAAATTTGAGAAGGAGAATGCAGTAAGCAGTGAACCTACCCCACAAGATGCCGGTAATGAAAGACAAATGATAGCTCGAGGGGGAAAAACAATGTGCAAAGGATTGCAACGAGGGGGAAAAGAAGTAATAACCAGACTACCGGGACTGATTAAACTCAAAATTAGATAGAACAGGACAGGAGAATGAGAATCAAACTCATTCAGGCTTTTTCTGCATCAATAGCTATGCAACAAGGTTGGGTGAAAAGTGGAATTATGGGAATTATGGGGACACATGAGGGAGGGAGTAGGATCTCCATAAGACTTGACTCTCTGGAGTCGTGAATCCCTGTATAAAACGTATATTGTACTCCACTTTAGCCCTCTGTAGCCCATCATTAGCCATATCCCTAAGTGGGTAAGAGGGCACAAGTTCGCCACGAGTACCGAATAAAATGGCTACAAAGTTTAGCCTAGTTAGTCTACTCCATAACAGCCCACTCGACGGACAAGCCAAACCGTCTAGACTGTAAAAGTACACACTAAACAAGGGCCTGTGCCGGTTGGAAACGGTGTTGCATGGAAAAGGAAACATCCCCAATTTTCAGAGCCACTCAGAAGGCGCAAAATTCATGTAGATGCCACGTCCGTGTTCTCCGCATCAAGGTCAAAGCGCACGTTGGCTGAGAGTGGCTCGCCCATGTTCGCTGCAGGGGCAAGGCTTCTGGAACACTAGGTGGAAATATCGGGACAAAGCGTATTCTTTCAATCTTAGAATCCCTTCATATTTTGCTATGTAACCGGAACTATTTTTTTTTTTCGACAATGGGCATTGACACTCAAGATCACCAAGTTCAAAGAAAATACGAAGGACAATGGGAGCGGGAGACAAGGGGGAGAGAATTTCACGTGAGATTCCCCCGCACGTGGTCTAGATTCGGATACGAGAGCAATGTACTATATAACTTCACCTTAAAAGGACTATTTAGCGGACATTAGACATTTTGAACCTCTTAAATCATAAGATGGGGATCTTAAACTTCGAGCCGCCTCCAGCTTTCCAAGCTTTTTTTAATTTGATCAATGTCTCAGAGCCGTATATAGAACGAGACAAAATAATATATGGTCGTATAACCCCCTATTAATTCAATTTACTCGGGATAGGCTGAAAATCTGGATAAACTACTCCGTACAACACACATAAAAGACATATTTTTGTACGGGAGTGCAGTGGAGACTTTCCATAGTGGATGGGATCAACCAAGCAGAAGGATGATTATAGTCATTATAGCCTGGTTTAGAGCCGGGATCGCTGGGAAGGAATCTCAGTCCCGAAGGGATTTCCATAATCCACAAATGCGGCAATTTTCAGATGTCTTAGATATATGTCAGGGGGGTAAATCGGGAACATTCCGAATTTATATTGCAAATTCTGACAGCTGAAGCTCTCAGGTACTCCTTAGCTCTGGAAACAATTTTTACCTACATCTACTAGATATCATTGACGCTTTCCAGCATCTTTTCTCCGAATATAAAGTTCTCGGTGTAAACGCCATGTCTCTCATACACTTTCTTTTCTCGCCCCGCTTGTTGCCGATCCAAATTCCCGGCAACACATTATTTGGCCAAGTAGGCCAAGGCCTGCATTTTGAATGATTTACATGAACTACAATGAGATAAAAGCTTATACAACCAAAACCTTGTTCAAGCGTTCTCTTTTCTCCTGTAGGATTTTCAAGGTTGGGGTAAAACATCAAAATGTCATTCTTTTTTTTTTTTTTTTTCATTTAACCTTTTCATGACACACGAAACCAGTGAGCCTCTAATACGTATGTCAGTTCCACTTTTTGATTGCCTAATGCGGGAGCGGCAACTACCCCCCTTGCCCAATTTTATGAGCCATCAGCTTGAGGCTCCTTTTGCCTGAAGATATTCCTGTCTAGATCACCATCTACAATACCTACACGTGCCAAAGAAACCTCCAATAGTCCCACTCCACTATTTTGAAAAGTATATACTCGCCACTAGCGCTTCCGAGCCGTGTGCACACATGCACCCATGGTTGAGGATATTTAGAAGTTCAACTGACGCGCTAACCTTCCTATTTCTGTGAAAATATGGACAAACAAACGAAAAAAATAAAGTTATCATCCCAACCTATCGATCTTTAGCGTAGTTCGTTATGCCCAGCATCATCCCGATCATACCCTGAGACTTTAACAATCAATAGCGTCAGATCATATCGGGGGATCTCCAAATTCTGCACTCCGTGGAGGCTGATGATCGACATTAAAGTACTCTGTACGGAATATATCCGGAACTATTGGTAGGGCTCCGATAAGACTTGTACAATATCTCGCCCCTGGCTCATTTGACATGTGATTCCCATATAATCAGATTCTCTATGTCTTACATATAACTAATTATTATTTCTGTTCTCAATAGTGTATGTCCATCAAGCCAAAGTACCATCAACAGATCGACTTGCATAAAAAGCTAAAACTGCATGGAGGCTCACGAAAAAGGAAAATCCCCTGTGTACCCCGGGAAGCACTGCATCCCAGTCTTTTTCGCCCTGATTCGTAGACGTGACCCTTCGCAATTCATGGTCTCCACCAACGTCAAACTCACTTTCCTACCGGTGCGGAGTTTCAGTCGTGGATGTTGTATGGTCCGCAGTGGGTAGCGGTGGAGCTCATTTCGGGACATTACCCCGTCGGCAGGGGATGGACCGGCAAGATATAAAACAAGATGCCGAGGTCACGGATGGGCCGAAGAATGAGTATTTCTAATCCAGTCCACAGCTAAACCACAAAAGGTTTCTGGTGAGAGATTATTTACACAATGTAGGATTGCGGTATGCATACAATGTGAGCAGGGTCTACCAGTTGCCTTTTCTACTTTTTGAGAGAGGTAAATTCTTTACATGCTGAACAGCGAACAGCTTCGCTGACGGAAGTAGTATGAGGCATTTTGGACGACTCCATCCAGCGTGCCAATCATGTGGATGGGTCTTCTGTTCAGCATGATCTGTCTTGCGTGCCTGACTTCAGATACCCTCGATACTGAAGTGGAACATCTGTCGGCTCAAATCGACCTTTATCGAGAGAAGATTGTCTAGTGCCTAGACTTTCAGACCGACTCTTGCCTGTAAGAGATTGTAACAGATTATGACGGTGTTTTCAAGGGCATCTAGGGTAGGCTCATGGCTCATAGTGCAACTAAGTGTCGCCGAGTACTAGTGGTTGGCCTATTCCCGGGAGTTCCATCCATTTCTGGACGTTCGGCATTTGCAGTGTTGCTTCAGCCTAGTATGAACTCACGAGGTAGGTGGTAAAAATCTCTCTAGACTCACAATGTATCCATGTTTACCTAGGGGAATAATCAAGAACTCCATGTGGGGGAAAGTTTTGTCAGGTGAATAAAGATCATTGCAATACTAGATCCAGTTATCTTTTATTGCACTGTGCTAACAATTCAACCGCTGAGAGATGCTAAATCAGACTTGTATCATAGCCCAAACGCACAGGCGGGCGTCGGGTCGGGGGAGGGAAGCTCATAGCATTCATCAATCGTGAAAAACAAAACACAAAAAAATGTGGAGAGCCAATGGGCGAAGAATGAAGAAGCGAAAAAAGCAAGCAAGATATAACAAAAAAAAAGAAGCCAGGACAAGAAAGTAGGGAGGGGTATCATGAGTTCGTCAAGCCCATTGCAATAGCAATAGTTATATCCATATCCCATGCTATCCAGCAAACAGTCATCGAACGATTCCAACGTTTCACGTAGGCCGAAAGAAATTATACCCATTCCACCCGGCGTCGATCTATCTACGTCTCGAATTGCGCGTATCCCGACGACCAAGACCATCCTCTTCTTCGTCCTCCTCCTCAACAGGAGCAGGCGTGCGTCGCTCCGTGCGGCGCTTAGGTCGACGACGTCGGTTCGAGCTGATATTACTCGCCGAGTCATCCGGCGCCAGAGAGCGGTCGTCGTCGAGGAAGTCGTCTTCGCCACCACTTTCCCACGTGCCAACGCCTGAGAAGGGCGTGCCCATGCGCGCTTCGACGAACGAGCCCCGGCGACTTTGGCTTGCTACGGAAAGGCCCGCGCCGCGTTCGCGCAGTGCGCGACGCACGGCTTCAGCTTTGCAGTGGAGGGCTTCGAAGGCGTCTTCGAGGGCTTCCATTCCGAGGAAAATATCGCGCTCGACTTCTGCCAACGCCGCGATTTCGGTTTCCTCGTCTAGAGCGATCGGCCCGCCGAATGAGGCGGGAGATGTGGGTCCGTTCACTTGGCTCGAGGGTCGGAAGCTGCCGTCCATGTAGTTGGGTGTCGGTCCTCGGGAGATACCGCCGCCTAAGGGGGTGCTGGAGCGACTGGTGTAGCGAGACCCAGTGTTCACGGGGCCTGTGTCTTCTGCGCCGCTGCGAAGGAATCCGTCGAAGCGGCCCGAGATGAGAATCTCCCACTCGTCATCGCTAATGGCGGAAAGGGTGGCGAGGACATGGTGGAGAGTAGGGTTATTCAACATGTACATAGCAGTTTCTGGGTCGCGAGGGAGGGAGGACAGTCGGTAAAGTCGCTGGATGGCCGATGCCGACGAGATAAGCGCCGAAGGTTTTGGTCGGGGTTTTTCGTCGTCGGATCGTGGGACAGGAGTAGAAGAGTTGATGCCGAGCAAAGCGCAAAACAATGAGCGCTGGTGGGGTTCGAGATGGGTTAGCATGGCGAAGGTCAACGTCTCATCGTCGACCTCATTAGGAGCACTGGTGCCTGGATCATTCTGCTCGTAGAGCCATTTGTCGACAGCGATCTTCGTCTTTCGAGATTGCCGTATGAAGTGGTCACGGTACTCTTCAGGAACGTCAACATCAAGCTTCTGCATCGGAACATGCTCATCGCCTGGTGCGCCTGTATCTACGGCGGTCGGTGCCATCGTGAATGGGGGCCACATGGGAAGTTCCCTGCGACCAGATACAAGCTCCAGAACCTCACCCCAGCTCACCCCATCGGGTCGATTGTCGGCGTCTGCTTGATCGCATATCTGGCAATTACATGGTTCGGACGAGATATCGCGCGCGAAAACAGCTTCGAGACGGTCTAATAGACGCCGGGCGACGGACCGGTAGCCTGTTGCGACAGCAAGAGATCCATTTTTACTCATGACCTTTTGGTAGTCATCGAGTAAGCGATTATACGGATCGAAAATCTTGCTAGCGATAGCTCGGGACTGCGGTTGTCCTTGTGAGAATGGATCCTTCTGCCCGAGGCTTGCCAGCAGTGCTCTGGAGACCTTGTTTTCCAGCCCACCATTTTTCAGCAAGTAGTCAACTCGAGGGATAGTAACAGGCATTTCGGGCGGGGGTGGGGGCGGCGGGGGCGCGCCAAATGAGTGCGGGTTCATTGGCTTCACAAAATCAATCGATTCGTCGCTGGTAGTGCGGTGATGGGACATGGCTGATCGGTTTTGGGTGCGAGAGGGAGGCTTTGTAGGTGGTGTCATGGGTTTTCGTGGCACCGACTGCTGCTGGTTGGGGGCAATAGACGTCGCGTCGGACCCGTTGGCTGACTCTGTGCCGATATCACGAAGCGTAACGTTCGACTGTGAGGCAGACATCGTCGAGCGACTAGACCGTTTGGGCAGCTTCCTGTCATCGGAAACCTTCGTCTTGGATTTGTGGCTTGATGACCGAGGCAATGATTCAGTCTCATCCTTGGGTATTCTAGTTTTCGTAGGCGTCTCTGTGTCCGTTCGCGAGGTCTTGCTAGACTTGGATTTGGTGCTATCATCCCGTTTCGACCGGAGACTCGACGATGACCGGTTGACTTGGGCTCTGATTTTGATATTTGTTTTCTTGGGCTTGTCTGTCTCTTTCTCATCCTCGTTCACGATACTGCCCTTCCTCGACTCTTGGTCGAGCCCCGTTAGGGGCGGACTAGGAGGCGCATGGTGATTCTCGCGGTGGTTCTTCCCGTCGTCATTTGTCAAATCGGTCGGGTCCGGTGTGGGGATATTCGGTTTTCGGACGCCTTCCTTGCTGTGAGCTTTGGAGAAAGTAGGATATGGCAGACTAGTTCTCGACTCAAGGAACGAGGCTGCCTCTGATCTATCAAGTCCAGGCATGGAGGACCTTCGGGAAGTTGATGAACGAGCCGTGGTAGGATCTGCTGAATCCTTGGTTGAGGTCTTTCTTTTGTTTGTTTTGTTTGTCTTCTTGGACGACTTCCTATCGTCGCGGTTTAGTCTAACAGGAAACATGGCGAAAAGCTGGAGACCCGGGGGGGGGGGGGGGGGTCAAGTCGGGGGTCAAGTCGTCTGTTACCTGGACTCGCGAGGGGAAGGTGATCCTATTTTGGTCTCCAATTATCCTGGCGCTTAAACAAGGTCGTGACTGGTCGCTTAAAGTCGCAGCGGGAACCAATCCGGCATTCCGCGTCTGGGGAAAGAAGGGATGAAAGTAAGAAAAAAAGAAAAGAATAACCTCATTCAGGTACAGCGCATGAAATTGAAAGTGGAAAGAACTGCACTATGTGATTATGCGGTGAACGATCTCGGGCCCCGCTCTTGAACTGACGTTGCTGCATGGAAGCCCGATATTAGAGATATATAGAAAGAGTAATTCTCAGCTGACTTTCTGAGGGAACACAGCAAATTCTATACTGCCTGAGGCAACTTACATATTTCATCGTCTACATAGCATGTGATTTGAAACATTGATATTCAAGCTATCATGTACATCGACAGAATCAATCTGATTCATGCAATCCATTTACAGCCTTGACAGGCGATGTCTCTAGTATCCAGCTTCCCTTTTCTTCACGAGCAATCCCTCCAATCTGCGCAGCTCTCATCATCTTGTCACTCGCAGGGGTCAAATCGCCTGTGTTGTAATCCCAAATCCATCCTTCCTTTAGCCACATCCATGTAAGATAGGCACGTAGCTCCTTGTCGTGTGGTAGAACGCACTTCCATTCAGGCACAAACCCGACCTCTGTCGCATCTGTCCCTTTCCAGTCAGAGGCTTTCCCCCGCAACTCATCTCGACAGAAGATCCTCCAGCTATCAAGGGAATACGCTCCAACTCCGGGTAAATGTGCAATCTCCCATGCGACTCGCAAATCTTCTTCGTCGATGCATTCTTCACGGCTGACGTTTCGACCATCCAGGTTTCGTGGGTAGTGGAGCTTGCGATATCTTTTGGTTTTGTTCGGGGGGTCTGATAGCCATGTTTGTGCCAGTGTGGTACATTTCCTAGCGCGTTGATTTTGAAAGCCCAAACAGTTGATCATTGATACGAGTTCGGGTAGGTCTGCTTCTGCCATCGATTGAATTGTAGGATATCGTTCAAAAACCTTGAACAAGACCGGTAGGGCGACACCACCGCGGGTTCGATTGAGAAAAATGGTTGCAATGAGTAAACGGAATGGGTCATGTGCAAGCTGTTCCTGGATGAGTCCGAAAGAAGGCGCATCGATAGGGGGAAATGGGAGGCAAGATTCAGGATCAACTAGCGCACGAGGGAAATAAGGAGAATGCTTTGGTGGTTTGACTTTTGGGGTTATGATGGGCTGTGGGTTAACGGAAGAGGTATCTTTCACAGGAATTTCAGGGCTTGCTGATTGGGATACAAGGAAGGGGCTTTTCGGAGGTGATAACGTGATGTGAATATGTGATTGGGGGTCACATTGATCATTCCAATCAGAATCAGAACCAAAATCACTGGGCACATCACTCAAGGAAGGATCGGATGACAAGAAGTCCGGGGGCAGATTCATATTATTCAACAGGTTTTGGGTTTCAAGGGGGATAGACAACTCATAATGCGAGAAAGCTGTTTCCCGCTTGCTTTTCAAGCCGACTTTGGGTTTGCTGGCCCCTAAGAAATACTTCGACTGAACCTCATCACTTGGGATCACACCTGGCAAATCACTGGTCTTCAAAAATCCGTGGGCCACAGATTTGGGTCGGCGGGTAGAGGGAGGTGACCGGAGCTCCGCCTGCCTCCATTGGAGTCCTCGAAAGAGGTTTGTCGGGGAATGGAAAGGGGAACGTGCTCTTGATCTATGCTACCAATGGAGTCCCCTTGAAATTGTTTCTCCGTACCATGAAGATCTTCTTGAGGCTGTTCTTGTTCATCCGCGGTCTTTCGATGCTTGCGCCGCTCTTTTCTCCGTTCGCGCTTGCGCTTATTTTTCTCTTTTTTTGTTTTGGCGCCTGGCTCACGACGTTTCAATGGCTTATTATCGACCACTTTTTCAGGTTCTAGGCTCTCAGGAATGCATTCGTCGTAAGGGGTAGAGTCGGTCGGATCCATGAATGTACTATGGCTAGGCCGAATGATCTTCGTGGGCAGTTTGGGCAAATCCGATGTGTTATTCGTATGTTTCAGTTTATCCAGATTAGCGTAGTAATTGTCACGGCCTTCAGTAGCAACATCTGCGGGCACACGCTCTTCCACTACCTCGATTGGCTCATCATGGCGCAGAGTGTCGCGGCTGTGCCGTCTTGGCTTATCTGAGTGGCGCGTCCTGTGAGTCTCTTCATCCGGCAGATTGTCGTGGTTTCGAGTACGAGCATCTGCGGGGCCGTGTGCATCCACTGCCTCAGTAGGCTCATCATGCTGCAGAGCATTGTGGCCAAGACAGCCCTCGTGGCTGCGCCGTCTCGGCTTGTCCGAGTTACCCCTCTTGCTTTTCTTGTGCTCTTTGTCTTCGCTGTGGTCCGAACTGCTCTTACGGCGTTTTCGGCGCGTTTCTTCCTCGCCGTCCACTTCATCCCCAAATGCGGAGCCGGCATATTCAGCTACCGGAATTCCACGCTCCTCAAGGAAAGTGTTTCGAACGTGGTCAATCAAAGCATCGATGGCTGTGTCGTCCATCCCAGCCTCCGAAGCGAACTCGCGCACTTGGCCAGTGAATTCTTGCCTAGCTGAACGTCGGACAGGTTGAGCATGTTCCATCATGAAAGAGTGTGAGACAATGAACTTCAACACATCCATCTGCTTTTCTGGGTCCACCGAAGCAAAGATCTTCTCTTCTGCCGTCATTTCATTGCCATGGGTCGGCAGTTCTGAAGATTCGGTCATTTGGGTAGGCGCAGACGGGTGAACGCTGGCCTCGGGGACGGGATAATGTTCAGCTTCTGTGAATTCCCGCCGAGGTTGCTTGATGTTTTCGAGGCTCATAAGAGGTTCATCGTCACCATCGAGGCCCTCCATTGTCACACTCTTCCGTATTCTAGAAGATCTTCTCGACTTCTGGTTCTTTGCCGTGCTTGTTGTAGGCGAGGAGGAGGTCGAGGGATTAGAAAAATGCGCCGGCTTGGCTTCGGTCCTTCGGCTACGACGAACGCCGAGCTTTGAGGAGTCGGATGCCCCATCATAGCCTAATGGACTCGATATGTCAGTACTGACATCCATCATCCCATCCCGGGATTCTTCAATGCTAGCTTCTTCAGATAAGATGTTGTCGACGGCACGGTCAAAGAAGCCTTCGTCAAACGTCTTGAGGGGGTCGATGTCGAAGGAGGGAAGGGGAACAACAACGGAGACATTGCTAAGTCGAGCCATTGTGTTTCTATTGTCACAGTAGATGGGTGGTTGCCTAGGATAGGCAGTTGGGGAAGTTCGAAGGGTTCGTAGACATGTCACAGTAGTCGGTTGGTTGAATGTGAACTGTATGAATGAGAAAGTGTCCAATTAATACAAACTAACAGACAAACAAAGAGCCAAAAAAAAAAGTTACCTTCGAGTCTAGCAATTCAAATGCTTCGTGTTCTCCGGCAAATCAGGAAAAGCTTTTGGAGCTCCCTTTAACGCGGGGAGGTCGATTCACGTGTAAATTGGATAAGGTGACGCGATGTCGCGTCAATCAAACCAGCAAGTGAAAATTAACAAAGAGAAGAGTTCAAATTTTTCATATCAGGATTCTTTAAGGAGAAGAAAAGGCAAAGTCGAAAGCTCTCTACATCAAAAAAGGGAATATCGAAAGCACAGACCATCCGATAACGCCAATCTACGCCTTCTATGTAAGAATCTAAGTGCTCCGTACAAAGGAACACTTATCTATTTATAGTGACAAAAAGTAGGGACGTTGTGGTCTATTTAAAGGTATCTTTAGTGGTCTTGTTCTGTTTACATGTCTTGTCAGTGTTATAGGTCAATGGCAAAACAAAAGGCAAAAACGGCTTAATATGGAAATAGACTTCCCATGTATCACGTTTCATTCATTTATACCTTCACGCGCACTTCTAATGTATGTACTTTGACACTACTGCCAACATATCCCATTCTACACAGAATACCCAGCCGAGTTGAGCTGTCTCGGCTCACCAGCAGCATCGAATGTTCCATTGGGCAGAACCCGAATTAGGTGGGCAGTACTCTGTCCTGGAGCAACCCAAGTAACATTATGCCCACGCGCCTTCATGGAGGCAACTGTTGCGTTGTCGAAAGAGTATTCGAAGGTGACCTGGTTCGGCATCAGCTGATCATGCAGACGGGGTTTGGCCAACGCTTTGGCGGCGGAGAGTCCCCGGTCAATGGAATTGATAATAGTCTGCACGGTGGCAGTGAGGATACGACTGCCTCCCGCGGATCCTGCAATCAAAAATAGTCTGCCGTTGGGTCGCTCAACTATCGCGGGTGTGATGGAGGAAAGAGGGCGTTTTCCGGGGCGAACGTAGTTGGCTACAGAGGGAATGTATCCAAATTCGTTCGATGATCCAGGAATGGAAAAGTCTGTGAGCGTTTAGTTAAGTCCATGGCCCAGGTCCGGCTTCCTCGACATACCGTTCATCTCGTTGTTCATGATAACACCGGTTTCTGGGACCATGAGATGGCTACCGAAAAGCAGGTTAATTGTGGTGATTACTGAGATTGCAAGGCCAGTATGGTCTGCTGCTGCGATATGGGAAGTTCCAGGGCTGATGCAAAGTCAGCTCAAAGTCAGAGAATACTCCAGCAAGCAGGACCTACGTGTCAAGGATTTCCAGTCCAGGTGGATCATAAGCAGATACGTTCTGAGTTCGCACATCCGAGATCTTGGATCGAATGTCATCAATCGTAGATTGCTCCAAGATCTGCTTCTGGTACTTGGCCATCCCATCAACAAATAGGGGATCGCCTAGATTAGATCTCTGAGTTTCGTGTAAGCGATCGTTGACCAAAGTGAAATCAAAGCCTATCATACCTCGCCATATCCAAATCGCATCGCCTCGTCCAATCGATGGGTACTCAGGTTCACAGAACTTTCTGTCGAGAAGAAATCTTTGTATGTCGCGAGAATCTTCAAAATACTCATAGCGATTGTACCACTCGACGGGGCAGAGGTACTGGTGATCTTGTAGCCACGGTAGTCAATCTGAGCGATATCCCGAATGGCCACAGTGTAGTCCTTGAGATCTGCAAGCGTCATCGTGCCGTTTTCGCTCTGCAGCGCATTGATCATAGCCTCTGCGAGGGGACCAGAGTAAAATGCATCCGGGCCACGATCTGCAATAGCCTCCAGGGTATCCGCATACCGGCGGCGGGTAATGGTATCACCCAGCCCTAGCCTAGTTCCGTTCGGAGCAAAGTCAAGTGCCCACGTGGGGTTCTTGGATAGGAAGTCCTCTCCAGTACCAACAGACGATTCCATGTATCTGACAAGATCTTCTGTGACAGGGAACCCCTCACGGGCTGTGCGGATAGCAGGCTGCAAAATGGTCGACCATGGTAGAGAGCCGTATTTCTTGTGGAGGTACTCCAAGCCGCGCACCTCACCTGGTACTCCACTTGTATAGCTGTTAGCCTGGCTCGCATGTGTTGGGTGTATTTGTAATACCTGGCCAGTCCACCATAGATGGAAGCATCCTCGTTGTTTTTGTACATATCCTCGAATGCCGCGGCAGGAGCAGTCTCTCGGAAATCAACGAATTCGTAATCGCCCTTCGGCGATCTCACGAGCAGGAAGCCACCTCCGCCGATTCCACTGTGGTACATCCCTAGTGTCCGTTAGTGATGCTCAGATACAATAGTTGGCTCAATATAGTCTCACCGACGACACCAATACAAAACTCGGTTGCAATCAACTATACCATTCTATCAGCACCGCACACCCGAGCCCACCTATATAGGTATACTCACAGCATCAGCGGCGTTTCCGCCTTTCTTCAGAATATCGGATCCATGGCGGGAGCAGATTGAGCTTTCGCTAGCAACAGCGCCCACCTTTCCGGGGTCGATGTTGCCATGCGATCCATGGCCGGAATCCCGCTCTCGCTCGAAGAACTCCAAAGGAGAGGTGTTTGCAGTGGGCAGATGAATCGCAATCAACAGTAGCGACAAAACGACCACAACTCCAAGTCTCATCCGTTGTAACATGATGACAATATTTTGCCTCCAATTTCTCTGTGTGGAATGTTCCGCGGGAGTAGATCCTAGAGAAAAAGGGGCTGGCGATATCGACTCAAGCTATGGCACCATTGGGTATTAGTATTTTCAACTAGGAGGAATTAATCAAATCGCGGAGAGGGGAAAATATAGCTTTACCTGTTTCTCCACATCTCCGCTCCTCCGACAGGGTTGTTGCATATCAGGATTGGAGGCGTCCGGCTTCGCTTCGGACGCTTTTGTATAGGATCAGCGGGCTCCAGCTCGAAGCCAGCGTCGAGAAACGGGAATTCCAGGCGTGGACATCAAGGAGGAAACATTTCAAATCAACAATATAGTCACGTGATGTCGCGTGACCTCAGTTTGTTTGCGCTTAGTTCACATTTATAGATAACTTCGTCTCTCTTCTCTCTCTTCTCGCGCAATTTCAAGGTTTCTAGCAGATCCACTACTGTTTCTCGTAAAATAACCACTCTCAGACATCTAAAAATCTTAAATATACTCCATAGCGGTGTGCTAATTGTAAAAGGATGTTTTGACCCCGCTGATAAGCGTTTTTGGGGATTTTTGGAGTCAGAACCCCATTACTCCTGCCTGGGCAAGACCTCTTATCTCCCATATGTTTTTTGGCCGACAACATATGTATTTTTTTTTTGTCAATATTGAAATGTGTATCTCTATCTATAAGAACCCAGTACTCCACATCCCAAATTCTCAACGTGGTATCATTCCTGTGGCTAGTCCTCCCTTGCAGCAGCTTGTCGTATCCAAGAAATAGTCCCTTCCCACTCCTGCGGAATATTATCCAATAGTTGTAGTGTGGCCAATACGAGCCGACGACCCCAATCGCGCACGTACCATCGATGGCACAGGAGACGCATAGCTACGCCATAATGCAGAAGCATAACTCGGGCAATCCAGTCACCACTTTGAAGCAGCGAGGCAAACTTGTCGGAGAGAGATAAGGGCCATGCAATGGGACCGCCATGTGGCCCAATGTTCGGCCACGGTTCGATGGCTTCATGCAGCCGCTGCCATGTGGTTTGGTAGATCGGTTGATCCTCTCCTTTCCTTGCGTCAATCATCGATTTTAGTCCGACCATCGACGTCAATATGTCTCTGTTTTACGCATTAGCTTCAAAGTTCCTACCACGGTCCCTCCATACGTCACTGAAACATACTTGTGTAGACTGAATAATATCTGTGTGTTTTTGACAGATTCTCCACCACTGTTACGTGTTATCATCGAGGTGGTCGCTAATGAGCAAGGAGAAGGGGTTTCATACAGATCATGTTTCCCAACTTCGAGACCATCTGGTGTATCACTAAGGCACAGCCAGCCCTCCAGCTGCGCTTCAATGCCGGCTTCAAGTATCCGGGAAAAAAGCATGGCCGGGCCGGACATCAAGGTGCGAGCCTCAAGAATTACCGAAACCGGATCAAGTGGTCGATTTTCAACAGATAATACTCGATATCCCATGGCGAAAAGCATTATGATGATGGAAGAGACAAATGCTGGTTCATAATCTGGTTGTGAGATATCCGGAAGAACCATGCTCAATCCAGCGCATGCCTGGCTCTGATATTGCGCGGCATGATTTAGCCATGAAGCCCGATTATCAGGTTCAACCGAGGCCAGGTGTAAGGCTGAAAATGCGTGGATGCTGTCAAGCAGGTAATGAGAAGATGTGGCCATGCGAGGAATCGTCATGGATAGATGGTGAGGTGAAAATCCAGCCTGGGCCAGGGTATGATACGTTGAAGTCATATAATGGTGAAATAATCTCGTCTCAAGCAAGCGTGTTGTCTGTGACAAATCCCTTGATGGGGTTCCAGTGCCACTCTCTGTTTCATCCTGAGCACTTGCTATTGGGCTATCCTCGTCTGTATTTGGAGGAGGATATTTGCATTCCAGTTTTCGTTTCCTGCATAAAGTACATTTTGGAATACCCTCATCACACTGCGTGTTGGGTCAGAATATGGGTCTCAACTGGTGGGCCATGCCATCCGTCAAGGGCCTGATCCACAATCCAGGCTTGCTGAGTCACGTTCAGCACCCCGACGGGTTCAGCGAAGTAAACATGTTGGCACTGACCTTGACATGTCTCCTTTTACACTCCAAGCACCCCTTCCTAGACTTCGTGTGGCTGCGACGCGATGGCATTGATGGGTGCCATTCAGGGACTAGGGTGATGTTAGCAACAAAAAAGCAATAAGCCTCAGGCCGAATTCATATATCTCGGACAAATTAGATCCGCACCCCCGACCTCGGTACCTTTTGGATCCGCACATGACAATGATTGGGCACACACCGGGCCGGGCCCGGGGCCCGCCCCTTTGTGGCTTATATAATCGCCATATCGAGGACAAGACAAGAAAACACTCCTTTGATATATGTCGATGAATCCTTGTATGGAGCATGGGACAGTGTGGAGAGTATATCAGTGTTGATTGATGATCCATGTTGTGGGTTTTCTGTCAGATGCTATAGAAAATACCAATTGCACAATATTTGTACGCAACAAAAAGACGATTGTATGAAATTTGTATCAAGAATGTCTTCGACTATATGTAATAGCAACTTTATATATCAAATTGATCATGCCTTATTGTTGCAATGTTTAGAAGAATTTTTCGGCATCTTCACCGTTCCGCTTCAGCTCTCAAGTGAACCTATAAGTATTCCAGCGAAAGTCAAAAGGGCTAACTAGGTTAACGGAGTCATTAGAACCTGTGGCAATCCGTAGTACACCTGCTTAGGGCAAAGTCTAGGTCAATTTACGGTTACTTGACATTGGGTTCAAACAGCACTAAGATGTATATCGATCTAGGTCCACCGGCTTTAAGATCGGCCCAGTTTTCAGAGATCGAGATTGGTTAATAGTCTTAGAATAGTTTTCTAAAGACCCCAGGCTTTAACTATATCAGAATTAGGTATATCCTAGCAAATCCGAGCTTACTCCACGTAAATTTTGCCAATCCATCCCAATGATATTATGACAGGGCAATTCAAACATAACCCTATGGTTCTACTTTGGAATGGTTCAATCATGTTGGATCATTTCATCTCTCATCGTGTACTTGTAGACTGAGTAGTTTGCTTGGTGGCAAGGTATACCCTACTCTCCAATAATTGAATAGCAGAGACTTTCTTCTTCTTCCTTTCTCTCCTTCGTAGCTCCAAGAGGTTGTACCAGTTTACTAACTGCTCTTTTACTATTCCCGTAAGCCACCAGCCTTACTTCCGTACTTCCAAAGACTTACCCATTCAGATCAAATATTCGACTCCCACATTTCAGACTTTTCACATATTCCCTCTTGTCTACGATATTCTGAAGATGGACGAACCAATCGTACGTGGATCAACCTCAGATGTGCTCATAATCTCCAATGCAGTCTCCTTCTTGGATTGCATCATCATCAGTGCACTTTTGGCGTATTTTGCTACAATGGTGACGCACCGACACTGAAGGTGGGATGGATGCTACTTCCCTTATGCGCCGTTATCGCCGACATTTGGACATGTATATGGCGAGTGTTCATTACTATTTCTTTGATTTTGATCGATTTATAGCTCACGGTTGAACCCTCGGTCCTTCTCACAGATATTGGATCTGGTACAGGTTGATCTAGATCACTAGTCCGTTAGAAGGCCCACTGCTTGCGCTGGAATTGAGCTATCAAATTCTGTTCATTCTTTTTCACGATGCCGCGACGAGTCTCCTATTATGCACTTGCTACCAATCTCTCCATATCACCCTGAGGATAACGACCGATGGTAGAAAAAAACCACTTAAACTTGAATGAGTCCACTGGTCCGTCTTTACTTTCATTGCGGTGATGGCCATTGCCCACTCTGCGTTATGGGCCGGCTATTGTTTTGCATATTTCCGGTTTGGACTGAACTTTCACACGATCGCAGCTGCAGGGGATATTCTCACTTGGCTGGCTTAATGGGAAATTATAGCCCGGACTGCACTTATTGTCTTCCAATCGGCAAAATCCGGGTCAATTATGAGGGTATGTGGCAAGAAACCCAAGTTACCCACAATATATAACCCAATCGATAAACATAAACCTGCTGTCGCTCTGCTGTGCGGCAGTACCGCGTTCTCCGCATTATCCTTCATTTTGACCGTTGATACTTACTCTCCGGTGGTATCAAGCTAAAGAATCTACCCCTTGCGGTGAGCATACGATCGCCCTCAAGGCTCTGTCTACTTTAGAAATCCTTTTCTATCTTGGAACCTATGTCGGAATAATGGTCTGTTTGTTGTCTACCTAGAGGGGGGTAATGTGACAGATTGAACCAAGAGCAGACTATCGCAGAAGCAATCATGAAGGCATAACATGGAATTTCACGATTAGCGGTGCATGGAATGTTATTTGGAGGTCGATGTGTCGAGGGCTGACTTGATAATATTGATACGCTAGGCTATCACCTTACAATTTAACTTGAACAAATCAGGAATCACCTTTCACTTCTCTTTCTATCCCAGATAATACCATCTGCCTCTAGCTTGACTCCAGATTTAGAGCCATATCACATCACCTTTAAAGATATTTTAAGAAGCAACTGCTTGAATTAGTCTCGGCCAGGTTCCGTTATTCTTCTTGCTTTTCTAACTAGAACCCCAATAAGAGAGAAGAGGGGGTATATCTAAAACCAAGACAACTGTGAAAGAAAAGATATGAGGTCACATAAGCGGTGGAGTTTTCCTATTTCATACACATAGTTATTCGATATCTTACTGTCTTTATGCAAGTTTCAAGCCATTAAAATTGTTGGGAAGGGACATTACTTGTAAAATCTATGGAACAGGAGGGTAATTATATTCGTAATAAACGATCGTTCAGTCTGAAACCAGACTAACATTCGAACAAAACAAGTCTAGGGCCAAGAATCGTTATATTAAACCGAGTATGGAGTAAGATTAAACTAGTATTCAGGGAATCTTCGTTGTGTGGAGGTTTTTGACGATAAAAGCCAATGAGAACCAAATGCAAGGTGATAGAGATCCATAAGGGCTATATGAACTCGTGTTGTTGCGGGAATATAAGAAAGGTCTCACGTTTTGGCCATGTATGTTGTCAGTGGCTTGAATAGCGTTCAACGGGTTACTTGCCTAATTGGGAATATTTTAAAAAGGTCTTTTAAGTTAATTTGAAGTAAATTGAACTATTTCGCCAAGATAATGTGGCTCCATGTTTTTGGCCCCAGGAACAACGATCTACATATCCTCGACAAGACCAATCAATGATCCAATTCGATACTTGACCCACTGAAAACATTAATATCCTGTAGCCAAAAAGTGGCGGAGTTATTTGGCATACATAAAGCCAGTAAAATCAATACCTAAGTCAGTATTAACAATATCCTCTCAACTTTTTCTATCATGACCAACGAAAGTGACACCCCGCCCAGCTATGAGGAGGCATTGATGACATCATCTCACTATGGTTCGCTTCCATCAACAATGAACGTATATGGCCAGTGGACAAAATGGAAATCTTTAAATCTATGTGGTGCAACTGCCAAAGACCGCCTATGTCTGATTGAAATGCACACTGGCTATAGTGGCAAACCTCCACTCGGGATGAGAACGGGATTTCTCCTACGGAATGGAATGAGCAACAAGGATCCACTTCTTGCTGCCGCCGGCGATGAATCGCAGGGCCTCCATGCGTTCAATCCGGATGGCATCGTTTTCTTGCCCCCACTTGATGCAGACCCAAAGTCCGACCGCATGGATACGGAACCGATGCGTGCTGAACCTGGTGCAAATAACGATATCGCCTTCCACTTTTCCATTGAGGTAGGCGAGAAGAAAAGGCGGGAGGAGTTTGCATGGAGAAAGGTCAAGAAGGGTGAGGACCAAGCCAAGAGAAATGGGTTCAAGCTGGTTCGACTCTCGTCTAGCGGACAGATATCCCAGCCGAGTGGCAGCAACGTCCAAAAATCATCTTCATCGTCTCCAGGAGGCAAAGATGGTGAAACTGTCGCTTTTCTTGGATTGGTTATGGCCTTCCCCAGTATGACACATGCGTTCACGCTTGAGCTAGTGGATGGTCAGTCGGACGCATTGGGAGACCGTTGGACTCTTATGGTTATTGTCACTGCAATCAGGTTATATACTCTGCATGTAAAAGGGAAAACGAGCAAGTTTGTCGTCGATATGGGAAAGAAGAGTTCGGGGAAATAAGCCAAGTGTTATATGTAACTGTACGTACAGAATAATATATGCTCCTTTATTCTACTTAAAATGTAAGACCAACGCTACGTTGTTTGTATGTTTTCCTATTGATTTTTTTCCCTCGTATTCGGGTAATAGCTCATAAGGACGTTGTCAATTACCCGCAATATATAAACAAGTCCCGTGATAATGTACCATACTACAACGGGAATACCATAGTCATGGTATGCCATAGGTATATATATCTTCGCCAGCTAGACTAGGTAGGAAAATATCCAAAAAGATATATAATAGCACTCACTTGTGTACCCAGATAGCCCTTCGTGATCAATCGTACACATTGTTCCTTCGATATATATATATCTATAGATGCATTCAAATTGTCATTCCGAGCAGTCTAGATATCGTGGTCTGTCTTCTCAATTTTATTTAGTCATATGAAAAACGCCATAGGCAGCACCAAGTCCCCTTTCTTTTTGAATTCCAGCCGTGCTTTGTAAGAATAGCAAGGAGAAGCGAGCCGGGGATTCATAGATGAATTGGGGGCTGTTTACTTATATTTGGAGCTTGACATGTACGGGATCATCAATACTAACTACTGTATACACAGATTGGCAAGTGGATGAATAACTCAGGGTAGTATTCTATATATGACCAGAATAAAATCTACTCGGCTTTCAAGGCCCCCCCCCTCATCCAGTAAAGCTATATACAAAGGAGCGCACACAACAACTCAAACCAAGACAAAAGCCCTAACCTCCATATTGGACTATATCATCCATGGGAAATGCTTCTGGCATCTACAGGTTCTTCATCTTCTCGAAGACAGCCTGCATCTGGCCGTACTGATCGGCGTTCAGGTTGTTGTACAGAAGGCATGCAGAGCCACAGGGAGTGGGCACGGGGCCACCGGCAGCATCGCCGTCGAAAACGTTGGAAAGGACCATGCAGTTGGAAGGCAGGCCGTCAATTTTGACACCTAAGAGAAATTAGCTTGATTCAAAGATGAGTGGCATTGTTCTCTGCTCACCGTTGTTCTCAACGGGTCCGTTAACGGTGACAGTGACGGCGGGGTCGGTCAAGCTGTCAGCACACATGTCGAAGTTGTACTGAGGCACGCCAGCGGGAGCAGTAATCTTGCTGTCACGGCCCTGCAGATCTCTGGCTTTGGAAAAGTGGGCGCCGACAATGGCACCACCGAAGCTAGCAGCAGCTGAGCCAACTTGGGCAACGGTCATGGCAATAGCATCGCCAATGAGAGGAATGGCAACGAAGGGGCACTGAACCTGCTGGCCCAGCATGTAAACGGCGGCGCCAGCACCGACGGCCTTGAGGGAGATGGGAGAAATCATATTGAATGGAGGAGGTTGAGATTGTTCGTTTTGAAATCTGTTGAGAGTCTTTGTTGTGATGAGGAGAAGAAGAATGAGGCAGAGATGGAGGGTGATGGGTGTTTTATACTCATTCGAAGCCATCCATGACAAAAGGTATACTTGTGATATTCCTCAAAACCTTCCGTGATCAGGAAATGCTCATCACCAAACTAGAGTCCAAAGTAGGTAGCGTCAAAGTTAGTGTTCATGAATAAGTGTCAGCTGATAGATGGGCTGAACTGAGTCGTAGTTGTGGCTTGAAGCCGGTCCTTGATACCAGCCATACAATAGCCTGAATGATATTGCATTGGGGGGGGATACTTGAAGATCTAGACTGAAAGTTGGGGCCATTTCATGTTGGCATGCCTTCGGCGTGGGTCTACACCTTGCCCGATGTAACTCAATTGATTTCTCAAGGCAGACTCGCTGGATAGCCCAACACAGTTCTCCTCTGGGATGCATTAGTGTGTATAGAACTAGTAGTGCGAAGGGGCGGAATATGCATAGATTAACCGACCCACACCCTCGCCCAACCAAAGCGGGTCAGAAAGGGGCTCTTTGTGACAAGAACAACTCACCCAGGTGGAGGACCAACAATTGATCCATAGCACTACTGGCCTGATAAAACATGATCAAGAGGACGGTAGGTTTAGCCCCCAAATGGCAGCACAGGCCCCGGGAACTTTGATACTCCATTGTCTCATAAGACGTGTGGGGAAATTAAGCACATTGATGAATTGATAAAATAAGATAGGTTCATGACTGTTATATTGATATAAAACATAATATGATACTGCAGAATGTGCGGTCTGAGTAGTCAGGTTGGAGTATTGGGGTATACCTTGTTTGGCATTGTCTTCGGCGTAGAGGCATTGAAGAAGATGGACAGGCAATATTTCCTAGTTCAGACTGAGCAAGGTGGATTCTTCTAATTATAGTGGGGAATTCATCATCCGCATGATCTTGGGGAGACTTCGGAGTTTTACGAAAGCGTTAAGAGAAAGGAGCTATCTATTATTATCATTTGGGTCTTGATATCTACCATTCTCACATTCATTCTCTGCCGTCACACTTTCAGCACTATGCAGATCATGGATCTCCAGTCGCTTTCACCGTTGTTTTACTACTTGATAGCGAGCGTGCTCAACATTACCGGTCTCAAAAGACGCAGGCAAACCCGTCTACTGTTGCTAGGGCCAGTTTGGCTATTTTCTCTGCTAGCATTGGCATCATGCCATAGGCTGTCTTGGATGATTGGGGCTGATAGCACTTTTGCAAGCGTGCTGGTCTTCTATCTACTATACTCAACGAAGTTGCTCGCTTTCGATCAACACGTTGTTAGTCCGGAGCTTAGCACACATGACTGGAGCTTCGTTGACTGTTATCGGATATGGAACAATCCTCGAGAACTACCATTACGACTTTCCCCTCTCGGAAGAGCGGCGCCAAGTGATTCTAAGTCTCGAGTACTCTTCTCCTTGAATGAGTCAATGAAGGCAGCGGCTTTGTGGGCGTTCGAGCACTTTGTTTTTCAAAAAGTCTTCATCTATGCGCTTGGACAAGTAGCTATAGTCGACTTCTCGCCTGAGATGGAAGTGAATTTTCATTTATCATCCCATCAAATGCAAGTTCGCGCCATTATGTCAGTACAATGGATTTGGCGCGCTTATTTCTTTCTGGAATTTTATCATTGTCTTTTGGCTATTGTGTTTGTGACCATCCTGCGATTCGATTACCCGGGAGATTGGCCGCCTCTGTTCGGGAGCCCCTTGGAAGCATACAGTGTGCGAGGCTTCTGGGGTCGATTCTGGCATAAGTTGACGATCCCTACGTACATCTACTATTCTCAAGTTGTGTCTCGGCAATTGATGGGAACATCGCCTGGCTCAAGCCTTGAAAAGACACTAATCCCGCTGTTTATATTCACACTATCTGGTTTGTCACACGCATTGGTTGGATGGTCATTAGGAGACGCGGCACTTTTCCGAGACCTCCTATTCTTTGAGATGTGTTTCATTGCTGCCACGGTGGAGACTACGATATCCAAGATGAAAGCCATGAACATCTTGAGGGGGGTCCTTTCACCGCTGTCTCGCACAGTCGCGGGCATGGTCTGGGTTTTCGTTTTCTTTTTCTGTGTAGCTCCGTTGTGGATATATCCCAAGGTCTACCATGTTGTATTAAACCCAGTACGATGAATCCATTGATGAGGCTGCAATCTTGTACATATATATTCGCTCGCGTGTCTTTCCTTAATCAATTGATCAAGCCAATACCCCGACCTAACATGGCACCAAATTCCCGAAGGCGTGAAAAATCTTGTAGGATGATTACGAACCATCCCATGAACGGTATGTAACCTCTGACAAAACCGAGAATTTGACTACGGGGCAAGTAATCCTGGCCCTCAGGATAAAGTAACGTATCGTCAATCAGGTTATTGTCCCCCTTTGTCAAGATGAGCTGGCTATAGTCAAAATTAGCACACTGCAAGAATACAGCGAGTCGTATAATGCTTACGTCAAATCTGGATTGCTTTGCTCCTCGTGCAACACCCGAAGCACCCTATGGATCATTGGGAACGCACTATTAGATAACCAGCATACCGGGAGGTCGCCTATCTCGACATTTTGATGGTGATTGGAGATGAATAGGATATCTCCCGGGGCGAATGCAGGAAACATAGATTCGGTAGTGACTATCATCACCGGGTATGGTGTCCCGGCCCAAATTGAAAGGGCCTTGTAAGCCATAAAACAGGTGGCAATGACTTGCGCTACAGCAAGTATATCGTTTAAAGCAGACCGCATGACTGTGTATTTCGACGTGCACATCAAGGAACATGTTGAAGCCGGCTGCAATAGCCCCCTGTAAATTTACCATTTGTCATCAGTATCAATTAGGTAAATGGTAATATTAGCCTTCGGGACTGCCCGCAATTTTAATTCCTACAAAGAATATTCGATTCTTTTTGCAGAGGGGTAATCTTGGGGGCGTTAAAATCTTGATTTTGAATCTACTTGGGCGCAGCCACACCCGGAAGGCTCCACCCAAAGCCGAGACTGAACCTTGGAATTTCGCCGTCTTGGCATAACCGCAGATCTCTTGGCTGCTTTATATTAACTCCCCAGTTTACTTTGCCTAAATTTGGCGGCTTTTCCCGCCCCCAAACTTGGCGCGTTCATCTCTTTTGATCGTCCTATAGAATTCTCATATAGGAAAGAGGAAAGAAATGCCTCATAGTGGTCTGAATCTCATAGACGGTTAAGGCAGGTGACACTGACATGTAACGAGGGATATCTGGAGATGGTCATGTGGACAGCCCTCAAGAATTGGGGGCCAAAATTACTGATTATGTAATGTTTTTGGGCGTCCGGGCGGGCGCCACCTTCCATGCAGGTGCCCGGCAACCCTGGTAATATCCCCGGGCACCCGAACTTGGTCTATTCTATTTGTGCCTCTACTACAGCCTATGACAACCGACCTCAAAAAAAAACACGAATCGTACTAGCTACCTCTCTATATCTCTTGTTGAACATATCTTGCAAATACATCGGATATCCTAGGAATATTGAGAGACCTAAACTACACAATGTCCAAGATAATGGATTCGGACTCTGAATCGTATGAGAAAACAGGCGGAAAGCCCTCAAAGGACATCCTTGAGCCCGCCGATCTCTTTTTGTCAGGTCAATCTGTCATCTCTAATGCTGCAACTTCAACTCCACTTTACCAATTAAACAGTGACATTCAGTCAATCTCGAACAAGGACTCATCCGTGGCATTCGAAAGAGTCGAGCACGATGTACCCGGGTCCGAGATTGAGATCAAGGGTGCCACTGCTGGCACACCGCAAAAGCACCATTTGTTTTACCTCGCACACCCCGTGAATGCACGATACCGGACAGACATAGCTGCGAGGTATTACATCACTTCTGCGGTGCCCGAGATGGTGGGCAATATTCGCCTCGAGATTTCTGAGACACGGTTCCAAAAGACGTCCTTCAAGGCTATGCTGAGCCCGAAAAGAACCGCCTCGGATAGCCCATTATTCGACGAGGGCACCCAACGACTGTTGTTTGATATCCAACCAAGTCGAAAGGTTGGTCGCAATTGTTACAGGTGGAGTGACTCCGATGGTCGACAGGTTGCTGTTGAAGAAAAGGGGGATGACAGATATGGATTATCCATCACGACAAGTATGTCGCAGGAGTTGAGGGATGCATTGGTTGCTACATGGCTGCTGAGGCTGTGGCACGATACGGCCGAGAGTAAGCAAGCTAAAAGGGAATGTGAGTTTGCTTCAGCTCTGTTACTGTTAAACCCCTGTAACATTTCCTACGGTCTTGTCTTTTGGCTAACTTCTCTTTCCAGTCTTCGAAAGCATGGCATCACCAGAAGCGTACAAAGAAAGTATGGATCCATATATGCCGAGGCAGTGCATCATGATGTGAGATTAGTTATGCAGTAACCATGACTCTGCCGATTGCATCTTCATATTCTTATAGAAGCTCTGGAACTTTTGGAAGCACTCACCTATTCAAGACGGGATTATCAGCTGGTGCAGGGTCTTGCCGCTATCTCTCGCATTCAATGTCACTCAATGCTGCGCTTCTCCGTAGTCTTCACTAGAGTGTTTCGGACGATCCTCAACAATGCCATAACGCAAGTCCCGCTTCAGCGGACCGCTACCTCCACACTGACACGAAGTCATCGGCCATGCTAGCGGAGATTTACGCGGCGCCGAGACCAGAGAACAGTTGGAGCGTGTTCAGCAGAATTTGGCATCATAGTAATCGGATATCACCTCTGCGGAGTGGGCGCTGAAACAATCCTCCAATATGGTTGAAACAATGGAACCTGAAGAATGTAACACCAAGTGGTCGTATGCTTCAAATGGATACTGGGCTATCTCTTTCAGATGTCTTTATTGGGTATTTTCCTACCCTTCCGGGTTTTTGATATATTTTTGCCTCTCAAATCCCGGTGGTCATGATAGACTCCCAATACTGCGCTTGCAGTGGGTTAGATAGTACAACATGCAGCGGATCTACACGTGGACCTTTTCCGGTCGTATAGTTACACCAATATGCATGTGTTCTACTTTGAATCATCCTGGTGGTCCATGACTAAAACTCATTTACCACTTAGTCCACACGGTTTACGCTGAATGTTGATAGGTGCACAGTTTTGCTAATGTTTCAAACCCCATGGTACCAACGCATGCTCTCAGATAATTATTTTCAACGTCAACCACGTCTATTAAACACATGGCACAACCCGCCTCAATCGGATTTATCTTCAACATCTCCGATGTCTATAAGTTCAAAATATAACAAAAGCGAAGATATACGCAACGACCTAAGCACTTTTTGAGTACCACCAGTCAGAAAGTTACTTGGAATCTTCGACTCGTCCGTATACGTTCGCCATATATCCAAAAGAGGACTGGCAAAGCACAAAAGCCCAGAGCGATGAATCCAAGCAGCGAGTTACCCCACCCAAGCCCAAGCACAGCGTACATCTTCGGGCCGGCAAGTGGGAGCATGGCGCCGGCCAGTGAACGGAATACAGTGTTAGCCGCCATGGCGGAAGCGGCGTATTCTGTGAATGCATCTACCAAGTACGTACTCACGCACATCTAAACGAGTCGAAGTGTTAGTCACTTAAATCACATCAAAGCCGAGTCAGGAGAAAGGAAACTTACGAAGGTAATCATCATACCAACGCCAAGGAAGGATGTTCCGATAATAGGCACGATCCAGTGGGTTTTGTAATAAGCAGTCCATCCATACATAAAAAGCGAGATGGGAATAAAGAAGGCCCCAGGGATCATAGGCGGAAGGCGATACTCGGGCTTTTTCTCACCATGCTTGGCAGATAGGTAGGTGAGCAGTCTGTCAGAGGTTGCTCCTAGCATGCCTAGACCGACGAAAGAGCCTACGCCTAAACCGAGATAGGTGAGTCCGACTGATCCCTGAGAGAAATTGTACTGCTGTTGAAACACGCCGGTGATGGTTGTGAACAACAGATATAGGTAACCGTAGATCACGCCGACGTAAAGCGAAAGAAGGAAAACAATCGGGGAGCGGAAGAGCATCTTCGTCGGCCGCACGATGGAAAACAGGAAGAGTTCTTTTGGTGTACGACCCGTGTCGAGGGCGGAGCGCAAGTTCATATTCCCTGTTTCTTTCTGGAGCTTCTTGGTCTTCCGAGCCAGGAGAGTCTGGGCGTGGGATTCCCGAATGGTTAACATTGAGCTGATGGTGATAGCACCGCTCTACCGAGATCTATTAGTATGTACATCGCGCTGAGTGTCACGGTCTCTACGTACAGCCATAGCTAGCACATAGAAGCTCCATCGCCAACCCTTTGCCTGTGCCAGATACGCACCAGCTAGAAATGTTAGAAATTGATTCATCCGAAAAAAAAAACAGGTAGGTAGGCATACCAACGGGACCGGCGACAGGCCCAACCAAAGGACCAAGAGCCCAAGCTGCCATCGCGCCGCCTCTCTGCTCTTGTACGAACATATCTGCTATGGACCCGGCGCCAATAGTGAGCGGACAGCTACCGGCAAAGCCAGCGAAGAATCGGAAGATAACAAGACTGCCCATCTCTGGTGCGAAGCCACAGGCAATGGTCCAAATCACGTAAAAGATATTGCATACATGGTAGACGTACTGTCGACCGTACAGCTCCGATAGAGGTGCAATGAGGAGAGGACCGAAACAGTATCCGAGGAGGTATACCGATACCACGAATGAGGACAGTTCGATACTGGTCACATTGAAGTCTCTAACTAGTTCACCTACACCGGGGGCGAACATAGATGATCCAAGAGGACTATTATTTTTGTTAGCTTTGGTCAACTGCAAGAGAGGACCGTGCATACGTCAGAAACGTGATCAGCGCAATAGAACATGTTGCCGTGACTTTTCTTCGCGTGGTCCAGTTGAGCGGATTTTCGGGATCATCTGGTCCATCCCAACCAACGATGTTGGGGTCCTGTACTTTTTCCTCTTTTGTTGTCTCGCCCAGTTCAGGCCCGATTTCCACATCGGCTTCCTGTTTGGGATTTCCTTTTGCGCTTATTGTCGATCCGTTCACGGACGGAGTTTCTGCATAAAATTAGATATTGATCTCTTGGCCGATACTATGTGGATCATTCTCAGATCAATTTCGAGAAATCCTTACCCTCGCTATCCCTCATTTTAGGAGATGTATGTCACCAAAAAAAAGAAATATATCAAAACTCCCGCGTTTCACACTTTTTTTTTTGTCTTCGAATTTGAGATCAATCAAGTTGAAATCCAGGTCATACAGGTGTGATGTGGTCGACTGTTCTAGTGAGGAGAACAGAGCAAAGAGGAGAAGGCAGTAATATTAAAAGCCACCAACGGGTAGTTGCCTTATAAAGAAGCAATAGGCTCGGAGTTACGCTGAAATATCCGATGCATAAGTCATAAAGCAATACGGGGGTAGCGTGGGCAACCCCCTAATTCCCGGATAAATTCACGTTTGTACATGGTCGGAGAGTTAATTAGGCCGAAAATAAGCCCAAAGGCGCATCTGGGCATCTGGGCACACTTTGCTTATAACGGTTATGCGAGATGCATAACCCTCTTCTCTAAAGATTAGGGAGAATTCTGAGTAGAACTTCCGAAAATCCTTAGACATTATAGGAAAGTGGAGGGAGACCTCGGGAGTTCTAAGCTTTTCCCCGCAAAACAAAATGCCGTCGCGTCTTATCCACTTTCAATAAAGCGAGAGTTCCTACACAAAGTTATGCACCGGCTTTCTCCCCGATATTTGATAGAATGCCCGGCTCGCTTCGGCCTAATCTGGTATCTCCATTATTAGGGAGTTGGAGAAATAATTCTTATTCTCCCTACTCCGTAGTATATTTGTCGACATTATGAGCACTTCACCAAATACTCCGGGTATTGGGTAAAGCGAGCCGAGCCGAGCATTTCATTCTTAACCGAATGTGCCCTATAATGCGCGCCTCAAATCTCACGTTTGCCCGCTGACGCGCTATGATTGGTCTTGTTTCTCGGTCTCGGCACGGCGTGACCTCGAGTTTTGCCTTGTAGGGGATTATATATTGCAAGATCTCAGCTGAGGGTCTGACCGTCTAATTCGATTTACGATATATGGTGTGAGAGAAGTCGGCAGATACGAGCATAACTTGATGTATTGCACGACACCCATTCAATGCACTAGTAAACATGTCTAAAACTGCCAACTCTTGAGCCACAGAGAGGGACGAGGGGATAAATATAAATTATTTGGTAATAATTGCAAGAATGAACAGCCACCTCGGCGATAGCATAATGCAATATACATAAGGTGTTGGTATCCGCGCTCAACGGGATAACCACAATAGATGTACGTTAAAATCAGTGGATTTCCTCTGCACAGCAGAGAGCGCAGCAGATCCAAAGCATCACGAAACAAGAAAACTTTCCAACCCGTCAATACCGGGTACACTGTCCAAAGGGAAGCTTTCTAGAAGATCATTCTACCCTTGTTCTGCTTCCGGTTAACGTCATAGTTCCTCCAGACCAGAATACAGGGAATAGTCAAAGCTAAGACGGCAGTAGAGGCAATACAGTTCAAGCGCTGGGCATGGCCCCACGTATACGCGACAGCTTCGCGAAGAGGGCTTCCCCAGGGGTAAGTCGACTGCACTGGGATGCCATCGAAGTATATCTGAGTGGCATTGGTCTTCAAGTTATCCGGCAGCTGGGCTGTGAGGGTATTGACGAAGACATTGTTGTAGATAGCAGCGCCAACAGCCAGGCCAATCGCACCGCCAATATTCGAGAATAATCCGATGAGGGCCAGCATCATCGGGGTGCCCTCGCGGCCACCTGCTGCCATAACGGCCATGTCTTCGCCGATAACGAGAGTACCACCGGCAAAGGCAATAAAGATCTGACACATAACAACGTAGCCAATGCCGTGATCTGCGCCACGAAAGTAGATCATCAACCCAGAGCCAAGGATCATCAGCGGGGCTCCGAAAAAGAGGCAGATATATTTGAAACGCGCGGTAGCCCAGATGATAGCTCCAATAATGGGAGAAAAGAAGCAAGAGCCAACATTGTAAATCTGCAACATGTAGTTTGCATTGACTGCAGAAATGTCATAGGAGATCAGGACGTAGTTGTAGAAGTACTGGTCCCAGAGTTCAAAGCTGAAAAATAGCACGGCGGACAGTAGGCATGCGCCTAAAATAGTCGGCCGCTTGATCAACTCATAGCGGATAAAGTGTGTTCGTGCACCCCATTTCTCCCATGCTGCAAAGACGCACAGCATGAAGACTCCGATGATGATGAGAGCAATAAAGCTTGCGCTTGAATACTCAGAGCGGCCGTACTGCGCTAAACTGAATGGCAGGAGAAACATCACCCAACCAATCATCAGTAAGAAAGCACCAACAACTTGTCATAGAGCGTTAGTATAAATATCCCGGGCTTTGTTTTGGGTATTCTTACCATCAAATTCATGGATATAGTGAATGATAGACTGTCTAACAGTGCGGCCACTAGGCTGTCGACGGAATATACCGTGTTTCGCTGCCTTCTTTTCAAAATACTTGAAAGCCATGGCGAGAGGCAAGAACGCAAACGGCATCACAATGCAGAAGATCCCATAACCCCAGCGCCACCCGTACTTGCCATATATCGAGTTTGCTGCAATGCCGCCTGTGAATGCAGTACATATGAATGGGGTCTGCATAAAGCCAAAAGCGAAGGCTCGGTTTCTTAAACCCGAGGTATCGGCGACGAAGATATTCAAGATCAGGTATATGCAGTAGTAACCGATCCAGTAAAGCACATACCCGGCTGCATATCCATTGGGACCATCACATGCGGTGAGAATGATCATGCCAAGGACATAAATGCTCGTTGAGACCACCAGGGCCTCAGCACGACCCCACAAGTTTAAGGTTTTACCAAGCGGCAGCTTAAGAACACCGCCCACAATATTCGCGAGGATATAGGCAGTCGAGACCTGGGGTGCAGTCCGAAAACCACCCTGGATGTAGTTGATCAGGAAGCTGCTTATATTTGAATGAAACGCCAACATGAATGTGCAGATCCAGATCCTGAAAGTTCAATGTCAGAAATGGGATTCATCGCAACAGCACCAGAGCGAATGAGCCCTAGAGCCGGTATCTACTTACCAAGCATATATGCCAACCAAGGCTGGCCAACTCCAGGCGAGCGCCGCTGCTTCTGCCTTCTGCTGACCCAGCTCAGCACCTTCTGTGATACTGTCGGGGTGCTGTGCCAATTCCTTCTCGTCGTCGAACATGTCCCCATGAGGGTGATCGGAACTGGGTGGTGATTCGGCGTCATATGATGACGAACTGCCTGCGGCGGAACCGCGTGCTTTTAATTTCTCATTTTGTGAGATATATGATTCCTCCCCGACTATAGCTTGGTCGATGATTTTGCCATCGTGACTCTGAGCGACCGTGGGGTGACCCATGACTGTAGTCCCCCTTTAGCCCAGTAATACGAATCTCAAACAGACTCCCAGGTCCTCAGATGCTTCTGGGGAATCTGTGAGGAGAGACCAAAATTGAGGATCGGGTGCAATGGGAGGATGGAAAGAAGAGGGAAAAGATCTGCAACCCAGTGGCTCTTTTCTCCATAATCTGGAAGGACAGAGGCCCAAGAGCTTCCAGACCAAAAACTGCTGACTCGGTCCGAGACATCTTTCTTTTTTTCCCCCTCTTGAATGGAGGATCCGACGGGTCAAGGATCAGATAAACCGATGAATTTGATCATCGACCGAATCAAGGGATACCCTAACGGACGATCATCCCCCACTCCGCCCTGAACGGTGTGGGGTGAATGATCTTATTGGTCAGAATTAAAGGTACCTTCCCACTTTGGACTAGCGCTTCTCTGCCAAGTCCCCACTGAGGTCGCTTTTCACTTCAGGGGCTGCTACTTACTTGATGCGGAACCCGGTTGCGTCACCCAATGTGCTAGATAGATAATACCCAAAACTCTTTTGTTCGAGTCGTAGCATCATGCATTTCGATCTTTTCTTTTCCTAGGTTATAGGTACGACTTCAACCTTCCAAGGCATACAAACAGGAAGAGCTAGCGGTGATACTCAGGCAAAATTGATGCCCAGATGCCTGACTATTTCCTAGATGTCTAAACTGACTAACACTAACAGAAAAATAAAGATACTTGAATTATGCCTTGAGGACCCCCTTCATCTCTTATATTTTTCTATTTACTACTCTCTTGCATGATTTAATATCCCTTAGCTTAATGTCCAACCATAGCCTGATGCGCGGGACCATATCTATTGCCGTGTGGCTTCGCAGCATCAATAATTTTGCGCATTGCTTGCTTTTCCTCCTCAGTCAATTCAATATCTCGAGATCCCCAGTTCTCCTCCAGCCGAGTTGCCTTCGTTGTTCCCGGAATAGGAATCATGCCCTGGGAAACAACCCAAGCAAGCGCGATTTGGCTGGTCTTGCACCCTTTACGGACAGCAAGCTTTTTTATTTCTTCAACGATAGCTCGGTTCTTGTAGAAATTCTCGCCTTGGAACTTGGGAGCTATTGAGAGCGATTGTGTTAGCAACTCTATCCAGTCTACGAGGAGAACGCTTGTGGGTGGGTACGTACCATTCCGGCGGAAATCGTCAGGAGCAAAGTCATCCGGGGAGTTGTAAGCGAAGTCATCGACGAGCCAACCATGTCCGAGTGGACTGTACGCGACGTAAGCTACGCCAAGCTCCTTTGCTGTCTCGATCAAACCGTCTGTCTCGTGGAGTGTCTCAAAGGCTGAATATTCGGCTTGCACAGCATCAATCTTGGCAACTACTGACAGTCAGTAAATTATTCCAAGATGGATGAAAAGAAACGCACTTGAGTTTGCCTTGTGAAGGGTGGCAGCTGAACATTCCGATAGTCCAATGTACTTGGTCTTCCCTGCCTTGCGAATTTCATCAAGAGCAGGAATAGACTCGGTGAGGGGTGTATCTATTTAAATCAGTAATTATAAATTAGAAGATAATTATTTGACTCACTGGGATCAATCCGGTGTAGATAGTACAAATCAGGCGTGAAGCCAAGTCTTTCGATGGTTCCCTCAATATACTCCTTGATATGCGAGGCGGAGTTGGTGAGGGAGTTAGTGAGGGAGCCATCCCCTCCAAAGACGTTGAAACCACACTTGGAGGCAACTATCAGCAAGAGCAGTTAGTTTTAAATAAAGTCTCGTCCATTCGTGAAGCCCTACTGAAAATTTTGTCGCGGACATTGTGCTTCCTAATGAAATCTCCCAGAAGCCTTTCGTTTACACCGGCTTGGTATACAACAGCAGTATCCCAGAATGTGCACCCCAATTCAATTGCCTTCAATAAGACTGGCTCGGCCTCTTCGAGGCTCAAATTGCTACCCAAACCATGGCTCAAGCCCATGGCACCAAAGCCTGGTGTTGGGACCTGAATATCGCCGAAGGGAAGTGTGTTGACCATGTCGACTAAGGTAGATAGTTTAGCGGGGGAATTCTTGGATTGTGTTACGCAAGATATAGATGTGGCAATGAGTTTGACTATAAATCATAAATCTGGTGCCCGGGGTTAAGGCTTCTAGTTAACCAAGTATCTTAACTCCGCTAGCTAACATTAGGTCTGTATCTCTGCTACCCCTCTATTGCGCCGTCATCTAGGAAATTAAATAAGCTGGGTATATCAATGGGACCATAGAGAAAATTATACTTAGATACTCTTATTAAAAATATGTTATGGTAACAGTAAACCTCCACGGGTGTTTCAATGCTTAACTCCGAACTATAGGTGGGGGCGTAATCAACTCCACTGAGCACCTAACCACAATGACATCATTTCATATGCTAAATAAGAGTATTTGAACGCAATACTACCCGCAGATATATAATATGTATATTTCATTGGGCATATTCCACTTGCAAATTGAATTGGCCCAGTAGGAGTCAAGGTATCGTTAGCCTTCTAATGTGAACATCGACTCATCGGCCAGGTGGGGCTTGTAAGCAGGATGCATTAGCGTTGAACCCCAGTAATGGACAATCCATTTTTCCGAGTCAATTGACTATATTGTACACTGCAATGTGCTGTGCTGAGCTAGTTATAATATGTCACGAGATGCCGTAGATTTGATATGTATGTTTTTAGGCGAACAACGACAAAGAAGGCCGAGACCCGGTATTGGATATTTCAGGTCACCTCAAATTTCACTGGTGTTAATAAACCCAATTGATTCAGGCCTAAAGACCCTCCACAGAGGAGCTAATGACTCGCTCTCCATTTCCTATGCTCTGTTGGCTCTCTGTGCAATTAAAGAAGCCAAGCACAGCCTAAACACAGTATAGGAGATTGAATCGCTAAATCAGGCGACAAGTGGCAGGCACAACCAATTTCATGTCATGTTGTTCACTCAACTAACAACACAGCGTGAGGAGCGATCTATCTTCTTCTCTCCTTGTAAGTACCAGTCAACTATCCCAAACTGAATCAGCAACGTTCGATACGCCTGGTTTTTAATGAACCGGATGTTCCGGTAATACATTTCCTCCTCTGACAGTGCATCTGAGCAATTAGCCTGTATAGAATCATTTTCGAACCGCTGTCGGGAATCAGCCTTTTCATGTTCCGTTAGGTGGATTTTATATTCGCAATTATTCTGACACCTCCACCGATTATCATCCGGGCTTAATCCTGGTCCTAAGTCAAGCCATTGGGTAAACACAAGACACACATCTTTCTGTCCCATATTTCGTATCTCAATTTGCCATGAGGTACTGCACTTATCACAACGCCTTGATTTCGGGGCTTATTTGTCGTATCAGAGCGATGGCTGTTGATAAGACCATGAACGACAATGTTCAAGTTTGAGGCACGGTTAGTATGGATACGTTTGTTCATAGATGCATTGTCAGGATGTGGGAATAGCAATAATAGGTTGTGTCGCCTTACGACCGCAAGCTCTTGCGTTCGTAAGTAAAGACTCGGAGGATTCGAGCAAATTCGAGCGTCAACAGACAGGAGAGCTGTCATAGTATTACACTAAAATTCCTCTTCGTTGCGGGAGTTTGTGGTTTTCAGCACGTCAGGTGTGAGAGGATTGATTCCCACCTCCATGTAGAGCAACGACTCAACGGGAATTCCAAATTGTGCTCTATAATAAAATTTTCGCATGGCAAGTTGAAGATGAACAAAATAGAACTTGTAAAATGCGTAGCTCGGGTAATGGACGACGTGAAGAGGCTTTTTGAGGCAATGTACCTTTTCATCTAGGGACGCTACGCAGGCTAAGACTTTGAGTATCGGGCCTAGTAGAGCCACTTTTTCCCACCGATGAAGTCGAAGGCAATCGTAGCAAAGATAATACTGTGGCAGGTCATGAGAGACGTGCGTCAAAAAATCGATGCGCGGCCCATCCTCAGGCCCCCAAGTCCGGCGGCCCTCTGGTACGTTATGACATGCAGATCCCAAGGAAAACAACAATCCGCGGTTGCATAAGGCGAGACAAGCGACGTCTACAGGCTAAAGGTGCTCGGACAGCATTAGCAGTAGCTCCAAAGGAAGATCTGGCAGGTTTATTGGATTTTCCTTGTTCATCTTGAAGTCTCAAGCCGTGGAAGCCAAACGGTGCTCCACTCCACTCAAATCGGATAAGGTAGTCCGATGAACACTGAGATACAGTATATTCCAAGGTATATAGCAGAAATGTGAGCTAGGTGGATAATATTTTCCGTTTTCAAGGAATGTGAACTTCACAAAAGTAGTGAGGATATTGTGATGCAGTGATGATAATGCCAAGTGGACGCTAAAGTTAACCTTGTTTGGAAAGTGGATTACATGATCCATCCCAAACTCCATGGCTCCATCTGAGCAAGTTCTTCATCAGGGCTGAATCTGAAGTTTCAAAGTCTTTCTTAGTGCAGACCTTAGTTTTGATGTTTTCAAGTCCGAACACCTACAATATAAATTTATAGTCAAAACCTTAGAATTATCCGAAAGAGCCTTGTGTTTTCATATGCAGAACTTGAAAACACACGCATTGACTGAGAATACACAAACCCCGCACACAAAAGTCTCCTTGACATCTAGCACTAACACTATTCGGGCTTGTCGATCGCACGATGCGACGTTACAACATGATATGAAAAACACCCTTGCAGAGGACACTCGCCCCTTCCGCGTTCTGCATCCATGCTCCTCACACCCAGATATACAAACCTAACGCGTTATCACGCGTAGTCAGATCTTCAAATTATAGAGCGTCATGTTGAGTTTGCAGAAAAATATTTGGTACAGTCTCCTACTCCTTCAATGTACCCTGAACACAGTTGCAACGAAGGATGACCTTCGCCATGTCAACCCCCTGATCGGGTCAACCAATGGCGGCAATGTATTCGCAGGTGCAAGTCTCCCCTATGGCATGGCAAAACCCGTCGCCGACGTCGATGGTCAGAATACTGGAGGATTCTCGACTGATGGGAGCAATGTCACCGGCTTCTCGCATATGCATGACAGTGGTACAGGCGGGAACCCGTCTATGGGAAATTTTCCTCTGTTCCCACAGTACTGCAAAGACAATATCGTGGATAATTGCAAGTTCCCTAAGTCTGCTCGCGCGGTTCACTACAAGAATGGCTCTGTGGTTGCGCATCCTGGCTACTTCGCCTTGACACTTGAGAATGGCATTAAGGCCGAGATGACTGCGGCACGGCGCACGGCGTTGTACCGTTTTACTTTCCCCAAAGGACGGACGGCGGACGGTGATGACCTGAATCCTTTCATATCGGTGGATCTAACTGATCTGTGGGATAGTCGACAGAATGCATCCATCAGCCTCGACGCCGATAAAGCGCGAATCAAAGGCAATGGTACTTTCTTGCCGAGCTTTGGGGCTGGCTCATACAAGTCATATTTCTGTGTTGATTTCGGTGACACAGTGGATGTCAGCGACAGCGGAATATGGGTCAATGACCGAGCTGGATCAGTGCAGGAGTTGTTTGTCACTCGCGGCTTCAACAACTTCTATCTCCAAGCTGGAGGCTATATGACCTTTGATCGTCCAAACAATGGAATTGTAACAGTGAGGGTGGGTGTCAGCTTTATCAGCTCGGATCAAGCCTGCACAAATGCCGAAGGGGAAGTGCCTAAGCTGGAAAGTTCCTTTGATAATCTGCGCAAAAGTACCGAAGCTGCATGGAAGGAGAAACTCAGTCCTATCAAGATTACTCCAGGCGGTGCTAGCAATAATATGATCAGCAGTTTCTGGAGTGGTATCTACCGGACCATGTTATCACCTCAAGATCTGACAGGGGAAAATCCACTCTGGAAAAGCGATGAGCCATACTTTGACTCTTTCTACTGCCTATGGGATGCTTTCCGGTCACAGCATCCGTTTCTCACAATCATTGACCCAAAGGCACAGTCAAAAATGGTGCGTAGCTTGCTGGACACCTTCAAGCACGAAGGGTGGCTGCCCGATTGTCGCATGAGCCTCTGCAAAGGCTGGACGCAGGGAGGGTCGAATGCCGATATTGTTCTGGCAGATGCTTACGTGAAGAATCTGACTGGTATTGACTGGGAGCTTGCCTACAAAGCTATGTTAAACGATGCGGAGAACGAGCCACTCGAATGGTCATATGAAGGGCGAGGGGGTCTGCAGAGCTGGAAACACCTCCATTACATCCCGTACCTTGACTTCGACTATATTGGCTTTGGTACCAATTCTCGGAGTATCTCGCGAACAGTGGAATACGCATACAATGACTACGCTCTCTCTGTGGTAGCCAAAGGTCTCGGCAAAAAGGATTATACCACTTATTTGTCTCGCTCTGGCAACTGGCAGAACTTGTACAAAGACGATCAGAAATCGCTGCTGGGGAATGGAACAGATACTGGTTTTACTGGGTTCTTTCAGCCAAGGTACATCAATGGAACTTGGGGCTATCAGGATCCCATTGCATGCAGTGCTCTGGCGTCGTGGTGCTCCCTCACCTCGAACCCTTCAGAGACATTCGAGTCTAGCATCTGGGAGTACCCATTGTGTGTATATCTTTTCTCCCCCTGTAATCCTCCAACACTAATCCTATATAGTTTCGTCCCTCACGACATGGCAAAGTTGATCAAGATGGTAGGCGGCCCGAAGTCCTTCGTATCTCGGTTGGACTATTTCCATACATCTGGTTTGGCAGACATGGGCAATGAACCTGTCTTCTTGACTGTGTACGACTATCACTATGCCGGACGCCCTGGTCTGTCTGCCAGTCGAGCCCACGCTTACATCCCATCTTCTTTCAACGACACGCACAACGGGCTACCTGGCAACGACGACTCGGGAGCAATGGGTTCATTCCTGGCATGGAGCTTGATGGGTCTATTCCCTAATCCAGGTCAAAATGTGTACCTGATTATTCCTCCGTTCTTTGAGGCCGTCGCAATCACTCACCCTGAAACCAACCAAACTGCTACCATTCGAAATGTCAACTTTGACAGAACCTACAAGAAAATTTATATCCAGAGTGCCAAACTTAACGGGAAGCCATACACGAAGAGCTGGATTGGACATGAGTTCTTTACTCAAGGAATGACACTGGAGTTGACACTCGGGGACAAGGAGAGCAAATGGGGTACACGTAAGGGTGACTTACCTCCGAGTTTGAGCGACTCGGTCGCTACGTTTGCAGATCACGATGATGTTTAGTGATGCTTATGCTTAAGCATAAAGATGTACTAGTCATGTACCTCAGTCGAATAACTGAGAATGCTTTGTGGCAGTATGTCAAATGTTTTATGTGTCCAGGCCAAACCCGGAACTCATCCGATATGGGTCTAGATAGGATGAGTATATCATTCAGGGGGGCATGCGACGGTTGGCAGGAATCACTGTTCATCCCGTAGGGATATGGATATATTTTCCAAATCATGTTGTCTCATCCTGATCAGTCGTATGATAGACACTTCCGCAATACTATCTGCCGGCCCCGCACTGCTGGAGGCCCCGAAGCCCCGGGGGCCCGACGAACCCATGACTAAGCTGTAGATTGCCCCAGGCCGTCCAACCTTGTAGGCAACACGTAGAATCCCCTTTATAGGAACCTTTCTTTGGCAATCATTTCTCGAGTCCTCGGCTGAAATCTTCGATCTTGTTTTCCACGCGGGACTATCCCCCATTCACAAGTCCCAGCTCCTCTACCGACCGGACGCTTGGCGACATTTCCTTTCCCCCAACCATCGCCACCCGCGAACATGGCGAACCGACAAATCACACGGCGCATTGTGACCAGCGCAGCGATCGCAGTATGCCTCATCTTCTTCCTCTTTATCCGACCACAAGGCCCGCCGAGCCCTGCCGTCCGTGCTCCAGGCCACCTCGATCATTCCGCACCGACATCTGCGCCGGGGATAACCATTCAAGCTAGCACGCTAAAGGGCGATGTGGTGATGCCGAAGCTAGGCAACGAGACGGCCAAGTAAGACGCTCCGGGGAAGACCCATTGAGAATACACGAGCGCGGTGGGACAAATTGCTAATTACGGAATTGGCTTTCCAGGGCTGAATTAGGTCGTGCGACTTGGAAATACTTCCACACGGTTATGGCGCGGTTCCCCGAGACCCCCACTGAAGACGAGAAGGAGGCGCTGCGCTCCTATATCTACCTATTTGCTCGGTTATATCCTTGGTAATAAGATTCTCCTTCCCTATGTGGTCGCCCGTTCTATGCGACGTTCTATGCCAAATAGAAGCTAATAGGTTGATGACATCAGTGGAGAATGTGCGGAGCATTTCATGCAGCATTTGAGCAAATATCCGCCTCAGGTTTCGTCGCGCAATGCGGCTTCTGGGTGGGCTTGCTTTGTTCATAATGAGGTCAATGCTATGCTTGACAAGCCCGAGTTTGACTGCGCCAATCTGGGAGATTTCTACGATTGTGGCTGTGGTGAGGACGAGGAAGGGTCGGCTGCTTCGAAGTCTGATGCTGGGAAGGAGGGCACGGGGCAGCATGATGGGCCTGCTGTGGAGATCTCAAAGGAAGAGTTGGTTATTTCCTGGCGTGCATTTATTGCGATTGTTTAATTGCTAACGTGTGATTTAGGACGACCCGTGGTTGACGCGATGAATCTTTGTCTATTCCTTCGACTTCATGTGACCCATCCTGTCTGGTTTATCCCCAGCACTTGGATTATTTTCACACATTTTGTTGTTCACATTCATGGAGCTGGTCTCCCTTGTACAATAATAAATTGTCAGCTGACTGTCAATATCAATATACCCTTGTTACGTTCTGCTTGTGGTCTTGGTATAAAGAGGGGTTTATCCCTCCCTGCATTATCATAGTATCATTGTACTGATATAGTACATACCTGAGCGCAGCTTAGTTTCTGGCTCTCTTTCCGGTGCATATCTTTTAGGAGTTTCGCTCAAAAGCATTTCCACGTGTCAGAAACCAGATTCATACTTCGAGAGCTTACTACTGTAATCATGTCAAAAATCTGGTATATGAATGGTAGCAGGCTACGAGTAATATACCTACAAATTCCGCCCCTATATTACCGATCTACAGTACACCCATCCTCCATGAAAAGATCATCCTACCTGGTGATCAAGTGTGGAAGATGGCGCGCATGACCAAAGAAGCCAGTATATCCCTGAACGGTAAAGCATACCAAATTCCGTCCTACCAAGCTCAATGTCTTAGCACAAAGCACCGATTAAACTTTCTCTTGTTCTTCACTATGAGCAACGACGATGATGCCGTCAAGTCGCACCCTCGTGATACCAACCAACAGATCGACAAATTTCATGTGGCATTACGAAACTTCAAAATGGTGCATCACGTATGTTTAGTATAGATGAAGAGATGGTTGGGAAAAAGATATTTGAGTTTTGACCAAAAATAGCCGTAGAGATGTCAAGATAGGTTATTTCAAAGAGGCCAGTCTGCTTTCTCGGATCCTCCCCGCATCTGCCGTTCAAGGAAAAAGCGACAAATGAAAGGATGGGGTCTCCTGACAGGCCTCTTATGTCCGCGTGGGATCTGCACCTTTTCAGTTACCCTGAAACATGTACTGCAGAGATAAATCAGGAGGTTTCTCATTCTCATTCTATTCTTTAAAGAATCTTCCTATAATACTTTGGAAAAAAAAAACAAAAAAAAAAAACAAAGTAAACGTTCATCTCGACACGCCGAGTCCATTCATATTACCCAAAATAGTCTAGTACATTTCCCGATCTGGACTAGTGTTGATCTGCGCGCCAAAATTCGACGCGAAAGGGAAAAAAAGGAAAAGCAAATTGTCAAAGCAAATTCCCCGCTTAGACGCTTTCTAGAATTCTTTCAAGGGATACACCCCTCTTGGAAATCCTTTCGGAAATCCTTTCCAGTCTTTTGCCCTTATATTCGTCAACAATGGTTTCTTTCTCCTGCGAGGTGAGTCCTATCTGCTTTGTCTTGCGCTTGAATGCTAATAAGCCTGGTAGGCATGTGGTGATGTCCTCACAAAGAAAAAGCTCGATCCTCATCGCGGCCAATGTCGCGGCGCCTCCTTCACCTGTATTGATTGCATGGTCCATTTCTATGGATTCGAGTATAGAGCTCATACGGTACGTCGCATTCCTGTCGCATTTTCGCATCATGGCGCATAACGGTCGTTAGACTACTTGACTAGAGTTAGATCAACAAGGGAGACATCCGCTAACGAGACCGACGACTACAGTCATGCATGAGCGAGGCGCAAAAGTACCAGGGTGCTTTGTATAAAGAGAAGCCCCAGAAGAACAAGAAGGGACAAAACAACCAAAAGCAGAACGCGAACCAAACCCCCAACGGCCGCCACCAGCAAGCCCGAGTAGAGGACGCTCCTCCTCCCCCTGCTCCTACTCCCCCACCTGCCGGGGAGGTGAAAGCTATTGCTCCTGCCCCAGCCAATAACGACAAGGCTGTCAATGTGTTCGACTACCTCGTCGCCGATGAGACCCCCAACGCATCCAAGGTCGCTATTGCCGCGCCGAAGGAACAGATGATGATGAACCCCAACGCCAAATCGCTCTTCGAGCCCAGCCAGTCCCTCACTCGTGTCGAAACCAACCCCAACACAGATGACGAGGGTAAGAATTACGATGTCGCATACGAGGAGAACGGCTTTTCGTACGGCGCTGGCCAGATCCCGCACTCAGACTCGCCCCCGAACGCGTCAACAACAGAGTTCGTCACGCCCGCACCTAAGAAAAAGAAGGAGCGCCGAGAGAAGGCCCCCGGCACCGTCAGCGAGAAGAAGCGCAAGCGCGGCCAAGCAGAGGTGCTCAGCACCCCGCGTGAAGATGACACCAACATGATGGATGCCCCCTCCAGCATCATCAACAATGCCGGCACACCCATGCTCAACCACTCCGGTCTGACCGGCGGCTTGAGTCGCATGATGCGCTCCGCGTCCCCCGACGGCGACGACAGCCCAGAAACCAGCCGCCGCGCCTACCAAGACACCTCGTCCCCGATCAAGCGCAGCCGTCGCAACGGCAAAGAAGCAAACGGCAATGGCGACCCAGGTCTCGGCATCTCAATGAAGAACCGCGCCGGCCGTCTCGTCTCCTCCATGTTCGGCGGCTCGGCCGTCTCCAGCACCAACGGCTCCCACACAGAGCACGGTTCTAAGGCCGTGGCCCGCCGCGGCAGCTCCTCCAGTGGCGATGGCCACCTCGAAGTCCGCAAGAGCAAGAAGTCGCACCGCTCGCGCGATGACCATGATGAGTCCCGCAAGTCCAAGCGGAAGAGCTCAAACCCCACCGACGGCGACAGACCTTCCCGCCGTCTTAAGCAAATCGACGAGCGCCACGGCTCCGTCGACTCCTCCCACGGCCACCAGGTCACTGTTTACAAGCAGTCGCGGCCGCCGGCGCGCACGGATGAGGATCTACAGCGCGAGCTGGCCTATCACTTCCTCTCGATGATCCCGAATGAGAGCGAGCGTGGCTTCTCAGTCAACAAGGCGCTTAAGCGATTCCACCGTGATCTCTCGAATGAGTATGATGGTCATGACGATGTACAACGCCGGGCTGATGACGAGAAGGACCTTTTCCGCGCGTTGAGGCTGCGACGGAATGATCGTGGTGAGATTGTTGTGTTCATTTAGAGCATGGACTTAGTGTGTATGATTTCAATCAACTTCAAGTTGTCGGATGGGAATTGGTGGTTTGATTCTTTGTTACGAGGTGAATGGGCTGGTCTTTTTTGCATAGCGCCATGTTTCTTTTGATGCGCGATGTTGTATTTTTGTCTATATTAATTCAGGATTAGGACTAAATTGCATTGATGATGTGCTTTGACTGTCTTTCCAGTGCTCCCTTTGTAAAATTGTAAAAGGGATGGAATTGAAGGGATGAACTCGTTCAGTCGAAGATCGAGCATATTCGCAAAGTCCGATTGCGCTTGGATATCCTGCAGGATGATGTTTTAGATATAAGCTTCCTGCATTGAGTCTTTGTTTAATGTCTTGGCACAAAGTGGAGTCAAATGCCGCTACTCATCGCTTTGTGCATGCATCAACCAAGACCAATGAATTGCATTAGGTCCATTCTATCTTTTTTATACGAAGCATGACTCGAATTCATAGATCGCAGACCCGCTTTTCGGACCTCCGCCGGAAGCCACTATGACTCATGTTATGTAATTCCTGACTCACACTTGAGCCTCTTGCCACAACCCCACCGCCTAATGCACCGCTCAATTCTGCCAAGAGAGCTTTTATCGCCTTCTAGATAATTCATTGTGCTACGATTTTCTTCTTCATTCTATAAGCGGGCTTTTGCCTTTGGAATTTTTCTCTCATTTGATATTCAGTTTCTGTCTTTCACTCATTTGGTTTTGCTGTACTTTTCCAGCCTACAATAGATCAACGTACCCGATCGATCACCAATTATCCGCAAGTGAGAAACTACACCGGAAGTATATGAGTACGCGAGGAGTCTCCATTCAGACTTCCGCCACATATCCAGCTATGGCGACACCACAGCCAGAGGCTTCAATTCCGGCCGGGCCTCGACCCCCACGTTCTTCCAGGCCACCTAGACGCAGAGGGCGGGGTTCTGCGAAGCGTGATGGCGAACAACAAGCGCCTGCGGGTGAACGCCAAACTCAAGCTGCCCCACAAGCGCAGCCTGCACAGTCTCAACTACAGCCGAATACAGTACCCCAGCCCAGTCAGCAGGATAGACCGTCCAGCTCGCGGAGAGGAGGAAACAGAGAAGGAAGAGGCCGGAGACAAAGAAATAATGGGCCTCCCCGGCCGGGTCAGGATGGAGCAGCTGAAAACCAAACGACACGACCAGAGGCACGAACCCGTGGGATGAGAGCCCGTGGCTTCGAAGCCCAATTAACAAGACCAGACCAGGCCGAAAATGGCCCTTCATTAGATAGTGCGGGGCATGGACATGACCACGACCACTCACTTAGAGCCGATGTGCCAGAATTTGTACCTGGCATGCCCCCATCCCAGAAAGGACCACCTTCTGAATCAGCACCACCTTCGAAAGGGAAAGGGAAAGCCAGGCAGCCTAGGGCACCGCCGCCACCTAAAACGAAATCCACAGCCGACGACTTGGCTACCCGTATCCACGAAGACATTGCGAATAACTTGTACGAATGTCCTATCTGCTGCAGCGAGTTGGGCCGCAGGTCCAAGGTCTGGTCTTGTGAGCTATGCTGGACTGTTTTCCATCTGAGCTGTGTCAAGAAATGGTCCACCAATGAGGGCGCAGCTGCACAGCGGGCTTCTGCTCGAGAAGACGGGCAGGAAGACGCCACCCCTCGCGCTTGGCGTTGTCCGGGTTGTAATCTCTCTCACCAAAACTTCCCCACCACCTACTCTTGCTGGTGTGAGAAAGAGGCTGATCCTAGACCGCTTCCTGGTTTGCCTCCGCACTCGTGTGGTCAAACTTGTTCACGACCTCGTAAGAATTGTCCCCATCCTTGTGATACGACTTGTCACGCTGGTCCGTGCGCGCCTTGTACTGCTATGGGTCCGATTCAGGATTGCTTCTGTGGCCTTAATTCGTCGCAGAAACGTTGTCAGGATACCGATTATGAGAATGGATGGAGCTGTGGAGAAATCTGTGGTGAGTTGTTGCCTTGCGGGGAACATACATGTCCGCTTCCGTGTCATGAAGGATTGTGTGGTGGCTGTGAGGTTAGTATTGACGCACGCTGCTATTGTGGAAAATTGCAGACGGAGATGCTGTGCAAGTCTAAGGACGATGAGAAGGAAAGTCGAATCATCCGCGATGATGGCACAGAAGACGAGTGGACCGGTTGCTTTGGTTGCGGAGAGACTTGTAACCGTCCATTTGATTGTGGCAAACATTCATGCAAGAAGACCTGCCACCCGCAAGATCCGCATCCTGCACACTGTCCACAGTCACCAGACGTCATTGTCAATTGCGCCTGTGGCAAGACACCGTTATCTGAGATCCCTGGATATACACCTCGTACCTCCTGCGAAGATCCTATCTTGAATTGTCAAAAGCCTTGCGGGAAGACACTGCCATGTGGTCATCCTTGCGAGAAGCTGTGCCATGTTGGACCATGTGGCGCTTGCTTGCGCAATGTTTATATCAAGTGCAACTGCGGTCGTACTAATAACCTGACAATCTGTCATCAAGGCCATAATGAGCCTCCCCAATGCCCACGCATGTGCAAGGCGACTCTACACTGTGGTCGACACACATGCACTGAAAGGTGTTGCCCGGGAGAGCAAAGGGCCAACGAGCGCCAAGCTGCGCGTCGTAAACTCAGGCCCCATCTTCGCCCTGCTGAAGAGGACATCGAGGCAGAGCACATCTGCACTCGTATATGTGGCCGTATGCTGAAATGCGGAAGGCACACATGTCCGGAGCTTTGCCACAAGGGTCCTTGCAATACCTGTAGGGAAGCAGTATTTGAAGAGATTTCGTGTAATTGCGGAAGATCTGTTCTGTATCCACCACAGCCATGTGGCGCAAAGCCACCTGCTTGCAGCTTCCCCTGTCAGCGTCCAAAGCGATGCGGCCACCCTCAAACTGCACATACCTGTCACACAGACGAGGAGAACTGTCCCAAGTGTCCGTTCTTGACCGAGAAGGCGTGCCTGTGCGGAAAAAAAGTGTTGAAAAACGTACCCTGCTGGCTGGCAGATGCGCGCTGCGGTCAAGTATGTGGGCAGCTGCTTAAATGTGGCTCTCATTTCTGCCGGAAGGACTGCCATCGCCCGGGTGATTGCGAAGACGCAACTAAACCTTGCAGTCAGCCTTGTGGAAAGAACAAGACGATGTGTGGCCATCCTTGCACAGAGCAATGTCACGCACCATACGCATGTCCCGAGAAGACCCCATGCTCCTCCAAGATCGCAGTGACATGTGGCTGTGGACGACTACGACAAGAAAGACGTTGCAACGCGGCCAAGGCCGTGACCGCTAAGGGCCAGGTGCAATCACCCCAGCGCCCCCCAGAGTTAACCCCGTTGACCTGTGACGACGAATGCACGCGTCTGGAGCGTAACCGCTCTCTGGCGGGCGCTCTCGGCATCGATATCAACCAGACAACCACATTACAAACCATCACAGCGGACAATCTTCCCTACTCGGAAGAAACTTTAAACCAATACGTTCAGCTCGCGTGCTCGGTACCTCTATCAACCCTCCAAACCTACGAATCCAATCTCCACTCCCTGGCAGCAGCGGATAAAACTACCCGCTCATTCCGCTTCCAGCCGGCGAAATCCACTCTCCGCGCATACGCGCACTCCCTCGCCGCAGACTGGGGCTTCGTGACAGAAAGCCACGACCCAGAACCCCACCGCCACGTTTTTGTCTTGAAACCGGTTTCCTGGTCGCCTCCCCTTTTTGGCATGGGCAGCGGTTCAACCATCGGCATCGGCGGTATGAGTGTTCGCGAGTGCGTTAAGCTCCGCGAGCGCGAGCGCAGCAAAGAACATGAAGCGCGTCGTGTTGCCGCGCTCGAGGCTAAGGCCACCCGTGAAGCCGCCAAGGCACAGGCTAATTCCGGTGGAGACGGTGGATGGGCTCAGGTTGCTTCTAAGAGTAATGGTGGTAGCGGAGCTAGTTCGAGGACTAGAACTCCTGTCCAAAACTCGTGGGTCAGCAAGTCTATCTATGCTGCTCTTGATGGTGATGGGGCGAAGAAGGAGCGGGAGCGCTTGGTTCTGAGATCTGGTGTTGGAGTGGGCAAGTCTTTGCGTGCAAAGACTCCTGCGCCTGAGGTTGTTGATGATTGGGAAGAGGCTGAGGAGAAGGAAGAGAAGGAAGAGAAGGAGGCAGCGGGGGAAGAGGCTCAGGCCCAGGAAATAGCTGTCCGTGAGGACCCTGATGGAAAGTCTGAACTTGCTCCCGAGACCGAAGCTCCTATGGAAGATCGCCCCACCCAGGCTGAAGGATCTGTTACAGACGAAGTGCCGGTCTAAATTTTTGGACAGGATTTGATGATTGATGACCTGAGAAGCAAAAAAAAAAGCTGTTTCAAAAAGCGTTGGACATGTCTCATTCTTTGCGAAGTCACTTGCATCACCCTTGGAGTTTCATTGCACGATAAATATCGCATATTAAAGTACCACGCATCATGCATCATGTTTTGGTATAGCTTGTCGCAAAAAAAAAAAAAGTAACTAAAAAGAATTCGAAAGTCACCCACAAAAACCAAATCATCAATAGCAACTCGTAGATAGCCAACGAAGTAGGCATCAATCTCCACTCCAGCTACACCCTCGAAACTCAAACTCCCAACACCTACTTCTTAGCCGGCACGACCTTCACGAACTGAAGACATCCTTCTTTCGCCGCCCGATACGGGCCATGCTCCATCCCAGGGTCCCGATAGGCGTAAGAACCAATACCCCACGACTTTCCGAGCGTAAGATCTTCCAGTCCACCGCGCAGAGTGCAGACCTCTTCGATGTAGGTATGTGTTATTGGCTCTGTTTGTACAGAGGTAGTATTCGGCTCCCACCACTGCAGCGCGGCTTTATGTTCTCCGTCGCCATTTAAAAGGAATTCCCATACACCCGGTGCGATGGAGTACCAGGGTAGTGCGGTTGGGGAATCCCGGGGTGTGCCCACTGGTGGATGGGGTGGTGGAGTTGAAAATTCTTTTTGTTGGATGGGCATTTTGGGTGTTTTTCTGTCCCTTTTTCTAGGTGATAGAGGTGTAGGAAACAGGATATTTGGAGATGAGGGGTTGTTGGAGACGTTTAAACTTATATAGTTCCAGACCCACACCGCCAATGTATATCTTCCCCACATGTATACACTTGGACATAGAACGACAATCTAGAGGGTTAATAACATCTTTTGTACATAAAACTACAGCTTCCTTTCCAACCTGTTCCCAAGAAGACAAGACGAAATAAACCAATTGGGTAGGTATACCGAGCACATCATCTTGATCCAGCATAGTCATCCTGTGAGACTGACTGGCTGTCTATGGCAGCTATATATCATGGCAACTTCACCTTACGCCACCGCTCAGTACACTTCGGAACAATTTGTCGAAAGCTGTGGGGGCGATCCTATTCGACCTTTCCGACAGCCAAAACAAGAAAGTATGCCTTACCCATTACCACACGGGGAATGAATGGCTCCTCGCAAAGGGTCGCCGCAACTGCGGCGAATCCCGGCACGAGGCTGCACTACTTGAAGTCCGCGAAGAAACTGGCTATTAAGCCCACCTCTATCCGGTCCCGATGTATACCCGTGCACCTCCAATAGACGAACAGGGACATATGCCGGATAAACCTCGCTCTTACCAGAATTTCACCGAGCCCTTCATGGTAACCATACGGCAGTTGGGCGGTGATAGTGTGAACGACGTTAAAATCATTTGGTGGTATATTGCTGCCCTGGATGAAGGGGTGGTTGCTGGATGTGATTGTGCGGCGGAGGAAGAGTTCATGTCAAAATTCTCTTCTTTGCCGGAGGTGAAGAAGATGCTCAGATTCCAGAATGATATTGCAGTCCTTGGGAAGGCGACTCAATTGGTGGAATCTCAATATGTAGATCAGTTAGTAACCTGTTCGGGTAGCAATTGGTACAAGGCTGTATATACGTGTTATTTCACATATCCTGACCCTCGCAATCAAGCGATGTATAAGCTACTACAACTATATGTATCCTTGTGGCCATGTATCGCTTATCTATACGTAAGAATATGCAGCGTAGTTATAAACTGATATAGAACATGGAACTTGCACAGCGCAGCTGAAAATCTAGACCTCAGCTGGACTTCTTCGCCATATAAGCCCTAAGCCAGCTACCGTCATCGCCTAGGTCGACCGGTGGTGGTGAGGGGCATAGCACGGCTGGTTCCAAGAATATTCTGGCAATGGTTCTGCTGTTTCGATCCCAATCCCCGGATAACCCAACGCGGCTTGTAGTAACTGCCGAGGTAGTTAATTAGGGTTTTGTAGCTCCATAGATACTGGACAGCCTCTATCCGGCATTGATTCCCTATCTACTCCGAAACAACATATGTAGTTTCGAGTAATTCAGAAGGGTAGTATATCAGACTTTTCTCTTTTGATATTTGCAGGCAAAAGCGAAATTTTGCTATTTTCCATACGTTGGGTGGTATAAAGCGATATTTGCTCATTTCAAACATTCACGGTAGCGAGCGCGTTCTTGATAAGCAACAAGGCGAGTGGAAATTTTTCCAAGAAAGACAAAACAAAAGGGGGGAACAGCTTTGTACCTGGTCCGATGGTTGGTCCGATGGTTAGTCCGGTGGTGGGCCGGCCGGTCGGGTCTCATCACCAGATTATCAATGCAAGCTGAACTTCCTTGGAAGCAGGTTTCGGGGGCGTAAGCAGCCTCGGCGGGCTGAGCTGAGCTTTACAAACCCCACCCAGGGCGCGAAGGACATATAGGCACACAAAAGACTTCTATTATGGAGGCAAAATCAATTCGCATTCAACTTCCTATCCGACCATGTCGCTTAGCTCCCTCAGGAATCTGCGCACCCAATGGTTTCCGCCCAAAGCGGCGTTCACTGATAAAGAGCTGCCCTTGCAAAAGGGTCGGGTTTTCATCGTGACAGGCGGCAATGCAGGCGTCGGCTTTGAATTATGCAAGATCCTATACGGCTCCGGTGCCACCATCTACATGGCATCAAGATCGAAGGCAAGTCCCCCAAACAAATACGGTACTCATGATCCTACCAGTGGACTAACACGGTTCCTTAGGAGCGTGCCGAACACGCGATCCAATCTATCATGAATGTTCAACCTGCGCCAGAGTTGCCTGGCCAGATTAAGTTCCTCCATCTTGACCTCAACGACTTGGAATCAGTCAAGGAGGCGGCAACTACATTCGCACAACAAGAATCAAAGCTCGACGTTCTCTGGAATAATGCGGGAACTGGAGCGAACCTGGTAAAAGCCGGCGCTAAAACAGCCCAGGGATTCGAAGCTATGGTGGGTATGCACTGTATCGCGACTTTGCTATTCACCGAGCTCCTACGACCGCAGCTACGGGCGGCTGCAGCACCGCCCGAGACGCCTCGTGGATCTGTCAGGGTGGTGTGGACATCCAGCTTTTTGGCGGAGGGCGCCTCGCCAACGAATGGGATTGATTTCACCGTGTTAGATGAGGGGACCAAGGATCGCACTCGCAACTATGCCGTCTCAAAGGTAGGAACCTGGATGCTCGGACGGGAGTTCGCACGACGTTCCGAACTCGACCAGGAGAATATTGTGAGCGTGGTACAGAATCCAGGCAATCTAAAGGCGGGCTCATATGGAGGGACCCCAGCGGTTGCCATGTTTTTCATCAACCCTTTGCTCCATGAGGCCAAGTTTGGGGCGTACACTGAGCTATACGCCGGTCTATCGTCCGAGATAACCCTTGAGAACAATGGTGGCTATGTCATTCCTTGGGGAAGGATTCGACCGGATGAGGATTGTCCACGACAAGACATTATAGCGGCGATGACTTCGGCCGAGGATGGGGGACTTGGATATCCAACACGGTTTTGGGAGTGGTGTGAGCAGCAGTGGAAACCCTTCGTGTAAATCCCGAGTTTCACTGCTGCATGTCTCAAGGAGTTCGCTATACTTAGGTGTTTCCCGAATGACACATGTATTCTGAATTCGATGGGACCTAGACGAGCAAGCTTTATTTCTTCGTCAGGGCAAGGACTTGCCTTAAACATGATCCTCTGGTCTTATATTCATAATGTGACTGTCTCTTTCCGATTGACTGGCGCTGATTTAAATACACCTCACATATGCAAACGTAGAGGCATTATGTAGTACTTACTGGTGATCCGGTCATGGGTAATGATGGCTCCATAAGGGCGTCAACGAGTGTTTGGCCATGAGTTATCTCTTCATCAAAAGTTGGAGTCTTCCGCGTTTTAGGGAACGAGGTTTCTGTTGCAGCTGCAGCTGCAGCATTTCCATCCCTCACTGCAAGTGCATTAGGTTAAGCATTATTTCACACGTCTAACAGTCCTCCCTCGCTTGCTGAGTAAAGAGAGAAACCATAAGAGTCTCCTCCTACAGACTCAGAGACGGTCAGGTGACTAGGAGCTTTCAACAGGTTCATCGTGAACCTCATTCTTAATTTATATATAAATATTCCGTAATAAAAAGAAATGGCCCCCCGCGCACACAGAGTTTAGTCATATCTGCTTTATCACTATGAGAGGGTCTCTGTTAATGCGGGTTCTGGTGTTGAAATTATTCTACCGAGAATGAATGACAACTCCCTGCTTTGAACCCAGCTTCAAAGTACTTGAAGATAGTAGGGCATTGTAGTCTCGAACCACTGTAATCAATTCGCGCTGTAGTCAATTAATATCGAACTAAGCTGTTTCACCGGTAGATATCGACCTTGAAGGTGACTAGGAATACCGTCCTTTATACCGCCTGTCATTTAAATATACTGCCACTCCCTCTCCGCGCTAGGCCACGTGCCTGAACCCAAACTCTTGCAGAACCGGCAGAATTTAAAGGGCGGTATACAGGGCGGTATATTGAGGTATAGAGGTTTGGCCCAATATTTCGGAGTATCTAAGGCGGTCCAATGAGCGGTCAAAAACCAGACCAAAAATAAGCATCAAGGCATCAAGGCATCATTGCCGGGAATTGTGTATTGTCTAAGGCTCTTATTTGGAGATTACCTTTCGGAGTTTTATTCTGTTTACTCTTCAAACTCAAAATGCCATCATTCCGACCCCAGGGATTCCAGTCGCTGATCCGCGGCAACTCCCACCTGCTGCGTCATCAGCAGCGCCGGTGGGCGCAAGTTCACGATGTCCGCTTCCTCGCCTCACACCACGATCCCAACTATGTATTGGACAAGTACCGGTCCAAGCTGGACCAGAAGGCCAAAGAGTGAGCAAGCTTTCCTCAGGGATATTCCTGCATCAGAACTAACTATCATACCAGAGAGGGACATGAGTCGATTGAGTCCTTGAAGGAAGCCTACGAAAAGAAAATCCAAGATCTCCGTCGCAAAGCATCCACCCCAGTTACCCCAGAGCCCGGAACTCCCAAACCCACCACTGCCGTCCCAGGCACACCCCAAGCATTCCAGGCACCCCCTCCTCCAAAGGAATCGCCCACCGCCAAAGCCGCACGCAAAGTGTCCGGCAACTCCAGCCCCGTCAAGCCCCTCAGCACCTACCTCGATGTCGAGAAGATCCGCGAGCTCCCACTCAAGGAGATCGAAGCGCTCTGGCGTCTTCGCTTCGCGGAGAACCCGAACGCCATCACCGCCGCCATCCCCCTCGACACATACAAGCGCATGATGCAATCAGCACGCGAGAACCCGCAGTTCATCCTGCCCCTCCCGCGCCCGCAGACTGCCGAAGAGGCAGAGCAGACGCCCGAGGGTGCCACTGGCACCGCTGCCGATATTCACTTCCTCCAGTGGGCTTTCCACCCGCCTGCTGAGGGGTCGACTCTGTCGCCTTCCAATAACCATACCTCTACCGTGATCTTCACGAATCTGGGTGTTTATAAGATGCACGGTGCATTTGCACAGCCTCATACTACTGTTACTCACCACCTTGATCTGGCGGATGAGAAGGGTTTGGTTCTTATGCATGGTCAGATTATTCCCGACGGCGGTGTTTCGGCCACTGAGGCGACTTGGCTTGTTAGCTGTGTGCAGCGCTTCTACGACTTTGAGGGACTGGCTTCTGGTCGGAAGAGTGAGCTTGTTCGCATGTTCACCCGAGGTGATGTTGAGAACTTCAAGGTTGAGGAGCTGTTGGTAGAGGCTGAGAAACTTCCTTAGGATGTTTCTGTCACACTCGAACCTGGCCATTTGTATTATATTTCTCTCTCCATTCCATTTTGTCTGGTTTTATGTGTCTTTGGGATTTTGGCTCTCGTGGGAATAGGAGACACAGGCGTCTCTAAAGAATTGGCCATTGATCATGGAAGAGATGTAAAAAATGAAAATAAATGATTTGATTTCCAACGTATTTTCATCTTATATACGCACGCTAGTACATTTGCAACGCTGTATACCACAAATCACTCTAAATGAAGGTGATGTCGGTTTAATGTTCCGAGATGTTCAGCAGCATCTTAGAGTCATCCAACCAAACTCTCGTTTGTAAATATATATGTCGTAAAACCGGCGATATCAGTTGCTATTACATGCCTCGTCATTGATACACAGTCTATACTAATTAGGTGAGGGCTCAGGTCAAATCGGTAGATATAACTAGTGATATATATATTATATTGTTGCATATATCTAAACGTATGTATTCCACTTCAACTTATCTATGGGTCTCTGGTTATATTCAAAACTCACTAGAAACCCTCTCGCTCCTATAAATGTCCAAACACCAATAAGACCACCACTGTAAGAGGCTAATTATGATGAAGCTTATCTGGACCTGGTCAGAAGGCGAGTCTCTACGTTTAGATGTACGCACCGAGGCTGAGAACAGGTTTCTTCCCACCGCGGTACAATTAAAAGGAGAATGTAGGGGCTTGAGAATGTACTTGGATGACCTGTGCCTTGTGTTAATAAGCCGCGGGTCTACATCCACTGCATAGCGAAAGATTCATGAAGAATTATTACATTCGTACCGATGTCAAAGGGTTCTCTCCGTGTAGTATCTGCGCACAAGCAAGGTGAAAAGCAACAAAAGGCTCGCCGAAAACGAAGCAGAGAAAAGAAACACGCCTAGCACCTGCTCTTGAGTCAATATTGTAAACACCGCGAATAGGATAACAGTGGGCAAGGGGAAACTAAAGTGACAAGAATCAAACATAAATTAGACAAGAAATAGAAAGAAGAAAAGAGCCATTCTCAATCAAATGGGAGGTGTGGCCCTTCACCCTGAAGGCTGGTGTCAATAAAGGAAGTCGTCGGAGCCATGTATGGGGCCATTAGAGGCAGGCCGTGATCATTGAATGGATGCAAAGTGAAATTCATGTCTTGGTTGCGTGGCAGGGGTATCATGGTCATAATCAACAGTTCCTGTCAATTGATTCTTGTATTGTAGGGGCCGAAACCAGACGTTCAAATTGGCGGTCGAAAAGGTGTTGACAGCCAAGCATTGTAGCAAAGCTTGTGCACTTCTTGGCAGAAAAGAGAAATTGGAAGGGAAAGCTTTAGGCAAAGTGTTTCACCATTGGGGATTCCAGAAATCCAGGCAAGATGGAGAAGTCACGTCGGTTTACTGTTTATTAGGTAGCACTTCTTCTGTAATGAAGGCAAGAATGTGCTCGAAGTACCCTGGCTCAGCAACAGAGTCGTTGTGACCACCATTCGGGAGTGTGCGCCAGGTCTTGCATTCGGACTTGCAAACGGCAAATAATTGGGTCATATTCGACGGGCTAAGGAAGGTTAGCAATGGAAATGCAGACTGAAGTATACAAGCTTACGGAACAAGCTCATCCTTGAGTCCACTAAGGAAAAGAACTGGAGTTTTGGTAATCTTGGGCAGCACATCTTCACTAGTCCAATATTGGTGGCAGAAACGTGCTAGATACCGTGCTGGGGGGAAAACACTGGTTTAAGTTAGTATTACTCGCCCGGAAAATGTTGATGGTAGTTCGAAGACATACTTTGGGATCAACTTGCGAATGCTTAGGAAAGTGTTCTCCAAGATTAGTCCTCCAATATCACCTTGCTCCTCGTTGGTGGCAACCAAGTTGATAGCCACGGCACCTCCTAAACTTTGTCCGTAGACAACGATTTCAGTATCCCTTGTCTCTGGGCGATGTCGTAGATAATCAAGACCCGTTTGAGCATCGATCTTCAGGCCAGCTTCGTCCGGTGTGCCAGTAGACATCCCGTATCCGCGGTATTCGAGCAGGAAAACATTGCATTGAAGCGTATCCTGCACAGCTTTGGCGATAGGAACACGGTGACCGATGTTGCCTGCATTTCCGTGGAACATTAGGACTGTTAAATTGCGAGAGTAGCGGCTTGGTCGTTGCCGGAGAAAAAAGGCGTGCAAGGACTCCCCGTCGGGTGTGGGGATCTGGAGGTCTTCAAAGTCGCTGATGCCAAATTGGCGAGGACTGGGTACATTTGTGCGCGCATCCACAGGGACATTGCGGGGGTAGATTAGTTCACTGGGGAAAGTGGTTAGCTTCGTAAAGAAACGGTCTAGATGTCAATAGCGTACTTTTGCTTGAAGTAGAGGAGCCCACTTGCAACAACAGCTAGACCAGATGACGCAAGAACTGGCAGTCGCATGAACTGCGCAGCACTGTTAGCCATGTTGCTGATGCTCCAAGATGGAGGCGGAGGAGATTCGGACATGGCGCTCAAGTTGGGACTTAAAGAGTGGGGACCTGATAGAGGATGCGGCAAAACAAGGTCTGGGGATTCTGGTATTGCGAAATTATTAACTAGCAGATATAGTCACTGTGACCAGAGATGACTACGGCAAGTCAATAAGACAATTCCAGAAGAAAAGGGCAAATTGAGCTTCAGGAGTCTCGCGGGGGAGGAGATCATAAGTCGATCGCAGGGGCTGGGGGCCTCTCACCGCCCGAGCTGCCGCGTTGTGAGCTTCTGCCTGTGTTCATGATAGCATCACCTCTACTTCTTCCCTTAACCTCCTTCTTCTCCTTGCTGTTTTATCTGGTCTATTGAAGTCATCTTTCTACATTTTCTATTTTCTATCGAACACATCACAAAATGGTGGCCCCCCATGGAACATCAGGAATGCTTGGTGAAGGTGAGCAGAGCTATCGTCATCCGCCGACAGCGAGCTAACATCTCCAGATGGCATTCACGTCGACATGAACCACCTGAAGTCTGGCGAGGTCAAGTAAGCTACAGTCATGATGACATTACCATCGAGCTACACAAGATATACTAACCTATCGTTTTTCATTCAGCTTGGGAACCTCGATGTGAGTTGAGCTTGGAGCTCTCGAACCTTACCATTTGCAAACATCCCCATTAACGTTCCAACAGCATGGCTATCAACTTCAAAGACGGAGTCATCCTGGGTGCAGACAGTCGAACAACCACCGGTGCTTACATTGCCAACCGAGTCACCGACAAATTGACACAGGTGCACGACACCATCTGGTGCTGCCGATCGGGTTCCGCAGCAGACACCCAGGCCGTGGCCGACATTGTCTCCTACCATCTCAACATGTACGGCGTAACGAATGCCGAGGCCCCAACCACACAGGTTGCTGCATCACTCTTCCAGGAATTGTGTTATGAGAACAAAGATGCGCTGAGGTTTGTACTCGAGTTTTTGGATCATCGCTCGAAATCCATGCTGACTGAACAATAGTGCGGGTATTATCCTTGCCGGATGGGATGCACGACACGGAGGTCAGGTGTACTCGATACCGCTGGGAGGATCCCTTCACAAGCAGTCGTTTGCTATCGGCGGTTCGGGCTCGACCTACATCTACGGTTATACTGATGCCCACTGGCGGGAACAGATGACAGAGGAAGAAGGTATCGACTTTGTGCGAAGTGCTTTGCAGGAGGCGATTAAATGGGACGGTAGCTCCGGTGGTGTGATTCGCCTCGTGGTCCTGACCAAGGCCGGTGCCGTGAGACATCTTTACCTGCCAGACAACGGCTACACTGGGCCAGGAGTGACGAATTAATAAGCTAATATTGCGTCTCCAAATGAAATGGTTTCATGATCCCCAATTCTCCGGTCTTAGCATTCTGCTATACAACATATGTCCTCGAGGATATGTGTCTGAGCGTCAAATATGACAGCACTAGTCCCCGGAAGCATAATCCCCCACCTTCGGGCCATGTAGGGAAGGGACCGAGCATATCAAGATCGGAAGTGTTCGGCCAGCGGGCCATTGGGTCATAACTGCCGATATCCTTGAATAATACCAAATTTATATAGGTCGTGATTTGTCTGTAGAACACTCTTGAGATCTGTAGTTTCTATTAGTGTTCAGAGCTAGAACATGTCACATCCCTATTCGATGCAAGTATAAATCGGGGATGTAAATTCTAAATATATTCGATTCCCCGGACTAAATAGACAAGATATCTGAATCATCACTCTTGTCCACGGGCGCGAAGCTCGTGTTATCATTCGTCAATATACCGGAAGAATCTCCTATATCTACACCGTCTTTTATCTCATTTGTTTGATAAAAAAACACTTTTTTCCTTTTATCTTATAGTCCAAACAAGAATCATCAGAATTATACCTTAACAGTTGTAAATGTAAAAAAAAAAAAAAAAAAAACCAACTTGTTTCATCTCTCGGGGACTGACCTCACTGACTTCACCTTGACTAAACATCAACTTCCCTCATATTACGCGTCCTTTTTCCCTTTCTAATTCTTCTAATCCTTCTATTCTTCTCTTATTTCTTTTCAAATGGATTCGATCAGCAGTCGCTGATCCTCCACTCCGTGTTTTATCCCGGGGTTTTTCCTTGATTATTCCAGCCCCTGTTAATAAAAAAGAAAAAAAAAAAGGGTATGCCCCTCTCTCTTTTCTCTACTAAATTATTTCTATTATTCTTGTCTCCATCTCATCTTGTCTACTTCATTTAGCTTTATCGCGAAACCCGAGCTGCGACCGCCTTGCTGACCTTCCCGCAGAAAAACAGACTTGACATGGGCTCCGTCGTCCTCAACGTGCCCTCAGATAACATGTTGGGAGGCGCAATCAATTCGGATTCCTATTCTCGTTCTATGGACTCGACTTCCTCAAACACCCCCACCTCTGCCCCACCGTCTGTAGGCTCTGCTCTTCCTGTGCATGCGAATGATGTACCGGCTTACATCAACTACACACCTTCACAAGCTTCTCGCGCCTCTTCCGATACTCCTACTTTTACCCCACGACCACCTTCAATGACGTCTCACCCTTCCTTTCCTCCCGACTCACGTACCCCACCAACACAGACCGGCTACTCTAATCAGTCGGCGCCGGACTCACCGCGTCTCCAACCCACATACCAGTCCATGCAGTCCGTGCCAGGCTCGGAAGCCAATTCACCGAGCCGCATTCGTGTCCAAAGTTTATCTCATATCCAAAGTCTCGCTAATGAGGACTTCATCGGACCGAGCTCACACACTCCCGGAACTGGGTCGCAACGACAATATGAGATTAGCTCCATGCCGGTCACGGAGATCATCGAGATGGTTGCTGGGCTTTTAACTAAGATCACGACTACAAACGATATGCATCATGAACATGTACATCGCCACATCCCCCCGCCCGAAGGCACATCCAACCTTAGCCCGCAAGCCACCAGCGTCCTCGCCTTCCATGGCAAGAATGTCCCGACCATAACAATCTTGAGTTATTTAACTCGCATCCACAAATATTGTCCCACAACATACGAGGTCTTTCTAAGCTTGTTGGTCTACTTTGACCGCATGACTGAGCTGGTCAACCGCGATCAGCTGGAAAACCTACACCAGCGTTGGGATTCTGCCACGGGATCTGAAGCTTCGTCCGACTCTACTGAATCCCCAGCCCGCCACATGCAGGATTCTCTAATGGCCACACCACCCCACTCAACAGGCTTCATTGCGCAGGACTCGCAAGGATCGAATGCTTCAAATTCGCCCGGCCTTTCGTCTCAGTCGGATGCCGAGGCACTTTCACATTTCTTCGTTGTTGATAGCTTTAATATCCATCGACTGGTCATCGCTGCCGTGACCTGTGCGAGCAAGTTCTTCTCTGATGTTTTCTACACCAATTCACGTTATGCAAAGGTTTGTGATTCTTATATGTGATTCGTGGATCTACAGCTAATCATGATCGGATATGCAGGTTGGCGGACTTCCACTGGTGGAGCTCAACCACTTGGAACTACAATTCCTCCTTCTAAATGACTTCCGACTCGCCATTACCGTCGAAGAACTCGAGTCATATGGGACAATGCTCGTGGAGTTCTACGCACGAGAGGTTGTGACACAGCAACAGCAACATCATAACAGAACCCTTCCTCGAGAGATCGCTCCCCCGGCGACCGACGCATACTCCGATGCCATGTACATGCGATCCCGCGATAAGCCCCGCGATAAGCCCCGCGGCCATGCAGAGTTCGGACAAACTCCCACACCACCGTAGTCCATTCGTCGGATACCTTATTTTGCCATCCCATGTGGCACATTTCTTTCCCCCCAGTCCATGATCCATCTTACTTCTTTTTCATCTTTCTTATCCTTCGATACGTTGAGCGTTTGCTTATCTCATATCTCGCACTCGACCTTGTATCCATTCTGGTTTCTGGCGTCTCATACCCTTTCCCCCCATCACTTCGTGCACAACACACCCTTTACACCTATCTGGATCTGTTTCAGCGCATTTACATGTCACGACTTGTATAGAGTTTCGTTTCTCAGCTGGCCGGGCTTTGCGGGTTGTCTCTTTACAACTATTCCCCCTTCTTGCAACATACATAAACATCTACTTGATCTTGTTCCTGGTCTGCTGAGTTTATGCGGTCTTCTCTTATTTCTTTCATGGGTTGGCGTTATGCTGGCGCTTTCTTGCATTACGAGTTTGTTTACAGATTAACCGGTCACCTGCTTTAGGGTAGTTTCGAATATCCTCTTAATATGCTTTCCTTCATGCTAGGACTTTTTTATTGTAGCGTAGTCCCATGGATTCCTGGAGCGGTCCGAGTATATCAATCCTCGACCTTCGAGTTTGAAGGTCTCTGAAATTGATGCCAGAATGGCCGCCATTTCGTTTAAATGTCAAACCGCATGTCGTAAACCAATCTCAACGGTAAAATAAACCCCAAGATCACATGACATATTTCCAATCTCCGAATCGGGTTTACCGCAATTAGCCCTAACTGACCTCCCGAAATCCATCCATATTTGTATGAACACATAGAATACATGATTCAGCCAATTTTAGTACCATGGGAACGGTATGCTTCTGAGCGCAACACTTGTATTACATATTATTAGTGACAATGGTCAAAAATGGGACTCCTAATAGTCACGATGTCGATATGACCAACACGGGCATAGCGACACCGTAAGCAAAGCAGGCACCGAGATCTTAGGTAATAAGGCCACTACCTCAAGTGATTACCCAGCGCCGACGATGAGTACGAATTTGCGGCAAACAGACCATTTATACTTCAGGTCTGGATAGACATCCTCGGTGGCCTGGATAGAGATTTGCACAGGAGCAATGCAAAGACTGGTTTCGCGTTCGGATGGTCGCCATTGCCAATGTCAGTCTCATTGGTAACTGTCTGTCCAGCCTGTGTGATATGCCCCAGATCATGGTTGGTCAGTGCTATATGGCGCAGAGTCCTGCTGGGACAATGGTTAGAGTGAAACTACCAGTACTTTATTCGGCTTATGGCTAACGATTATAGCATTTAGCTTAGAGAAAGCATATGGTGGCTGGATTTATCCTTTCCTCGCTATACCTTAGAGTAAGCTTAGATACTTCTTTTAAGATATAGTAGTGAGTTTATTAAGGCTATGAATAGTTCTCGAGGCCTTTGTAATTGTAGGATAGCTGCTGCTCCATTCGTGTTAGGAGGGTTCATTACGACTCTGAATAGTCATACACGCGCTTGGTTTATCTTTATCCAAATGTTGTGATAGAAGGCAAGATGGGAAAGAGAGTAGTTAATGACTGGCAGAGAAAGGAAGATACAGATGAAGTAGCTAGGTGAGAAGTAGGGTCCTATTATCTCGGCAGTTGTTGACGTCCACGGGTACAATCAACTTTCTTCTTCTTCTCCATAGCCCTCATACTGCGACCTAACTGAGTGAACATGCTCAGCTTCAACTTCATCTTTTCTTCTCCATCCTCCTCGCACTTCGAGAACACATGATGAAAAAAATAGAAAAAAGAGGATAGAAGGATACGTCCGTGTACTAATAAGTCAGTCAGTACAGCTATACCAACCGATGGAAAAATTCATAAACGTACTCCGTTCGCCGAAAGGGCGAGCCACCACACGTCCTGCTGCCTTCCGCACGTTCACAGACAGAAACGTTCCCACAACCTCCCCTGGAAGAATTACAGTTAGTATGTAATCAAAAAGAGAGACGGGGTGGACTGATATTTACCTCAAAGAGGAAAAGACGATGCCACCACACGTCTTGCTGCCTTCCGCATGTTCACAGCTGAAGACGTCTGACCGAACTATAAGATGTTAGCATGCGAAGTAGGGAGGCCTTGCGGCTCAACCATGCTGTTTCAAAAAGATTAGGGCAATGGATCCAAGGGGGAAATATAATTACCACACGCTCTGCTGCCTTCCGCATGTTCACAGACAGAGACGTTCGTTCGGTACGATTCCCAGCGGCAGCGCCAACAAGCCTTAAATTGATCGCCATGTTAGCTCTTAGAATCCTGAGATGATTGGTAAGTCTTACCCTCATCGGCATCCGATTGAGCCACCACATGATCTCTGCTGCCTTCAACAGACAACGATGTTTCCACAACAACCCAACAAAACGGCCAAAGGCTCAGCAGAACAGAAAGGTGGCACAGGGAAACAGGGGAGCAGGGGAGCGGGGAGCAGGGGAACAGGGGAGCAGGGGAACAGAAAGTAATTTTTTGGGGGGTTTTTTCTTTTCTCAAAAGCAAACGGCGAAAGCCTCATCAGAATAGGGGAACGGGGAACGGGGAACGGGGGAACAGAAAGCAATGTTTTTGGGGGTTTTTTCTTTTCTCAAAAAGCAAACGGCAAAAGCCTCAACAGAACAAAACAAGACATCGAAAGTGCAGACACTGAAAGAAAGAAGAAGCCAAGCCAACCCAGAAGAGAGGGTACCGAATGCAGAATGGCAGCATCAAAAGAAGCGTCTCCCACAAACGAGCAGGAGCACAAGTGCCGCGTACACGGGAACCATCCATGGGAAGACACTCCCCACCACAAGGAAGAGCTCACAAAGGCGGAAGAGGGTGATCGAGAACGGATCAGCCTCGACGTGGGTCTGGACCACACGTGCATGACGAGCCTTTGGAGATGGGTGGGAAGCGACCATGGACTTGGGCACAGGTGCAAGGGATGACACATCAGAAGAAGCATCAAGTGTCGGAAGTGCAGGCGCCAGGGAGGACATGTCAAAGGCAGACACATCAGAAGATGCATCTGGTCCCGGAAGTGCACGAGCCAGGGAGGACATGTCAAAGGCAGACACATCAGAAGATGCATCTGGTCCCGGAAGTGCACAAGCCAGGGAGGACATGTCGAAGGCAGACACATCAGAAGATGCATCTGGTCCTGGAAGCGCACGAGCCAGGGAGGACACGTCAAAAGCAGACGACACATCAGAAGAAGCATCCGGAAGTGTACAAGCCAGGGAGGACATGTCAAAGGCGGACCCTTTTGGCGAACCAACAGGGGCAGCCTCAGACACGGCACTACTCGGCGAGTGCACCCCGAAGGCGGCATTCGGCACATGAGAGGCCACGAAGGAAGGCGCAGACCGCGGAGGACGGGGCTCAGCAGAGTACATAGCGGCGAGACTACGGGCACGAACGACACTCTCCCAGTGAGTACACACAATGTCCCGAGGTGGTCCGCTACGTCCTGGAACCTTGTGAAGGAACCGCTGGTTTGACCCCATCTTATCCGAAGTGTACATGATGAACGACTTCGTCTTCGTGATCTGGGCACTCTGGAAGGTTGGCGGCCTTGGTACTGCCCGAGCCGGGATTAGGATGACTCGCTCGAGAGACATCTTGTCGTCAGGGAAGCGCACTGTCTTCCGGACGCAAGCTTCTCCAGAGGTGGAGAGATCCCGCTCAGAGCGCGAAGTAGCAAGGCATGACTTCGAGGGCGGAGGCCTGGTTTTGGAACGTAGGCGAGAAGGAAAAGGACGAGAAGGAAGAGGAGGGGGAAGAGGAGGCCTTTTGGCAAAGGAGAAGGGCATGATGAAAAGAGGTATGAAAGTAGTGAAAGATGTTTTTGGTAATCAAATGCAAGTGCAAATGAAAAATAGCCAGTGGCATGGGGAGAGGAGAAAGAAGAGAAGAAGAAGAAGACTGGAGGGGAATAAACAACACTTGGATATTCCATGGCAACGGACATGGTAACAGGAAGGTACGATGGTTTGATATGAACAGAATATCAAGTTATAAAAGGAAGGTACGATGATGGTGGTCATGGAAACCAATTAGGGCAAGCCGATATACAGGGAAGGAGCATATCATCACTATGGACGTTGATACCTAAGGACTATAGAATTTGTACGAATTAGGGCTAGGTCATACAGAGGACCCCTTTTAATGCAATAACACTCTTCTTTTCAAAGCTGCTTTGGGCTGTTATTTTCACTATGCTGCTTAAAAGATGTAAAAGGACATCAGAAAAGACATCAGAAAAGACGCTAGATGTTAAAGATGTTGCCAGGGCCCGTGTTCGTTATACTTACGTAGATATCAGGTTTGCCTTCGATCCTCAATGCCATCTATCATTTGCAATACGACCCCAATATTACTGGACCTTAAATTCGTACATAATATGTACCCCCTGGAAGGCCAGGTTGTACAATATCAAGGATTGAGGCATGAATCACAAGGCGACCACTACATTTCCAGGCGAAACTCTGCATTGTCCGCATCGCCCCGAAGTACTTTCTGTCGTTTATCACCCTAGACAATGCTCAAAGCTTTATTCAAAGGCTCCCGGTGTGCATTTTCTGGGTATCTCTTGGACAGAGCAGCTAGCTATCCATCGGCGAAACATAGCCTCTCGGCCTAGGGATTTGACTATTGACTTGGTTATCTTACTTTGACATGAAGTAGCATGTTACCCATTTCTACAGCAGGTAGTCATAAAAAGGCCCGAAAGCTCGACGTAGACGGAAGCCTTACATACGACGGGTTGGATATGATGCAAATGAATTCAAGGTAAAATCGCTCAAGCTGGGAACCACCTGCACTCCACCGGGTCATAATGATACATGCATTTCTTCTCAATTTTCTAGTGAGTGGCAGAAGGCAAAAAAGGCTCACGAGAACAACGCTGGTCGGGCGAGGTGTTGGACTTCGTGCTCCTCGAACTACACCCAGTTAGTCACATGATCATCAATTCGTCCCAATAGACTGTAAAACGAAGAAAGAGGAGAAAGATAACATACCTCCATGAAATCTGTGGCGGTAACAAGAGCCATGAATGCTTTGACTAGTTCACATAAAGTCTCGTGGTGGGTGGTTGATGTATTTCCAATCTTGGCAGATCGTTTAAAGATACCCACCATGCATGGCCGATTTTCAGCCAAAAATATCCGCGTCTGCTCCTTGAGTTGTTCGTTGTGGATACCTCGCGAGAAAACCGCATAAACGATGACCTGAAGGATCGAGAGGAGAAGATCGTAATACCTTTGAAGGGCATCGGGATTTTCAATGTCTGAGGGTGTTAGTAAGGTATGATCGGGACAGGATATGATTGACCGACCAATGCCAATGTCTGGATCAGCAGCGAAAAGTCGCGATTCGTGCACAGCTTGGAATAGACCAGAGTTGAGCACACAATTTGCTCCCTCCTTGGTCTGAGACAGTCGCTGAAGTAATGACAAAAGCGACTCATAGTATGCCAGTAGTGCCGGAGTATCTAAAGTTTCGATTAGTACAGCAACGTGACAGTTTCAAAGGGGAATGACTGACCGCTTCCCTGGGCATTCTGAAGTTCGAGGGGGAGAGACCTCAAGGCATCTAGGAATAGACTCAAATAGTTTGATCTCGAGATTAACCCGGCCAAAACACAATCGGTTTGGCGATCTAGAACAGCCAGACTGTTCAACAGAACAAGAGCGGATGCACGGCATGATTCTTGGCCAGTGTAGGCGTCATCACACATTGTCTCAATCAGGCTAGAACCGGCCGCTTTGATGACATGTTGGCTAAGACGTTGTAGGTTTTCATGGCCCTTGTTTGACGATGTGATGCGCGTGATGTAGTGGGAACAAATACTGTAAAGGGTTTCTCTCAACAACACATTTCCTGTTGCCAGGTTGGTACCTCGGATGCAGAGTTGGAAGAGCTGGTGGAGCTTTTCGTCGATGACATCCCCGCTTCGAGATGCATCTGTCGCCGATGCATCAGACGCAAGACTGCCTATCAACAATTCAGCCAATCGTGCCAACTCAAGCGCTTCGGGGACGTCTGCCTCGATTGCCGATGTCAGCTTAGGGAGGATCAATTGGATTGAATGGAGAATGAAAGCCGGCCTGCTTGCTTCATCGATAGCAGAGCAAGTGATCATCGTAGCAATGAGCTCTACCCAGGAGCGGAGGGCGTGGTAACGATTGGCTTGAATCAACTTGTTTTGCTTTGTTGCAGAAATGAACAACTTCAGGTCATTGGCCTCAGCTAGCAGCTGCTCCTCGTCCTGCGGGCGGAGCGGTCCATTGGCCATCAGTTCTGCTCTGCGCATTTGTATCATCTCCTCTACCCCTTCCATGCTGTACACACCGCCCTCCTGCTTGCTTTCCAGCTGACGAGCAATCTCACCGAGCAAGTAGAGCTGGGGCATGTTGAAATCACGTCCAACATCAAGGTCGGCAAAATCGAAAAGATCAAACACGGAAGGACTGGATATGGGTTCGCCGTTGTCTGAAAGCGTGTTTCCGAGTAACACCGACAAAGTCTGGGCATGTAGAGCTGGTGACCTAGCCTTTGCTGTCGAGCGAACCTCGGTTGCAGCATATGTGAACAGGTGACTTCGGTAGAGCAGGAATTCTGACAATGAAGTTGTAGCATCAGTGAGCCAAAATTCCTCTGAATCAATCGGGAACCCATCCCAGGCAGTGCTTGGGCCAATGATGGGTTGATAGGCAAACATCTCACGCAGGAATGCCTGAGCACGCATTTCACCAAGGGTGTAGTAGCTTGCCAGCCTCGATGACCACAAATGCTTCAGCACTTCAAAGGCCATACGTTTGAGGTGCACTACCCAAGATATAACGCCACCTTCGAGGATCTCCGGATAAGACTTGAGGAAATTCACGATGGCATGTAGCAAGGAACTTTGATTCGCGAACAGCCCTTCGGATGACACATCGAGAATATTGCCCACGCAGTCGAAGCCCAATAGCAGATGGGCCACCGTTGGGCGATCCGTGATCGTTCCCAGGCAGCTGTTCAAAAGAGCAAGAAGGCTTTCCCGAATGACATAGCCGGCGGCATTCCGGCCGAAATCAAGTTCTCTCACGTCAGGTCCCATTTGCAAGACAAGAGGCCGGGATATGCTGTCCACGTCGACCTCAGATGCAAGTACCTCCACGATCTTGTTCGAGGATTGCCATTTGATAAGTTCCGGCGAAGTCATCTTGTTGAGCTTTCTGGAACTGGTAAGTTTTTCCAGTAAAGCCATAGAAGTGACGGTCAATTGTTGGTGGGCCGTGCCACAATAGAGACAAAGTGATGGGATGAGTGTCAGATTGTTCAACACAGTGTCCTCAAATGAAGCGAGCGAGGAGTTTGCCACAATAGTCCTGGATGGTACAGGCTGGGAGTGTACCAAAGGCTTCACAATGTTAAAGTATGTTGACTGCAGGTCTATGAGCAGGTTCATAACCTCCAGACAGCGGTGCAAGGTGAGAACCAGAACAGAGTCAGGCGACGCAGTAGCAACCTTCAGAACATCTTGCTTAGAGGTCGCAAACAGAGCTTTGAGTACATCTTCGTTGAAAAGCCATTCCACCACACGGGCAAACGGATGGGAGCGAACATAGGTGAGTAGCGACGAAGTCTGTGTCGGTGAATCCGACGCAGACGGCTGGCTCAGAAGTAACACTAGGTCCTCATTAAAGGATTGCAAGCTTGCCACAATAAATTCCAGGCAGTTGAAAGTCAACAGGCGGGATTGATACTCGCCAAGATCTTGAATCTTCCGTGAAAAGGCATGGCCCAAGATGAAATCGATGTAGGGTTCAATCCCAGACATGCGGTAAGTTCCACCTAGGGTATCCGGGAAAGGCAGTGACATTGGGTCATCAATTGAGTCGGATGAGGGGGCAGCAAGTGCATTGATAAGAACAACAAATGCATTCGTCTGGTCAAAGCTCTCTCCAATCTTTTGCAAGGCTTGTTGCTGGTGCCATGCTGCAGGGTTGGAAACCAAAGGCACTTTGCCAATGCCCGAAGCACCGGTTCCTCCGGATAACCACCCATCGAGACGGGTCCACGTTTCCTTCCCAATCGTGGAGAATTTTTCAGTCATCAAGGCTGAGAGAGTGGAGAAGGTAGTTGCCCGAAGATGCGATGGAATCGGGCCGCTGCACAGGTCTAAAAGTGTGCCAACTACATTGAAGGATTCATTTTGTAGCATCCACTCACGGATAGGTCGACTCTGTTTGCACAGATGGCCTATCAGCCGAAGGTAGCATGTTAGCATCACTGGGCTCTCAGGCTCGTTCATTTCCACGGGCTCTGGTTTCCGTGGACGAAAGATCCCTGGCACCCCTGGGGGGCTTGTTGCAGTGGAAGGCTTCTCAGTCACCCGAGATGCGTAAAGCTTTAGTTCAGCGAACATTTGCGACCAATTCATTGTTGTGGATCGCTTGAACTTGGAAGACATAAATTTGTCTTCCTCCAACAGGAATCGATGCGCCGCGGCTGCATTTTCTTCGCCTTCGGATATCGAACACAGCATTTCGCAAAAAGCGCTGACTCGAGGTACAGTCTGCCGTTTAGACGCCCACTGAAGGAAGCCGTAAAGGTTTCCATCAGGATCAGCCCAAAATTCCTGGGCGGCTTCTTGTCGGTGCTCAAAGGCGAATGAGATGATCATAAGAAGAGACTCCAGATGAGTACGCACCTCTACTAAGCCACGGTGGAGGTTAGAAGTGAGGCCATCTCTGAGTGCAGTGATCTGGTCCAGTCGTTGTGAGTCCTCTTCCGACTTCAGTCGTCGGACCGCGTCGGGCATATTTGCAACGCATGATTCCACGAAAACCTCGAGGTTTTCCATCAAAAGCTCCTTCATAAAGCCAGAGCATGGCTCGGGATCAGGCAATGATACGACACTTTCCCTGAGCAGTAGTGTCACTAACTCGCTCCGCGCAGGATCCGCCCATTCCTCGGTGTTGACGCTGGAGCAGATTGCAAGCATGAAATCAAGGGCACCATCATCGAGAGAAGACATGAACATCTTCGTACGCTCTTCGGATTCCTTCTCCGCATCAACCGATGGGGAGGAAAGACCATCAAAGTACCATCCACTATAGACTGAGAGCCATAGAGCAACAAGGGCCGCGTGGAAGTTAGACAGTTTCCAGGATTGGGCATCCTTGGGTGCAGTGATTAATGTGTGCAGATCTCGAGCCTCCTTCTCGGATCCAGAGCCCTCTGGAGAACCATGCTGTACAAAGGACACGATTGTGACTGGAATGTAGTGAAACAAGAGTCCGTCAAAGCGATCAATGTCCTTCAACTGACTGACAAGTATGCGGAAGTCTTCGCAGCTTGTGTACGTCCCTTTGAACATGTAAAACAGAATCGCTCCGAGTGACTCATGCTGCTGTTGCAGACTCACTCGTTGGTAGTCAATGGCTTCCATGATATCCCGATCATTTTCCTGGCCGACAACTGAGACTTTTTGAACTTGGTCCCCAAGAAGTGACAGCCATTTCTGGATGTCGGCCATGGAACTCAAGGCCTTTCGCGCGAAGAGTGATGCATTCCGCAGAGGGCTGTTTTTGATTTCCAGAACGTGGGCCAGTGTTTCGTGCATGATAGGTTGGGTTGCGTCGTGTTCAATTTCGCGCGATTCTCGGAAAATGAGACGTAGACACTCGAGAGTGAAAAGGCGGCGCTCGTGGAAGGTTATTATCGCAGCGATGAGCGGGGGTCTGTCCAGCGTTTGTGAATCTTCCTGGGCGGCCAGAAACATAACTGCTGCTTCCATTTCATCAATATTGAGCGCATCCGCAAGCTGCAGTGCGCCTTGTTGGAAATCCTGGTTCACCGAGTATTCAACGTCGGCAATGGTGATCTTCCCTGAGGTATCACATTCTACGTTAGTAGCTTGTCAAAACGGACGAACATGGGTTCTTGGTGTAACCAAGATACCAAATGACTACTTACCGGAGAGAACTGCTTGACGGCTGGCATTGTTCTTTGCTGGCTTGTCTAGGAGTTTGCGGAAGTCTTGAATATGGGTTTCCAATTCGAAACACAGGCGATCGACGTTGGGTAGTTGAGAGCTAGAAAGAGCACATAGATCCTGGTATAGACCACGGAGGCCATTCCGGGTGTCCTGCGGCTCTGCCATGACGGCGGGGTGAAGTTGGGAAGTGAAGCTCGAGCTCTCTGTTTGTTCTAAGAGTCTAGAAAGGCGGAACGCGACAAAATTCGGGCGGTGAGACAGCTTTCGCAAATACTGCCACTCCACTTTCCACTAAAAACAATCACCTCGCGCTTATCCACTCGATTAGCTCGCTGGTTAATTGATCTCAGATGTCTTTTTCCGCTAGGTGCAAGCAGGATTTTTGAGGGTGACTGGTTTAAGGGGGTTTGTTGTCGTGTCTAAAAAGACACCAAAAACCACGATGGGTGAGGTCTTCCTTGACAAGACGATTAGCCTACTATCGTCAGACAAACAGAAGGCCCGCTCGGATGGTTTGGCAGGTTTGATGATCCCTATCTCATCACGGAAAGACTGGTCCTAACTCCATTGGTAGACTTGAAACACATCTTCCAGCAGAACAAGAAGAGCTCCAAGCTGTAGGCAGTCAACTACCCTCAAATGAACCTTGCCATGCTGTGGAAGTAACTAACCATCCACCTACCTAGACAAACACTCAACGATAAAGCCTGCCATAAGATCTTCGAATCACTGTTCCGTTTCGTCGCAGCAGAAAGGTCCATATATAATCGAGCACAAAAATCCACATATGCATCTTCTGCATCGCGGCTTTCGACATGTGCCTCTGTACTCCGAATGGCTGTTGATATCTTTCTGAGAAATTTGAGAATCAAAACAGTCCGCGCCATCGCTGATCACATTGTTGAGACCATACCAGTCCCTGGGGAGGGTTTGTGGGAGCCCCTGAGCCTGGACTATACCAAGTGTTTGGCATCGCTTCTACGCTACCGTCCCCATACTGAGCACCTTGACAAAGAAGACTGGGAAAACCTCATAAGCTTTTGTCTTGCCAGTATTAGCCCCCGGGAGAATGAAGACAGTCAATTGAGTATTCGAAGCGGTTACCGATCCTTTCCAGAAGATCAAGATGCCAGCGACAGCCGTTCCACACCCTCAAGGATGACCATTGCTCCTACCCCGGCCAGCAGGGAAAGGCACGGTGACAATAGGAATGTCATTGAAGAAGTTGTAATCTGTATTCAACTCTTGACAACTAGTCCGAACCCCCCTCTTCAAACCACGGCCCAAAGGATACTTCACGGGCTTTCGGGGTTTGTCGAATCATCTGCGCCTGGCAATGCACATCAGCTTGCGTTCAATAGCATCAATGCAGTCGTTACAAAAGTCATATTTGATCAATCCGAGCTTGTCCGTTCAGTTCTCTTGGGCTTGATTCCAGTAATTCGACGCCTATGGGCCACTAAGTTACAGATTCTCAAGGAGGAGTTGCTTGCCACTTTGATGCTGTCGATGATCGTCCTTGCGGACACTGCTCGGAAAGACCCATCTGAATCTCTGGCGCACGATATCGAAGGATTGGCCAGTACACTCCATTTGGAATATGTGCGACGGTCAGAAAAGGAGATCCTACAAATCGACGAAACAACACTCTATCAATATGAATCATGCAGGAGCAGACCAGTATATGGACCTCGTCTCGGAACTGCCAGATCGGAGCATAACTGGACAGTCCTCTGGTTGATTGCAGAGCTGCTCAAGCTCTCGGAGGGTATTCATACCAGAACCAAGTCTTTGTCAGCACGCGAAGGCTCAAGCAAAAGGCAGCGTTTCAGTTCTGAGATCCAGGACATATTTCGGGATTCGATCTCGGCCACCGGCACAAGAAGACTATGCGCATTACAGCTCATCCCATTCCTCGAATCTGAGATTGACATTGAGACTAAGGAGCCCTTCTTCAAACAACTTGCTTTGAACATCTCTGACGGTGATGGCGCTGTGTCATCCTGGACAATGCTTGCTCTGACGAGGTATGTAAATCATTATCCAAGAGAATATCTGGAATCGCACCAAGCACCCTTCGAAAAGGACAAGAAATGCCCTAACTTGAGCATGAAAACAAAACAGTGTTGCGAACGGAGCTACTGCCAAATCGGCTGAAATTAGGGCTTATTGGCCACGAGTAGTTGAATTTACTACACGTGCATTCTCATCCCCAGTGACATCGAGAGCTGCGTGTAACCTATTGAGTATGATTTTGCAGTCAGACTTACTGGGCTACTCGGTGGCTATGGAGACTATGCGGTCACTCTTGACCTCTGCCAATGGACCGTCTGCTATATCAGACTCGTCTTTACGGCTATGGGCCTCAATTGCACGAATGAAGGCACAGCTTGCTCCTGGGTCAGCCCAACAGGCGACAATGCAGATATGTGGCTGGCTAAGAGAAGTTTGGGCTGGTACGAGAAACCCAGATTGAGACCCCAGAATGCTCGTTTAGTGATTGTTGGCTCTGACAGTCAATTTTCAGGTTCGGTGACCGATCGAATTCAGACAGCCCGAGTAGCTGCGTATGCCCGTCCGTTGGACTTACTAGACCTTTTTTTGTCATGCACCAATCGATCTTTCATCATTCCGCGTTACCAAGTCACAGGGTCGACGGGACATATAGGTCGCACTTGGTTTTTTCTTCATGAGAACCGCGAATTGTTGAAGCATAGTTTTGATACAAGTTCGGCCCCAGCAAACCCTTGGGATCTGCAGGAAACATGGTCCTTGGAGCAATTCTCCAGGCAAGACCCCGATGATACAGTGATCTTGGATCTCCTTCGAGCAAGATCGGAGGCATTTTTGCACGCATGGCACGCTATGAATGACGAAAGATCACATATCACCCCAGATAACTTGCAGATTCTAGCATCTTTTTGCGTTGTCGCCTCGCTATTCATGGCATGTCTGCCTCAATCATTGCAATCTCAATCTCGATCACACAATCTGCATCAAAACTGCCAGACTTTATGGCACGCTATATGCGATTTTCTGGCAGCTCATACTCACGAATCAGCTTTCATTCAATCTTGCCTGGACTTGCTATCACCGCTTCTTGGTCCTTTGCTAAGTTCCAGCACTCCCCCTGCCATCAGGTTTAGTCTTAAAGAGCTCATTACTCCACTCTCCAAAACGCTCGAACATTTCCGCCAGAGCTCGAAGAGTCCGTCCGCAGCCGAAGATATAATGGACCTGGATTTGGAAGACCGGTTCATGGCCGAAACTCCACTAGCGACTAATGAGAAAATTCTCACCGTGAACCGAAATTCTCTGTCTATCTTCCTTGACCCTGTCACATATCAACGCTGTGTAACCATCCATCTGTCTATATTTCTCAGAACTCAAGCGGATTCGGACTCATCTTCGTCCATCGTTGAATACCTGACTGGATTAGATGAAGCGGATATCCTAGCTGCTCAAGATATTTTACCTGGGATTTTCCAGCTCTGCTCGAAATCGGAGCCCTCGGGACTACTCTCCATCCTGGAAGATTTGGGTGAAAGGTGTCTACAGTCTTATGAAATGGAACGGTGCGAGGCTTCACATTGCGTTTGCATCCGCATGATGACTAGCTTCGTCGACTGCTGGACAAATGGGCCCGATGGTGCCTTGAAAGAGTCCGCTATGGATTTGTACTATTGGTTTATGGAAGTTCTCTTGGCCCGGAAAAGAGCTTCCCCAAATGTCTACATTGCTTTGGCCAAGCTCATCCAGGGGGTGATTGACTCATGCCCCTCATACGGCAAGGACCAGTCTCTTCCGTCGCCACGAACAAGTTTATTCACCATACTTCGAGAAGGTGGTGTTCAGGTCAAATTCAGCGTTGCGAAATTTATACCTGCTTTATTCGAGCGGTTCCTTCTCAAAGATCACGACGCTATCTTCGAAGATGTATTAGAAAGCTTGCCGCGAGACCCGGAATGGATCGAGGGAATTGCAGTCCGCCTTTTCGTGCTTTCGCAGTTAGCTTCCAGATGGCACACCTTGCTGCGACGATGCATTTACCATCTCTTTGAAACCCCAGCTCAAGTTCCCCTATCACTGTGGTACGCTGAGAAATGTATGGTTTCTGTTGCTCAAACCCTTGGTCTGCAAGATGCCAAAGAACTTTTCCGGCTTTTCTCGTCTCAAATACTCTACACGTGGGCTGAGACACAAAGTATCATGTCTATGCCATTTAGCATCTTTGGGTATGACAACCTTCAAAACATGCTGGTGGACGTCAAAGATGAAATCGTTGGGCAAATGATGATGCGTGCTAAGGAAAAGGAGACAATTGAACTTGCGAAACATCTTCAAGTTCCGCATCTCGAGCTATTAGTGAACTCGTTCCACAAGGCCGAGGCATACAGCATTGCACGAGATATCAGTACACCTCCGGGGCAAGGTAGTCAGCCCAAAGGCGTTGAGATCCGTCTGCGGAAACTTCTGGGGGCAGAGCAGTTCATGGTACATATCGAGAGTCAGTTTCCCCTAATTATTGCTACTTTCTTCAAATCCCTCGACTACTATGACCAGGTCGAACGGGCATTCTCAAAGCGTGAAAACTTCGGCTATGCGCTCGACATCCACACACAAATAATCAAGAAAAGCACGTCTCAAAATGCACTGCCAGCGAATCAGCAGCCCTCCTTTCGAGCACGCTATCTCCTGGATGAGATTGAATTTCTTTGCAGGCGCACTGGGTTCGAATTTGAATCAATATGGACACCATCACTGGTGTCTTTTGTCTGCCGTTCGCTGCTTGAATCCATACATCCCGCTCTTGGCTCGCTTCACGCTTGTTCCGTGATCCGCAAAATAAGAATCCTAACCTGTGTGGCCGGTTCCATCATACTTCAGGACTATCCTCTAGAGATGACACTCAGCTCTTTGCGCCCTTTCCTTGGCGACATTCACTGCTTTGAGGATGCTCTTGGTGTTTTCTGGTATTTACTCGAGGCAGGGAAACCATATCTCGAAGTGACACCAGGATTCACCGCAGGTATTGCTGTCTCGACACTGGTCACCCTCCGCAGAATATTTTCGTCGCTACCTGAGAACACGACTCAGGAAAGTCAGTTCAGAAAAGTGCAGTCGAATGCGAAAAGATTCTACCAATGGTTGGTAGAGCTCCTTGGGGAGCTCCGTTCCTCTGATTGGGATACAGAGACGACAGCGTCATTTGATCGGCTTGTATCACTAGCCGAGAAATTCTCAACATCTGAGGGCTCCTCGGGCGGACAATTTGGGAAGGACTTGGTCTTTGAAATTCTCAAAGGCCGCGATTCTGTGACTTCGCTGTTGAGTAAGCCTGTGGCGGATCTTGTTTTGTCGCTCTTATGCCCTGAATTCGAGCATACGTCAGAAACTGGGAATTGGGTCATGAATGACGATGTGAATCCCGCTTCCCATGTTGTATCTCTATGGCACACGCTTCAGACCTCCAACGGAGGATCTCAGTATCGACTTTGGGCCGCTCGGGTCATCGGGCGGTCTTTTGCTGCCACTGGTAAAATCGATCAATTGCTCCTGCGAGAACAAGATCTCTCGCTATTTCAACCCCCCAAGTCTTCTTTGTCTTCTGATATTTTCTGTCATTCCAAGGCCAGAATCCTTCGGGTGCTTTGTGATATGCTCCATGTGCAAAAGTATTTTGAAGCTGGCCTGGTTGAGCGTACTCTGCAGCTGATCGTCAGCAACATCGCCAATTATCCAGACTTCCAAGGTTGCAGCGAGGTATTTCCCGAATCTCTGATGAAAGCCCTCATCTGGAACCCATACACATGCCCCGCAGTTTTACTTTCAAATTTGGAGCAGGAGAGATGCGAAAATGCAGCAACCAGCGCTTCTGGGCTGTCAGTTTCCGACTGGGCTCGCAATGTTTCACTGTTCCTATCTAACGCTGCTTTAGAAGATCCAGTAATTGGCTCTCTTCGTAAAGTTCTCAACGTGACTCCTGGCTTGGCAGTGCAGCTGTTGCCATACGTCGTTCATGATGTTTTGCTGTCAGAAAGAGATAATAAAGGCGAAAGGGGGGAGGTCCGAGAAGACATTTCTGCTACTTTCCGGCAAGTGTTGTGTGAGGTTGGGGAGGGAACATTACCTCATGCTCAGCTTGTGATCAATTGCATTCTCTACCTTCGCAATCAGCCTATGCCAGATGAGTCAACTATAGTCCAGCGCGATAAATGGCTTGATATTGACTTTGGGGAGGCATCTTTGGCTGCGCATCGCTGCGGTTTGCATAAAACCTCACTGCTTTTCCTGGAAATACAAACATCCCGAGTGGTTACGACATCTCGTCGGTCATCGGTCGTTAAATACGAGCCTCCGCCTGCTTTGCTCCATGATGTTTTCAGAAACATTGATGACCCTGACTTGTTATATGGCATTCAGCAGAGCTCATCTTTGACCAACGTCATGGAACGGCTCGAGTACGAAAGTTCCGGGTTCAAAAATCTCCTATTTCAGAGTGCAAAATACGACAGTGAAATCCAGATGTCTGACCATACGGAATCGTACGGAGTCTTGAAGGCTTTGAATGCTACCAACCTTCAGGGCATTGCCAATACTATGCTCTCTGCTTCCAGCAGTGCAAGCGATGCCCCTGTCGCCTTTGACAGCATGTTGCAAGCTGCAACTAGTCTTCAAAAATGGGATATTCCAGTATCTCCTTTGGATTCCTCCCCGTCTGCAACTGTATTCCGTACATTCCAAAGTCTCAATACCTCTTGTTCTTTGGTCGAGGTCACTAGTTCAATTGAGAGCAGTATGTTGACAACACTGGCTTCTCTCCTCAAAACCAATGGATCCGCCATTCAGTTGCGGAGCTCAATGCGTGCATTAGGAATTATGACTGAGATCAGCGACACTTTGCACTCCGCGTCTTCTGAAGATATGGAGGAAGGGTGGGAGAATATCATGGCGAGAAGCAGCTGGTTGAAAACCGAGAGGTGCGTTTTTGACTTTCCAAGACTGTGTATAGGATGCATACTAATTAGAGCAGCTATCATGAAGTTGGAGAAATTCTGTCTTGGCATGAGGCGTTGTTTTCATCAGTCAGGAAAAATGACATCCTCAGATCACAGGCAAAACTAAGTCTCAGGGATTCGCGACTTTTAGAAGCGAAAGTCATTAGACAATCGTTAGAGATCACAAGAATTCATGGTATCTCCCAGGCATCGCTCAAATCTGCAATGAGCCTTTCCAAGATTGCTGCGCCGTGCGAAGCGTTGGGAATGAACATTGACGGTGCTGCAAAATTTGATCTTGCCAATGTTCTATGGGATCAAGGAGAGATGACCGCATCCATTCGCATGCTCCAGCAACTGAAGGGCCAGAATGACCTTCATAAGCAGGCAATCCCCCTCAGCCGGGCCGAGCTTCTTGTGACTTTGGTAAGTTGGATCTCGTTAACGATTTCCCTAGCCAAAGAGCTAATTATATCTAGGGTCACCACGTTGCTGAAGCGCGTTTGGAAAAGCCGGACTCGATTCTTCAACAGTACCTCTATCCTGCGGTCAAGGAATTGAAAGGAAGCTCCGATGGAGAAGAGGCTGGACGGGTCTATCACGGGTTTGCAACCTTCTGTGATCAGCAACTACTGAACCCTGATGGACTCGAAGATTTCAAGCGAGTGGAACAACTACGTAATCGCAAGGAGAAAGAAGTACTTGCCCTTGAAGACATGATGAAGAATGCCACAGGCAAGGAGAGAGAGTACCTGAAGAACTATCGGGCCAAAGCAAAGCAATGGTTCGACCTCGACGACCGCGAATATCAACGTTTACTGCGGAGTCGGGAGGCATTCCTGCAGCAGTGCCTCGAAAATTACCTTCTCAGTTTGAGGGAAAGCGATGCTTACAATAATGATTCTCTACGATTCTGTGCACTCTGGCTTGACAAATCTGACAGTGAAACTGCAAATTCAGCTGTTTCTCGGTATCTCAACGAGGTACCCAGTCGGAAATTTGCACCATTAATGAACCAGCTATCATCCCGCCTACTTGATGTCTCCGATGACTTCCAGACATTACTCACTCAACTGGTATTCAGGATATGTGTTGAACATCCCTTCCATGGGATGTACCAAATTTTCGCCAGCAGCAAGTCAAAGGGTGGGAAAGATCAGTCGTCTCACTCGCGTTTCCGTGCGGCAAACCAGCTTGTTGACCGTCTAAAGAACGACAGTCAGATCGGTCAGACTTGGATTGCTGTGCACAACGTAAACATCAGCTACGTGCGATTTGCAATTGACAAACCAGACAGCAAGTACAAAAGTGGTGCGAAGGTTCCACTGAAGGCCTTGGCTACTGGCCAGCGCCTTGGACAAGATGCCATCACTTACAAACTGCCACCACCGACAATGAAAATCAACCTACGCGCAGATTGCAACTATAGTGACGTTCCCACTGTCACGAAGTTTCAGCCTGAGTTCACGATTGCTTCCGGCGTTAGCGCGCCGAAGATTGTGACTGCCGTTGCATCCAACGGCGAGCGCTATAAGCAACTAGTAAGGTTTATCTTTACTTTCAACGTTGTTAGCTAACAAAGCAACAGTACAAGGGAGGAAATGATGATTTGCGACAAGACGCCATCATGGAGCAAGTATTTGAGCAAGTTAGTAGTCTTCTGAAAGACCACCAACCCACACGCCAGCGCAGCTTAGGCATCAGAACATACAAAGTTCTTCCACTGACACCAAGCGCTGGAATCATTGAATTCGTTCCGAACACGATTCCTCTGCACGACTATCTGATGCCCGCACATCAAAAATACTTCCCCAAGGACATGAAACCCAACTCTTGCCGGAAACATATCGCCGATGTGCAGACCAAATCGTTTGAGCAACGCGTCAGAACCTACCGACAGGTGACTGAACATTTCCACCCAGTACTGAGGTATTTCTTCATGGAGAAGTTCAATAATCCAGACGACTGGTTTAGCAAGCGGTTAGCGTACACTCGAAGTACTGCTGCCATCTCGATCCTGGGTCACGTCCTCGGACTCGGCGATCGGCATGGACATAATATCTTGCTAGATGAGAAAACTGGGGAGGTGGTACATATCGACCTCGGTGTAGCGTTTGAGCAAGGACGTGTTCTACCTGTCCCCGAGGTAGTCCCGTTCCGCTTGACCCGTGACCTAGTTGATGGATTCGGCATAACCAAAACTGAAGGTGTTTTCCGGCGCTGCTGTGAATTCACTCTGGAAGCGCTTCGGCAAGAATCGTACAGTATAATGACAATCCTTGATGTGCTGCGGTATGACCCACTGTACAGTTGGACTGTCTCTCCGCTTCGCATCAAGAAGATGCAGATGCAAGATAACCAAGCCAGTGATGGACCTCCGGCTCTGCCTGGCGCAGGCGATGATCTCCCCTCGAAAAGCGAGAATGAGAATGAACCTAGTGAAGCTGATCGTGCGCTAACTGTGGTGGCGAAAAAGCTAAGCAAAACACTCAGCGTGACTGCTACTGTGAATGAGTTGGTTCAACAGGCGTGTGATGAGAAGAACCTTGCTATGCTGTACTGCGGTATGTCTCTTCCTTTTAGTTTCACCCAGTCTGTTTATCGACCGCTTTACTAACTTTCAATAGGGTGGGCATCCTATGCGTAAACTTCGCGGCTACATGTTGATATTTTCTGGTATTTTTTCTTATGTGCATATAAGTCAATTAGAGTCAGCAACTTAGATCAATGGAAATAGTACCCTCTAAGGTAAGGAGCTAGTCAAGTAGGTAGACATCTAAAAAAGACCCCTTTGTTTAGGGTATCATCTCCTTGGTTCGAAATTTAAAACGATATCTGACATCTCGATAAACCACCTTACAGTATAACCACATCTATCCATATTTGTTTCAAGGACATATTTCATCTGTGTCTCAAGCGATCCCATTCTGCCTAAATTGTGGCCTGATTGTTGAACCCAGCTGAATAGCGGCGAAGATTAGTTCTTCACGTGTAGTCTTCCTCGGAAAAATCATCGAAAATCCAGTTGTCTTGGATCCTTGTTTTCTCCTCCGGGGTCTCAGCCGCGTCAAGAGCGTCCCTTTTCAAGTTTTTCTCTCTTCTTTTGGCCTCGTCGTAGTCTGCTAGGGGAACCCAGCCCTCAGGGCCAACCCCAATTACTTCCTGACAAGCCTGCAATTGTTCATCTGCTTCAGACTGTGTTTTTTCCAATCGCAGACACTCCGTCAACTCGTCATCTGAAAAAGTAATTGGACAAGATACTCTCGAGTCACAAGTGATGTCTTTCCACTTCCTAGATAGAGTAATCAAATCGGCCTTTGAAGTCACATTGTCACCCTCCCAGGGATCCCTTGCATGGTCGAAAAGCCGCCGCCTCAAGGTACTGAAATAGTGGGTCAAGGCCTCGTAATGTTCAATATTTGTTTCTGCTGTCAGTTTAACATAGAAATAGTGGAGCTGACGCCTGCGTAGGAGTTCTGCTTGCTGGAATTGCTCTATTTCTTCCAATTCATCGAAATCAGTCGGTAAGGCCGGAATTTGGAGTGATTCCGAGACCTCATCGCCATAATTCTGCAGACTGTCTAGAATACCGCACTGCAAAAATAATGGAAGAATCGTACTGTGTTGCTAGTCAATCAACCCCCTGACTTCTAGGTTATCAGAGACGAATATATTATTGGGTTGAAGATCGGGGTGCCGTATGACTAGACGATGAAGGGTTGGACAGTCATGTGGTATGAGATGAGGTGTAATCTGAAGGTATTTCTCTAGAGAAACAGCATATTCGAGGTGTGACTGAGCTTAGTAATTGTATACCTCGCGCCGAAGACGCTGGAATAGCTGAAGTAGTTGCCCGAATTTCTTAAGATAGGCGATTTCTTTTACGGCACCAGTAGTAAGAACTGCTAAAGGATCCCGGTCTTTTCAAAATTAACTGTCTGAGGTCTGTTCGCGTTCTATTGTTACCCTGGAATGACTTACAAGGTCCGCGCTTAACTGACAAATTGAGTCTTTTGCCGTACGATAATTTCAGCGATGTATCTGGGCCGATACAGAATCGTTGTGTTAATCCAGGGAGTGGAACACTAACTCTGGAGTGACTATTTGGCAAATCATTATAGTGATATAGACTTCCACTTGCTAGAAATTGCAAACTGAATAAACGAGACTCTAGCTGCACAATCCTTGTAACCAATTTTTCTCTCTCCTGTTCAGATAATACATACCACACATCCCCTAGGCTTTTTCCTTGGACATACTCTATAAAGATGTATTCTGTACCCGCGCAATTATCTGCAACGGCGGAGTAGCCAAAAACCTTCGGTACTGGAATACCATAAGTACGTAGGAAATCCAGCGTTGCGACTTCGCTAGCGACGACTAGGGATTTTGGTTCAGTGGCCGGATATGGAATCCGTGCAACAAATTGGTAGCCATCTCGCATGGTTATTAGAAAACTCCGATTGAAGCCTCCTTCGGCCAGTTTTTCGAATCTAGTAACATCAAATTCCTTCTGCTGAACTGCTAGGGCGGCTAGGCGCTTGAGTTCATGAATATTGAAAACACGTCTTCTCTCGCGGTGTCTCAAATTGTCATTATAACTAAGTCATATTAGCGGAACAGATCAAGATGAATGACTGTACAAGCATGTAACATACATCCACCGTCCGGACGTGTACTCGAACAAGTCGCAAGGCTCAGCCAGTTTCTGGGCCGTCGAAACGGGACGTCTCAAGATCAGTCTTAGCCATGTCTTAGGGGTGACTCTGCGTGAGCGGGTGATGTGAGGAAATGTTTGAAGTAGAAGCTTAGCCATCGGTTGGTTAAATAAGGAAGTAGCAAGGTATGTGGGAAATAATTACGATATGTATTTGAAGCCATGTTTCGTTCAAGGGTGATGTGCTTCGAAGCACACCGCCCATACCTTCTACAAGGATTCCTCAATAAGAATAGCGTCCAAATTCTACCCATGGACCCACAGAATCTTAACCATGGATGCATAGCTCACGACAAAGCGGCAAGAGTCTAGTCCTAAACAGGAAAGAGACATATCACACTATACACAGTTTATGTCATCCAGTAGAACTCCCGAGGTCGGGAGCTCGGGAGCTCTTGTGTATAAACCCTTTTCATCCTTTTATCTCACTGTTCTCTACGATATACTGATTTTACACTAAATTTGATTCCAAAAATAGATACCAATGAGACATAAGCGTCTCAATGAAACCTCCATGACTCCGCATCTCACCCCTCAATTCATCTAGGCACAAAAAGACGGACCTTATTATAATGCACTGGATATGTTCCGAGGCATGCACAGCGTGCTTCCGTATGCAAACTACATTATCCAGCGTGTGCCAATAATCCGTCGATCCGAACGCCCCAAACCCCGCGATTCGACCAGCCTCTCCACATTTGATCGACTTCTCCTCTTTTACTATACTTGGCATGAGAGGGGATAATCCACTTAAGAACCCATTATAGCTGTCAATTAAACGTTTACTATACAGATATTTCTCTGAAGACCCATATCCAACCTCGTTTTGATCTATCATCAGTAATCAGTCATTATGGACGCTCCTGAAATCCCCGCCAAGCAGAAGGCCGTCATCTACGACCAGCCTGGGACCGTTTCGACAAAGGTTGTGGAACTCGATGTTCCAGAGCCTGGACCTGGCGAGGTTCTGATCAATTTGTACGTTTTATCGCGATGTCGACATTACATATTATTATACTGACAATGGTAGAACACACTCAGGAGTGTGTCACTCAGACTTTAGTATTATGACCAACAAAGTATGCAAATATCCTATTCTGTCTATCTCGGGCACTAACTGATAGATTCAAGTGGCCCGGATTCCCACACCCAACTCAGCCAGGCCAAGTAGGTGGCCACGAGGGTGTCGGTAAGGTAGTCAAGCTCGGTGCAGGCACCGAATCCTCAAACTTGAAGATCGGCGATCGAGTAGGCGTCAAATGGGTTTCCAGCGCATGCGGGAACTGCCGTACGTATACTCCCTTGACAACGAGGACCTCAAACCTAACATCATCCCCATCCAGAACCCTGCCAAGCCAGCGCCGACGGACTGTGTTTCAACCAGAAAGTCTCCGGCTACTACACGCCAGGGACATTCCAACAATACACACTAGGACCCGCAAACTACGTAACCCCCATCCCAGAGGGTCTCGACTCCGCCGCAGCAGCACCACTCCTGTGCGCCGGCGTAACCGTATACTCCGCACTAAAGCGCAGCCACGCGCGACCCGGACAATGGGTGGTAATTTCCGGCGCCGGCGGCGGCCTAGGCCACCTCGCAGTACAACTTGCGAGCCGTGGTATGGGCTTACGGGTAATTGGAATCGACCACGGCAGCAAGGAAGAACTAGTCAAGGAATCCGGGGCAGATCACTTCGTGGATATCACGCAGTTCCCGGCAGACGATAAAGGTGCTGCGCTGACGAAGCATGTTCATTCGTTGGCGGATGGGCTGGGCGCTCATGCGGCGATTGTCTGTGCGGCTGCGAATGTGGCTTATGCGCAGGCGCTGCCGTTGCTCCGTTTTAATGGTACCTTGGTCTGTGTGGGACTTCCTGAAAATGAGCCTCAGGCTATTGCGACGACGTTCCCGTCCGCGATTGTTGGCAAGCAATGGACTATTACGGGAGCGGCAGTTGGGAGTCGGGCGGAGGCTATTGAGACTATGCAGTTTGCTGCGAGGGGTGTTATTAAGGTGCATTATCGGACTGAGAAGATGGATGCTTTGACTGGGGTGTTTAAGGAGATTGAGGAGGGAAAGCTACAGGGTCGGGTTGTGTTGGATCTTTCTGAATAAATGCCGAGCAGCCGTCGCGAGGCCGTCGCTGAGGTGATTATTCCGACTACATAGGATACGGTGACATTGTAGATAGTATTCAGATAAATACGGTATTCCAATTTTTGGAGAAGAATCATAGTACTATGTGACTCAATGTGACGAGAAGGGAACCTGGGCGTAACTGACCATCTTAGTCACACTATAACGGCTGGTTCTATGGAATCAGTGCATTACTTTTATATCTGTCGTTGGAGCAACATCAATAAGTGCAGCGCAACACGTTTAGCGGCCATATACGAAGTGAGACGATTTGTAACGGTAGATATCACAGAATCTAATGTTCAAACATTGTTCAATTGTTGTAAAGTAATAGTAGTCAGATTTTTGAAAGCAATGCGATGCATCTACTTTACAGCAGAATTCAAGTGCCTACCCGAGTTTCTACCAAAGACGGCTCACGAACTAGAACTGCCCGATACCTTATTTCTCCATCCCTCAATTTCTACATTGCCTCTTCAATGCCATCTAATGTCATGGGGAACTTCATAATTGTGGGCTTGAATCTTTTGCGATTACAGAACTCGATCAGCTCTCGGATATCCTGTCGGGAGGCGACCGAGCTTCCTTGGATTCGGACCGACAGATGTTTCTGTCAAAGAGACTGTCAGGGAATAAATAGTCCCTTTGGTATTCATAAGGGATATCAATCTTTCAACCAACAAGTTTAGTATAGACTTGCTAATCTATCACAGTGGAGACTCACAATCCCAGGTCTCCCAAGTGACTTCCACAGAGTAACAAATGCTTTAGCGGACGAAATGAGAAGCGGTCAATATGATCCAGGAATTCCTCTGCACCATATTGCAGCGTATCCTCTTTCTTATCGCTGGATCGAGACAGAAACACAACTTGACATCCCATCTCGGCAGCAAGTTTGATAGCCAAATGGCCCAGGCCCCCAACACCCATGATGCCAACTCGATTTGTTGACCAAACCCCAAAATGGCTCAGGCAGTTCCATACCATGGCCCCAGCACATATAAGAGGTGCAGCATCTTCGGATAAGTAGCCATCTGGGATAGGAAAGACGCAACTAGCGTCCCAGACTGTGCCGTGACTGAAGGTGCCGACGTCAAAGTCACATACACCGTAATTTCTGGCACTCCGGCAGTATTGATCCCAGCCTAGAAGTAGAGGTTAGAGTGCCGATATCTAATCTGATAGAGATAAAGCAATTGCAAACCAATTCCACAGTTATCACAGGCACCGCAGACCTTGCGCACATATCCAAACCCAACGCGATCGCCAACCTTGACTTTGGTCACGTTTGAACCCAGACGTCTGATAATTCCCACGCCTTCATGACCGAGTACCTGGGTTGATTTGAGGAAACCACAGATTCCCGAGTGGGTGATTTCAATATAGACCTCGTTGGGTCCTAGTATTCGGGTTGTGGTATCCGATATAATCTGACCACTAGGTGAACCGCGGTAGACTTCAAATGAGACATCCATTGTATATCGTTGGTTGTAGAGTAAAACACGAGGGATGTATGGGATACATGAGCGGTAGGGGGAGATGGAGTGGTTCAAGAGTAAAGAGATTGAAGTGCGGTAATTCCCAAGATTGAAATATCCATACTCACTATAACGATACTTTTAGGGACTGACACATGTACGAGGTCAGTTAGCCGTAAGCTGTCATCTCCCGTCACACCATCTACCAATGTAGAATGACACATAAGTAAATATTAGATGAATCCTCCAACCAGCCTTGGAACCTTCATAATTTTCATGCCAAATGGGATCGAGTGTACGAGGGATAAAATTGACGAACAGCGTAACAAAGCAAAACTATATCCCAGACAGTCTCTTTTGGATATCAACGAAATATATATGGTTGTGTAGTACATTTAATAAGTGGAGGAAACTGTTACTGAGTCATAGGCTGCACAGGTGTAAACGATTCATTCAATTAGAAACTCAAAGGGAACAATTGTGCTTTCACTGCCACACGCCCAATGCTCCAAATAAATAAATACATTACAGTACTGACCATAGGCAAATAAGCAGCTGGGACGGCACCCATTATAGAGCATATGTATGGGGCCATGCTCAAAAGCATCAACCGAGCCAGGACCCCATATGTCCACAGGAGTAATTGAGAATCTATGGCAAATCGGTTCAATAGGCTATATCGGATGACACACTCTGTGTAGCGGGGATGGAGGAACGGGGCTGTCGAAGATAGTACGAAAGAGTCCATCTGACTCCTCGATCCACGGCACCAGGCAAGGATATTTGTCAGAGTCAACCCTGACTCGACTGGAATGGGTGCCATCTTCTTCTGGAAAGAGAAGACTAAAGTATGGAGAAGCTGGATATCTGATACAACGAGGGGACTGGATGTATCATCCGCATAGCTCCGTTTCTGCTCCTGTTCACACGAGATGCCTTCCCAAATATGAGGGTAGTTGATTATTCGCGCGTAGAAACCGGGATCAACTACCTCTACAGTAAGATATTTGACCGTCCCAGGTAATCTCATACCAGAAGCAGGCGATTTGAAGTAAACATGATCATTGGATATTGATGTGCTGGGAATGTATGTGAGTTCTAACGGTTCGGGGAAACTCTCGACACATCGGGATAGGAATGCACGCCAAAACGGCTCAATTCTCCTGTCAAATTGTTAGTACTGTGTATAATAGTATGGGAAGCAGTACATACCTCTCTATTGAGGTCGGATGGCGCGCGACACTGCCTGGTTGGATCGTAGGTCGATCCATCATGTGCATCACACCCTGAACATACTGGAACTTGAGAGCCTGGTAGATAATCCGGGGAGTCGTCAAAGTACTAGGGAATGTCCACAGGAAAATCCGCTTAGCCAAATGGGCTGTAGTCACATTGACAGGGTCTATAGGGGGTTCCTTGCAGCTAATGCTGGTCACCATTCTACTTTCCCCTGCCAGGCCGGTGGAAGCAACTTTGGCAATAGAGACAGTGGGCTTGTGCAATGATATATGAAGGGGATCAATGAACCGAGTGGAAATTGATCCTTCAACCCTCTCAAATGGAGATGCAAAGATGCGTTTTTCGAAAACACCCTTGTAAAATCTCGCACTGGACATTGAAGGAAGCGACATAACACTCTTCTTCTTGTCAAGATATATTGGCTCTCTCTCGGAGTCGTCAATTTCCGCCAAAGTCTTGTCAGATTCAGGTTTGAGTTGGAAAATGACGTTGCGTTTTTCATCAAACGAATTGTTGATTTCCATAATCACGGCATCTAACTCCTGCGATGGTGAGTAGAGATACCAGAACGATACCACACTACGCTCCCACCATAGGAAGCGTGGCACACTCATCAAATAGGCATATGGCCATCTGGCTGGATCTTTGTTCTATCGAGAAATTTAGTCGAAATGGTCCGTTTTCAGCGGGTTAGGGCATACCTGGGAACGGAGAAATCGATCCAACTTATCCCGAAGACCATATTCATTGTCCTCGCGCTGTAGGTAGCGCACGGGATCAAAGCTAAACCAGGTGAAGAGTTGTCTTAATAATTTGGTATAGGGCAGCGTTGAGTCATCTTGATCTATAGACAAAAGACGACCAATTTGGCCTCGGAAACCTATAGGAATGCCAACGAAGAAGACCCGGTGGCTGAACTTATTCTTGACTGGGGAAACTCTGGTATGGGTGAGAGTGGCTGGGAACAATAATGGTCGACCGATAACTCTCTTAGGATTTGGGGTAGTTGATATCAACCCCCTGCTGTCCAGCAATACCCATACCAGAAGACCTGCCAGGGCGAGAGTGGCAATGAGTAGCACCGAGCCCAGGAAGGCGACGATGGCTTTGGCCCAAAATCTTAACCCCCCAGATTGTACACCAAGCAAGGTGACACAGTAAACGATCTCTTTAATAAATCCCATATTGTCGTATTACCTTAAGGCACAAAACGTGATGAATTCAAAAAGGATAGAAGCCGACTCTCTCCGCAATGTATGTTATATCTTTTTTTCTTTTTTCCCATTGCCGCCCAGGCTAAAGAGGTCCCAATTTGAAAGCGTTCGAAACTAACGCTGGTCCCTTCTAAACCGTTAGTACATTAGGTTACAATGTGGTGGCTATATCGGGAAGGTCAGTCACTATATAGGCTTCAGGGTGATTGCTAATATATATGCCTAACCCCTTCATATCAGAGCCGGGGCATCTAAGGTCCGGTAGTCAACAAAAACAAATAACAAGATATTGGGGGGGGGGGGGGGGGGGGGGTTGATTAGTGTGTGTTTGATGCGTTGTGCTAAATAGGGTGGTGTGTTGGATCAGTTGGGGTGGGTTCGTTATAACACGTAGTGTAACAATTTCAACGCACCTCGCTCCCAATGCGGTATCTAGAGGGTGCATATCGGATTTAAGAAGCGGGTTTTGTATCATGCTATGTCAAGAAATTCAGGTAAATCATAGTAATCAATTGATTTTATTTAGTAGTTAAACTAGAAATGTAAACTCATGTGTGGTATTCCCACCCAGCTGTCGCGTTCCAGTACATCTCCCACCACAGATGAACTGAATTCCATGGATATATGAACCAATTCTTCCCAGTACATTCATCGATGAAGTACTATCAGCAGGTTAACCAGCTATATAATTTGATCTTGAAGAGTAAGACCTACACTAGAGCAAGACCGATTATAAATGGTATCATCCAGCGCGTGATTCAGACCGTCTTGGTACTGTTTATCTCTGCTAGCCCTCACTTCTACCGAAGATGCATGACGCAGTATAATCGGTCGAATGACATTTATCACCAGATTAACTTGACTAAATTCAAATATCAGCATGAATACAAACAAATTGGCTCCCAAGGTGGCGGTGCCTACCTTTCAATTATGACGAGGGTTGAAGTGTAAACGCGGCCTGAGTTTGGTCCTAGAATATAGAAAAAATTTGGGAATTCACTCATTGCCACTGTTTTGAATGTGCCTTTCCCTTCTGCCTCTTTCCAGTACTGCTCTCGGGTTTTTCCATGTCGGCCTTTGATTTCTATGTCATACTGCGTCAGGGCAAATCCAGTTGCGAGAATCTGTGCGGAGTTCAGCTACAAAATCCCACATTAGTGCTAGGGGATAGACAAATCTTGCTTACAATAATGTCGGTATAAATCTCTTCTTTCGACTTTGTCACGATAGCGGTAGGCTTTATTTGCACTATAGGGTCATTTGTCAGAGTAAAGTTATCCCGATGCAGACTCTTAGTGTATGTCCGATCAAAAACACGTCTCTGTATCAGGTGTCAGTTACAGGCCGAGACAAGCGAAGTAGAAAACACAAACACGGCATCCGAATTCAAAAGTGGGGGTTAAAAGGTTCCAGTACTTGGCTATTGCGATTGATCAATTTCCTGCTTAACCCAAGAGGGAATGCGGTACATACTGGGCGCTGTTCTATGCACATATTCTCGGCTTTGTCGTTCGGAATTGTCCCTCGCTAGACGCCCTCGGTCATTCATTTGTGATTGGAGGAATGAAATTTCCATGTAAATAAACATCAGGCCCCGAAGAATATAGAGGATGAATGGGAAATAGCAAAAGATGGACTGCCAAAATGGCGAAATCTCATAGTTTGGGCTCTCGACCAGGTGATGCGAACTCTGTGATACAAAGGTTATCAAGTGGCTCTCAGGATATAGCCGGATGGCGAGTAAAAATACCCTCATGAACTGTGTAACAGACTTGGCTTCTTTTATTATCTCCGGTACCAATTGTATTGCAGATGCTACCGAACTGTCAGTATATTTCCCTACTCCAGCACCAAATCCCGTACTCGGTCACAGGGGATAGGGTGACACACCTCCATTGCCAATTACAGAGACGTGCTTATCCCGAAGATCAACGCTTTTTTGCCATTGGGAAGTGTGTATGATACTCCCCTCAAACGTCTCAGAGCCTTCTACGTCCAACTTCCTGGGATTAACAAGGCCTCCAACGCCAGAAATGAGAATCCGACACTCTTGCGTGAACTGGTCTCCTGTTTGTAGATCCTTTAGTCTCACAACCCACAACTGTTTCTCATCTTGCCACTCGGCTCCTTCCCATTCTGTGTTTCCAATGAAGTGTTCACAGACCCCATAATAGCTAGCCACGCGGTGCATGTAGTTTAATATCTCAGACTGCGGGGGAAATAATTTGGTGAAATTTGGATTTGGAGCAAAAGAAAGACTGTAGCAAATTCCTGGAATATCGACGGCACATCCTGGATCTGTTCCATAGCACGTAAGTCCCTATTAGCACTTGGTAACCCAAGAGGGAATGCGGAAATAGTTGACAAACATGTATTTGCCCACCAAGTTCCTCCAATGCCATTATTCCGATCATAAATGACATAGTCGTCCAAATCAAATGTTCGCTGGAGTTGGCATGCCATAGCTAATCCAGAAAACCCGCCGCCAATTATGATAATTGACGAGGGGGGCTTCGGTAGGAGAGGCATAGTTAATAGGCTAAAAAAGTACAAAGGTAAAAAAGTTGCACCCTAGACGTAAAAGCAGGTAAGCGACGTGAGCTATGGCTGTATAGTGTGTTATATGCCATTGGGTGTTCATGGGGTAATATTTATGGATGATTTCCTTGCACATTCATTTCGCCATCATCTCTCCAATCGACCAGCCCATGCAACTTCATGTAATAGCCAGCAGCGCTAATGACGCACAATCCATATATGCTAGTCTCCCATTATGGATTTTCATTACATAGGCCAAAAGACTCCATGATGAAAGGGGGGGGTGGAGTCAGATATAACAGGGCACTGTTTAGTATTTTGGGAGTCAAATGTGGTATGTGATATTATTGCATGAACCAGAGGCGTAAAGAAGATGATTTACGATTGCCAAGTATGCAGTGACACCTTGCTACTGATACTGATCTTCAATTCAAGCGACACACACTTTCTCTTGCCTGTCACTCATATTGATACACTTATCCGATACCTATCTTCGGGGCTACCGGCTTACAGCCTTAGAATAATGTCAGAGAATATAAACATAAACGTATCCTATATTTTAGCAACTAACAACTTGGATTCACTCATTGAGTCCAGTAACGAGAGGAATAGCCTAGAACAACACGCCAGACTCGTCTATACTTCTAGTACCAATGATTGTAATATACTTCATCCTCATTCTACTGTCAGGGTTGTTGGGGCTATATGTCCTCAAGTCCTACTTCATCTCATTGAATTCTCGCCCTCTTCCACCTGGTCCTGCCCGAAGACCTATCATTGGTAATCTTTTTGATTTTCCAAAGCCAGGTGCCAAAGAATGGGAGCATTGGGTAAGACACAAGGACCTCTATGGTGAGTTTCTGCAGACACACCTGGGGTTGTAGTTTCTGATACAGGATTGTCAGGTCCCATCAGTTCACTTGTCACAATAGGACAAACCGTCATAATTCTCAACAAGCCGGAGGTGGCATTTGATCTGATGGAGAAGCGATCGGCCATTCACTCATCACGGCCACAGGGTGTGTTTAGTGCTGACTTGTGAGACCGTCATCTAACGCAAATTCATACCCGAATCTATTTGATCGCTGACATTTTGAGGGTAGAGTCAACTGGAAGCGCGCGGTGACCATCAGCGGCGATGCATCTATGGTTCGTACACACCGAAAATACATAACGAACTTACTAGGATCAAAAAATGCCATCTCAACCCTACATCCTCAGCTTGACCTCGGGGCCAGGCAATTCTTATTGCAAACGCTTCAGCGCCCAGACTCTCTAATTGAGAATATTCGACGGTATCTAAATTCCTAGCCTGACATAGAAAGATAGGGAAGAGAAGTAACTAATCCCATGGCCAGTATTACTGGAGCGAAGATACTAGACATAGTCTATGGGTACAAGGTCGCGCCGTCTGGACCAGATTCTCTCGTCGATATGGCCGAGCGTTCTGGCATTCAATTCTCCAGCGCAGTACAGCCTGGAATGTGGGCTGTTGACAGTGTCCCTATATGTAAGCACGCCTTTTATTTCGGACTCCGACTTGAACGATAGTATCCACTACTCACATAGAATAATCAGTGAAATACCTTCCGGCTTGGTTTCCAGGGGCCGGATTCCAACGTACAGCACGAGAATGGGGTGATCATCTAACAAACTTAGCGGAAAAGCCTTATGCATTCGTCCTTCACCAACGAAGCAAGGGAAAGGGCGTGGATTCATATGTCTCCAGGCATTTGGACGCACTGGGTAGACCTGTCACACCGGAGGAGGAATCTGTGATTAAATGGACAGCAGCCATCATATATGGCGCTGGTGCAGATACCGTGAGGGTAGCAGCTGTTTCCACTTGCGCTTGATACTAATGGCATGAATAGACCGTCTCGGCACTGTCAACTTTCTTTCTTGCCATGGCCAAATTTCCAGATATCCAGCGCCATGCCCAGGCGGAGCTCGATCTCATGGTAGGGTCAAGACTTCCCACAATGGCCGACCGTCCGAATCTTCCGTATGTGGACGCTCTCATGAAGGAGGTTATGCGTTGGCATCCTGTTGCGCCTTTAGCGGTTCCACATATGTCCACAGAAGATGATGAATACTGTGGCTATCGCATTCCAAAGGGGGCGGTTTTGATTGCAAACATCTGGTCAGTAAGCGTGACAAGGTCATTTGTTGTTTCTTGCCTAAATTTCATATCGTCATATCTTAGGTCATTTACACACGATCCAGAAATTTATAATGAACCGATGTCATTCAATCCTGATCGATTCTTGCAACACGAGAATGGCATTGCTCCCGAGTGCGATCCTCAAAAGTTTGTCTTTGGATTCGGGCGCCGGATCTGTCCTGGTCGTTTTCTCGCCGAGGCAAGCCTCTTTCTCACTATTGCAAAGTCACTCTCAGTTTTCGATATTACGAAAGGCCTCGGAGTGGATGGCAAGGAGATGGATCTCCCAGCTGAGTTCTCAACTGGTGTTATCAGCCACCCATCCCCATTCCGTATCCAGGTTCGACCTCGCAGTGAACACGCCCAGGTGCTAATTAGGTCCGTTGAGGCGGAGGAACCGTGGTTGAAGGGGGATTCGGAGGTGTTTGATGATATTAAGTTGTAAAGATCATCAGATTAGAAGGGGAGATCTAATTGTTATGATTTGTTCTCTTTTTTTCCCTTCCAATTCTTAATAAACTCGTGCTTTATTCGGACCTATGCGTAATGGTATTCGGCAGTCTGTTAGATGACGTATCTAATGCAGTCTCCAGGGCTACAGCGGAATCCGGCCATGGATCGGGATGGGTAAATACTTACAGTGGTTGTAGGCTGAAATAATAATAATTCTATGTATTTATTTGTGCTCTCTTGATTTCCAATTGTGTGCAATATCTTGAAGCTGAATTCTGTTTGTAACTGGAAACGTTTACAAATAACTACTCTGTCGTGGTGCGATGTAGTGGTAGAATATATATATCTCATTCAATTAGGTGCCACATTCGATAATTCTGGCATTTTGTACTAATTGAGTGCTGGTTTCTTGTCATGAAAACCCGAACTAATTCATATTAAAATAAGAGTTTTTCCAAACCGAAAAAAGGCAGAGAAAGGGGTAAAAAGAGGCATTTTCCATTGGAATGATAAAATGCATGGAAAAAAAGTAATGACCGACGCAGGGATCGAACCTGCAATCTCTTGATTCGTAGTCAAGCGCCTTGCCATTGGGCCAGCCGGCCAGGACTGTTATATTGATTTTGGCTTAATTGTGTACTATAAGCGAAAACTACGCCTTCACCCATGTATGCCGTAGTTCAGTTGCACTCGATGAAAGAATAGACAACACTGTCCACGGCCAATATGCCCAAAAAGCTAGCTGTGGGCCTTTGACAAGCCCTGGAACCAGGACGATAAGCTGACAGCGTATGTAGCGGATAAGTGGTATCCAGAACAACCTCAAGCTGCCGAACAGGACTACGACTTTATGACTGAGCAAGTCGATATGGAGAAAAACATTGTTGACGCCGAACTTTGGGGAGAGCGGATTAACCAGAAAAAGAATCATCTTATTGACTTGCTTATACTGCATATCATAATATCATAGACCATGTAACAGCTATTCAATGATCCATCCTGAACGGAATAGAGTCTTGATTTTTGTATAAGACTTTCCATGGCAAAGAGAGCAATAATAGCAAAAGCCGCATAAAAAAAAAGCTATAGCGGCTCACTTCCTATCGAAAACGGAAGGACATGAACATTTCACCTTGAAGCGCCAAAGTCACCCACATAAAATGCATCATGGTTGGCCTTCTCTACCATTTATCTAAATCATCGCAATTTGGTTTCCCATTTTCCGCCTGGCACACTAATTGTCGCATATGTCCCGTTATATCTATATCGTGCGAGGTTTCCTCACGCTGATAGCTCCGACCTACCCTAGAACTGGGCTGAGGACTCAAAGATGCATGTTTAGTCGACTCCGTAGGTTCGTAGTCGCTATCATAATACGGACAATCGATAAATCCCCGTTTAGACGACGAGTCAGGTTGAGCAGAATCATCCGCATAGTTTGGCTCAGCATGATCGGGGGTTTCAATGTAGTGCAGGGAAGCGATAGACTCTTGTTTAGTCAGTGGACGAGGTTGACCACAACCATACCTATAGTCGACATGGCCCGGGGTTTCAATCCAATGCTGGGAAACGGTAGACTTCTGTTTCGCCGGTGGACAAGGTTGAGAGCAACCGTTACTATAGTCAACATTGTCGAGGGTTTTGATCCAGTTCTGGGAAGCGATAGACTCCCGTTTAGCCAGTGAACGAGGCCGATCCCGATCATCATAGTTCTTCGACTCAGCATTGTTTTTAATCCAGTTCTGGGAAGTCAGAGGTAACCATTTCCCAGAGTGATATCCTGCTGTCTCGACACATTCCCAAAAGTCATCCTGGTTTCGAGCGTGGCTAGAAAGATATCCATCGCAATCTGTGAACAAGGCATTCCATAGCTCAAATAGCTCTTGTACCTCCGTCTTACTAGCCAGTTGTTGTATACGCTCCCATCTTGGCTGCAGATTTTCCAGGTGAGATTTATTGAATTTAGCAGATAATGTCGTCATCTGCTCCAGTGGTGTTTGTGCATGCTTGATGAGATTGAAGTATTCGTCGTCGACATGATATTTTATAAGTTTGAAGATGACGTCCAGTCCCGATTGAATCTTCTCATATACGTGCATCTGCTTCCAGTATAGATCCACGACCGAGGATAGTTCGATGAAGTCATCCTCTCCGAGGTCAACGATGGATCCTGCTTCGGGTCGGACTGTGGAAACGTGTGGCTTCGCAGGCTCATGGAGCTCGGGGTAGTATTGATCTGGGGTACTGGGGTCGCAGTACTTCCAGACTCCTTCTTTTCGGGCGTGTTTTTCGATGTCATTCTTCCATGACTTCCAGTTCATGCGAGTGAGAATCTCGGGGGGTTCGGGTAGATTTCGCCGCATATTCATTTCTCGCTTATCTGTTTGTTGATGATGGTATAGATTTCTTGTGGTGAGTTTGTAGATGCCAAAAGAAACCACGACTAGGATTTTGAGTTGTGTAATTCTGAGTCAAATGTTAACGAAATAGGTGTCGGAAGTCAACCCATGGGATGAACCTCCCCAAATCTAGTAAAGCAGTTCAATAGTCTGACTCATTTGGTTGGATAATTGGATCAATATTATCTACTAAGTCATAATTACACCGATTGGTATAACACAACGAGAATAATCAACCTCATAACCGATTTTGTGATGCCTGACAAAAACCTGTCCCTCCCCAAGTGGTCACGTTCTCTCCATCTTCTTGGTGTCTGAAGGGTCTCGCTGATACCAAAGTCAGTAATACCTGACTGCAAGATGCGTTTTCAGAGAGATGAATTTCAATGGAATGTGGATAGATTCTCGACCCCAGAGTAAGACTTGATGATCAGTTCCCTCGCATATGCATAGTCCATTCGATTTTTCTGCCGGAGGCAGAAGATGAGAGACTCTCTCTTCCCCGTCTCGTGGAGACCTCGTATCACCTTTATGCCGAAGTTTGGCTTCTGCGACCCATACTGAGCCTGGAAGTCGTCAGCTCTCTCTAGGAAGGCGGTTATCGATTCGTCCTTCCCTTGCTTTATAGTGTCGTACTTAGCTTCCATCCGTCTGATAGCGGTGGCCGGATCTTCTTCAGGTATCTGGTAGCATTCGAGGCATCTCGCTTTCAGTTTTGTCCAGTCTTGGCGAACTTCGCGGCTCCGGTATTTGTACCACTTCTCGGCCCTACCGGAGACATTTTGACGGAATAGGACTCGGCAGTCACGATTTTTCTTCTCCTCGAGGAATTTGATCTCCTCGTCGTAAGACTGTCTTTCCTCGGGGGTGGCTTTCCTGATAGCGATCCTCAATACTGACTCTTCTCTGAAATAGTCTCTTTCTACCAAGGTCTCGATGTCCTCGATGAAGTCTGCCGGATCTTCAAATCCATCTTGAAGACCATGGAAGGTCTTAATCCGAAATGAGCTCGACATGTCGGATTCCTTGACCATCTCGTCCAGAGAGGATACCGGGATGGTGGTCCACTCTCTGAAGAACTGTGTTGCTGGGTGACGAAGAGAAATTTTGTCTTGAAACCTGATTGAGGTGTTAGGCGCCGTGAAAATGTGAAGTGGGACACGAGGAGAGGTGAAGAAGAGAAGACGAGGGGGGGTTTATACTCACAGGTGGGGGCGGGGACGTAGTGCCTTCCAGAAAGAGGATTCTACTTACTTCGTTAGGTCAACGTGATATACAGAGGGAAGGAGCGGCAAAAGCGCCTGCGTGCTTTGAACGTTAAAGCGCCTACGGTGACGTACATAGAATAGGATGCCAGACGCTCTTCCTATGTTTAAATACCACTAATTATCGTCATTGCCTCTACATAACATACGAAATACTTGCGGTGTCTTTCAAAGGTGTCAATGGGGTTTCAGAGATCTTCTCATATATCATCCTGTTTACATGTGTTGTTGTCTTATAGGCCAAGGGCAACAAAAAGCTAGAAAAGGGGTTGGTTTGTGAAATGGAGTTTTCTAAGTATAACCTTTGACTATGTACTCTCTTTACTACATGGATATGAAGGCTTTTGCCATCCTTTATTAAAGAGTGTATGATCTCAGTTGGAATGGTGGCTACATATTGTAAACCCGTGGGACTATTCCTCGAATATGGATCTACTTAATCGCGCTTAGTACCTTCCAAATAGACCTCCCTCATATACCTGGAACATTATATGGTTATGCCGCGGCTAGAACGGTATACTTGCTAGTTGCTGTCAGCAGAACTCGAACTATAATTCCTTCCCATAGCCGACATACACCAATCGCGCCCATGCCATCTTGCTTTTACCACTGCAGAGGTACCTAGATCCTTGCGTTCAATACCATTGTCCAGATAACAACTCCCCTACATGTACCCATCCAAGCGCACCCTATAAGCTAAACACAGCACTAAGCACACTAGTCCCCCAAAGCACCCAGGAACACAACCGCATGCACGACCCACAATTTGACTTCCACGGCCTAAACTCGGCTTGGCTCTGAATCCCAGTCGCACATCAATGCCCCAACCTTATGGGGCAAGAAATCCCGGTGAAAAACGTGGCCACAATGTCCAAGCGCTCACATGGAATGGATCCCATGTCTACTTTTAAAAAAACTCCGCACAGCCTATTTAGTCTGTAGCCCAATACAGACATATTCAATCTACGGGTGCACAGGGTTCCGTGTATCTGTGCCTTCTCGTATACAGAATTTTCTTATTGGTGAACGTTATTGAACCCAACTTCTGTATAGTGCATGTGTGGATTGAGGGGTAGATTAAATTGAGATATGTACGGTGTGGCCCCGGTATTTAAAGCCGTCCTCCGTACCTAAAATGTAAATAGAGCGGATGTGTGACGATCAGGTCTAAAATATTAAGATCTACCTAGGTATAGAATTAGGAACCAGAGACTCCCGGAATTGATCACGATACTGTGCTGATTCGTGTGTTTGTTGAGCCAAAGATAAAGAAAAACAAAAGAAATTGAAACATTTCCAAAGTGTGGGTGGCCCACACTCTACCGAGAATGGTTCCATGGTTCAACCTCGTACTTGAGCTAACTTATCCCTGCGCCGCAGCGGTGAAACTCGGTTCACCAACGCCGGACCGTGGACGTGGGGTCCCAAGGCCGTAGTGCTGGGTCCGGAAATGACGACATCTCCGCGTGGTTATATTTGCTTTGTCCTTGTGAGGAGGATTTGAAACTGTGTTGCCTGTGGTAGTGATTGTATATGAAAATGACTATGGCAATACTAACAGCTCTTAAGATCGTATATAGTAGACACCAAAACACGTCAACAGGTAAACGAATGACATGGCCGAGAAGAAAAACAGAACTGCAGCGATTCATCGTCGATGAAAAGTAAAGACATGATGAAGCGGGGTATTGCAATGAATGAACACGATAGCCTCCCAGAACAAGATAACATATGCATAAAAAAAAGGATCGAGAACAAAATCAGCGGGTTCGTTTCGAGTATCCCCCAGGATTCCCATTCCCAGCCGCCGGTCGCTTCTGTCCAGATCCAGCAGCGCCAGTGGCAGATTCGGCGGTACGAATCAACGCTCCCAGATGTAGAAGATATGGCTTTGGAGCACGGTTGACTTCGATCTTGCGAAGGATGTCGCGTAGACGGTTGGCGCACTGGTGGAGGTCCACCGGCGGCAGGGCATCAAGCGCGTTGAGGACAAAGTGCCGCGCGTCTGTTTCGGAGTCCGATTCGACTGACCCGATGAGCAAATGATACAGATTGCGCTGGTCCTCATCTTCGCCATGGAAGGACTGGCGGCCCAGGGGGTTGCCTTCAAGGGGATCATTATTGCGAGCCACCACCGACTCCAAGAGTGACACGAGGGCTTCGGCAGCGCCTTCCGAGCCGTGCGGTGCACGGGCTGTGATGTTGGCTGCAATCCGGGACACAGAACGCTGGAGCTGTGTTACAACGTCGTCGACCTCTATGCCCAGGCCTGGGGTTACTGGGTCTGCGGGCAACTCGCCGGTTGTGCAGTATCGGTCGAAGTCGTTTAGCAATCGGCGTGATTGGTCTTGTACTTTGTCGAAGTAGATGGCCGCACATGCTCCTGGGGGCATCGCCTTGCAGAGGCTGTTGAAAACTGCGTCGTCGTGCACTGCAAGTCGGAACATTGTTGCCTCGAAATCTCCTTGGACCACGCACTGTTCTGCCGTTCTTGCTTGCTCAATTGTCTCTGTCAAGTCCCGACGGGTATCTTCTGGGAGAGTCCGTTTGCTGAATGCAGAGAAGATGTCCCGAACCCTTTCTGTCCGCGTCATTCCACCCTCCTCGTCTCGCAGGCACTGCCACTTTAGCTGCGCTGCAACCGACATCAGATTACCCTTCAGGAGGTCCTCAATGCGAGGGAGGCGGTCCGGACGTCCGTCTGGAGCTAGTGTCACCTCAGCCGACCGAGGCGCGGGGAGGAAACAGCTGTGCAGTTGGTCGACAAGCCACTGTTCAGGGGATGGGGGTTAGTATTGGCAGTCCAAGCCTCTCCGCTTTTTAAGCTTCCTTCCACAAAAGGCATACTCACAAAGATGTGCTGGCACGCCCCGTCCGGTCGATCCTGGAAGACTGGGCAAGTGCAGGTAGATGAGTCGGAGCCAATGTGCACCTGTGGCCGATCCGACAGCTGAAAGTCATATCCAGCGGGAGTAGAGCGACAGTTGACGACATCAAAACGACCGGTCAATCCCACAAAGGCCCTGGCTTCAGACTCGGAATCCAGTTGGCTGAGGTCATAGGTAATGCCGGACGGTGCGAGAACGGAGGCGCTAGTTGATTCAGACTGTTCATCGCTGCTTTCCTCCTCTTCATCCTCCTCCCTATCACTGGAGCTCTCTGAAGAGCTGTCCTCCTCATGATCACTGTCGGAAGAGTTCGGTCGCCCCGCGCGGGCCGGTCTCGCAGGCAGGGCTGTATCTCGCATGTTTCGACCAATGGACAGCCTATGAAATTGCCCTGTTGGAGCGGACATGTCGAAAAAAAAGGGAGAAACCCCCTAAAGAAACCAAAGAGGGGCCTATAGCGAAGAGCAGACGTATTTTCCCACACGGTGGACTTTCGTAGAGTCACAAAGTTCTCCCGACCCATGGATGGAAGCGGGTACACTGAACCATGGAACGGGCTTCCCTGGCGCCCGCTTTAAATAATTAGGGGCCATTGAGATGTTTTCGTCATTTCACCGCAAAATAATTGTACCTTCGACTTTCGGGAGAATCAGCCTGACATTTTCAAAGTTTTTTTTTTTACTCCCAACAGCGCTTAGGAAAAGGTGAGTGCTCAGGCAAAGAGGGGGGAGATCCGAAGGCTCGATGGGAGGTGCCGCAGGAGACGAAGGGGTGTTGTCACAACAAAGCTGCGCCGTTTTAATCCAACCTAGTACAATTTCATGGATCAGCATCGCGCAGCGCACAGACATCCACTAATGGGGGTTCTTGTGGAAAGATCTGGGGTCAAGTGGCTGGCACCGAAACAAATCGGGCATGGCTACGGCGGGGACACGGAGCCATGTCTCGTAAAGACGCGCAGATTTTGCCTGAGAGCAATGCTTGCATCTGGAAAGGAATGTAGCTGGAATCAACAAAAAGTTAAATCTTGGTATGTTGTATGTTGATCCTTGAGAGTCGTAAGGTAGCTGATTTTACAGTTGGCCAATGCATAGCTTGCGTCTCGTATTTGCATACGGAGTAGGTAGACGTTGTTGGCGAGATATGGACCCTGATGCAGGGAAAAGAACAGGGACCTGGCCCCGGAAGCTGGGCAGATAACGGGGATACTCCCAGTACAAGATAAAAACCCAAGCCTGTACCTTACAACGTAAGAGGCATAGCGAAGCTGCCGATCGCCGCCCGAGCAAACCAAAAGGGAACTCGAAATCGTCTCGAGGCTCCTCAGCAGCATCACTCGGACCGCCACTCAGATAAGTTGCTTTTCCTTGGCCATGATTGTACCCTGGTTTTTTCCATAGTGGAGAATTGCTAGGATGCACTTGGCTTTCGGATAGGTCGGTGACCCGAGGCTCCTTTTTGCCCACGCGATAACCATGACTCGACAGGAAAACCAAAAAAAAGGTGGAAAGTAAAACCCCTGATCATAAACGTGGTTGAATGTGATAGACTATTCCAAACGAGAATGGTGACTGGTTTCTTGCCGCCGACGGGAATTCCGATGTCCCGATCCCCAAGGACGGCGAGCGCAGCCGAGGCGACCTCAGCTATACACGGAGTACTCCGTATACGCCGCAATGACTTCATTTCCCCGACACCGTACGATATCTCCATGGGTTGGTGATAGCAAGGGTCTACCTTGCATATCGCGCAGGGAAATCATTGGATGGTGGATCACCAAATTGTAATCGAACAAGACATGTCAAGTGGCCCAAATTCCGCAGGAGACTATATTGTCTGCGGCTTTTTTTCGGCCGCAAGGTGTCCAGGGTGATCGATATCCATTGTATAGTGCGAGGGCGCAGCGAATCTGAGGGCGGCGCACAGGGAACTGTGCAGCACAGCAAAACCCGCCAGATTGGGTATTGGGTTTGAAGGCAATACCCTATCCCTGCAAGTTATGCGGTCCAAGCACCGGGGCAACTAGAAAGCCTTGTTGAGCCTGCGACAGGCAATTTGACTGCGCAACACGGTTGATCGGCAGCAGTTGGCGTTTAGCTCACTGGCTTGGCTATCGCCTGCCAATCGCCAACCCCAGGCGCCTAAAAATTGTGCTTTGGTCTGCATTGTGATTTCACACATGGCGTAGGTGATGGCTAACTTCCTTGAGCTTGGTTCCTGAGGGTTCGAAGATATCGTCTGTGCGCTGTTTTTCCCCCTTCCTGCACGTTGAATCACTTGACTGAGTTTGGCCCCTGTCCATAACGCAGCCACAGTGGCGCGAAGGTGACAGGAAAATCAGTGTGATCTCAAAATGTATCGGAGTTTTGGTCTTCTGGGAGGGAAAACAAAGGGGAATGGATGACTTCAACCATTAGGTCTATTATCTCAGTCATGCTGCGAACCCCGGAAATAGTTAAAACAGAACGATATGATGTTTATAACCAACATGCAAGATCAGAATGGTAAAAGGAGACGACAATCTTCCGGAAAAAGACTCCGTCTAACTTTGTGCTGTTCACTGGAGGTATGGACTTCCATATCCAGATAATCTCATTTAGAATATTTTATGAACTTGTCTATCGCGAGAAGGAAATAGACAATATTAAGGGTCCACATAGTAAATATTGGCTGTAAAATAAGTGTGCGAGACCAAAATGATCAAAATAGGCAATTTACCCTAGTCTTCATTTAACTAGTAGATTGCATAAAGTGGGTATTAACTTGGAAAATACGAGCTGAAACACAAACATGTGAAGGACGGAATAGGAGAAAAGACAAGAGGGTATAGTATTGAAATGCATAAAATTCGTCGCAATTCGTCACATCATGGAGGTTCCATTTGGCCTGCTTCCCACCCGATCAATGGCGACCTTTGGCAGCATTGCGCTGCTTGGCCGCCTCTAGCGCTCTGAGAAGCCTCTGTTTATGTTCCAAGTCTTCATCCGTGCTTGGACTCACGGGCGCTGGACTGGAAGCTGGACCCGGACTAGTAGTCGAAGGGCGGAGACTTGGAGGTATGGGTACCTCACTAGGCGGTCTTGTTGGGAAAGAGTCTTGGACTGGGGAGACCGGAGCAGCGGTGTGGGGGTCGTTGTGTAAGCCAAGGAGAAGGCGTTGAATTGTGGCCTCAATCTGCTCAGGCGCCTTCTGAATGCTCTGCAACTTTGAATTCAGGTCATCCTGAATTTTCTCATCCTCTTTTTTCTTCTCGTCCCCCAGCCGGTTGAAAATATCCGGATCTGAGTTGGCATATCGTGCCTCAGCAACGGAGACTCCATAGTCGGCATCGTTGAGGGCCATATCTGCAACCCCAGCGCTGCGGATGATGGCCTCCGAATCGGCCCGGAGAGATGCCGCAAAGGTTGCCGCAGATTTGAGAATCTGCTCAAGTTCAGAGTGCGGTAGACCAGAGGCTCGGAGGGTGGCCGTATCTAGCCGGGCTGCTTTCGAGGAAACCTCGTCCAGAAGGCTCTGATTTACACCTAGCCCGTGCAGAATTGCATCGTCGAAAGAATCCATGAGTCGGTTGGCTCGGTCATCACGATCCTTGCACGCTTCTAGAATGTTTCGCCGTTCCATCTGGTCAAATTCCCCATCTAGTTTTCGCAGACCTGCCACATCACCCATGAACACAAGTGGTCGCCGCTCGGCCTTTTTCCGTCGTCGCTCACAGTCAAGGGCCAAATCAAGACGTTTCTGGAATCTGATTTCAAGCTTGTTGTGCATGTTGTTGATCATTTTCATGGTCACAGACGGGCTGCCTCGCTGGCTTGGAGGGGACTTGCCCTGTTGATCACGGTCGAGTTGGTTGAGAGCAGCGTCGTAGGACTTACGAAGCGCCGAAATTTCATTTTTCAGGCCTTCATCCAAGGGGTTAAAGACATGCGTAATGAAATCATCTACTTCTTGCCGTTCCTCCTCTAATTGGACCCGAGCTTCAGTTTGTCGGAACTCTTCTTCCAAGGTATTGATATCCGCATACCCGATCTCTTTCCCATTGAAAAGGTCATCGATGTGTTGCTCAGATTCATCCTGACGAACCATACGCTCCTGGTCTAGCTTTTGCCGTCTCGCTTGCGCTGTTTCTTCCCATTGATCAGTGGCCCGTTGGACGTACGTGAAATCATCAGAGAACCCTTCGAGTTCCTCACGAGTCGTGATGTGCCACGAGCTCTCAGACTGATTGTCCAAGGGTTTCAATACTATGGTGCGTAATTCTTCCACAAGAGACCTCGGTCGGCCTTGACGAAGAGTTTCTGGCAGCAATGGAAGCGGCGGAGAGTTTTGCTCTGTCGGTTTAGAATAAGCAACGCTCTTGTGACGGATCAGACCAAGAAAGGTTTCGTCATTCTGAGTCGGAGAAATAAGTGCAGTGTTGGACCTGGAATGAGATTTAGGTGCTGGAGTATTTGACATGACTCGCCCATTGACAGCTGCTTGTCGCATATCAGAGTAGGCTTGGTAGGCTGGGCGAGCAAATGTGAGGTTGTCCGAGCCTCGCTGAGGACCCTCTTTATACTGGAATGGCGTGTATATGGGCCGCGGGGGGTTCGTAGCGAGGGGCTCCAAGCTTTGCTTCTGCGTATCTGTTGACATAATCGATAAGGGCCTTGAAAGATGCGTCGACTCTGCGCCCGAGGGTACAGTAGATAGGCTAGGAGAAAATTGCGAACCCCGTCTCGCTTCCTTAGCTAGCAGAGGCCGACCACCTGAGCTGTACTCACTTCCAACATCATCGAGATCTTCATCCTCTGTTACTGTTGCCACTGAGGGAGGCGGTATTTCTTCCGACGAGACAAGTATCAGTCCAGACTCAACAGGTGGTTTGCTTTTGTAGGAAATAGATAGCTGCCGAGGAGTAGGGTCGGTAGCTCGCGGAGTCGGCGGTGTAATTTCAGGCTCATGCTCAATATTATAGAGAATCTCCCGGAGCTTGGTCTCCTTGGCCATAAAAGCCGTGAAAATCTTATATCGTTCTTCATCCAAGTCAGCCACTGCCTCCTTACGTAGCATGGCGACATATCTTTCCAACGATGATTTGGACCAGGGGTCCATATCCTCGAAGGGATCTTGGTTCTTTGGTGTAGCCGCTCTCCTGGATCCTTCAGCGATTCGTGCAGAACTATTTGAGCTAGTTTGCGCAGACTGTGAGCGCTCTACAGGGCTTTGATACAATGCGCCGGGGTGGTCCTGATGCTCCGGTTGAACTGGTTTATGCGCTGGAGACAAGGGACGGACCCATGCGTCTATCACATTATCGATACTTTCTGAGCGTCCCATAGACAATGCAGATCCGTTGGTGTCCACACGGGTCAGTGGAGGTGGTGTAGGTATTCCATGTGTTGTGCATGGACTAACGGGGGAATTCGAGGTAGCCCGTCCCGACTGTGTCACCTCGGAGATAGTACTCGAAAGCGTTTCATTTGTATCAGTTCTCGGGCGAGCGGATATGTCAGACTCGTTTTTCACAGGTGCGGTGGGAGTATCGCCCGGAACACTTGATGGTGGTTGATACTCTTCCTTACGCAGAGGGGGCGTTTTGCGAGATGGGAACCACGCTGCGTCATCGAAGTGTCCAGGGGCTGGGCCAAGATGCTCCCAATCCGATGGTGATCCAAGACCTAGAGCCGATGCGCCGGGAGATGTAATATTATTTGTATCGAGGCTAGGCAGGCGGGATTCGTAAGGCCTAATCATCGCAGCCGACCCTGCGCCCTGGCCGGGCAATGGAGATCGGCCCATTTGATCGCCTTGTACAGCTGGTGCATGTTGGGGCCCTTGTGGGATTTTGGGGGGCGGTTGTGGAACACTGGTTGGTGGTGTTGGTGTATATGGAGGTGGAGGTGGAGGTGGGGGCGGAGAGGGTTGGCTCCCATAGAAAGGGGTTGTGATAGATGGATGCGACTGAGATGGCCCATAGTCATATCGTTGCTCATTGGTACTCGTAGGTCGAGGCTATGGAACTGTTAGTTGTTTACATTTGACATCCAACGTCGGACTTACGGGCAGTGGGGGACCGGAGTTTTGGTTGAACCGCACTCCCCACGTGGTTGTATCCGCACCACTCGGTGACGGTAGCCTTTGCGGATTAGAAATCAGTCCGTAAGTGGCCGGCGAATATGGAACAGCTGGTGAATAAGAGACCGGAGGACGTGGAGGAGGAGGAGGAGGAGGAGGCCCTGGCGACGGCTGCGACGGCTGCGAGGGACGTTGAGGAAGTCGCCATTCTGGCTGTGATGGAGGATCAGAACGACTCGGCTGACCATACATGGTGTGAAATAGAGTGCTTCACAAAGACATGGAAGACTAAAAATTCCCCGGGCAGTCTTTTAAGTGTTTAAAGAATTTCCAAAAAATCTCCAAGGCTATGTTGGGGTTGAGGGGTCAGCACGGTTCACCCGCTCCAGCGCGACTTTCCACAAAGCACTTCCCCGTTGGGCATATAACACCTACAGGGACAGACCTACAGGGATAGATTCAAGGATTACAAGTATTTGATTCCTACATGCCGTGGCGTTTCATCCTTTGTTTTGCTATTCCTCTATACCTCAAGACAGATTCCCACTAGAAAGTCAGATGGATTCCAAGATCTCTCCAGCCATTAAATATTGTCGTTGAAATGAAGTTATCTAAAATAGTTGACTTGCTTTGTCGAAGCAAGCTCACTTCAAGAGATCACATCTTTCGCTTTGTTGAACTATTCTTAGGTCGAGTGCGTTTACGTCTCTAAAAATAAACCATCTTTTCTTTTCTTTGTCCCCCAGGACTCTTTGATATGGTTATTCCTTTCAGACGACCTGCGGCAAGTATGCCTGATCTGACCTTTATACTCTCATGACAACTCCATAGGTCTGTGTTGGAGTCACAGCCTCATGCGATCTATCCCGCATTCATATACATCCTTCAACTATTGTCTATTATTTGATACAGCAAGATATCAAGATGGATCCTATGCAAAAATTATACGAAGTCTTACCAGGGGGAGACATCGTCCACCCACCCCCGTTTCCAAAGCGGCCAGATATCTTCAATCGGGCGCCACTAGCCCCAGCGTTGACTGAAGACAACGCATTTCTTGCCCGTCGATTTTGGCAACAGCCTGACGAATCCCTCGGACGTGCATGGAGGGCCCATGTCAGTCGACCTTATAAACGAGCAGCCGATGAAGAAGAATCGGTAATGCATGCGTTGGCTCACAATGTCTATGAGCACCTGATGAGCAATCCACTCCTGCCTATCTCGCGTGAGCATGCACGAGCCAAATTTACAGAAGAGGGCCTGGACGAGACCTATAACGGAGTGCAGGGGCTAGACGGAATGGAACAAAAAGTGTTCATACACGGCCTGAATGTCAGAGACCCGGATCTTTGGACGAAAGATGCACTCACCGATGAATTGACATCAAGGGGTCTAAGCACAGACGGGAGAAAAATAGAGCTACAGCGTCGTCTATGGGTATATGAATGTGATGAGCGCTTTGGGGTCTCGGGACAAAGCAACCTGAGCCACTGGGGTATCCATCGTGAGCCACGGCCTGTAATGAGTCCCGCTACAAGAACAGATATGTCCGCACTTGAAATGTACACCGCGGCAATTAAACTCAGTCCATACAATCCGACTTACTGGAACAGCCGTGCGTACTGCCATTACCTGCTGGGCCATTTTGATCTCGCCATTGGAGACGCCTATCGCGGAGAACTTCTCTGCGAAGTGTTGACTACGGCAACAAAAAGGAACAAACGCCCTGGGATGTATACCCGGGTTTGGGACGCCATTCAGCAGCACCTGATGATGGAGTTGAAGATCAAGGGAGTCCCAATGACAAGGGAGGTTTTGCAAATGAGGAAGGCAAATGGCGTGAACTATTTCATTCCAACCTTGAGGAACGCCCTTCACAGCATTACCAGTCTCAGCCTCGCAGCACTGAATTGTTGGGATGATTTTGATGACCATGTGCAGGGTCAACTCCAAAGACCCCTGCCATACCGCGATGTGTCAGTCCCCAAAAAACGGATGACAGCGAGCGCTCGTGTGAAAGAGGAGATTCTACGGAGGAGAGATAATCCCTCGGCGCTTCATCCGTCCCTTTATGGACACGAATGGAGCCGAGGATGGATTTCAGGCGCCGATAAATATCCATATGACCAAGCAGACGTGAGACGCGAATCACCGTATTTCATCAATGCACTCAATGCGAATATTTTCATGGCCAATGCCAGTGAACGGACATGCCAGGTACAACCACTCACAAAGGACAATTCCTTCAATGGCTTGGGGGTCTTTGCCACTGCAAATATCAAAGCAGGAACCTTGATCCACTACGAGGAACCAGTTATTCGCGGAAATCTCATCCCCAACAGGCTGCTTGATGATGAAAGTGAAGACCCCCTTCATGCCCCACGATGCGACAACTGTCAAACGGTGGTTGACCCAGAAGAGATCGAGCACATCTCAAATCACTTGGACGCCCTTCATGATCCAGCGCGCGGTCCGGGATATGGACACCCGGCTGATTGCGCATGCGTTGACATGATGTGTAAATGTACGGACGTTGGATGTTTCCGAGCTGCGAGGGGTGGTCTGCTGTTCTGTTCTTCCAAAAATGCAAGACCAGAGGGCATGGCTCCCCACTGCTTAGCCATTGCGCAGGAAACATATCATTTTGAAGAATTCTGTGGTCTCGATTGGGGGTGGTTGCACAATTCCATGAGACCTAATAAAGTGCCATGGGGCGGATCGCAGTATTTCACCCACACCAATGAACGACACGGGACTATTTTGAGTCTACTCTTGAAGAGTGTGTTCGAACTCACACTCCACCGCCGCCAAGAGGATCCTAATCTTCTAGCGCATGAAATTAACGAACTCCTTGTCCTTGAGTCAGGTAGCGACACGAACGAGCCGTGGAAAGATAGCTGGTTTCCTTTCACCCTGGCTCGTAATATCCAGATACCTTTCGATATCCTCTTTTACCTTGGAGTGGACATCTTCTGTGACCTCTCATTCGATACTTGGGTTATTCAGACTGTATTGCGGAAGTTGCTGGTCAATGCCGTTCCGTGGGAACATGCACGACGAGGTACGAACCCAACGTTCAATGACCGGGATGGTCCCAAGCCGGTGCTGCACCCAACCCTACAATCCCGAATGAGAGATAGGAAAGAAGACCTCTCGGCAATGGAGCCATCGTTTGGGAACTTCTTCCTCTTCCCCGGATTAAGCATGTTCAATCATTCCTGTCGCCCTTTCGAGAACGCACTGTGGGGATACGATGACAAGGTCCCGAACCGCGTAGTCGTCTGGGCAAACAAAGATATCAAAGCTGGGGAAGAGATTAGAATTCCATATCAACGCTACAGGATCGCTGACCCCGTTGGCGAAGACGCCGAGCTCAATATGCACGCAGTGCAACTGTTCGGAAAGAATTGCGAGTGCCCCAGGTGTCAAGGCAGAGTGATTGCTCCTCCTGTTGATAAAGGGAAGGTCAAATCGGTTCCCGGTAATGATACTCAGGACGATGGGACTGTGGATTGGACACCGGGTCCAGTGACGATTCCCCCTAAGCAGGAATATTGGCGTGGTGTTCTCGGAGAGAACAATCCTGAGATTGATGACTATTTGAGAGAGTATCAGGAGATTGTGGATGATATATATGACAAATACTACGATCTCGATCCTGAATCCCCGGGCGAGGAGGAGAAAAAGGAGGGAAATGAAGCTAATGAGGAGGTGGATATGGTTGATGTTAAAGCTGGGGATGGACCCGAAATCAGTGGAAGTAAGGAATGAGTATGTGTAAAAGCAATGCCATATGCATCACGGAGTTAAGAATAACCCTAAACAATGCTAAACCCCGGAGAGAATCGAAGAGGTATGATTCGATACTTCGGCATCGGCGACATTCGTGCATTATTAACACGTTTTTGACCCCGCATATGTTGTACTTATAAAGGACAAGTCCCAAATATTCTCAATCCTCATTTCTATATCCTTCAATCCCCTCAATTCCAATCATGTTAGCCCGAGCAGCAGCCCCAAAGTCCCGCCTTGGCCGCTATCGCCTGTTAGCCCCCACTGCTGGCGTCAAGGTGAGCCCACTATGCCTGGGTGCAATGAACTTCGGTGATGGCTGGTATGTAAACTTATAATCCCCAATACCACATGCACAGTAGTAACTAAAACTGAAAAAGGAATGAACGCCTCGGCGAATGCAACAAAGAAACATCTTTCCAGATTCTGGATACATACTACGAGAACGGCGGCAACTTCATAGATACGTATGCATAGCACCGTTCTCTATACAATGAATGAGACCCAAGCACTAACAATCCCCAAAGAGCCAATAACTACCAAGCCGAAGAATCCGAAAAATGGATCGGCGAGTGGATGGAAGCCCGCGGCGTGCGCGACCAAATCGTCCTCGCAACGAAGTATACTTCGCCGTATCGCGCTCACAACAAGTCCGAGATCCAGGCAAACTTCGTGGGCAATAATGCCAAGAGCATGAAGCTTTCTGTGGAAGCAAGTCTGAAGAAATTGCGGACGGATTATATTGATCTGGTACGTGGCTGCTTGCTATCGACATGTCGGGATATTATATGCTAATAAATACCTTGTATAGCTCTACGTCCACTGGTGGGATTTCAGCACCTCCATCGAGGAAGTCATGACCTCGCTCAACCAGCTAGTCTTATCTGGAAAGGTTCTGTACTTGGGTATCAGTGATACACCCGCATGGATCGTGACCAAGGCGAACCAATGTAAGTTTATCCCTACAGCTGGCGATTCCACCCAATCCTTGCCTTGCCTTGTTTATTCTCTGAGCTGTGTCCATATTAACCTAAACAGACGCACGCGATCACGGCCTCCGTCCCTTCTCCGTCTACCAAGGTAAATGGAACGCCGCCACGCGCGATTTCGAGCGCGACATCATCCCTATGGCGGCGTCGGAGGGAATGGGCCTTGCACCGTGGGCGGCTCTCGGTGGCGGCGTATTCAGGACAACCGCACAGCGGGAAGAGATTGCGCGGAGTGGGAAGAACCCAGGACGACAGACTCCCGCGACGGAGCGGGATATTGCCGTGTCGAAGGTGTTGGAGGCTGTTGCTGAGAGACACGGCACTGCGTTAACTAGCGTTGCGTTGGCGTATGTGATGCGCAAGGCGCCGTATGTGGTTCCGATTGTCGGAGGGCGTAAGGTTGAGCATTTGTTGGGTAATATTGAGGGGCTTGGGGTTGACTTGTCGGATGAGGATGTGAGGGAAATCGAGGGAGCTTATGAGTTCGATGTTGGGTTCCCGATGAACTTTTTGTCTCGGGGGGATGATGTTCCTGAGGCGCATCCGGGAAGTTCGTCCTTCATGAATGCGACGGCCAAGTTTGATTATCCTGACTTGGTGAGGGCGGTTGGACCGAGGAAGTTGGATGATTGAGGTTGATTTAAAATTGAGCCTCGACTAGTTCTATTTGGATTAGTATTTGATTAGTCGTGGAAGATACTCAATGCACAGTCGTGAAGTGAATAAATCGAAGAATACAAGACTTTTCCAAAAACAAATCCATTATATGCGTACAGACACAAGGACCAAGTGAGATTTGTAAAGTACATGGGCGAAGAACACACAAGGAAAACCCCAGCATCCGATATACAGTGGTAAACGTGAAACACAAATTTGAAAGCTGGAGATAAGACAGGAGGAAGAAATGCAAGATATAACCCTTATTTCGAGGCGGAAACAGTGGCGCGAACACGACGGCCGAGCTTCTCCAGCTCGCCGATGATACCGCCGCCGGACAAGCTCCACTTCTCGCTCACCCACTGTTCATTGATGACCTCACGCAGCAGACCGCTGCGAGCAAAGTATTCCATGAAGCCACGAGCCTCGTCGCGAGTGAGGCCGCCCAGCGTCTGCAACTCGAGTGGGCTAACAGCCTTCTCTGCAGGCTGGAGCAGGTCCAAGACACGGGGATCGGCCTTGCTGTAGGCCTCTGGCTGTGGGTATTCCGGCGAGGAGGCACTGATACCGGCCTGGCGGGCAGTAAGGCGGTCAAGGGCAATTTTGAGACCCAAGGGGTTGGGGTTGTTCGAGGATGAGGTGGCGTAAAGGAGGAGACCGCCGTTCTTCAGGGAATCACCTTCCTTCAGCAAGGAGAGGAAATGGTGGACGAAGGCGAGGTCATGGGCGTGAATCAGCTTGAAGTCAGCGGAACGGTAGGCAGTCTCGGTCATCCAGTGGGCCAGACCATCCACAGCAACAAGCATGGGAGGACGGGGCTTGAAGTCCTTCTCCAATCCTGCAGCAGGGGCAGTAGCAGTAAGCTCAGCCCAGAGAGCCTGGAAGACCTTCCAGGAGACAGCGGGATCACTGAAACCAAGCTTGGCGAGGTCTTCCAGGGTCGAGGAAGGCTTCAGCATCTTCAGAGCCGGGTAATTCTGGGACACCTTCAAGCTAGCCAGGAGCTCGCGGTTGGCCTCGACGGTGCGAGTCAACAAAGCCGAGGTAGCGGTAGGTTGGACATACTGCACGGGATTGCTACCCTCGATGGCGGCATAGGCGACATCACCGGACACAAGCTCTCGCGCTGTAAGATTGACAGGTTAGCAGCTGCAAAATTATAATACATACTAGCAGACTTACCATCGGGAATAGTGATCACAGCCCACTTCTTCAAGAAGCCCATGGCCATAGCCTGCAGCAGGTGCACGGTCTTTCCAGACCCCTTCATACCCGTAACAATTTTCTTGACAACCTTGCCCTTCTGGGCATTATCACCCTCCCCAGAGATCTGCTCAAACAAACGACCCATCTCAATGGTATCACGTCGGAGGACCGTTCCAGGTCGGCGGAATATCGACCAGCCCTGCTTGGGCTTGAAGGCTTGCACTGCTCTCAATTGATCGATCATCGGCACAGGCAATCCAAGAACGGTACCACGGAGACGGGAATCCACCATAGTCTCCGTGGACAGATCCTGCATACCCTCAACCTCGAGAGCATTGGGGTTGCTCAGGACAATGCGTTTCCGCAAAGCCTTGCGCTCACCCACGGCCGGGGGACGTCCACCGCGATCAGCGACCTTCTTCTTCTTCCTTCTCAAGCTGGTTGACTGTCTGTGCTTCACAACGGTCAAGCTGTTTCCCTTCTTCTTGGCCGGCTGGGCATAGTGCACGGCGGTGGAGTGGAAGGGAGCGCTTGAAATCCGGGGCGTTGTGGACGGCGGGAGGAGTGCTCGCGGTGTCGGGCGAAGCCTGGAGAGGCAATTCCAGCACCACGAGGAGGCCATTGTTGTCAAAAACACCGGCGCAGCCAGTGAGAGGACAACCGGTGCTGAGATGGAGAGGTGGGTGGGAATTGAGTTGAGAGAACAACAGCAGTTAACACATCGGTCAATAATTTGATGCGAAATCCGCCCGCCCTGAGAAGGAAAGGCGGTCGGGATGCCTTAGTCATGGCAGAAAAGAAAAAGCGGCTGTATCTGATAACCACTTTTTTTTTCTTCGGGCTGATACCCACCTCCGAACATCAACAGTTTACCAATACTACAAGTATCGCAATGCCTGATATCGAGATGGCAAACACCGCACCTGCGGCTGCCGCTGGCTCCAAGGCCGAGAGACTGTAAGAACCCCTCTTCCTGAACCAATTATACGGCCAAAAAACTCCCCAAAAAAGCGGAAGAAAAATACAGAAACTAACATCCTATATCCAGGCCCATCACTGTCTCAAAGCCCACCCCTTACACATTCGACTTGGGCCACCTGCTCGTTAACGACCCCAACCCACTTGAGCTCCCCGAGGACCAAACCTTGAACAACTCGCTGAAAGCGACAGCCCGCGACGGCGTCCAGGTCCTACTTAACCAGCTCCTGACAACCTGCGAGATTAAGACCTCCGTCTCAGAGGGTGTCCTTCTCAACCTGCCCGCCCCCAACATCCATCTCCCGCGCCACAAGCCGCTTCCCGTGCCCAAGGCACCCACGAAATGGGAGCTGTTCGCCCGCAAGAAGGGCATCGGCAAGTTCAGCCAGAAGCCCGGTGCTGCTGGCATGGACAAGGAGCGCCGCAAGAAGCTTCAGTACGACGAGGCTACTGGCGAGTGGGTGCCACGCTGGGGTTACAAGGGCAAGAACAAGGACGACGAGAACCAGTGGCTTGTTGAGGTTGATGAGAAGAAGTGGAAGAAGGAGGCTGAGGCTAATGCTGCTGGAGGTAACATCCGTGGTATGTCGCGGACTGAGCGCAAGGAGCGCATCAAGCGTAATGAGCGTAAGCAGCGGTCGAATGAGAAGCGATCCAACCCTGCTCGTGCCAAATGAGGGATGGTTGATCGATCTCGTTTCCTGTTTTCTTTTTCACGCTTATCTTATGGCCTCTGGCTTTCCCTGTCTTGATTCTTTTTACATCTCCGGCGTTGGGGTTGGGAGTCGAATGGGATTCTTCATGTATTGTGGACAAGAATAGTCGGCCGCTTATGCAGCCTTGTGATGTATTTTCAGTGGCATTTTCAGTGGTCCTCTCAGACATTCCCTTTAGATTTTCTTGTCGGTTTTATAGGTCGACAGCAAAACAGTGGTGGAAAAAGGTTTATTTGTGAGAACGACTTTTCCATGTATAACCTTGACATACCGTGATTAACCAAAAGCACTGTTATTCTGTCGATATTTGCGATGACCTTTTACGTGATAGCTTGCTAGCCTTTATGAGACTATGGGGACCAGAAATGATCTTGCTCGAACCGAAAAGTGCCTTTCTCACTTCATTTATTGTACAATCCTCGAAAGGAAAACGCCAGATACATACTGCAAACAAAAAAGCAAAATGGAAATGCAGAACCCCATTGCAGAACGCACCAAAAAGACAAGCAAAGAAACCATGGTGGAAATCAAGGTCAACCGCAGAGGGGAATCTGGAGATGTCGCAATATGAAGCAAAGCATGGAATGAGATTTCTTGCGCTTCCAAATAGACAATAGGCAGCTAAAAGAGAGAGATACAATGCAAACCAAGCAAAATGGCAAGAGATAACGAAACGGCCGGCCATTCGCCTTCAGGGTAGGTGTCAAGGGGAGTAAAAGATGTACACATGGAAGAGGAATATTGATAAGTAATTCGATCCCGATATGCAGTTGAGACCAAATGACAAGATAACGATCAATCATATGGCAAGCGGGGATGGAGGTACGCGTCAGAGGTGCGGAGATAGGAGAAGGTGGTGATGGTGGAGGAAGGGGATGCCACTCGGAAACAACCTGTCCAGTTCTATCTGATCCTGCAGAATAGAACGGATATCGGGCCAGCCCAGTTCAGTTGGAAACAGGTCATAAAAGGTAGATAACGATGTGACTGCTTTCATCTAAGACAGGTTGGTCCCAGGAAATACGTCTGTTCGGATTTAAATTTTGATTGGGGAAAGCGGCGGGCCAAGCTCGGGAAGCTGAGAGATGCTGCGGGAGTGTGCAGTCTCAATATTCTTCGGCGGAGCCTTTCGGGTGCGAGCGGTTGTTGGGTGTGGTGAGGTCGTCGGGCGAGGCGGTTCACGCGAGGGCTCACGAGTACGCTGACGAGGTTCTTCCCCAGCACTGCTGCTGGAAGACGAGATAGCGCGTTCATGGCTGGCAGAGGCATATTCCTTCGCCTTGGCAGCTTCCTCTACTGAGACCCGCAGGTCGCGCTCGTCCATCTTTTTCTCAATCTCCAGGTATTCCTTCTCGGTCCAGCACCCCTGCCAGCAGTTCTTCCAGTCACAGACCAAGAATTGGAAGCAGAATGCGTCAATCTTCATGCAGGGCTGGAAGCAGATGCACAAGTTGCGGTAGTCCATTTTATTCTGGTCCACGTATGAGTGAAGGAGGTTAAGGTGGCAGGTGATCGCGAAGAGGAGGTAGTAATGGTAGGGTGGTAATTTAGAGAGCTCGTCTTTGAGTAGCTGTGGTGCAGTCGTGGCACCTTCGCACTTCATAGCGATCATAGTTTGCGTTGACTTGGGGAAGAGCTCATCCGGGAGTTCACGAAGCCAAGCTTTGAAGAGAGATCCAACAGTATTGATGTCGTAAAGGTCAGGGACTTCGAAGAGATCGATGTCGAGTTCTGTGTCAAATCGTCGTTGCCAGTGCTTGACCTCTCTGCCGCTACCAGGAACACGGTAAAGGCCCTCTTCCTCACAACCCTTGAAGTTTAGATAATCAATTGAGCGGTATGGCAAGGCAGGCATCCAGAACTCGGTCTTGTCTCGACAGTCTTCGAGCTTCTTCGCAATGCGAGTCTTTCTCGCCTGCTCAATGAGCGGGAGGTTGATCACCGAGCACGTGTAAGTGTCATCAGTGATCATTTCCCTCTCGTTGGTGCTGCCGCTGCGAGTGATTTTGCCAAAGAATCCTTTCCCGGCCTTGCCAATACGATCTGCAGTGCTACTTCCCGAAGATTTTAGATTGCTGAAAATGGTAGCCGAGGCGCCGGAAACTTGACTTAGCGAGCCCGATGGAACCATGTTACCATGGCTTCGCTCTTTTCGCAAAGATACAGCGTCGGCCTGGCGCTCAGGAGGCTGCAAGCCTCCCTTGACAGCGCGTTCGGGTCGCGCAGTCGCACAACGGGGTGGATCCGCGGTCGTTGTTGTACCCTGACTGAACTCTTCGAGTTTAGCCAGACCAGTAGACGGGCGCCGGCGTGGTGGTCTAGGTCCGGAGGAGTCGTCCACTCGAATAGAGCGAGATCGGGTTAAAAGGTTTGCAAATCGTTGTTTGTTTTTCTTCGGCGCGGACTCCAGCTCTGTATCGACCTTCTTGACTGTTTGCTGCGCATTCTTGTGGCCCGAGAGTCCGTCTGTAGATTATTCTGTTAGATGTGATCCACACGGGTGGAAAGTGAAACTCACTAGTCTTCTCGGTTCCATTCGCACGGGCAAGCGCCCCTGGAAGATCAGGCGTTGACTCGTATGGTTTCGGAGTCATTGATGACTTCCGTTCTCTGGAGCTACCTCTGCTCTTAGGATGGTCGGTAGAGTTTTCCGAGCTATCTGAACGCTGTGACTTGTGTGATGATTTCGGTGCTTTCAGGTTGCCGAAAAATGATTTCGAGGCATCGCGCCCATGTCGTGAGTCTTTGGGAGAAGGGAAATGTTGAGGAATGGCTGTAATACCGGGTGTCGTAGGCTCGGACGGGCCTGCGCCGGGGGAAAGTGGCAGTGTAGGGCTGGTTGCTTTGCTGTCGGAGTCTTGCGCGACTGGACGAATTGTTGCGCCTTTGAAGAGTGGAGAGCTCGATGCAGACTTGGGCGAACGTGGTGTTAAGGGGGTCGGACCGTCTGAACTGTGGTCACCTGGCGTCAGAGGCGATGGGGCCTTCGCTTTCTTCGAGTCAATCTTGAAGGAGCTCAGATCGAGGTTAGGTACTGTTGACGATCGGTTTGGCATGTTGGGCGACGATTGGACCCGGTCCAGGATGTATGTGGAAGTTCGGGGTCGGGAGTTGGATTATACCCGTCACAGCTTTAGATGGATTGATCCTTGGGCAGCTAGTTGTATACTTGTCCAGCGCTAAAACCCAAATCACGTATGCGGCTGAGAGACTCGTACGGGTATCAATGCTCTGAGGTCAGTGGGGTGAAGCGACCTTGAAGCTGAGATAGACAATGTCTAAGTGTAATGACGAAAGTATGGATCAAATGGAGTATCGAGAACGAGGTATCTGCGCCAGTTATAGGTTCAGTACACTACACAATTGAGGACATGTAAAAGGAAGAGCCAAAAAAAAGACAGGTGAGACTGCATATGGTGACATATGCAGGCAAACGAGTTAAAAAGAAGCCACACCTCGACTCTTTGTTGACAAGGGAACGCAGAAACAATGGACGGGTTCAGCTGATCAACTTACCGAATTCCTCATATTATTCAATATGTTTTTTTTTCTGATGTCTGTGAGACCGTTGTTCAGTGCAAGTTCAACTTTCCCCCCTCTTTTTGGGCGCTTCGAAGTCGGGGATCGGCAGGGCGGAAGGGGGGTGAGATAGGAGTCGTCGAAAAGAATTCAATCTAACGTACGGAGTAGTTATGTAGGAGTCAGAGATACGAAAAAAAAAAGTTGAAGAGTAGAAGTTCAATGTAAACAAAAAAAAACCCAAAGTGCAAGTCTCCTAATAGACATTAGCGGTCCGCTAGTCCAGGGACTCAAGCCACGGAAGTTCACAATTATTAGACCAAAAATTATGACTTGAAACCGTTCCACATTATCTTTTTTTTTGGCTGAATAAAAAAAAAAGATATTAATTTCCTAACTCCCTCAATACTACATTAGGACATTATGATGATGTGTCTATCTTTTGCTTACTCAATTGGCATTGGCTCACGTTACCCCAAAAACCCTCTGGAGACGGGATTACATTCTATTTGTCTCTGGTGCTTGATACGATTATAGTGGGAACGAACACGAATGATCAGAGCTCCCCACTTTTATAGATGGTCTATACAAGTCTGTTATTGGTCAATCTGGTCAGTTACAATAAATCAGTACCTGATTTCCTTTCCTAGATGATCCATGGTTTAGATATAAGGCAGTACTACATCATACTCTACACGTGAACAGACCAACCCTACATACTATCTGGGTATACATACTCTGTACTCCCTATAAGTAGACATAAGTAAGACAATAGGCAAATTTGAGGTATATCAGGAACTCCGGCTAAATAACTACAAGTCCGTGTCCAAACTCCCACTTTTATAAATTAATTTAGTTCCTCGGTCCAACCTTGGAATCCATATTCTTCCCGATAAAGGCTTCCATGGGTTTCAAGTGGAGTTCTCCTGTTTTACAATTTTAGAACTTTTTGCTTGTATAACATGGGAAGAGTCGGAGCCACAGGAGTACAGTACTATAGGGAATAATTAAATATGGGTACTTACTATTTAAATTGTCTTTTATATTAATATCCAATTGCCACTGTACGGAGTACACGTATTTCGTATACTGCATTTCGGTCGATGCTCCCTTATACTCCGTACACCGCCATCCTATTTCGAATTTGCAACTTGGGGTTCCATCCAATCTGAAACATGGCTTGAAATGTCAAACTAGCGCTCGGGGATGACAATTGCTTTTGGTGTGCACGGGGCAGGCTAAGTGGATCTAGGGTTCCAATCAGTGTCGAGTATACAAATGTACTCATACTCCGTACATAGTAGTATACCTAGGTACAACATAATGTACGGATCGATACGCAAAAACTTTCCACAATACCTACGGGCTTAAAAACCCTTAGCTTGCATTTGATATTACAATGATCAAATAATGATGTCAGGATTAACGTTTAACCGAACGCACGTGCTGTATCACGTGTAGGTATAACGCACGGACCACAATATGCAAGCTCCACCTGCCCGTTGCCCAGGTGTAGGCATACTAAATCCACATTCACACACCGCCTTGTGCTCTTATGTTAATACTTTCGAAAGCTAGGTCCCTACTCTCCTGCATATCCCCACCAATCAGTGATCTTCTCATCTCGTCATTCCATCATTCCAAGACATGGCCCTAGTATCGGGCCCTGGGAGAGCTGGGGTTAGCCCCACAGGCTCGGACCTACACACCTCTAAGCATGTCACTTACATTAAGAATCTCGATACTGTACGTCTTTCAAAAGAATATTATGAATGAAGATTAACCAAGACAGAGGAAAGATGAACTAGAATATTGGCTTACAGAACACCTTCGACTAAATGGTGTATACTGGGGTCTTACAGCCCTGCATATTCTAGGTCGTCCAGATACGCTACCTCGAGATCAGACCATCGACTTCGTCCTTTCGTGTCAAAATAACAATGGAGGATTTGGTGCTGCCCCAGGTCATGATGCCCATATGTTGTACACCGTCTCTGCAGTTCAGATCCTCATAACCATTGACGCTGTCGATGAACTCGAGAAGCGGGGCCGAGGTGGGAAACAGAAAGTTGGGTCTTGTATGGCGTTTTTCTCATACTGATATCAACAATTTATGATTGTTTACTAAGCTATTATAGTCATTGCAAACCTACAAAATCCAGACGGATCCTTCATGGGAGACCAGTGGGGCGAAACAGATACACGGTTCTTATATGGTGCCCTCAATGCATTGTCGCTATTGCGTCTAATGGACCTAGTCGATGTTCAAAAGGCCGTTTCTCACATTCAAAGTTGCGAGAACTTGGATGGAGCTTATGGTATTCGCCCCGGTGCCGAGTCCCACGCTGGCCAGGTCTTTACTTGCATTGGCGCATTGGCCATCGCTGGTCGCTTGGACCTGGTGAATAAAGACCGCCTTGGAGCTTGGCTCAGCGAGCGCCAGATCGAAAGCGGTGGCTTTAATGGTCGACCGGAGAAGCTTGCAGATGCGTGCTATAGCTGGTGGGTTGGATCAAGCCTTGCCATGATCGACCGTCTACATTGGATCGATGGCAAGAAGCTTGCTGCGTTTGTTTTACAATGCCAGGTCAGTTCAGTTGTATATTGCATAGTACAACCTATTGCTAACCATTATGTAGGACCCTGATGCCGGTGGCTTTGCTGATCGACCAGGAAATATGGTGGATGTGTACCATACACACTTCAGTCTTGCAGGCCTGAGCCTATTGAAGTTCAATGGCCTTGAAGAGATAGATCCTGTTTAGTGAGCTCTGATACCTCCATCCATCATTCTATCTTTTGTTTTGCTAACTCGAATAAACAGTTGTATGCCTAAGTCAATCACTACCAAATGCCTTGCGGGGTAATTCATCAATTGATGGTTTGATCCGTATTGAAACCTCCTGCATTCTAATAAACTATGATCGTCTCTTTATGGATTATGGAATACAATGTGGGAGGAGAATAATGACCACTTTGGCTTATTCCGCTTCATATTCCCCTACAATAGCCAAAGAGCTGTTAAGACATTGTGGTACATATTGTGTACATAATGATGAATGATCCTCGTGAATGGAAGTTGTTTGTATTGAATAACATCCCGTGACTTCACTCGTGATCCAAGTGAAGACGCTCTTTCCTTGAATTGAATAGCTGATTGATAAGGGAATGGACACCTCCCGTCCGCCTTTCGGATGTGTTTATAACGCCTCGCATTTTCTTCCATCGCTCCTTCACCATCTTCCATCAGACTTTCTTGGCTTCTACACTTTGGTTGTTTTGCCCTTTCCATTTGCATTTCATCATATTGTTTAGTTGCTGCTTCCTCCAGGGCTTCCATCATGCAGGACCCGGTCCTCCAGTGCAGCATCTGCCCTGGGCAGCCCGATTTCAGTGATGTTTCCCATCTGTTGACCCATGCCGCCTCCAAGGCTCATCTAGCCAACCACTTCAAGCTCAAGCTTCGCGCAGATGATGAGAACGCAGTCGAGCTTCTCAGAGAATACGACGAATGGTTTGACGCCAATGGCTTCGCGAAGCAGCTGGCTGCTCGTATGGCCAACAAAGAAACCCGGAAGAAAAGAAAGTCGGACGAAGCATCGATTTCCGATGCTGGTAAACGCACAAGGACCCAAGCACCCAATGTCGAGCCTGAGAGCTCCACCACTCCTGCAGCCACAACCACCTCGGGCCTTGATTGCCTCGATCCTCGCCTGGCTGATTCCCAGGACGACCAGCAACATGCGGATGCAATCCTCGCACCAACTACACCAAGCCCCTTGCCTATGACGAACAACAATGCTACATCTCGAACAGGTCCGACTCTTCGCTTTTTGCGATCCTCGAATCCCGCAAAGTTAAACGTGTTGCATCCCATGCATGCTTCTGGACTCGGCGATGAAACCCGATCATTGGCTTTGCCTGTCACGCCGATGCAGCGCCGACACAGACCGCAACCCTTGGAAAGAACCTGGGCTTCCAGCAGGGATACTCCTGATCCTTTTATTGACTCTGGTGATCAGACTCAGGTATCTGGTGATGCCGAAATCGACAAGACTCGGGCTGAAGAAATGGCAAGACTTAAGGGAGTTCAGTGGCCAGGCATGGATATTTTTGATTCCGCGACGGTGCAGATGCGTCGTCGACGCAACCAGAAGAAGGATAGTGCTGTATTGAAGACGATGGAGCTTACTTCTTCGCTCGTGGAGCCAAACGAAATGGTCTTCTCCCCAGGAGGAACTCTATTGAAGGAGCGTGAGATCACGGGCAATGTGGAGGATTACAGCCCGTTGAAAGGGGAGACTCCAATTCCCAGACGAAGCGTCACTCGTACCAAGATCGCCCGCTTGACCAAAGCGGACCCCAACGTGCCCCGTGCTGCGGACAGAAAACGACAGAAGATAGACCGCAAGAACGTTGAAGAAGGACCAGTCAGAAAAGAGCAACATTCTCCCCGCCGCTCGCGCCGCGCGGCAGCCCGCACTCAGTCTTATGTTGGTGACGATGAAGAATTTGGTTTTACTGTCAACACCTTTGGCAAACGGGCGAGGGGTGGATTTAATGTTTTCGTTGATGCGGAACAGGAAGGAGAGGATATCAAACCATCTTACCAGGAACCGGGATTCAAAACGCAGTTTGACACATTGACCCCCACTCGGCTTGTTTTGAACGAAAAGACGAACACCGGTATTCATGCCCCGAGAATTGGGCACACATCCGTTTACAAGGAAAATATTGAGCCTATTCTGAACCCCCAAGGCCGAATTGGCCCCCATGATTGGCACTCTCTATTCGCCAAGCGCACCGACACTGATGAATTTGGATTTGGCCCTCCATACTTTTCTGATATTGGCGATTCATACGACAACTTTGACAAGGCTGGGTATCGATTCAACCCTCTCCAAGCCCCTTCCAACCACCCTTTCTACGACCCCCAGTACGAAGAGCATGATGCAAACCACAATGGCTGGCTTTCAATGGAGCAGACAGCCCCATCCGAAGAAACTCTCTCGGAGGAGGACCAAATGCTTCAGTCGTACTATTTGTGTGCCGATGCAAACTAAATCCGACGACTCTGCTAACCTATTGACCAACCCCCGGACTCACGAACTGTTCAGGTTGGCCAACCCTGCTGACAAGACCGATGCTATGCGATGTTTCCCGAAATGACGAAGATGATGACGAAGATGACATGGATATCCAGAACCGAAAACCCAGAAAGTGACTATGGTAGTTTTACCATGATTTGCCCTTGCCCAACGACCGTAACTATTCACACCCAGGCTGATTGCAATCGCCCACAAATTGTGATTATGCATGGGGTGTGCATTTGTATTTCTCGTACTCGTTGGACTGTTTAATATGCTGTACAATATCATGATTAGCCAATATCAATATGAATGTGCATTAAAAGTGTTTCCCGCGCATGTAGAGACAACATTCCTTTCTAGAGGTCCTCTTGTTTTATGCCCTAAGGGTGATTTAACGTCTTTCCTTTGGATTTTCTAAAACCCTGTGCAAGCGCCCTTTCCAGGATTACTGATTTCATTATATATCAAAGGAACGCTCAATATCTTGCGATGTCATACAAGCATTAACCATATAAACCCACATCGATGACAAGCACTCGCCAACTCCCTGCCTTTGCAAGGATAATCATACCACTATTCTCTTGCCCTAATTGGAATCATTATAAGCGCCGGCTATTCAGCGGACACATACACCTTCAATCCTCACTTGCGGTCATGATATAACCCACAGCACTTAGTTGTTCAGGAGATAATCAACAGTCAAGCATTGGTCTATAACCTAGCTTGCTTGGAGAGGACTGAGTCTGTTCGGACTTCAACTCCACGCTCATTTTAAGATTTGGCCTTCGATTAACATTTGTGACCCTTTGGGGGTTTAGACTAATCATGCAACCTGTACTCGAGCTCAATACGGCCGACCAAGTCATTATATGGTGTCTCCCATGTTATATGTTTCATATCGAGCTACGTTGAAAAACCAAGCTAATAATCAGGAATAAACCTATTTGCAGTAACCGAAGACAATTGACAAGGTCCAAGGAGATGCCAGATCCTCCACTTGGAACATGGGAATAAATGCAGCACGTACAAAAGGTATACTACTTACATGATCTCTCTCTGTAGCTTGGCTCTCCCGTTGAAACCTCCCAAGATCCTTATAGATCTCAAAATAAAAAGTGGATTCGCTGACAACGCTATTCGAATCCCGACCAATGGAATCTCATATTTCACGTGATTTCCCAAAAGCGTAATCCAATTATATCCAATTATCTGTCGCACAAGGGCCCCACTTCTGTATACCCTCATAAAAAGACCTGCAAAGGGAAAAAAAATGGGTTGCTTCTCTTTGATTGAGCGTGTCATCCTTAGTGCAGGGGCCATGCTAATCTTCTCTGTATATTTTCAGTTGACCATATGCCCCGAAGGGCGAAAAGAGATCGTTAAAGTTCATTATGACCGATGTTTAGGGCAGAATTGTACCGCCTTAGTGGTGACCTTGGGAGGCAAGAGCTACGATATCAGGTACGTGGGTTGACATGTGGATACTTTCGTGCTCCAACTACTTAAGAAGGCGGTTTGCTTGTGAAATTCAAGTTTAGTTACTTTATCGCTTCCGGGACACTACGAGGAAGCTGGAGCACTTGGGCAGACTCATTGAGATTTAGATATCCGGAGTGATAACAGTAGTTCTTATTGAAAGGGCCTGTATTTGTACCTACAGGAGACGTGATGAATGGAATTCTGTATGATCACACAAATACTGGATTGAATGCCAGCATGAATGCCCTACAAGACGAATAGAACGAATAAGAACCTTCAATTTGGCACCATACACCTTGGAGTGATTGACATAGCCATAAGCACTAACTAAACAAACAGATACCCGTTGCCTAAAGGCGCCTTATATCGATGCCTGGCTAGATGCCTCCCTTTTTGTCAGTGCTCTCAAGCATGATCAGCCTTATTCTCTCTCCCACCATAGTCATAATTACCACCTCAACAGCAGTAACAATACTTGATACCTATTCCACTAGGTGCAGATTGATAGTATGTCACTTGTTCAGGCAGTTTGGGGTCTTTGTTTCTTTGCCCCCAGGAATCTTGCAATCCTAGTGTGATACGGGGCTGATTGTTTGTTGACGAGCCCAAAGTGAATTTGACCTGATCATGCAGGCGATTATCAGATAATGCAATATCGGTAAACGGTGAAGGTCCGATTAATTATTCCACGGGTCTTTTGAAAAGGGCCAATTTGCAAGAGAAACTAGGGCTATTTCGTACGGACGGGTCGCGGACCCCGTCCAAGGTATCTTCACAATGAGACCCCGAGGCTCATGTCAAAGTTTCAGATTATCATTGGCTATTGATTTAATCCTAGCACATTTGCGTCTGATATGTGATAAACCGGATCAAGCATAATCTCTGGACCTCAGTCGTCTCCTACGGCGGTTGGACAAAGGTGCTGAGTCAGCAGCCAATTAACGCCCCAGCGCGTTCTGTACGCGTCGAGCTCCAAGTAAAATGCGGAGAACTCAATGGGACTTGATTTTAAGCATTCCTCGTCTGAGATCAAGCTGAGATGAAATACCACTGTATTGAGTTTTATTGAATCCTATCCCATACATATCACCGCAACCCAGAACCGCTACATCGCACCGCCACTCCGCATACTTGTGGTGGGAGCAGTTGCAACCATCTTTTGTCAAAATGGCACCTCACTCTTCGCAATCCTCCGCACCCTCTTCATCGTTAAAGCGAAAGCAAGCAAGCATCTCCAGTTTCTTCACCCAAAAACCGGCTCCCTCGGCCACGCCCAGAGACTCCGAACCGATCCCGGCGAAAACACCCAAGAAACGACAAGTGTCGCCAGCTGACAAAATTGAGCCGAAGCAACATGATATTACCCCAGAAGACGACGATGAGGATGGCGAGGATATTGTGGCGCCAGTATCGAAGCGAGCCAAAACCACTAGAGCAAACACAGAGGAGCCAATCCGAGTTGCGACAAGCGTGGAGTTCGAGCACACATCTCAGGCAAGCAGCAGCCAACGTACCGATATCTTCAAGTTCCAGAGCTCTCCTGCCGCTGCGCCAGTCGTAACAGAGGAAGGCCCAGAGCAGGAACAACGAAAGAAAGAGAAGGAGAAACTGCACCAGCAATTCGTCCGGAAGCTCGGTGGGTTAGATTGCCAGGTTGGGCTTGGGAGAACCGCAGCGAACGAAGCAGCCATGGCGGAGGCAGAAGCTGCAGAGGCGGAGGAAGACGACGAGCCTGCACCACCACCCCCGACCAAAGGCAAGGGTGCGAAGAAAGTCGCGAGCAAGCTCACGCCCATGGAGAAGCAGGTCATTGAGATCAAGCGTCAGAATATGAACACGGTGTTGGTAATTGAAGTGGGATACAAGTTCCGGTTCTTCGGAGAGGATGCGCGCATTGCGGCCAAGGAGCTAGGCATCGTGTGTATCCCGGGGAAGTTCAGATTCGACGAACGTAGGTATCTCTACGTATCAGAATACCGAAAACGTGCTAATAACAGGACATTCTGCAGATCCATCCGAGGCACACATTGGCCGGTTTGCTTCGGCTAGTATCCCTGTGCACCGATTACACGTACATGTGAAGCGACTCGTTACAGCCGGTCACAAGGTTGGCGTGGTGCGGCAGATCGAAACAGCTGCGCTCAAGGCTGCGGGTGATAATCGAAATGCGCCATTTATTCGCAAATTAACCAACCTCTACACGAAAGGAACCTATATCGATGACGCTGAAGGTCTGCAGGGTCCGGCACCGGCAGCAGGGGGCGCCTCCCCTGCCACTGGATATATGCTCTGTATGACGGAGACTAATGCCAAGGGGCCCGGGAATGACGAACGAGTTCATGTCGGTATTATCGCTGTCCAACCGGCTACAGGTGACGTTATCTACGATGACTTTGAGGATGGCTTCATGCGGAGCGAGATTGAGACACGATTATTGCATATTGCTCCCTGCGAGATATTGATCGTTGGAGAGATGTCTCGAGCTAGCGAAAAGCTCGTGCAGCATTTATCTGGAAGCAAGATGAATGTGTTTGGGGACGCCGTGCGCCTTGAACGGGCCCAGAAGAAGAAAACATCCGCTGCTGAAGCACATAGCCATGTATCTGGATTTTATGCAGGAAAGATGAAGGCTACCAGTACCGAGGAGGATACTCAAGCTGCGAAGTTGCTTCAAAACGTTCTTGGCCTCTCGGAGCAGGTGACTATCTGTCTGTCTTCTATGATCGAACATATGACTGAGTATGGGCTGGAGCATGTGTTCGATCTCACAAAATATTTCCAGCCATTCTCTGCTCGTTCGCATATGCTGCTAAATGGAAATACGCTGGTCAGTCTAGAAATCTATCAAAACCAGACTGATCTCTCGACAAAGGGTAGTTTATTCTGGACTTTGGATCGGACGCAAACACGATTCGGGCAACGCATGTTACGGCAATGGGTTGGAAGGCCTTTGCTGGACAAGGTGCGCCTCGAGGAACGAACAAATGCCGTGGAAGAGCTTATTGAGCCTGCGCGAGCGGTTCCAGTAGAGAGAGTGCGAGGGTTGCTACGCAAAGTCAAGAGTGATCTTGAGAAGAGTCTGATCCGCATTTACTACGGAAAGGTAGGTAATACTTCTATTATGATGACCACACCTATACTAATGTTACGCCCAGTGTGAGCGACCCGAGCTTCTCACTGTTCTGCAAGCTATGCAGATGATTGCAATGGAATTTGCAGATATCAAAACACCTGCCCAGACGGGCTTTGAATCACCGCTGGTGAGCGAGGCCATCGCCTCTCTGCCCACGATCCGAGCATCGGTCGTTAAGTTTTTGGATAAGATCAACATGCATGCTGCACGAACCAATGACAAATATACCTTCTTTCGCGAAGCGGAGGAGACCGAGGAAATTGGTGACCTCAAGCTCCAAATTGGAGACACTGAGCATGGCTTATCAGAGCATCGCAAAGAGGCGGCGTCAACAATTGGAAGAGGCAAAGTCGAGTACTCG